TTAGCGTACGGTACGGTTACGTTATAGTAGAGTTATGTTTACGAAGAAGAGGCGATACGTAAGAGGTACGCGTACTAAAGGAAGGAAGGAATAAAGAAGTAACAGGCTAGCTTTATTATTATCGCTAGCCGCGTACGTCGCGACGCTAAGGCGTTACTACTAAGCGGGCCGCCTACGACGCCTAAACCTTAGCCGGCGTCGCCGGCTCTTATATAGTACGCGCGCGCTACGATAGCGAGGTAGTCTATTAGACTCTATAGGAGTCGCTTACGACTACGGATTTTAAGGGCAGATATAGGCCGCTAAGAATAGCGTCCTAGAGGGGGGGATAATTATAACGGGATAGGTTACCCTAGTCTTCTCTCTCTCTTCTACTAAGCCGGCGTTTCCTATACGACACGCTAGTATAGCATATAAGAAGAATTTTATAGCTACCCTACGTAGAGTAACGAATAGCTTTAGCTATAGATAGACCTATTGTCTAAGAGTGATCTATACGTTGCTATATACCTTTATACCTTTATAATCATCTATCTAAAGCTCTTTAAGCTCGCCTTCTAACCTCTTAAACAGCTCTATATAATGGCTTCTAATACGACGAAGTTTAGGCTCTTATTATGTAGTAATTTCCTTAAGTCTAGTAATCGCTAATTTGTGTTTTTAAGTAGCTAGATTAAGCTAATGTTATAGATCCTTAGGGTATCGGTTATATATAGAGAGGGCCTCCTTTTAGCGAGTCTAATAAAAGGTCTTATTAGTATATGCGAATTTCTTCTCTTATTCTACGGTCTAAATAGGACTACGAATAGCAGCTATCTCTATAGCTCTCGATGCCTTAGCCGCCTTAATTTCCTCCTTCTTTAAGCGTATGTCCTCTATTTTCTAGGCCACTTTAAGTAAGAGGACTATACTACCTAAGCGGTTAGCCTTAGGTGTAATAATTTGCTGTTTTCGCTTCTTATTATGGTCCTTATAGGCCTTAATGCGACCGTTTAAAAGGACGTTAATCGAGAAGGCCTAGGCGACGTAGCTAACCGCTAAATTCTTAGTTTTTTAATGGTCCTTAGGTGTTAGTCTAATATTAGTAATATTGTTAATAAATCTAATCGCTTGCTCGCTCGAGTTAATAGTATCTAGCATAACATCATCGCTAAATAGTAGGTTAATCTTCTCGATTTCTAAGCGTATAGGGGTAACTAGCGACGGAGGAGTAAGAATCTAGTTAAGTCTTCGAATAATAGGTGTTCTATCGTATAGAACAAGTCCGACGGTCTTAAAAGTAGCCTTCTAATCCTCTAAGTTAAACACATAGCTATAGATACCGTTATAAATCTCGAGGAAATTAACCCTATTAATTATATTATGTCTAAGGCCTACCTAACGGTGAACTTTGTTACTATAGCTAACTTTAAGCTAGCTAAACAAACCGACGTCAAGTAGCTATAGTAGGTAAGTTAAATAAGGAGAGAACTTAACATAGATAATGTTCCGCGCCTCTACGTATTTAATGAAATTAAGACTAACGTAAGTAAGGTAACCGTCGAGTAGTAGTATACGAGGTAGTAGAGGTTCTAGCTCTTAGCATAGCATGCCGTCGTCGCTAAGAGGGTAAGAGGACTAGCTAAACAACTTAAGCTAGTTTACTACGTATTCCTTTAAACTCTAGCTATTAGTAGAGCACTCGACGACGACATCTTAATTAATATACGACTACTAGCTCGGATCTCTACGCGCGCCTTTAACAATAATGTATAGAGGGATTACGCGGCTAATAGCATTAGTAGCGCTAATAATAGTAGCCTACTCGCGCTACCTAGGATTACTTCGATATTAGTATTTATCCTTATAGGGAACGATATAGATAAGTCCCTTTGCTATACCGAGCATAAAGCCGGTTTTATCTATATTACTAATGTTTCTATTAAGGACCTAATAGTTATCGACAACACCCTTAAAAAAATCGAACTATATATAGATTGCTACTAGGTCGTTATTCTTTTAAGCTCGAACGTCCTCGAGGGCACGTAGATAACGAGTCTTAAACTCTAGATAGCGGGCAAGGTATTAAGTAGTCTAGTTTGTACCTAATTTATTAGCATGCGAGCGCCTTATATAGCGAAGACGAAGGGCCTCGCCCTTAGGTATTATCGACTCGAGCCTAAGAATTATCTAAGTCTCGCGCTCGTACGCCTTATCGACTAATTACTACGCCTATTCTCGAAGCTCCTTCTAAGTTAGTAGGAACCCTCGGTTATAGGCTAGATACATATATTTAATAAGGGCGAGCTTAGCGTCCTTTAAGAGCATCTATTCGTATTTATAGGTAGGTCCTTAAGCCTTATACTTCCCTTAGTGTCGTCGTTAGAGAGTAACCGCGCTAACCTCGAAGGTAGATACCGTACGTATAAAAGAGGTTAGCCGACGACCCTAACCGTCCTATCTAGCTATAGTAGTATTATAAAATTTAAGTGCTTTAGCGAGGTCCTCTTCTATCTTTGCTTTATCCTTAACGCTAATTTTGCGCTTATAGCCTATAGCAACGATAAGTTTAACTAACCTATTACGACGAGAACACGCTTTAAATACTAGAGGTTAGTAGCGAATATAAGGTCGAGAACAGAGACGACGATGAGGTCGAGAACTAACTATATATAGCTATATATAGAGGCCCTTTGAGAGGGTGGCGAACAGACCGAATTATCGCCGGATTACTCCATAAGGTTAGTTAACTCAATGCCCCTACTAACTTAAAGCATCCTTGAACACGTTACAAGTCGGATTGATAGGTCTGATATGCACTCATGTACCTTTGTATCTTGTCCCACTTCCACTAATGACTCGGACTATCCTATCCCACTTCCCCACATTGACTCAGAGACCAATTCTCTCGGAACATCCCCCTTCCCTTCCAATCGGAAGCTGCAGGGACGAACCCATCGTCCGAGGACCAACATCACCTCCAACTCCACCAAGAGCCACCTTCTCCCCACTTGCGAATCGCGCATACAGCAGTTGAGATTGCGATGAACTTCAAATCCAAGAAGAATTGCTTAGGGCACAGCCACAAATAGCCCTGATAGATGTAAAAACTCTTCGCCACGGGTTTGTCAATCACTAATCACTCGGCTTCGGTCTTCGACTCCGTTGAGGTGCGCGTCAACACGAGAAGTTTATGCTTGGGCTGCAATTGCCTTGCGGGAGCGAACTTGAAGCAGAGGGATGTTGCGAGAACATAGCGCCATCCAACTGCTCATCGTTTGAGCGTTGCCTCCATGAACTATCATATGAACACAGCCCTGAACACCCAGGCATTTAGCTTGCGTGAATGAGATTCATGAACGATAAGAAAACTACTCTGCACGTACGCAGCACGATGGATCGGAAAACCGCCGACTGGCTGCATGATAACTCCAAGCAAACATGCGTTGGTATCCTTCAGGACTTGCTTCTTCCAAACACCACTATTACATAGGTGGTGTGCAATCTTTATTTCACAGGCACACCCAGACTATGCTAGTTGTGCGCTATAAGTTGGTAATTTCAATTTGGGCGCCTTTTGCGTGGCGCGGTCTGTTCTTTAAACCATGCTAGCTCTCATTAAAAGCTCCGGGAAGAAGAGGATACACTCGGCTGCTCTTAAAACCGAATCGCTCAAGTGATATGCGGCACATAAGCACTCCACCTAGGCAAATCATAAACACCAGCCGGAGAGTGAGCCAAACTGAGGAAGCTCTCCACAACCAAGAAAGCCCTCGCCCAGAGATACATCAGCGAACCCAATACCAGAAGCACCTGCCAGATTTGCCAATCATACATGAACCTGTTGATCTTGAGCATTACTCCTCGACCCACGAAGTTCGATTCTATTCCAAAGGTCACTAGGTTCTCGATCAGCAGTACCAATGTCAAGGCCGGGACAAAGGTTATCACGAAGAGAGAGGCCAATCGCCACGTGTTTTGTCGGTTTGGCGTAACAAATTCGGCATTCCAGGCTAGGGCGTGCAGACCTCCGTATGAGATACTGAGCGCGTTGAAGGAGGCCAGTAGTATCCAGTCGAGGGCTTTGGGGTCGAGGTCCATGGTTGGCCAATTGCGGCTGCGTCGGACAACGGTGTTCTCAATTTTGTTGTGGTCAGCTTGAGCAGCTCTCATCATGTTGGCAGCCAGTGTCCAGCGGTGAATATCTTCTTTTCGAAGCTCGATGGTGTCGTGAAGGTTGCTGATGCCGGTTTCGAAATGAATTTGATCTTTCTTCAACACGATTGTATTCATCCCTCTGGTCACAGGCTTGGCACCCTGACCATAGTTGCGTTTTATATCACCGATTCGGGGGACAAGCTCGAGTATGCGCTCGAGAGTTTCGGAAAGGGCAGTCCTGTTGAAGCTTGGGCTGTTTCTCGATTTGGGTCGAGGGACCTCGGGGTTTGCCTCTTCAAGATCGCTTGTGATCGTCAGATAATCCATCTCTGCCTTGTTTGATCTGTTTCTTCTGTACAAAGGTCGGAAGTCCTTCGAATTCATGCACAAGAAGGCGAACAAGTCTTGTGCCTCTTTGCTTTTGATTGGCGTTGGCTGTTCGACATCCAGTGGCTTGCTCCACCAGAATATGTAGATGATCAGTGCACAAATGGAGTGACCGAAGGTGTTGAGCTAGTCGAAGCGTCAACATCCAGCCAAAAACTCATTGCTGAATCCAACGTACCTCGAGTAGTGTGATCGGCAGCGATAGTACCATTCGACTAATACACTGCAGCACGAACCATCCTGCCTGTATGCAAACGAGAAACTTTGCTAGAGCATTGGCTTTGCTCTTGTCGCGAACCTCTGCTTCCTCTACATGTGGTAGTAGGTGAGAATGATGTTCCGCGATGTATTGCACCCCTGTAGGTGACAGTGTGATTCTCTTGCGCTGAGCGCATTCCGGGTATAGGGGAGATTCTTCGTTCGAGTCTACCACAAATCCACCCATCACCGCGTAGAAAGCATGCACCATGCTCCAATCCTTATGTCCCTCCTCGTCGTGCATTGCCTTCTTCAGCTTTTTTGCCTTCCTCCACTGATCCCACGCAGCATACACGATCATCTCCGGAGCTAGCAATCCTAATGTAAGCCAGCCTAATTTGCGCCACATTTGCCGCTTGATGTACCAGGGATGGGTGGCATCTGAGTAATGGGGTATGTTGAGATGTAGCGCTGTCCAGAGACAAAGAAAGATGGTTACAAGACAAGAAGACAGGATGCCAAAAGACCCTCTTCGCTGAGGTTCTGCAGTCCACGAGACAAGCTCGGTATGGTTGCCGAAGACGGTGAACATGACGGGATAGTGTTTTGGGTTGACTAAGTGTGTTCTCGGATTGAGCGACAACCCAATCTATAATAAATCTTCGCCAGCGTTTCCTTGTGTAATGCTGGGTCCAGTATGTTCTCGGGCTGTGTCTATTATTAGAAGACGTGCCGGGTCCTCAGACAGTCATGACTTTACCCACAGCCTTGCAGTCATGAAGCCCAGTTGATTGGGGCCATATTGATAAGGCGAAGTAGTCTGCAGGTAGGCACGTCGTCGGGTACATTTGCGCAGGCCCAGCTTACAGGGTGTTTTCATATCCGATGGTTAGCGTGAGAGCCCACTTTCTTGCATAACAAGGGTATTTGGCCAATGACAATTGTTACCAAGGTCGATATAAGCAGTGTTCAAAGCGCACAATAACCGTCGGACGCAGCTACACCCTGTAAGCTCCAGGACTGGTAGGCTCGTGACTAACCATGGCAAAGTGTTGGGTCGACAGCTTGTAGAACGGATTGCAATTCTTGCACCAATCCGAGCTGGCAGTCGATGGGCGCAGATGTGTACTCAACGAATAAGCGTCTTCAACAAGCGCCGGGCTTGAAGGGTTTTGAAAACGCATGCGAGGTGACCAACGCACGCGAGGTCTGTCTATCCAGCAACAGTAGTCGAAAGAATTCTTTTGCCAGCAGATCAGGCCTTGATTTTCGAGCTTCAGATGTTGTTGACATCCAGTGTGGCGACTCAGCTAATTGCCTGCGCGTATGGCTTGTCCCAGTGATGGGACGCAGGGACGACCTTCGTTTTCAAGCTCCGACTATTCTTGTGGCTCTCGTGTCGGCATCATTATGATCGGAATGAATTAGAGCGCATTCGAACCTTGGACCACCCACAATTTGCGAATAGAACCATGATATTATTTTGTCACAGACTGGCTTTTTGGGCACGTACGGCCACAGTCAGCTGAAAACTGGGCATCCCGTCCGCTCTGCCATACATAAGCAGTTGAACGGCAGATTAGTACTACGGTGGGTGACCACGTGGGAATCCCTGCTGCTGTACGTTTTGCATCTTCTTTTGCTCATCCCGTACATGCGTTTTTGTCAGACTGTATCATATGCGAGGATCTGAGTGAATGGCAAGTCGTAAGTTCCAAGTAAGTGACACTCATCAGCATTCCCGTACCTATATAAACCAGTGCTGCTGCCAACCTGAGCATCACAACTACTTCCAGGGCATTGACTGCCTACTGAGAAAAGCGACAATGCGTCGCCCACTCCACCAGTCTCTGGCTCGCCAGTACGTATCTAGCAGGTACTACATACGCCGTATCCGGTCAACGAACGCTGCCTTCAAGAGCTGTACACCATGATCTCGACGACCTCGCAGGGCAGTCCCTCGTGCGTTCTATCCGTTGGAAACACCTCTTAGTCGACGGCGGCAAAGCGAGAATAGCCAACAGCCCGGTGTTCCACCGTGTCTCGACCTTGATATCAGGGGTCGTTTCGCATTGTCAAAATGCACAAACTTGAAGTGGAAACCACGAAGTTCCGTTGAAAGACAGGAAACAAGCACTCTCAGCGGACAATCCAAGATGGTAGAAAAACATTGTGTATTTTTACAATGATTGATCCCTAGCTTGTTGGTCGTGGAGACAGTGTCTTTGCGAAATTACCCGGGGCAACATAGAAGTCGAACCACAGGCTCACAATCTCGTAGTGATCTAGAGTGACAAGGACACGAATCTTGAAGCATAGCGGGAATTTGATCAAGCTCGACAGGTAGGCTTCTTGCTGTTGACTGTTCAGGTGCGCCGCTTCCTGTTCATTGAGGCTGAGGTACATCATCCAAATCTCGCTCTCTCTCTTCACGACCACGGCCGAAGAGACGTCAGCTATCAAAATGCACAATTGAATTCAAGCTTGAAGCCACGTCCAGTGAGAGCAGGATGATTCATAAAAAACAGTTCATGTCGATGATGCCTACCAACAATTCAAGCCCGAAAACTAGGCACTTCGATTCCAACGTCAATTCTTCTCGCCATAGTACGGGGCTTCCGCTCCATAGCCCATGTTCAACACCTTACTATACTGCAACTTCCACACACCATCCTGGATCACCCAAATATCATCGCACCTGTAGAAAATACGCCAAGTCTTTGTGATATCGTCAAGAGCACCATCAACCCAACGGGACCAGGTAATGCTTCAAACCGTCAGCGAACTGGTACATGAACTTTCACCAAACAACTTACTATGTCAGCACTCTCCACTTCTTGGGTGTAATCGCATCAAGCACCAGAGTATTGGTAACGAGATGAGAAACCCTGGCTCCATTGCCCAAAGCTCTGAGGGCAGAAGCGGCGGCCTCGAGACCTTCGGCTCTGCCACCGTAGGCTCCGAGGTCGGTGCTGTCGTAGATGATGTCGTCGGTGAAGACTTCGCCTAAGGCGGTGTAGTTTTGGCTGTCGATGAGCCAGGCGGTCTTGTATTCGGCGGATATGAGGGCTTCGAATGGTGTGGTTGGACCTGAATTGGTGACCCAGGGGCTGGCTAGGGCTGCAGATGCCAGGGATAGGACGCCGAGGGCGAAAGTGAGGATGAGCATCTTTGCTGGTGGTTGAGATGTGACAGGGTCGTAAGTATAGAGAAGAAGATATCAGAGCATCCGACGTCTTTATACAAATCTTCACACCAAGACTACTTAGCCAACCCGCAGAAAATCTTCACATGGCTCGCGGATGCGTCATGTAAGCATCGGGTCGAGCCTTGAAGCCACGGAGAAGAAAACAACGGTATAGTCAGACAAGCTGCATGGTCCAAGGCGCGCACTAACACTGCAGACCTTGGCCCAACGTATTTGATCCGAAGAGTAGAACTCCGTCTTAAAGACCGCATACCTACCGAATATGACTCAAGAACATCCGGCTGGGACACTAGTATGGAGGAGTAGAGCATATGAAGCTCAGCTCGGGACGGAAAGAGCGATGTTGGCACCCACTAAACGCTTGAGTTGAGCCTCCATCCCAAAGCACAATGTTTGCACAAGACTCTGATACACATGTAATGAGAGTGACGGGTTAATTTACTGAACGTGCTATTATCTCACTCCTTGATGGCTCAAATGTGAGCGTTTGTGCACTGGTCGGGTTTTATCAACCGTATCAGCCACCGTCAGCGGACTACTTGGCTCAAACAATCATCAAAATCATTGGCTGCTCGATTTAAGACAAGGCGAGAATTGCTTGAGGATACCTCACAAAGTCCGCATGCACTCTGCGGTCATCCGTGTCACCCTTCCGACCCAAAAAGCACTCTGAATCTTCACAGCTTTGCACAACACACGAGAAGAACGATTCTCGAAAATGACATACATTACACAATAAATTAAAGACATTACTAAAGAAGTTACTACTCATTTCCATCATCACTTCACAGAACAAACAAAATCAAAGTCCAACTATACTGCGCACAAGCACCCAAACAACTTCTGTCAAATCTTCAGAAGTAGCCCATGATATCCTTGGGCTTATGGACTTTGGAAGAATCCTTGTTGATCGTACAAACTCTTGACACTCTTTGGCGTCTCCATGGCTTTGCTCTTTCTCTTGTCCCAAGTCGTGGTTTCCTCTCCTTCGTTCAAAACCTGTAGGCCCATTGCGTTGCCCTTTCCCGAATCGACGGGAGAGATCTGCTGTTCATCTTTACCTTCCCAACCAAGCATTCTGTCCAAGGCATTTGTGGGTGTATCTACAGGACTGGACGTTACGGCTTCAGTGACGCGACGTTCTTGCTCGTTCCAATAGCCTTCACCGTTGTCCCAGACGGAAAGTTGTGTGCGTGGTGTCCTTGATGCTTCGGGTAATGTAGTGAGGAGACTCAATACTGGTTTGGTAGGTGAGTAGGTGACGTATTGGCATGCTCTACTCTCCTTTTCTTCTTCTTGGTCTTCTTCTTCCTGTTCAAACAAAATGTCCTTGGGTGGGTCATCTTCGTTGTCGGAGTTCTCGAAGCCGAAGTCAAAGGGTAGTTTGGGAGATGCTTCACGGCCCAGATGGAGATAACGTTGCGAGCCTTCGCCCATTTCGTCCGCCGAGAATTGCAGTGATGAGTTCATGCGTCTCAAAGCCATGATACTCTTACGAATGTCTTTGGGTGGCTGAGCACGAGGACCTGTAACGCGCTTGCTGCGAGAAGATGGCTTCTCAATACCACCACTACGACGATTAGGGCTTGAGCTGCCACTGCGACGACGCGGGCTGATACTACTGCTACGACGGTTCTGACGTTGAGCGCTACTGTTCGGGTTGGATGGCTTTGCGCTAGGAATTGTGTTGCTGACATTGCTGACTGTACGACAGAGGAGTGGAGGAGTCTTGCAGATACTAGAGTTGGGCGATGCTGGCGGAGAAGGCAGGCTCGCATCTAGATCTTCCATGAACGAGGTATGAGGACGCAGGATAGGCATAGATTCGAAAGGTGAGCGGATACGCTCAAGCGCACCTGCACTAACATAGGGCGAGTCGTTTTCTTTGTCACTTTGTGACCATTTTACCTCCTCTTCTTCCTCTTCGTAGTCGCCCAAGAATGACAGTGGTGAAGACCAATCGGCTGAAGCGGGTTCATCTTTGACAGCGAAGGGAAAATTGGTCGAACTGCTGTCTTCATCTGAAGAGTATACCGAAATCGGTCTGTTAACATCGTATTCTTGTCTACTTGCAGGTGGGTTCGTCACTAGCATTGGCCAAGAAGGGTCATACTTATGCGACCAAGAAGGTAATGGTGGAGACGATTCAGGATTGTAGACAGAACGCTTTGAGCTGCTTGGTGTAACACGAAGTCCGAAAGGAGGAGTACGCTCATGTTCCGACCATTCAGTTGATGGGCGGGTGAACTCAATTGTAGGAGTTTCAGATCCTTGTTGAGCATCTTCGTCTTGACCAACATGGCTCATATCAGGAAGGCTTGGTATACTGAATAACGAAGCCTCTCGTGACAACGGCGATTTGACTCCTTGCGACACGTATGATGCACGTCTTGAGTTGACCTCGCTGTTCCACGGTAATGGCTCGTTTTGGTATGCCACCATAGATAGGGTTGGAGAGCTCGGTGTGAGCGATGCTCGTAACCTCAACGGATCCATGATCGTACGAGGTCGCAGCGTTACATCGCCATTGAGATGCTTTTCAGCGACTGGACCGAAATTACGATCTGACAACTCTCCCTGGATCCCGTTTGATGGAGGGCTAGCTGATCCACTTCGAGATCCAGGTCCCAGAACAGTAGGTGCAAGTGTTGACAAGCGAACACAGTTTTGTCTGCGATGTCCTTTTCTTGCACTGGGACTGCCTTTCAGGATTGAATGCTTAGGTCCGAACATTGATTTCTCCCACTTCGGCATGCCATCGGCCTTTGAATCTCTCAAGGCACTCTTCATCGGCCTTTGTGGCGAACCGGCATTTCCTGACACAGCGCGTAGAACACTTGATTTGGCCTTCTCTGATGGTGATCCGGTTGCCGATACTCTTGAAGATCCTGTATGCCGTCTCGGTGTGCTGACCATAGTGACACCGCCGCTGCTACTACTAAGAGAGCCAGATGAAGACACACGACTGATGCTGATACGGTCGACATTGAGAATTTGTGGTATAGACAGTCTGTTCGACTGTTTCTCCAGAGTAGACGCAAGACTGGAGCAAGAGTTGCGCTTGCTGCCATTTGAAATGATGCTCAAACACACAACGCTCCTTCTGTGACCAATGTAGCTTGCCGGTCTCGAGTTGCCACCGCCCGAGGAATCCTCCGCCCCTGCTTCTGCTGCAGTGTCGTCGATTGACAGCGATTTCTGAGTGTTCTTGTATTCTGGTATAAAGTTGACATTCTCAGAGCTCACAATGCGTTCCCAGTTACGCTCGGGACTGCTGCTCACACTAGTTGATGTGCTCTCACTATGTTTCGCAGAAGGTATACCCAGAGCGCTATGGCGATTGGCAGGATTGTAATCACTTTGACGACTGATGTTTCTTGGTAGAGGTGGTAGAGGAGGTAGTGGTCCAGTTGGAGCCGGACCAGGGGCTGATGCGAATGTGGTAGTCGAATTAGGCTTGTTTGGATCGGAGACTGTTCCCAGTGACTTCGATCGAGCTGCCCGAGGTCGAGATGGTTCCCTCATCAATGGTTTTGGCGGAGGCTCATCGCTGAGCTGTATCGGTCGCGACGATGAACGAGGAGGTATCTGTGGCGAGTCTGTTCGAGCAATCTCTGGTTTTGCAATCAACTGCTCCACTGAGGCGGACTGAATCTCTTGCTCTCTCACAGCACCACCCTTCGCGGCAGATGGCGAAGCTCTTGAACCTGCACCCGGAGTTCCACCTCGCGGACTCTCAATGATGGCCGAAAGAGCTTGTAGTCTCCTAGCGCCAGATGGCATGCGTCCTATTCGTGGTCTTCGTCCAGGGAAATTCCATGTCGTCCGCGTCTGCTCTTCAGGAAAGATGAAAGCCGGATGAATTCGATTGTTGACTTGCGCGAACGGTGGTAGATGGTTTATCGTCTCTGTTGAAGCCAATGCACCCCATCCTCCACATGGTACATACGACGGGACGAATGGCAATTGACATGCGCCAGGTCCTTGCAGTTGTGTGACTTCCACAGGGCGTGCAGGAGGGAAGCCTTGTTCAATCTCGGCAATTTCTCTATTATGTTCGCGTTTGCGCTTGTATATCTGGAAGATAACGAAGCACGCAGCGCAGAGGAAGAGTGCTCCAATGCCTGCCCCAATGCCGACGACTGCGGATGATGACATGATTATTGACGTGCTGCGTGATACTGCAGATGACCGTTCGCGAAAGTCGTGTCCTTAATCCTTGGACGAGTCCAGCTTCATGGTAGTTCGTGATGATGTGCACCTTGTTGTCGATGAATTGATCATGGCATAGTCAGCATAAGCGGTTGGACTTGTCGCTTGATTGTGCCATAACAATATCCGCCTGAGGTATGGAAAGGTTGCCACAACAAATCTTCAGGAATGCTGCTCACCATTGCAGCATAGTCAACGAAATAATGCAGAGCTTCCTCTCGCCGGACCTACTGTTTTGACATGGTCATCTCGCCACGGAGAGCCAGCGGACTTATCTCGTCTGTGCAGTCATCAACGGATGAGAGATGAGAGAACTTGTTAAGGAGACCGAATCTGCGTTTCGTACAAGGCCATTGTGGTAGGCGCGAGTAGACTGGTGACTTTGACAAGCATTCCAGAGGAATGCACCAGGCCTTCTGAGCCCGTAGGCTTCAGAGGACTTTACCTTGTGGATTGATCGTCTCTCGGATGGCGCTCATCATAGATTTTAGTCTTCACGAGAATCTTTGTCGAAGATAGTGACACGTCTCGTTGGAGATCTCAAGGATGGTTGTTTCGAGGAAGTCGAAGGAAGTTGAGGCTCTGCGGCTCCAGCTTATTATCCTTGCATTCTCCCGAGCCCGGCTTGCTTGCCTCGGCCTTCGGAGGACCCTTAACCCGGCAGAATAAACAGAACCATCAACAAAACACCTCACTCACAAACTCCCGGCCGCGTTGAAATCAACACTAAACAAAACGACCGGCTAAACCAGAACATGCTATGGATCAAGGGAAGGCCATAGCGAATCGGAACAATTATCCGTTCTGATGAAAGGCCAGCTCTCTATGCCCCGCCCCCACCTTGATATTACAAGTCGGGGAATATCGTAGACAGAAGCGTGGGTGTTGGAGTTCTACCAGATAACAAAAAGGATGAAGTATGGCACAGATTAGAGTTTTATCTGGATTTCTTCCTTTCTCGAACCAAGACAGGGGACTCCACCGGTGCAAGGTAGAATACTACAAAGATGTCGTGCGTTCAGTTATCTTTCGTCCTTAGACGAGCTGCTTCCAAACCGTCATCGCTGTCATTCCTACCTCGCCAATCTATACGCACAATCATGGACGGTGGTATCACTCCTGATGGCTTGTTCGCAACCAACAACACTGTTGCGCCCAAGCCTAGCAGCATCTTATCGCTGTTCAGTCTGAAGGGCAGAACAGCGGTGATCAGTGGAGGCCCTGCTGGCATTGGTCTTTCAATCGCAAAGACATATGCTGAAGCTGGCGCAAATGTGGCCATCTGGTACAACAGCAACCCTGCTGCCCATGAGCGAGCTGCTGAGATCGAGAAGGAATATGGTGTCAGCTGTGAGTAAATCTTGAAGACGAGGATGGTAGCCAGAATGCTGACAATGATGAACAGGCAAGGCATACAAGGTCAACGTGACCGACGCCGAAGACGTAAAGAAAGGCCTCACCCAGAGTGTACAAGACTTGAACGGACGCCTCGACATCTTCGTCGCCAACGCCGGCATTCCCTGGACCCAAGGAAACATGATCGATGGAGAGCTAGACCACTACCGCAAAGTGGTGACAACAGACTTGGACGGTGTATATTACTGCGCACGCGCTGCCGGAGAGATCTGGAGGCGGCAAGCCAAGGAGGGCACCGACATGAACGGCAACAAGCTCGAGAACTACTCATACGGCTCCTTCATCGCAACTGCTTCAATGTCAGGACACATCGTCAACTTCCCTCAACTTCAATCAGCATACAACGCAGCAAAGGCCGCCGTACTACACTTGACCAAGTGTCTGGCAGTCGAATGGGTCAAGATTGCAAGATGCAACTCCGTCTCTCCTGGCTACACCGCGACAGAACTCACAACATTTGTGCCCGAAGAGACAAAGGCGATATGGAGAAGCAAGATTCCCATGGGCCGCGAGGGCGAGACCCATGAGATGCGCGGTGCATACTTGTACCTAGCTTCAGATGCTGCTTCTTACACCACTGGTGCGGATATTATCGTCGACGGTGGCTACTGCTTACCATAAGCATTTGCTCAAAATGTGAAATGAGCATCTCCTTTCGACCGAGAATATTTCTGGTAGCGAGGAGCTGTTAAAGCGGTGGCGAAGTATGTCATGTATATAGGAGGGAAGTTTTTTTTCTGATAGCGATATTAATAGAGAGCCCAGCCAGACTCGTATCCGTGTGCAACGTCTCTCCTTGGGAGGCCTTCACCTACATTTTTAGTAGCGCACACCTTCGTATCCCACAGAGCTTGTTATAGATTGACAGCCCTACTCTTTCTTCTTTCCCCAGAGTGGACTCGGCACATCATAGAGTGGTTCTTTGGTTCGCGATAGAGTATCGTATGATGCTTTGAGGACAATTTTGCTGACCGCTTAGCTTTTTGTCCTTGGCGGAGTTGTTCTCCGGCTTAATTACCATGCGGCAGAAAAGTCCTCGGAGCTGCGTTACAGAGATGGCATCTTGTCGGTACTGAACAAACACTGCTGTTTAGGACCCTTGAACTTTTCCACTCGAGACGTGTGACAGGAGTCAAGAGAGACATGCGTGTTTCTTAGCTCGCGGCTGTTATAGGTGATGGTGCAAGATGGTGCAACGAAACACCCGCAAGGACCCTTGATTTTTTTCTGCGGCTCAGGTTTTGTCTCAGTCCGCGACTCGAAATACTCGGGAACTCATCTGGTTTGTCTCTTCTTTATCTCCTCGACCGCTTGTTTGCATGAGACGACAAGAAAACTTGAAAAGTTAGAGTTTCTGACCTTCGGGCCGGTCGAATGTTGTCTGAGTAGCAATTCGAAACCGACAATCCTGCAAGTTTCTGCTCGGTCGGTGCGATTCGTGCATCAGCCGGATTCAGAGAATGGTATGAGATTGAGAACAGGGGGGAGGCCTCAATTCTGTTGACATGGTGAAAGCGCGACAGGTGGGCCGATGCAAGTTCGCGCTTGAAGCTGGGACAGGTTCAGTAATATTCGTTACTCCTGTAGTGGGTTTGATATGGGTCTCAACTGCACTCTTCCTCCTGAGCTGTGCAGAAACGTGTATCGTGAGAGAGCTGTTCATTGATCGGTTACTTGCATGCCAAGCAACATTCTATCCGCAGATTCCGAGGGTTATTGATAGGCGAGGAACAGCATTGTAGATCACTGTTCTCCAAATGCTTATCTTATTTTTATACTAGCGCTATTAATATTCATGGAGAGTCAGAATAGACGGTAGCAGTGGGCGTATCTACTATCTAGTACGACACGCGCACGCGAGGGGCACGCGTGATGGTCTTCAATTGCTAAAAGGAGACGTGGGCTCTCTTTTCGGGCAGCGCGCAACGGATTAGTGCATGCAACGTGGGTAGCATTGTGGCTGGTAAGGTACGACCTTCGGAAGATTGAAGATGAGAACTCAGATATGCAGTGGAGCAACAGAGACGGCAAGAGGTCATGAAGAATCAAGGAAGGAGCAAGCGGAAATCCACGCGATCTGAGTGTTCCGCAAAACACGCAAGTATTTCCTCATGGTTCATGTTGATGCCATGGAAGCATCGCGCGCGGAGTGGAACCTGCAAAGTTCAAACGCAGCCGTGATCCATCTGCTGGAAAGCCAAGGAAGACGGCAAGCAAACCAGTGCTCGGGAACGGGTACCGAGCAGACTGAAGTCAAATTCGTTGGCAGTTGATGGTGAGATGCAAGTAATCCCGATTTGACGCTTGCCGGGAAGCGGTTTTACGTGGTACGGGTCGGAAAGCACGAATGTGATATTTGATCGATTGTTATCATCGATTTCATGGCGGCACGAGTCTCCGCAACGAGACAAACGAACAGGAGCCGCTTTGTCGATTGCGAAAGCTGGCGGGACGGTTTTTTCGAATAGAGTTGTACAAGCAAAAATCTCCACCATTTTGCAGCCACGAATGACGTTGGTGGGATCGGACGAGGTTTCGAGGATCGGGTTGAAGGCTGGGGACTCCTGATTTTCAAACAGTCTTGTCTTTGGTAGAGCAACGGGACGCGGGATTTTTGTCTGTTGAGAACAAGGGTGACGACTTTGGAGACCAAACTTGACAGGCACCCTTACAATCTGCTAGTTTGGCCGAGCTGTAGCCCGGTAGTTTAAGTCTAGACTTTTTTCGCGCTAGAGTGGATGCAATGTGAATGATTTGCAAGTGGTGCAGATGGCAGGATGGGAGGATGGAGAGTTGAGGGCAGAGTGGGTTGAAGGAAGCATGTGATTGGCGAAGATGGACATCTCGACATGTAGGGGTCGAAAGACGGTGAAGAGGGGATTGATAGAGACACGAGAGAAAGGGATGGCAAGGTAGTATCACGAGCAGGGATGTGGTACAGTAAGAAAAGAGCAGCATGTGAATCCGAGCAAAAGCAGCTTGCAGTGGGTGGTGTTCAACACGACGGACGCAAGTTGCAACGTGCATGATGCGTCGGTGGTGGATTCTCTGGAAGCTTGAAAGTGTCTGAGCTCACAACTGGGGGCTCCACTGTGCGCTGGTGCCCTGGTATATGTAGAATATATCTCTCGATCCCGCCCGTGCCGGCGCTCAAGTCCTGTTTCCTGTTTTCAACTACCTACCTCCCAACTCTTATCAACAGCATCAAAGAAGCCCAGTCTCTCTTTCTGATAAGAAGCAATAAACCAACCGGACAGCCGCCAACGCTCTTGCCCTCACGACGCGCAACCCCTCACACATCGTCGTATCGGTACCTTTTCTCACGACCCAGGCCAACCTAACCCCCGCTCGCTGTCCCTCCGCGCCGCATCTGGCCTGATCTTAAGAAGTCCTCCGCGCGCTCTCTCACACATCACTCGTCGACATGGCGGCATCATTGGACTATCCGGCACAGCAGTTCAACGTGCACCGCAGGCCTTTGCCATCGGGCACGCCCGCCATGGACTATCTCTCACACTCCCGCTCGCGCACCATCTCGTCCAACGTTATGCCTGCTCCTCAGCAATACCAGCACTCGCCTGTCCCCCCGCCGCTCAATCAATCTCGCCGCACCCTTTCCAATGCCACCACCTCGACCACCAGCACCCATAGCAGCGTGCACGGCCGCGTTCCTGCAGCACCTTCGTCATACGCTTCGTCAATCCGCCGATCGACCTCGTCTCGCTCCAACAACTCTCCTTCGTCATACGTCTCCCTGATGAGGAAACAGAAGGCCACCGTCTGGTGCGACCGTGCCCAGCTCGAAGATCCTCGTATCCTCGCCCAGCAAAGAGCTGCCAAGGTCCGCGCCCAGATGGAAGTCGTTGGCGGAGTCTCGGCCACTGGCAACGGCCGCACGGGTGGAAGCAGTGGAGGTATTGCCAGCAAGATCCGTCACCATGGTGCTGTCAAGGCTTCAGCCTACTCTGCTGCCGGTAACTTGTCTGGAGCTGGTGTGCCTATGCGTCTCAGTGCCAGCGAGGTCGACGAGGACAACAGCGACGATGACAGCGCCATTGCCCGTTATCACCAGCGCAACAACTCTGGACGCAGCAGTCTGGGTTCTGGCCAGCGTATGCGCGAGAGCTACTACGCTGGTCCGACTCCAACTGCCACTCGCTTCAGCAATGGCAGCACTCCTCCCAGCAGAAACAGCCACAGCCCTGTTGACCGACAATCAGAGCCTCGTGACCGCCAGGACTCAATTGCTACCACTCGCTCATACTCAGACGCCACTCCTCAACAAGGTGCTGTCAGAAACGACTACTTCACCCATCCTGGCGGTAATGGCGGCTCCAGCGGTTCAATCCAAGAAGAGCGTTCCTTTGGAGATGTTGGTGGCCTGCCCACTCGTAACCCCATGCACACATACGGCGGCAGCGACCAACAAAAGACAAATGATGAGTTGCGCCGACGAGGCAGTGTCGACGACCGCACAACCACCATGAGCGGCGTCCGCCTATTCGTCGCAAACCCCGACTCGGACTCGGACTAGATGCTTCATTTCTTGACATGCCCCCCTTCAAGACCTTATGCAGGGAAGCCGCTGGCTCGGCTCTATTCCCCTTCAATGGACATGAGAATGATCCTGACGATCTCACCTTTTCCCCCTATTCCTATATTTATCTTTGTCATTGGCCCCTTCGCTTTTCTTCTCTTTTCTTGTAATGTCCCCCAACACATCAGTCTTTCTTATTGCAACCTTCCTTTCAATACCACTACATTTGTGTGTTTTTGTCTCCTTCGATCGCTTAGTATACCAAGGCCAATGCCTCCCTTCAATGGAGAGGGAAATGAACATTTTTATCTATAACATCTTGACTTGCATCTTCCAATATCATGTGCTGTTTGCAAATGTTCATGGCGATGGACCTGTTCTTCCGTGTAAGAGGCCAGCACTCAAAGTGTCTGGCAGTGCTGCTTCGTGGTGATCTTCATCCTTACCTCGCCCAATCAATACTGGCCCTTTTCGAGGAGACCAAACGAATACACAATGAGCTTCATGTCCGAGAGGAGAGCATCCACGGTGCCGTTGCCGCTGACGCTCTCCGGAATCCAGCTTATGTCTCTCGATAGCCTTGCTCTATCGTCGACTAGGATGGAGCTCCAATGCGTTTACTCTGCAATTCTGCAACTTGTGTCCTCCCCAATCAAACCACGCCCGTGTCACGAAAAAACCCCTGAATCTGGAGATATTGAAGTGGGTCATTAAACAGTAGAATTGGTTGCAAAAATATCGCGAAAGCAAAGGAGAAGAAAAGAAGAAGAAAATGGCAAAGTCCCTATCAAAGATGCGGCCACACACTCATATCCTCCGCAACCTGATCCCTCAAACAATGCCCCTGCCTCCCCACAACCTCCTTCAAATACTCAATGGTATCCGGATCCTGGGTCCAAAAACTGCTGCCCCTGATCCCACAAGCGATATTCGGCGCAGCACCTTGCAATCTACCTTCAGTATCTACTCCAATACCCGGAGGAGAGGCTTTGAAATCGTGCTCTTTGGCACTGTGGTCTTTTCCTTTTTTGGCGTTTACGATGGCGATTTCGCTGGGGGCGTCTTGGTGGTGGAAGAGTTCTGGGTTTGCGGACCAGCAGCGGAAATTCAGGTCGCGGCAGGCTTCTAGGATGCGGACGTCGTAGGCTTGACTGCCGCCTTCGGGCTCTGAGCCCGCTACATCGGTTAGAAGGCGGCGGGCACCTGGGCGAGAGAGGGCGAAACCGAAGGTACACAGGGGAGATACGCTTTTGTGTACCACTCTGGTCTTTACCGGGATACCGATCTCGCGGAGGAAGCGGCGGGTGAGGATGTGCATGTATTCTGGAGATGGGAGGGTCGTATCGCTGACGGCTACGCGGGGCACTTCTGTTTCGTTTGCCCAGGAGTGGGAGCTGAACATGTCGCCGCAGTGGCCGAGGTAGAGGATATCCCATTCTTCGGAGTTGCCCCAGTATCCCCCAGCCTGCTCTGGTGTGACAATCTTTTGTCGTGTTTCTCTTTGGGTTTGTCCGTTTTGTTCGGTGAGGAGAGTGCGCATGGCTGCTGCTACTTTGGGGACTTGGGAGGTGCGGAGGTGGATGTCCCAGTCTACGTCGTCTTCCATGACTAGCATTGTTTCTAGCCCTGAGTCGAGGAACCAGCGGAGGACGTTCAGGTGGCCCATCCATGCCATTGCTGAGCCGCGAGTGATCAAGGAGCCGTTCTTTGTGCGGAAGTTGTTGACATCTTCGTCGGTCCAGATTGGCTGATCGGGGATGGTGATGTCGATGTCGGTGATGTTTGCTGCCAGCAGCAGGCTGTTGCGACGTTTTGATGTGAGTTGCGATACCGCGACGATGGCTCCAAACTGAAGAACTATGTCAGCAATCCGTGATCAAAGCGTGGGCGGTCTAGTCATACCCCTAGAGTCGCATTCGCTGCAGGGAGATCTGGTACATGGAGGAAGTAGTCGAGTCCTGCCTGCACTGCTGAGGATATCGTCGTTGAGGGATGTCCAGAGTATGTGTAGAAAAAGAAACAAATGAGAGTGACTACAGCGATGATGACGAACCGCCTTCGACGCGGATCCAGCATCACCGGCGACCGTGACCGTGAAGGAAAGGCGACAGCTGCTGCTTTGGCGTGATGCATTGCTGGAAGGGATGGGATCTGTACGAATGAGTGGACGAACACGAAGGTGGAAAAGACAAAACCAAACGGCAGGTTTGGCTTCCGAGATGTTTCGACACTTCTTCTCTACAGCTGAAGCCTACCGTCTCTTCATCAGGGGTTTGCGCCGCTCCATAAACTAGCTATCGTTCTTCGAATGCACGTTGCCAAGCTCAAACTTGGCAGGAGTTGTGATAGGCAGAGCGGCTGCCTGTGTCCCTGAGCGGTGGGTCTATGTTGATGCTCTCAAGCTGTGTGCTAAGCAGCAAACATTCGTGCTGTGCATCAAGTTCATGCCGACAAACATGATTTGTTTGAGAAGTGGGCTTCTCGTGTTGTGGTCTTGCAGCTTTCGGGCCCCTGGCGGGAGTGTCGTTTGGCTTTCGGCTCGCATCCCGCAAACAAGCTTCCCGTCTTCTCCACAGTCCACTCGTTCTAGCCCTATGCTTTATACAGTGATATGCAGATAGTGTATAACACGAGAAAGGATAAGGAGACTGCCTTGTCCTCAAGTACAGCTACACATGGTTACGGACTTCTTGGACAGAGTACACTCGCAGACTTGTTCAGCATGTATAGCCGAGGTATGCATACCTGTAGATCACTCTCCCGCAAGTGCTTATCACCTTGCATACGGCCTTATCTGTCAAGTCACTACGTATTTAGCAAGGCGGATGCTCTGTGAGGGTGGTCGATCAAGGGATGGACGATCAGTCTGAATGCTGAGGACAAGACTCCCAGCTTCATTTAATTCTATCAACACTCAGCAATGTCTTGGAAAGTGTCAGACGCAACACTTGCAGACGTTCCCGCCATAACCTCAATCTACTCACACGATGAACCTACACCATTCATCAAGCTCTGTCTAGGATCGCTAAATGTGCTGGCGCTGAACTTCAATCAAGCGGCTCGCATCGCTGATAGCTTACAAGACTCGGACGAAGCCTGGCTAGTCGCTCGAGATGAGCGTAACAGGATAGCAAGTTTTGCGGAATGGCAGATGCCCAGGGAAGAGGCAGATACAGAAGAGCAGATGGCGGAAGAGCTGGTATGCTGGAAAGCACTCCTGAAACTGTGTTCAAACAATGACGCCAGTTAGGCCGAAGCACAAGAAGCCTACGAGGACTCGATCGCGCCTGGAATGAATTCAACACTCGTCGTCGAGTTTAGACACCGAGTCACGAAGCTCCGCAATGACGTGCTGCGAGGCCAGAGGCATTACTGTCAGTATCGATGCTGCTACTTGTTCTTCTCATGGCGTTGTCAACAACTGACGAAAATACGACAGTGCTCATGAACATAGGGACGGCAAAGGCGTCACAGCAAAGAGGAGCGGCTACGGCACTCGTAAAGCAAACGTTTGACGCCGCGGATCGAGAGCAAGTTGCGATTTATTTGGATACGGACTCGGATGGCGCTGCTAAGCGACTCTTTGACAAGCTGGGATTTGAGGAAGTTGGCAAATTCGAGATTGATCTCAGCAAACATGGCGGCCAAGGGTGGCACTCGCATGTCGGCATGATAAGAAGGCCTTTGAGTGGTGGTGTAACTCGTGTCGAAGAGGAAGGAGCAGTCGTGTGACGGGTCTTGGCCGCGTAGATGTGTAGATTTTCCCAGATTGGCAGCGACGGTCGCGACTTCCTGCTGTTCTGCAGATCCAGGGTCGTCACGAGCGTTGCCGCTCCTCCATGTTTCGAAATTGAATTTCCCAAACACAACCAAGACAACCCCCCTTTGTGTTTTTATTATTAGACACGCCCGAGGCATTCAAGACACGTCGATTTTTACTCCATTAGAGTCGCAGCAGGCCAGCGACAACTTTTCTTCTCAACATCACTTCCTTGTAATTCCGATCCGCGGCGACGTACCCCCTTGTGTTCTGGACCGTTGGTACCTGCATGTGACGCAACCGACAGAAATCAATTCATCTTCAAAACCTCTTGCACATCCTTCAGCTCTTGCGACAGGACACGCGACATGACTGATAATCAGGACACGAAGCCTGCGCGTTATCGCTCCCAGCGAAAGGCGCCGGCGACGTCTACACCACAAACGACTACCGATTCAGGTCTGGGTAGAAGCAGGTCTCGCTACCACCACAACCGCCAAAATGCTGCACAATCTCAAGAGCAACCTCTCGCCGAGGCCACAAACGAACAAACCATTTATCCGAGTAGATCTCGGTCGACTCGACGTAGATTCGAGACGGAAACTGGAGCGACTGCCGGGTCAGCCGACGACGACGATGACCGTCAATATGGAAGCATGCGTTCATCACATCACAAGAGCTTGGAGCAGTCAGATTCTCCTCATGAAGTGGATCCAATGGCGTACGCAATGGCTCAGGCACCAACCCGAATCCGCGCAAAAGCTGAGGCCTACATACCTGATCAGGAAGCGGGTGATGTTTCGGCTGAAGAGACGGCTCGATGCTTTGGAGGCCTCTTTGGTAGAAAAAAGAAGAAGAAGAACAAGGCCAACAGAGCTGCAAAGACACCGCTTGCTCCTCGCCCTGCTACCAACAAGTTGGGCGAACCTCCAACCGTCAAGCCAGGAGGAGGCGGTATAGTTCCTATGACAGATGCACCATTGTCGGCTGCAAATGTCCAGGGTAGAGTGAGTTTTACGGAGGAGGTTCCCAAGAGCGAAGGCTAACCGTTGACAGCGTGTCACGATCGAGTGTAATGGGAAATCCATCAATCTCCCAGTCACACCTACCACTTCAGCCTCTGATCTGATAGCATCAGCCGCCAATATCATGTCCGAAAACATCGACCTCCGAAAATCAGTCCTTCTCGAAAACTTCCACTCAGTGGGCATAACAAGGCCGCTGAGACGATACGAACACGTCAAAGACGTTATGAACTCCTGGGACGAGGACCGCGCCAACTCTCTCATGATTGTGCCTGAGAATGCCATAGAGGCCGATCCAATGAATCTCAGCGCCGCAAATGCTCCCCGTCAGAAGCCAAGAGAGTCTGCTTTCCTGTTGATGCATTCCTCAAAACCTGGCAGTTGGGACAAACGCCTCATCACCATTCATCAAGATGGTCAAGTCACTATGGCCAGACCGGACAAAGAGACTGACACCACAAACATTTGTCATCTAACAGACTTCGACATCTATAACCCAACAGCTAGCCAATTGAACAAGAAGATAAAACCTCCAAAGAAGATATGCTACGCTATCAAGAGTCAGACAAAGTCCAGCATGTTTATTCTTAAGGAGTCGATTTATGTCCACTTCTTCTGTACATCAGAGCGCACACTTGCAACCAGTTTCTACGATGCCGTCCAGAGCTGGCGCAGTTGGTACCTAGTCAATGTCTTGGAAGAAGGCAAGGCGACTAAGACTCCGGAATTGGGACGATCGGCCAGTAAAGCGACAAAACAATCAAAGCAATCGTCTCATACCCAACAACCCTCGACTGGATCTATGGATGCTCACTATCAGCTTGGCACTTTCAAACCAGCCATGGACCTTGAGAACTTCGAGAGACCTTCCTCATCCAGAGGTCAGGATACCACAGCTGGAGCGTCGCTGGGTCTCAACTCTTTCAGTAACAATGCTCCCGCTCGAAAGCCTTCAGTGCGTGAGCGCACGAGTCATCCTGTGTCGTTATCTAAGCAACAACAGCTAGCAGATGATGAGCCGCTTGTCAACCTAGCAAGCAATAGAAGACCTTCGTTAGACAACGAGGCTGCAGAACGAGAGGCGTTTACTAGTGAAGGTCTGCTGGGCAGAAGCTACTCGACTCGCCAAAAGATGGCTGCAGAAAAAGAGGCAGCCGCTAAGAACCCTTGGGTCACTGGTCCTTCGCTACTCAGTGGTGACCAAGCAGAAGGACTCAATCGTCAGACCTCTGTCAAGCGCACAGGCTCAACTCGCCGCACTAATGGCACGGAACTCAGACATCGCCCGTCTACTCGTGAGCGCCTTATGGCAGCCGATGATGGATTGAAGCGATCCGGCTCAACTCGTGCAAAAGAGCCATCGAAGCCGCTAGTCGATCTTACACCCACCTACCAACCTCCGCCTCAACACTTCAAGAAGGGCAAGGGCTTCCACCCTGACCAAGTCGGACCCGGCGGATTAATTGACAACGCAACAACTCCAGATCAACCCTACTACATTCCCCCAGCTCAAGACTGGCGTGGTGGAAGAAACCACTCTCCTGCGGCCGCCAATGCAGGCGTCAGTCGTCAACGCTCACTCGCCCACAGACCAGGGCCCGAAACCACAGACGAAGCCTTCACCGGAAGCGGCCTCCTGAACAATTCGCGAGGTGGCTACACTGGTAAGGCCTCCGTTGGTCGAGGTGTCATGAGCGGCAACAGAAATTCCCGCGAGCCCATGCTCGATGTATCTGAAGAAGGCAGATATGTCCCTGGCAGTCTTCTTAATCAGGTAGCTAGAGCGGAGAGAGAAGAAGGTAGAGGTGGACCGATCATTGATCGCAGCAAGTAAAAGCTTGCATAATGGTTTTTTTTTCCTTTTTGTCACTGTCATCGTTTGAGTCGAATTTCCTACCAGCAAGCGTGTGCTTTCTGCTCTTTCATTTATCAGCGTCGGGGAAAAGTCTTTCTGTATCAACAGTCTCCTTTGTTGATTTGTTGCTTTCAAGATATCCCATACTTCATTTTCAGTTAATGTTATCGTTCGAGCCAGACGGATCATTGATTTTCCCAGTGACGAGCATTCATATGAATGCAAGATGTGAGACCAAGTCATCGACACCGCTCGACGAAGATAACCTTATGCTTCCAACAATGTCAGCAGAGTTTTCTCATGAGCGGCGCAGATGAAAATGAACTACATCTTCTTGATGAAGTCAAGGTTGGTCTGCACGGATTCTCGCAGTTTTTGCACATGAGAATAGTTGGAAAGTTCTGGGCATCAACCTCACCTCATCTATGTTGTGCTTTTGTATATCACAAACTCGCAGACAGTATATGGATGACCCTAGAAAGAACAGACACTATCGCGTAGAAGATGGAAGTCGGCCCAGCACCCTTGTTATGTTGGCCATCTGTCGCAGCATCTAGAGAGGAAGTCTCAAGGTCTCGAAGGGCCAGTATTGCGAAAACTTCTACATCATGAATGACTGCTCAACACTCGGAGAAACGATTCTAGTGACTGGAGCAAGTTGTGCTGACAGCCCAAATAGAAATAGTGCTCGAGATCCAACATCAAAACTAAAGCAAGCAGCGTTTCTCACAAGAAGCCCTACCAGGACAAGGATAGAACAAGATGAGCCAGACCAAGCGCCGCAACGGGCGATCGTTACTGACGACATTGGGTCATGCTAGCACAAATTCATGCCGCACAGGATTCTCGTATGGTGACTCAAATGACCTTTTCCCACAAGAGCATGTGTTTGAGTTGTGTATTTGTTGGACGCAGGTGATATTGTAACAACAGAGCTAATCATTACAAATATGAAGCAGTAGCTCACTGTGGACAACACATGGGTTATTAAAGAGTTATTCTACTCTGACAGCAGTATTCAATCTCAGAGTCCATGATAAGACGCCACTCCAGACTCACGAAGTGCCCACGCAGCGGACGATGATTCTTGTCCTGTGATTCTTCTCTGCTTCGTGTTTCTTTTGATTCTATGTTTCGCTAGATAGGGACTTGTCGATGCGGCTGTCATCGACCCATGATCTCCTGATAAGCTACTTTTGAATCGAGCAATGGGCGCTCGATCATTGTCCGGGATGCAGCTTGCACCTTCTTCTTTCCAATCACTGACGAAATTGTGCCGCAAATTTCCGGGTCATGCGTGGTGTAGAGTGTGGAGTTACGAAGCCGCAGAGCTTGAAATAGGTCTCGTAAGTAGATCTTCTTGAGGCATGGCAAGTTGTGTTTCATCCAGCTCAAGACTTCGATCCATGAGCCCTCCCGAAGGCCAATTCTCCACATCACGACGGACTCCAACGTGTTTTTGTGCTTGTTGAGTAGGCCCGAGAGAAGAGTTTTCGAGATGGGCATGGCTTTAAACTCTAGGGCTGTGATGCAATCTGACTGTATGGATCGTAAAATCTTGTCGCTGATGTCAAACCTTTCAGGCCAGAAGCATCGGTATCGATCACCGCACACTTTCTCAAACAGATTATCCTGTGCGAATGATATAGTTTCTGCGGATTTGGCAAGAGAAAAGATCCTTGTCATCGAGTCCAGAGCGACAGGGTTCAACATCTCTGGAGCTTCGAAAGCGACCGATTTCAGTCCTGAGAATACCGAGAGATCTTCTTCAAAGTAACATTCCAAATCGAAGCTTCTAAAGACAACGAGTTCGTCCAGCGTATCCATATCGTCGTTCACAAGCAGGTTTAGTCCCGTGAAATGCATCTTGCTGTTAGCCATGGCGTCAAGGCATGGTTGGATCATGAACTCCAGGGCAGGCTTGAGGTTAGAACCTGAGGTTTCATCACGGTGCCAATCGAGGTGACGAACAGGTTCCCAATCTGCCCATGGATTGGAAGTGACTTGAAGCGTGACACAAGTGTTGTAAATCTTGACTGCGGCAAAGGCCCGCGAAAGCAATTCAGTTGCTTCGCCAGACGTTTCCATTCTATATTCCTTCATAGATCTGTTGAAAGCGCACTGCAGTACAACTTTTGCATCTGCATGTTGTTCCAATGCCAGTTCACGGTCTTCGGTCTGGTCCTTTGTCGTGTATGTGAGGTACTCCACGAATTCTGGATTTATGCGACCAGCAACGATATGGATTTTTTGAATGCGAGGTCCGAACAATGGATGTTCACATACGGCGACAAGATGATCGAGGCTCGGACGAGTCATTGATGATGAGACCGTGGCGATGTAACGTTTTGAGAAGCTCCTGGTCGCCAAGCTTGACACTCTTCTGCTGACAAGTCGCAATGCCATGAGTCCAAGTCGGTTTGAGTCATTGCATATTGTTTCTATCAGTTCGCTGGGTAGAGTCTCCATCGATATGTCTGGAGCTACTCTGATGGCAAGAGCGATAAGAAGCGATGGAAGAATGATAGGGTAGAGTTAGGAAGGGAGAAAGAGCGATTCATAGGCTCGTGGGGGAGTCTCCTCGGTGGGTAGAACAAACGATATTGCTGCCAAGTACGTCGCGAGCACAACTTGGTCGAACCTTCGTCATCAAAGTTACTCTTAAAAACTCAAGCACGATGTATAAATTTCCGCCCTGACCTTTATCAGCAGCGTTGAGTTCCATTCACTTATTTTCCCTTCCTCCTCTGCGACAACAAGATGGAGGAGAGAAAGGCCCATCTGGAAGGAAAGCATCCCCTCTTAACAAGATGGAACTTCACAACCCTCGACATCAGTAAGCTCGAACGATGCGAAGTGTCCGCCGAAGTCGCGAGAGACCTCGGTATCGCCAAAGTCCCGTCAACAAGGACAGTCAAAGTCCTCTACGAAGTCATGTTCCCTCCTCACATGAGAGGACAAACCAGATATCTACAGGACCGCAAGTCGCTGTATCCGCGTGCATTTCCTGACTTCCTCATTACCAACATGTTTCGAAAATATCCGGAACCTGGGCTCATTATTGCTGGTCGTGTTGATCGAGACAAATTCGAGAAATATCGTCTCTCGGAGGACCTCGCCGAGTACATGGACGCAGGCAAATACCAACACTTACTCTTCAGCGAGACTATGGGCTTCACCCAGGAGTTGGACGACTACCTCGATCAAAATCCTGTAGTGACGCTGAAAACGAACCAAATCATCAACAAACACTATAACAAAGACGGTCTTGCATGCCTGCAGGGTGCCTCTTCTCGCCAAGCTACCAACAGCAGCCAAGGTCATCCGCACATGATCCATCGCCTGAAGGTGGTGGTGGCACCTATCGGTCTGACACCTTTCTCTGGACTGATACATAGGCCTCTGTGTATCAACAGAGTGACAAGATTGATCAAATTACGCTTAGCGGCCGAGATGGATGTCTTGGAATTTCTGGTGCAGCTAGGCGGCGAGGATGCTGCGACAGAGACCGGTTTTGCTCTCCGCACTTGGATGTACCTTTCAACGATTGTAGCGGAGCCAGATATTGCCAGAGCTATGAGTGAGGTTGCGCAAGACGTGTTGAACAAAAGAAGCGATTTTACAAGCATGAGGCTGATAGAGATGAAGGTTGCCAACGGAAATGGTGAGGTCGTAAAATTGGAGAGTTGTTACTCGAGCAAGACTTGGCAAGCTCTACAGGAGAAATGGAGTGAGAGTGGGCTGGGGGGTGTCGACAACTCGAACGGGTACCGTGTTGGAGACCTGATCAAATTTCCTGCAAAGAACGAGAGGTTCGCAAACGAGAAGGCGCTGGGCGAGAAAAGACACGGTAGCATAATTTGAGCGAGATCATGATGTGCGGGAATGAATTATGTGGTATCGAGGTATATGCTAGCTGTTCAAATGTGAATGTCACCCTTCTCGTCGTAGAAGATTTCTCTTGCCTTTACGCAGCGCAAGTGGTTCTTTCCGCCTGACAGTGATGAGTCGTGGTAGAAGAGGTACCATCTGCCTTCGAATTCAACGATAGAGTGATGAGTGGTCCAGCCGACTACAGGCTCCAGGATGGTGCCACGCTGGGTGAAGGGACCGTACGGGCTATCACCAACAGCATATGCCAAAAGATGTGAGTCGCCTGTCGAGTAGGAGAAGTAGTACTTGTCTTGGTACTTGTGCATCCAGGCAGCCTCGAAGAATCGTCTCTTGTGGTCGTCGGCCTGGATGGGCTTGCCAGCTTCATCCACAATCAAGGCCTCGCGAGGCGTCTCGGTGAACTCGAGCATGTCATCGGTCATTTTGGCGACACGAGGGCCTTGTGCAGCGACACCCTCGCCTGTAAGCTCTTGTGGACCGCTCCAAGCAGCGTCAAAGTGTCCCTCCTTTTGCCAGCACTGTAGTTGACCGCCCCACAGACCACCAAAGTAGAGGTAGGCCGAGCCGTCCGTGTCGACGAAGCAGGCGGGGTCAATACTGTAGCTGCCCTTGATGTAGTTTTCTTGAGGAGCGAAAGGACCCTCGGGCTTATCGGAGACGGCGACACCGCAACGGAAGATGCCCTCCTTGTCGCGAGCAGGGAAGTAGAGGTAGTATTTGCCGTCTTTGGTAGCGGCGTCAGGAGCCCACAATTGCTTCGAGACCCATGGGACATCCTCTTGCTTGAGAACAACGCCGTGATCTGTTACGGGACCGCTGAGCGAGTCTAGCGAAAAGACGTGGTAGTCGTTCATATCGTATTGGTCGCCATTGTCGTTGTCCTGGATGTCCGTCTCGCGGTCGTGCGACGGGTAGATGTAGATTTTGCCATTGAAAGCGTGGGCCGAGGGGTCGGCGGTATAGAGGTGAGTGATGAGGGGCTGCTTGTCCGACATGATGGTGGAGGTATGCTGTAGAGTAGAATCAGGGTAGATGAGCTTGAAGACCTACCGGCAGCTCGATGGGAGTGTTTATAAAGCGGTAAGGTCGAAAGAGCAATGTCCATGGTGTTTAGCCTGGCCGCTCTGCCTGTACTGTACAGCCTGTGCCGTCGACGCGGCTCTGAGACTCTCGATTGTCTGCCATGCGCATTGCAAAGGGAAAGTGCAGTTTAGCCTAAAGTGGAGTCGTCGTGGAAGAAGAAGGTGGAGGAGGGGTTCGTGGGGCTCCCGTCTCTGCTTGGCGCCTTCTACAACCGCGCGCGCTCGACGACTTCTTCCTTCCTCACACGACAGTCATATGACATGCGACTTTCAATTGCCGGGGCGATTATGACATGACACAGAGTGCCTTAGGTATCGAAGTCTTTCGACTTTTTCTTGAGCATATCGTGGTCTGGTCTATCGAAATGACACCATCTTCGGCAAACCAAGCCCATTAATCTCACTATGAGTTCGAGTCCATGGACTGCCTGTTCCTTTGTGTACTTGAATAGATTCAGACAACTGTCCGCTGTAGGTATGAAGCTCTCACATGGAGTGCTGGCTATATCGAAGCCTCGAGCATGTATGCTTGTTCTGACCAAAAGATTCCTCTCAAATTTGCGCTTTCCACCGACCTCGTGCGCGTTTTCGCCGTCATCAGAAACCGACTTCCTTCCCATTGCCGAAGCCTCGTTCGCTATACATATTCGCTCTGTGTCCTTTTCCACATCATCTACCTCTACTACAGCTTGACCGAGTGCTTCTGTTAGCCTCGGTCGAAGATCTTCGTCCTTTACTCAAGGAGTTGTCAAAGCCGTCGTATTGACTGCATGGCACTGGCGTATGTCACTCCCTATGGATCGTTCGGTTGAGCTCTTTACGCTACCCAACGAGATTATTTCGCAGATCTTTTCTCTACCGATCCTCAGGAGGAGAGATCTAGCCGCACTCCGACTCAGCAGCAAGCACATCGATGCCTCGGCTTCGAGGGATTTCGGTAAACGATACTTCGAATTCGTTCATTTTACCATTTTCAAGCAGAGTCTTGTCGCTTTGCGAGATATCTGTCAGCATCCTTTACTCGGTCCGTGGGTGCGCCATATCAGATCCTTTGCACAAAAGCCTGTAGATATAAAAGCTACACTGCTGGGGTCTATAGAATACACCGACCGAGTGTTGCAATCGGTTCGTTTTCAATCTCTTAGGCGTGTCATGCTCATGCGCATACAATGCTCTTATGGTGCGCTCATTGGACTTTTCAGTGCCTCTGCTGGTTCATTACGCTCTTTGCACTTGAGGCACATTGCTCTACGCCGGGAATCCTGGAAAGTTCTTCTGCACTGGATCCGCAATAATCTTTCTCTCAGTCGTCTGACGCTTGGGGGACTACATACCATCAACGAAGCCGCTATTGGCGAGGCGCGCTGCCTTGTTAGAGAGCGGAACATGGGGGGCTTCCATACAGGTATCGGGAGAGAGCACATTCTCTCTTGCATAGATCGAATTCTTGAGGGCTCACAACTTCGGATTTCTAGGAGAAGCCACTTGATCAAAGGACTTGTGCGAACTTCATGAATGGAAAAAAGGTTGATTCACCCATTGAATCGTTGACCGTGCTTTTCAAGACCAACACTCTCTACAAGAAATCAGACAGCTCTCTCAACAACCAGAACGTTCTTTCTGGCGACTCACACGTATGATGCAATGTTGTAGCTTCTGAGATAGACAAAGGTGATCTCACGTTTAAACGTGCTGGGATGATGTGCTGTCTCACATCTTTGTTTCTCCATAGCAAACAATCTAGACTTTCAACCATGACCATATATCTACTCAGCTCTCGGGCTTCCTGCTTTTCCAGCATAGACACTAAACACTGGACATCGTCAGCATCGACCATGGAGCCTCTATCGCCTTTCATATCACTTCCTAACGAGATCGTCACACAGATCTGCGAGCATCCAGATCTGAACAAGGACGACCTCATCGCCCTTCGCCTCACCTGCAAGGCCCACGGTGTTCACGATGCGGCCACCAAGGCTCTAGGCAGATACTTCCGCGACATCACCGTACTCTTCACACGTCACAGTTTCCAGACCTTGGTTGATGTCTGCGAGCATCCTGTCTTCGGTCGTTCTGTTCGCAGAATCATGCTGTCTTCCATCCGCTGTGGCAGAGACAACATACACCACAAGAGAGTTATCAATGCCTTGCTTGTGAAAACACATCCATATGGATACAATGACGGATTTCCAGAGGATCTGCGTAGGTACAAAGCAAAAAACTCTGCTACATGGCTAAAAACCCTTCACGACGTCTCGGTCAGGATCCAGTCCTACAACTCGCGTGCTCAAGACGAAGACGTATTTGCGAAGAGTGGCGACAGTCTTGTTCTACTTGTTCAAGCCTTTCAATCGTTGGCTCGTCTGGATTCATCTACGACTGTTGGATTGACCAATCAAGAGTGTCATGGTCTTGGCCGTGATCAGAGTTTCTGTGCTGAAGAAACCAATAATGAGGATGAACTATGGTTCAACGCGTTGGGGGATACGGCGGACATGATAGCGACTGCTTTGCTCCAGAGCGGGCTACTTGTCACAGAATTCAACATCGAAACGTGTCTCAACCTGATTTCCCGTGTTCCTGTCACCGAAGAAATTCTCAAAACCCAGGAAGTAACTACAAACGCTATGTTCTCTCGATTGAAGGAGATGCGTCTCGAACTGAATGAATTCACAACTTGCCTTGAGATGTTCAACGCGCCTGCTCTCTCAGCAATACTTGCAAGATCCACTCAACTCCGGAGTCTTCGTCTTGGGAGTCGCGAGCCTCCACGACACTACAGTAGCCTCCATACCTCGCGATTCTTACGGTCGATCTCTTCTTCTTACCTCGAAACACTCCATCTCTACCAACTTGAGCTCACAGAATCAAGCCTCGGACAACTCTTGGCCAAGACGTGCAAACTAAAGCGCTTGAGCATGCTGAATTGCATTATGTTCAAAGCTTCATGGATTTCGACAATGAAACAAATCAAGAACACACTTCCGGAACTTGACGATCTGCACCTTTTCAGTCTCACACCCTGTATGGTTCGGGCTATGCCAAGGCTATTGGAGGAGTATGAAGCTAAGCTCCTGTCAGTAATCAACGTGCGTGGTCATTCATGTATACAGTCACGTTTGGAAGAGACAATACAGAGCTATGAGACTTTTGCTGATGGGATATCGGTCATGCTCGTTGAAAGTGGAGATGATGACCCTTGGTAGTAGGTAATCGAAGCAATGAGGCAGCAAGATAAAATCGGAAAGACCGGGAGCACAATAGGTCTTGCCATAGGTGGATACCTAAGATGAAATAATTCAGATAAGCGAACATATTACTTTTGCCCAGCATAGTCCTCTGCCATATCATGTCACGCGATTATCCAGGTCTGTAGTATGTGTGTGATGAAGCGAAAGATGAAAAGCATGCGATGTCCTGTTCCGCTTTTGTCTTCTGATTGATACATTATAAGAAACTACGATGGAGAGCAAGTTCGCAGATGTAGAGGGCCTCAAGGTCCTGCTATACACAGCCATCGTCTTATTGTATCAAGAACTCAATTCCGTTAGCCTCGTGAATCCACCAATGCAAAGTTCATAACGATCACCTCCCCCGCTCTGAGACCTTAAATATCACAGATGAGAAAGTATTTTCCGATGCAACGAGTTGAGAAGCCGTAGAGAAAGTACATTACAATCGAGCTCTCTGCCTCCCTACAGGGCTCTCAAACTGACTGTCAAAATGCAAGATGTTTTTGATGATTGGGGAAATGTCCACTGAGAGCGAGTGCTTGTTCGGCTCTCTCTGGACAATCATCTCGGCGTGAAAATCATCTTGCCTTTTGACAAGTTTTCCGGTGATGATTGGGTGTCAGGGAGAGACCACAGGGGATTTTGGATCTGGTACCCACCTTCGCACCTTCCTTTCACTTTCCCAACCATCTCACTCGGGCCTCCGAAATCACAACAAAGTATTTTCACTCTCACTGCCTTGGCTCTATCTCATGTTCACACATGGAATAACCTTCTCTGCTACAACCACCATCGCCGTCCGTACGCGCATTCTTCACCATCAATACGCCAATCGATCAAGGTAGTCATCATCAGCACTCATCTGCGCCCTTTACAACAAGCTCACAGCAAGTCAGAAATACCGCCATTATGAATGCGCCCGCTTCATTCATCTCACTGCCTCCCGAGCTCGTCACCAAGATTTGCCGTGACTCTGACCTCGAGAAAAAAGATCTCATTGCACTCCGTTCCACCAGCAAAACTCAAGGCATTCATGCCTCTGCCACACAAGAATTCGCCAAAAGATACTTCAAAGAACTCCGCGTCATGTGGACTCCCTACAGCTTCTTGACGTTTTGCAAGATCTGCGAAAGTCCCGTCTTTGGTCCTCATGTCCGCACAGTCAAGCTTTCGTCTATCCGGATCGCCGTGCAAGACTTGTGGGACACCCTGGTGCAACATTATGGCTGGTCAAACTCGAGCTTCCCACAAGATCAGATCGATTTGTCGACGCAGAGGGCGAGGCAACACATTCGCCGATACAACATGGAGTTTGAGATGAAGAAACCGGCAAAGTCTGTTGACATCTTCAAGAAAGCTCTTTCTGCTCTGAAAGCTTACGGCAACTCGTTGGCACTTGCGATCTCTACCAACGAAGAAGGCTGTATCGGCGTAAACGATACTCTTACACCACTATCAATCGACGAGACTGTCGATCCTTCGCATTGGGACATCACTCTCGAAGACAGCATGGAATTCCTACTGGAAGCAGCTTCTGCCACAAATCTCGAAACCAAAGACCTTCGGATTGAGACGTGCTACTTCGGTGGATGTCTCTTGGCCTTTAGTTACGAGCACAATGACTCTACCGCACTATGGGCTGTCTGTCCTGGATTGCTCAAGCTCACAATCGAAGCCAACATCGCGGGCGATGCAGACGATCCTGTGATTGATGAACGATTCACGATGGCCTCTTTGCAGGAGTTGTTCTCGCATGCCACGAAGCTCAGTTCATTGGAGCTCGCCGGCAATCTCTTCAAGGATGCACCAGACCAATTTCGCCGTACTATGGAGTTTGTCAACGCATCCAGTCTCGAAGAAATCGTGCTTCATGTTGATCATACCACTGGAGACGGTATCCTCATCTTGCTCAAGAAGGCCAGCAAGACTTTGCGCCATCTCGATATCATTGCAGAAGAATTCACGGGCTCCTGGGTTTCAGTCGTGTGCTGGATAATGGACAACCTACCTGAGCTTACCTACCTCAGACTTCTTCTCCTTCCCAACATGACTTCCACCTCTTTCTCGGGCGCCGTTGAATTGGAAGGTTCCTATGAGATACAATCTGGTCTCCAAAAGCTGCTCCAGGAAGAGAAATTGAGAGAAGAAGAAGAAGATTTCTGAACGAGTCGAGGGTAGTAGTGCTTGAGGATCTGCATTTCGACGGTTCCAACCGCGCTCTTGCACTGGGACAAGGAACGAGGAGTCTATAAATAGGTTGGCTCCTATAACAAGATTAAACTAAATTGAACCAGACTGGAATAGATTATAATATTAGTTCTATTGTCTTAGCCTGACACGGTCGTCTGGACTATAATCCACTATCAATCCAAACTTCAAAAATTCAATTGTCTTTTGCCAACCGCTTCAAGTCTGAAATCATACCCACTGCCTTCACCTGTACACGCTCGTCCCGAGACCACGTCAATAATCGGTCGAGGCAAAGTCTGCTGGGGTGACATCATTGACCACGAACGACCCTGCCTTTCTGTAGGTGGCTTCTGCAACCTCGGTACCGTTCTGGACCATGTTGAACATATCAGCCTTTTGCGCAAGATGCTTCTGGCCACCTGTAGAGTCACAAAAGTCAGCGGACTGGATACGAGAACGAAACCGAGCATCAAGCAAAAGAAAAGCCAACCTTTAGTAGTCCAAGAAGCGTGCTCGAACTTGAAAGGGCTGTAGCCAGCAGTACGCTGTCCATCCAGACCAAATTTTGCAAAGGTCAAGTGAGATTCGATAACCCACTCGGCATTGTCCAGACACAGTGGAGTTGTCTGGTTGGTGTAGGGCGTGTGGGTCTTTTGACCAGTATGACGGTTGTGCAAGAGAGTGTAGCCGGAAATCTTGGAGTCGGCGACGATCTGAATGTTTATGGTGTCGCCTGCATGGATGGCAAAGTCTGGCAGCTGTTGCTGAGGTGAGGGGAACCATTCTGTCCAGGCGGAGTAGGTTGCGGTGGTGGTGCCGTTTTCCATTTCAGTGGCATAGCATGAGAATCCTGCAAAAACGTTTCAGCCTCCGGGCTCAGGAAGAGAGGTACATGAGAGTCAGGTAAAGTGCATGTGAAGGTGTGAAGAGAGATGGAGATGGAATAGGTTCTTTGCTCACCAGCTTGAAGAACGACATTGTTACAGGTGAGACCATCGATTCCGACCCAGCCGGATAAGGAGTACGGCACAGTCTTATAAGCAGGGGTTCCTGCCTTACACTCGGGAACCACGAGGTCGGCGCTTGCTTTGGTGATTCTTCCATTGTCTGTGTGGGCTCCACCGGCCCAGTTATTGGACACGAAAGCGCTGGATGAGGCACTCATGAGAAGCACATCTCGGATGACGCGGAACAAAACCATAGTCAAAGTTGCTAACAGGTATCTGGGTGGGAGCGTTGTTGGCCAATAGAGTCTTTGCGATGATGTGAAGTCGAAGATTGAATACCTTGGAGTAGGCACAATCTCTCAGCATTTATATACATGCGAGCATACAGAGTGATGACATATGCCCGATTATACTTAGACTCGTTACATCCATAACACGAAGAGTTGTCTCGAGGTTAAAGGTCCTGGATATACGAATCCATGACAACTAAGCAATTGATACAAGCGTTGCTCCGGGTCTCTAGTTTGTTGCTATCGCAAGCAGATGGAGGTCAATGGCTCGGGAATTCCGGGAATAACGCTGAGATCTCGTATTCAAGCATTCTGGGGCTCCCCGGCCGCTTTTCAGACGACACTGTTTGTCACCAGGTCTAGATTTTCGTCACATTAACGTTCAAAGCAGTTTTGAGTCTGCATTCCGGTGTTAGAGTTACGAAGACGTCGTATCTTGATGACGAGTATTCCAAGGTTTTTCGTCGCTTCCTGCTTGAGAGTGCAATGCTAGTCTCTGAATGTTCATGATGTTATGTTTGTGAGACTATTATAGTCTTCCTCCATCGAGTTGTGCAATCACCACTTTCCCAATCATACACATACCTTCCCACCGTAGTGCACCTCCACTTGGAGCTGTAAAGATGCAAGGAGATATTTGGTTCCAAAAGAACTTCCAGTGAAAGAGTCATCAAAGATTCACAATCCATGGTTCTCAGTGGACATGCTCCCAAAGTCGAATACCTTCTTGCATCTTGACAGATACAATCTGCAATGTCTTCGATGCAAGAGAGAGAGTATCATCTGTGCCCTTGATCGGATAACGTCCACCTTCATTCCGGTGTAGGTTCTTGCATCTCGCTGGTCTCTCACCAGCCAGGCACCCCCACTTGCACCCATCGAAATGCAAGAAGATTTTTGCGCTCCAAAAGAATGTCCAGTGAGAGCGTGGTTGACACGAGAGATAACATGACTCTCACTGGTCATTGATTCCAGATTGAATAGTCTCTTGCATGATAAGTGTATTCTGCGGCTGACGTCCGGGCAGGAGATAATAGCAGAGTATGGGTGAAGAGGTATGGCGCTTTCGATGGTGTTCGTGACTGCTTTGGAATGAGAAGCTCTTTGCATGTTAACCGATTCATATTGGATGATTTGCTGTTCTCCTGTTCATGTCCCTAGGTCTAAGCGAGGCCAATGAGGGAGAGATAAGTGGACTACCAACATGACACAGGCGAGAAGCTACAAGTTAATATCGTAGATGTTGCTCCCAGCGAATTTGCAATTCGCAGAAGATGAATCATCCTCAAAGTGTTGACTCGTACTCACAGTCCTGATAAAGACCTAAACTTCTCCTCGCAGTGGGTGAGGATAAAGTGTGCCCTCGGTAAGTTCGGACCACTTGGTTGTCAGTTCTGACTTGAAGTCAGCATGCCCTGATGTGCAAAATTGGCATCTCGGAAATATATCGACAGTCGCGATCGAGGCACGAAATCTCACCCTGTCCTTCGATGTGGAAGCTTCGCTTAGCACACATCGATCTCCTGCGACAAAATCCTTTGACAAACTTCCAGCGGTACGTTTGGCCAAGGTCAGAGGATCTGAAGGTGCGATTGTCGAGCCCAAAGTGGATCTCTGGCGCGCTACTGCACGACTTCCAGGACGCGTGAGACGGCGACCATGAACCACGCGCGCGGTGTCGACGGCGTCTTGGGGAGGGCGGGCTGCGGCGGCCGTCGGAGCCTCGGGTGTTTTCGCGCATATTAAATATCCCTCTTACGCGCATCTTGCAGGAAGAACGACTCCCATCATCATGATCTGATTAGCTGGTGTCGCTCTCGCCTGACGATGGATCTGAGACCGGGTATCCGCAAGCCGAGTGAGATTCGATGAAGCGACATCTCATGGCCTTGAGGCCTTCCGGGTTGGGGTCTCGGGTGGAAAGAGGCAACGACTTGTTCCTTCCTTGATGTCGTCCCAAGAAAATACGAACATCTACTGATCGCCGGCTGCCCGAGTGGTCCCCATCTCCATATTACCTGTCAGGGTACGAATTGATGAAGAACACGACTCGCTCACCCCATCCGGCCACTTCGAGCTTTGCTGGAGAAAAGGGTCTTCCGCATCGAGAACAGCCACAGAGGCACGCAACCACGTTTTTGCATCTTCTGGTGGCTGGAGCTCTGATCATCCTGAAAACTGACGGCAACGGCTGGAATCAATATAGGAGGACACAATCTCTTCGGAAGACGCACTCTTGGCCCAGATCTCGCCGTCGCCTTGCAAACGAAGATGCAGAGTCTATTTTATTGAACGAATGCGCTACAGCGCCCTTTTACGCATGGCCTCGCAATCCATCCCATATGTACGAAGCATTGCCGAGTAAGTTTTAGCGACGACATGTGCTTAGGCCACCAACATCCTCGCGTGTGGACTGCTTGATCAGCAAAAATCCAGCACGAACGTAGCCTCATGCAGATATAAAGCTAAGGTTACAGCCACGGAGCTGTCAAAATCCACAACAGTGGGACGGACCGGGAGGCTCACGCAATGCCGGAGCAAGTCAGTAAGAGGAGGAGAAGCGCCACGCGCCGACTACCAGCAAAGACCCAGTCTTTGATATGCACGTCCAACCCGAAACACCAACGCAGCAAGGCGGCCTCTTCTAACCACGAGATTTCAATCTGCAACAAGGGCCGATTGATTCACGATGGATCTTGGCTACTTTGCATCGCCAATCTCTCTGCCCTTTCTCGTCCTGACTCGCATGACCATACCATATCCCCTGCCACCTGGTCCCTCTTCTTCCCACACAATTTTAGTCATGACGACTAGTCTTTAAAGTAGCAGTCAAGCGCATAGTCCACGCAAGATCAGTTGAGTAGGGCCCATGAGTGGTCCTCACAACGACCCGGACATCAGAAAGGTCCCACCTAGATTGCTCACACTGCAGGCATTGGTAAATCCAGTTGGAAAAGGGTGCGTTTAGCTGACCGGTCTTTACGCTTGCCTCATCGTTCCCTGCATTTGAGTTTTGATATATGAAGTATCATGTCACTCTTGACGGCACTTTGATCTCGGTCGAGTACGGGTATGTTCATTGGTAAGAACTGGGAGGTCGTATAATTCTTTGCCTTTTTCCGCCGTCTAGTGATACCATTTTGGTTGCCCTTTCCGTGTCTTTTCAATATCCGCCCCACACCATGAGCGCATATTGACTCGCCAAAAGTTTCGAACCGACATTGTCAACCTGCAGCTGCAAGCCACGAAGGAAAAGACTCCGATCTACGATATAACAACTGAAGCCTTCCCTCCAGGCATTGGAGAGGACTTTGATCGTGGATGTCCCTTACTGTATTCATGGATCCTGCAGCTATAGCCAACGTTGGAAAATCGTCGCTCGCGCTCAAGGAGGCAGCGCTAGCGTTCATACCTCTTACATCTGTAGCGCTTTCATTGCGCATGTATGTCCGAATATTCATTGTTAAAGGATTTGGACTAGACGATGTTTTCCTGCTCGTCGCACAGGTGAGTACATAGACTCGCGGCAACAGCAGCCTTGCCAATAGATATAGTGACTGACTTCTTTAGGTTTTCTTCTTCGTTTTCTGCGGCATCGCTATCAAGCTGATCAATCTGGAACATGATCCATCGATGATCAAAGCCTTCTCGGGTAGTGCTAAGCAGGCATTTGCGGCGATTGAGAGCATCTACACGGTATGTTCTTTACTTGCCGAATTATGTTGTTGTGCTAATGTCTTTAGGATTCTGTTCTCTTCACCATCTTCTACGTCTTTTCGGTTGTCTTCTTGAAGATCTCGCTCGCCTTCTTCTATCTCCGAATTGTCATTCAACGATGGCAGAGGGTTGTGATATACATGACAGCTACTACGATGACTCTTTACGGCCTTGCATACTCCTTCACTTACTTGTTCCGATGCGGCTCGGACGTACATCATCAACTCGTGTACAGAGCTGCTGGGAAATGCATTCCGGATCATACACTACTAATCATGACATACGTCCTTGGAATCTTGGATACCCTGACCGATTTCGTTTACGCCTTCTTGCCGATCTACGTTTTGTGGAACTCAAACATGCCACTTGGAATGAAGTTCACAGCAGGCTTCTTACTCTGCATTGGATCTGTCAGTTCGATATGCGCTTTGGTCCGCGTAGCCACCCTAGCGAACTTGACATTGGATGTCAAATTCTTCAAACAAGCTGTTGAGACTGGACTCTGGAGCATCATCGAACCCGGTCTTGCGATAGTGGCTACATCACTCGCAGCATGCAGACCGCTTTGGAGGAAGGTTTCGGAAAGCAGCTCCACTGGCTCTCTCATCAAGAACACTTTCATGTTCAAATGGTCGTCGGCAAAGAGGAGTGGCATATCATCAAGCAGCAGTCAATCTCGCAGCGGCAAGGCGGTCAGCAGACCCAGTGGACTCGGCTTTGTGGAGCGCTCAGAGGCGAACAGAGGATTCAAAAAATTTAACGATGCCGAGTATGGTGTGTCAACGGCTACGGTCGCTGTCGGCGACGAGAGAGAGATGACGGAGTTGCAAGATCTTGGCAGGTTGGAAGCACAAGATGATTTCAGAGAAGAGGAGGAGGATAAGAAGTCGTTGGTCAGAGCCTCGATGACACCGAGTGAACGTCAAAGCAGGTCGAAGATCTTCAAGACGAGAGACGTCCGGGTGGATGTACGGACTGCTCCATGATGATGTCGTTTCGGACGTGTACACAACATAGATATGACCGTTTCCTTTGTCTTTAGTATAACGAACCTACCCTCAGATAGAACACCACAACTGCGCAAGCGTTACAACGAGTCGTTCCCAAACACTTGTAATATTGGTATACCTGTTGTCGCAATGCAAGAGTTGCTGACCAAAAGCTTCGAGCAGACCGGAGAGCGGAACAGCAACGCACAGACTTCATCCAGTCTTGGCACGGTAACAGCACCTCTCAATGCATATCCAAAGCGACAATTGAAGAGACGGCATATCTCACCACCCACACATCCACACAACAATGCTGCCAGCACGCTTCACCCGCAGCTGTCTGCGCACCTGCAAGGGCATTCACGCCCGCCCCTTCAGCACCACCCCCGCCGTCCTCGCCGACAACCCCATCCCGGCAAACGACCCCAAGAACCGCGACACACCCAGCCCCGTCAGCAGCACCAATGCCATGCCCTTGAGCAGTGAAGGCAACATGGACAAGCCCCTACAAGAGTCTGTTGCTGAGGGCGAGGAGCGTCGCGTCATGCAAGCGCCCAACCGCGAGACCGTTTGGAGTCGCAGCCAGCAGCCCAGAGAGAAGGCTATGGTTGGCCCTAGATTCGAGCAGATGATCATGTACGATCAGGTAAGAAACCTCCGAAAAACAACTCAGCACGACCAAAATTAGACAAAAGAGGAGGAATTGAAGTATTGGATATTTCTGGACGCGCGCGGGAGATGGATGAGATGGACGATACATACAAGAGAAGAAGCAATGGCTGATTGAACACCCATACAGCCTCGTCCCATGGCAGCCATCGAGCTCATCCACAAGCAACCCGTCAACTGGGTCAAGGAACGCACCGTCAAGTGCGACGGCGGCGGCGGTCCCCTCGGCCACCCTCGCATCTTCATCAACGTCGACAAACCTCAAATATGCTGGTGCACCTACTGCGGTCTTCCCTACGTAAGTTTCCACTCTTTCCTGTCTCCTCCCAAACCTGGACGTTTTCCAACAACATTTTACAGGCCAAGGAGTCCAACCGCAAGATGCTCGAGTCCCTCCCTTCGACCTCTTACCCTCTCAAGCCTACCGGTCATGAAGCAGAGGTTCCTCAGGGTTACCAGAGCAACACTGGCAAGCCTCTTGAACAGCGATGAATGTGATATACAACTTATTTCCCCCTTTCCTTTGAAGCCTCTCTTTCTCTATTTCCGTTGCAGTGTATATAAAAACCTCAACCATGCATGAAACCCGTTCAAAATCGAATCTTGTCCTTTCCGAACATGTGCTTTTTCGATTCGAATTGTGTTGCGAGAATGAAGGTTCCCGTCATGCGTGAGTTCTTCCCTATGGGCTAAGTTGTCACGAACACATTGTCTTCAACAGCGGAGATCACGTTTATAATATTTGCCTTTTGAAGCCTTGCAGCATCAAAGGGCATTTGTTCATTATATCATATGTCCACATCTGTGCTGACCAGCAGGACAGCCACTTCTTCTCCCAATCGTATCTCTCGAGCATCGAAGTCTTCCTTCCATTCAAGCCTTTTCACCCTGAATAGTAGCAACAACCTTTCTCTGATGCTTGCTAGCCCTGAACTCCAAGAACCAAATACCCTGCCAAGTGCCCGTTGCCAGCTTTCCATTTGTGATGGGGACGCTCACGGAAGCACCGATCAAAGCGGATTTGATGTGGGCGGGCATGTCGTCCAATCCTTCGGCCGAGTGGCGGTAGAGGTTTCCTTTGCGGTCTTCCGGGGCGATGCGGTCGAGGGCGTCGGACATGTCGTCGCTGGAAAACACCTCGAGTAAGCATTGATTCGGCAAGTAAGAAGAATGAGGCAGGAAGGGGAAGAAGAGGAAAGCAGTGGATGGGATGGATATAGGGAGTGCAACTTACCGAACATCCTCATCCCAGTTCTCGTTCAAAGACAAGGCGCAACTGGTGTGCTGAACAAACAGCTGCAAGATGCCGACTTTGTAATCCTTGATCTCTGGCACCTTCTCCATCACTTGATCAGTGATGAGATAACTGCCTCTGCTCTTGGCAGGCAGGGTGAATTGCTTTTGCGTCCAAGACATGGTTGTGGTATGTGGTGTAGGTTGTGTCGGTGGTGGGGTAGATGCTGCCCAAGGAAGTAGCGAGCAACTGTAGCTGAGTAGTGTGAAGGGTGAAGCGAAGATTGGACCGATGAGACCGGGAAAGAAGGCGAGGATGAAGATGCCGAGGAGGACGGGGAAGTGGTATGCGTTTGTCGCGTGGGTGTTTGTGTTGGTGGGCATTTGATGATGATCGGATGGAAGTTTTGCGAGAGCCATGTGCCGACGTCATTGGTCTGATCTCGAGAGCCGCTTTCTTTCGGCGACGTCGGCTGCTGACCTTTCCTCCTTCATTCCTTCCTCTATCTACTGAAAGCACAACCACTGTCACGATATCGGCAATCACTTGGAAGGAGGTAAAGAAGCTTTTGAATTCGTGTGATATGGAACGCAGCAATAAGCGCTGGTCGCGTCCAAATTAGTTCGTGTTGTTACATGCGACGGCCGCTGTATGTTGTTCAAGCAAAAGGATTGCAGCAAAGCCAGAAAGAAAGAAAGCAGAAAATGAAAACCTCCATCGAAAAGAAGCAAACCCGAAAGCTTCTCATATAGTGTGCCAGCAAGTCCACTTTGGTTAGCTGTGTGTCTCTCTTTCCATCGTCTCATCATCTCCTCATCATTCCCTTATCCTGCCCTTGTCATCTCCCTCTCATCCTCCACGTCTCAGACTCCACGAAAGAGAAGGCCATGCCTCGGTGAAGAAGAAACGTCCTCCCGGGCAGGAATGCGATGGCTTCAGGTGCATCATCAAGACTTCTCAGGCTTGTCACGCACAAAGTATGCGTTGCCGTATCTAGGGTCGATCTTCCACTTTCCAGGCTGAAGGTCATCCTCGATGGTACGGAAATTGCGCAAAGTGTTGGTGTTGTCGGGCTCAATGACCCAGAACAGCTGGTCGGAAGAGGCGCCCTTAGGAACCATCTCGTTGGGCTTGTAGACGCCTTCCTTGTGAGCGATCTTGGCGTTGTCCTCGTCGACTTGCTTCTTGGTACGACCGACCCAGACACGATCCTTGGTGGCCTTGGGAGTAACGGTGCTGGCGGTCTCAGAGTTCATAGGAACGGGGTAGTTGGGCATGGCATAAGCGACTGGAACGGCGGTGCCGGGGAAGCCGAAGGGGTAAGCACCGTAAGTCATGCCAGCCATGGTGACTTGGGGAACGGCTGGAAGGGGTGCAGCCTTGGGAGAGGCGACCTTTTCAATGGTAGGAGGCTCAGAGATGGGACGAACTGATCTCTCACGTACACGCTCATGGGTGTAGTGATGGTAGTGTGCCTCTTCCTTCTTGGAGTGGGCTGAAGGAGCAACAACAGCCGGGGCGGGTGCTGGTGGAGGAGGGGCAGCCATGGCCTGCAGCTGCTGAGGAGGGTACATGTAAGTGTAGCCGGGCTGAGGATAGAGGGCGTATGCGATGGGCTGATGAGATGAAGGTAAGTTTTTTGCGCCAAAGATCTTTTGTCAAAAAAACTTACAACAGCGTCCTGAGGACCGGGCTCTCTCATAGGAACGTAACGGTAGGCGTTCTCTTGGTCGGACACCTCACTGTGACGGGTGTTGTTGGAGCGATTCGAGATGGATGACTTGGGAGCGATGGTCTCGGTAGGAACAGCGACACACTCGCGTCTCTTGCACCACTCCTCGTAAGTGAATCCGCCGGTTTCTTCCATTTTGCGCGACGGTCTGATTGGAACTGCGAGGAGGATTGGAGGTGGGCAGAGTTGATGAGAAGCGACTGGAAGTGAATGTTTGTGACGACGCTGGCTGCTTTTTTGAGTGTGAACGATTTCCTTCTCTTCGACACGCGGCGCGCTCTCGCTGTAACGCCGGCTATGGCGTCGGTGATGTCGGTGCTCGTCTGCCGATTGCCAATGTGCGCGAGAATGGAAATCGTCTTGGTCGTCGTCGCGGTAGTGGTTGTGGTTGTGGTATGTGTGATGGTGCGTGTGGGAAGTTGAGCGGCGATGACGCGAACGTGAACGAGAGCTTGAGCGGAAGAAGGCGACCTTGAGAGGTGAAGCAGAACGAGGTGCCTCTGAAATCGAGCTCACACTGCTTGCTTGACTTGCTCGGCCCCAGTCCCAGTTGCTGGTTTTCTCCTTCGTCACTGTCTTTCTGATAAGGATGTGAGTCGAGTCGACAGGTGAAGGCGCGCGCCCTCTATACCACTCAGACTTGTATCTCATAGTGAATGCTTGTAATGATACAGATACTCGAAGAAGAAAGGATGCCCGCTCGAAACACAACTGATCTAACAATGTCGACAAGCACACAGAGGAGGAAGTTTTGGTCTCGAGCCCTTCAGAAATTCCCGATGTCCTAGGCAACGAGCGTCCGTTCGACAAGGCTGTGCGGAAAATTGGTCGCTCCACGACTTGGTTCAAATTCTTGCATACCGCCGTTGCCATGGAGAAGCACGGCATCTGATCAACTTGGAAGACCGCTGCCCAAATATTCTCTTGTATCGTTGTTGATGGTTTGAACATAACTATATAGCCTTGTGGTCTTTCACGGCCCTAAGAGCTACCCAGCACTTTTCGCAATGCTTTTCCTTAGTCTGCTTGATATATGCTCGCTCGTCAATCCACAGTCGGTGATCAGGATGAGAGGTTGCTCAAGATTGCATCTCGGAAGATGATGCAACGAAGATCAGCAAACAGCATACTCAACATTAGATGTACAAATCATCACTACAAATTTCTTTTTGATCATCTCGGCTTCTCACTCAATGTCTGCAACGCTACGATGTCGACATATCCACATGCACACTTTCACGGGAATCAATGCGTGAGATTAGGCAGGTCGAATTGGTCATTCAGCACTCAACGTGTCGTTGAGATATTCTCACACTCATACACAACCTCATCAAGCCCTGCTAAACATTAACGGTTTGATATCGATATAAGATTCCAAGCAGTATCACGTCTCCAGCACAGAGCTCTGTCAATACTCTAGCTCGTCTCACGTACGAGAACATCCACCAATCTCTCATGGACTAAGTTCTCTCGGAGTGTTGGAAGTTAAGTGCTTGCCCAAAGCGAGAATAATGAAATCTTTCATATCATGATGAGGAACAAGTGTATGCCTCAAGGAGACTTGCTCCAATACCGACACTTGTTCTCTTTTGTCTGTGCGGCCATAGAACGATGGCATGGTTCTGGAGTTTGAGAACCACATTCTTGACCCCATACACATGGCATCATGTCCAAAAAGGTCGTAACATTTGCCTGTCTTTGGATAAAGGCACCACAACAGCCGGGAGAGAGTTCGATCATGCAATTATTGCATCCACGTTGTCGATTTAAACGAGCAAGGAAGTCACACTTTCATCTGTGGCGTCGTGTGGCGCGGGTGTCACTCGTTTAAGGTGTGGTCAAAGCTCGAAGAATCTGACATGTGAAAGCAACGGTTTCCGTTTGCGTCAACAATCACTGATCAGGCTGGAAGTTTACACGCTTTCCAAACATCAACTCAACAACCATATCCATCACACATCAATATGGCTCCTATCAAGACACTCAAAGAGATCCCAACTCTCACAAGCTTGTACAAGCTCAAGCATCTCGCACCGGCAGCTTCAACAGTGTCGGGAGCCAGCAGCGCCTACAACGACAGGATATGTGTCATCCGCACCGACATTACAAAGCTTGAAGTCGATGCAATCGTCAACGCAGCTAACGAGTCTTTGCTAGGCGGCGGTGGTGTTGATGGCGCCATTCACCGCGCAGCCGGCAGAGGACTCTTGTACGAATGCGAGACACTTGACGGTTGCGACACAGGCGACGCCAAGATCACTGATGGTTACGAATTGCCATGCAAGAAGGTCGTCCACACTGTCGGTCCCGTTTACTGGCGCACTAAGAAGCATGGTCAGCATACCAGCCTGCTCCAGTCATGTTACCGCCGCTCGCTTGATCTGGCCGCCGAGAACGGCTGCAAGAGCGTCGCGTTCAGCGCACTGAGCACCGGTGTCTATGGTTATCCTAGCAAAGAGGCAGCAGAGACTGCTATTGGCGAGGTCAAGAAGTGGCTCGACACTGACACTAAGGCCGACAAGCTCGATCGCATCATCTTCTGCAATTTCATGGAGAAGGACCAGGACGCCTACTACGAGTGCTTGCCGTGAGTATTGTGAGCGTACAATCCGTCTTTACCTGTCATTAACGCGCTGCGCAGAAAATACTTCCCACCGGCCGAGGAGAGCGAAGAACAGAGTAAACGCGACACCCAGAGTAAGAGCAAGAGCGAGAACCAGGATGAACTCGACACCCAGAGCAAGAGCAAAGAAGTCGAAGAGCAGAGCAAGGTTCAGAACGCGACCAACTCCCAAAGCAAGATCGAGGAGGTTGAGGAGCAGAAGAACAAAGACGAGTCCAACGAGGAGGCCCAGGAGAGCAAGAACAAGACCAACGAGGTGGCATATGAGAGCATGGATGGAACCAACGACCAGGTCCACGAGAGCAAGAGCGAACCCGTTGACGCAGACCAGACCAAGAACGAGAACGAGACTGGTCAAAACATGCCCGATCTCCCTGACGTTCCTACCACGGTGCCAGGAGAGCACGATCTGCCCGACGCAAAGAAGCTCAAGACCGACCATCAACAAAAGGATTAGAGGGACAACTTGCTATCATGTTGTTGTAGCAGAAGGCGCCCACAAAAGGATAGGAGAAGGGGTCACAGCGGCTCTTCTGAAATGTCCCATGCAGTCATGAAATAACGAATCAACCATCCGTAGATGCAGAATGTCTGCTTCTGATAATCCTTTGACAAGTTCGAACAGTGTGATGTCGGTAAATCAGAAGATGCTGGAGAAGTGTTTCATGTAAAAATTCGATCGACCTAGAATGTCAAATCTTGCTTGATTGCGTCGTTGATCTGCCGCTTCTCGGTGCGTGTCGCGACCCCCGCGGGCTGAAGCACCTTCCTCAACCGTGAACACCCCCAAAACCGGTCAACAACCCTCTTGGCCCTATAATGAGTATAACGTCGCAATAGCTCCTTCTCTAATGTATATTCTTTTTCTTTTTCCTTTCCATTCTTGTTGATACTATTCGTTGACCCCTTCCGCTTCGGCTGGATACATGGCCGACCCAGAAGCGACTCTACAAGCAGCCATCGGGTCATTGGGAGGTGACGACTCTACGAATTCCTATACCGTTCACCGTCTCAGACACGCAACTCCCGAGCACCTCTACATCACCACTCGTCGTTGCTTCATCGGTCCCATTCCCGAGGGCTGGCTCAGGAGCCATCGCAAAGAATGGTACAAACACTACCTGGGTATCCATCATTCGTCCAAAGCCCCGTCGTTCTCTGCTTCGTCCAACGTTGACCGCCGCCGTCGTCTTACTGGTCTCGACGTCCCGAGCGCATCTGCTGCATACCGAGCAAGCTTCCCTCAACCCGATAACGTCGATGGAGACGCCGACCAGGACGATGACGATGACGAGAATGGAGAGGGCCAAGGTTCTGGAGGGGGAGGACTGCACATAATATCAACCATCGATGAGGTTGAAGACGGCGCCGAGTCAGATGGAGAAGCTACAATCAGAGCGCCGGTCGCTCTTGATATACCAAGAGCAGGACCAAGCGACCCTGGTCTTTTGAAAGAGGCTGAAGGCAACGAGGAGGTGCTATCCTCATACACAACCGCTCATACTGTGACTTCTCCTTCCACACCAACGCCTTTGGCTACCCCCAGACCCGGCGACGGGCAGTCTGATTACATGACTTCGCGCCCCACGGATACATTTCGCAGGCGTCAGACCTCGGACACGTCTTTCGTTACCGCTTCCGACGGTGGCTCAATCATTATGGATGAACCAGGTGCTGTTTCTCCGATGCAGCCTGTCTCCCCCAGTGATGACGGCTCCACGCCAAGGAACAGCCCTCGAGCTGGTGAAGAGCGAAGTAGTGCTTCCTTTGAAACAACAACTCCCATGACTCCAGGACCTACAACTTCCGACACGTTCCTTCTCGGCTCCCAACATAGTCAGCAACTAGATCAGGGCATGGCTGGGAAAGATGCAGCAGGCACCGGGGAGAATGCTAGAGGGCAGCAAGAAACAACGCAAGACGTGGGGACTGGGAATGCCAACAATGCTGAGCTTAGGTCTCCTGGCCTTGTCAGATTCAATATTCCAGAAAACCCCGTCTTGAAGCAAGAGATGCAGGTGCGAGCTAAGATGGCACAAGGCACTCGCAAACGGCTGTCTAGAAGATTCACACGAGGAAAGCTCAAGGATGGAGAGATTGTGAAAGTGGAGAAAATGCTCGTTCGTCTTGACATCACAACTGGCTCGGAACAACCCAACGATGATTACGACGAGAAAGACAGCCAACGAGTCGAGACACGAATTACTGAAAAGTGGAGAGAGTTCATGGTTGTATGTCGAGAGAGCCACGAGGATGATGCAGTCCTGTGTCTGCAGATGTACAAAACCAGAGTAAGTATGAAGGCATCAATCAGCAAATTTGGTACTAATTCATCCAGGTCATTCCCGCCACAAATGAGAGCAAGACCAAGAAACGTTTCAAACATCAAATCTTGCTGGACCCCACGAAGCTCAAAGTCAACCTCTACAGCAGTTTGGACAAAACTCTCGTACTCTGGCAAGCGAAAGGCCCTCAAACCATCATTTGTTTCCTCCGACCACAAACAACTCCCAGTGCTGTAGAATGGTACACGTTCTTACGAGGTGTACTCGGACTACATCGACCGCGTACCCTCCATATCAACATACCAGACCTGAGCGTTGGCCTCAGACTCGACAACCCATTTGAAGAGCTTGAATCGTCAGAAGCATTACAACAAGCTGCAGACGGTGATGAGGCTGCTATTGCCAAGGCCATGCAAGCTGAGAGAGCCATCGCATCAAAGATCATTGATCGTTGTTTCGACATGTTGGCTCAAAATCCGGAGTGGGATGACATACTCAAGATATGGGGTCACAAATCAAAGATTGGTCTTGCTTGGAAGCGTTACGACCGACTGGAATGGGTGCATGGAATCAACGAGCATAAGATGTACGGCACGATGGCGCTTCAACGGACTCACGAATTAGAATTGCGGCCTAAACAACACTATCCGGTTTCCGTCAAGATGGCCAGTGGTGAATCCATGCAGGAGCCTGCTCCTGTCGAAGGCTTTCTCATCCGCCTGACATCGCAGAAAGGAAATGAGCAGAAGTTCGGAAAGTTGTTCTACAAGAGGCTATACTTCAGCACGCAGAACAACTACTTGCTCTTTCTGCGACCAGCCAAAGCAAAACCGCCACCGCCGCCCAAAATGCCGATGAAAGAGAACTCGAACATACCAAGCGCCAAGCAGATTGCAGAGAAGATCCCTCTGATATATGCAGTCAATCCCTTCCCATTACTTGGTGACACTGTAGCGTGGTTGGCAGGATCTGCGAACGATGCTGAAGACAGAAAGAGGCACGACCGCGATGCTTATGATGAGGCAGAACGTAATGCACTGTCATTACTAGACTGCGACGGTTTCATCAATCTGGCGGACGTAGTGGAAGTCCGTAACGCTATCAGAGGTGCAACACCAGCCGATGAAGCTGTAGATGAGGGCCTTCAAGTCGACTTCGATGAGGAAGTCGAGGACAGCCATCATGATGATGGTACGACAAAAGACTTCGACGACGAGAGAACATTCGAACTTCTCATGCGCAACGGACTAGTCGTACGCTTACAAGCTTTCAGTAAGGCAACCAAGAAGGAGTGGATAAAACGCCTCCGAGCCTTGGCCAAATACTGGACGCGACGAGCTTTTCAAGATTTGGCTCTGTTCAAGTTGGTCCGTCAGCAAAATCTGGACACACTGAACCTTGATATGCAAGCAGAAGCGTACGTCGGCATGTTCGCGCACAAGTGGGAGGTCACGAAATCTTTCGCATCACCTGAGCTGTACAACGTGTGCGGTATATCAAACTGCCGCGCGATCCACCGCTCAGGGATACTCTTCCGCAAACCCCGTGTCCACGGCACATTCTCACGTTGCCATGTTATCCTTTGTCATGGTCATCTTCTGGTCTTTAAAGACACAGTACGAAGCACTACGGGTAAGAAGGTCTCTCACATCCACCACGAACGCATTGCATCCATCGACCTTCGCGGCTGCTATCTCTACTCTGGTCTCATTACTGCGAATGACTTGCTATACCAGAACCGCACATTCGACAATAATCGACCTGGTAATGATGCTCTTCCGCGCATGTATCTCGAAGACGGATGGGCTAGTGCAGACGATGATGCCATGACTACGTTTGTACTATGGACCGGACAACACAAGGGATGGTTCAGAGCGAGAGAAGAAGACGGCAGCGAAGGGCAGCAGAAGAGTGGGGGTGCACGTAACAAGCTGAAGAGAGTGTCGCAGCTGGGCACTACAGGGCGGGCAATAGTATTCAAAGCGAGGAGTCGAACAGAAAGAGACCATTGGGTATTGGGAATCGAGACGGAGATTGAGAGATTGTCTCAGGCAGATGATGTTAGGGTTGTGGGACAAGACCAAGGCACTCAGGAGTGATGATTGGCAACGTTGTTGACGGAGTCTAGGAAACCAAAGCTCCTACATGAGCATAGTGAGTAGCACCTATTTATCTAATGTAATACCTGCACATGACGACTTGAGACGAATGTCTTCACGTGTGTCGAGATCCAACAGGCAGCCGCTGCAGAAACAGATGTTTGAGAAGGTCGCTCGCCAGAATATGCCATGCATCGTATTTTGGATTCCCATCAGGATCGAAACAGGTTTTGTCCAAGCGAAAAAGGTTTGGGAAGTGCAGTACGGCATGGCTGTGATTGGAGCCAAGCAATGTCGCGCGCGCGAACCATGAAAAGCGTGACGCGAAATCGGAAGAGCGACAGCGGAGTTAGGGCCCAGGCCCTCGCTAGCCCTGTTTCAAAATCGGGAATCGGTGTCGGTGTCGGAGACGAGCACCGAGGAAGAGTAGGAAAGAACGAGAGAGGGCCGAGAGGACCAATACTGCCTTCGAGAGCCGGACGAATGATCCTTTTGTTCAGTGGATTGCGATTGCCTGTCACGACGACGTACGCCGGCCTGGGAAGTGTTAAGCAGGGAAAGAGCAGAGAAAAGGCCAAAAACTTCAGACTTTGCATGCCGGAGGCTGTCACCCATGCGAGCAGAGGCACAATAACACACAATGGCGTCGCGGCGGTCCTCTCAGACGTCGCACTCGTCGCATTCCATCTACCAAGCCCATTTTCCGAGAGCCGAAGGGCCATCGAGCCTGCCAGATGCCCGCTCTCTGCCATTGCGACCGCGCAACGTTGGGCCTGTCTTCGACAAGACTCTTGCGAGCCAGCCCATTGCCGAATTCAATCCTGTCTCTCACGGCCTGAACTATACCACTCGCACACCCACTTCCATCACCGATGAGGCGCCCACCCAACCCGACGACTTTCAGGACCACTACTTGATGCCCTCACTGTCCGAGAATGAACGTCTCCGCCTTACCTTGTTCTGGTACTATACCAATGGCAGCAACCTGCTGGAAGACAAGGAGTTTTTGTTGGGTCTACAGCAGAAGTTGGATCTAGTTCAGGCTTTCATGGGCTGGGAATTCGCCATAATGGGCTTGCTCAGCGAGAACGTCTACACACGCGTCGCTACTGCTGGTTTACCATTGGCCATTCTGCCGCGCAGGGAGAGCACATGCTCGCATACCATCAATCAGCCGCCTGGCTCTGTCTTCATGTTGCCTAACATGGCTAGCGATTGGTGCTTCAAGGGGTCGCCCCATGTCGAGGAAGGCGGCCTGCGCAGTTATGCCGGTGCCATGCTCCGCTGCAAGGCTGACACCGGCGAAGATGTTGCTCTGGGGAGTCTTTGCATTGCGTCGAATTCTGAGCGTCCTCCCCTTACATCTAGTCAGCAAGATGCCTTGGTGCGCTTTGCCGATATGATGGCAAGTGAGATCGTTAGCCGTGCTCGAGAGGCTCGCAGACGTCAACGACAAGTCATGGCGGACCTTGTCGCTCTGACCCACCAATACAGATCTGCCGAGGATGTCAAGAACCACGTTTTCAAGGTTCTTGCCCAAGTCTACCCCGGCGCAATCGTCGATATTCAAGAGATATTGCCTAACGATACCATCATACTACCTCATCATGCTCCAGCCTGCTACGAAGATTTTCAAGATGGTCTCTGGGAGGACACTGAGCTCGTTGAGCATCTGATCGTTACCCAAAATCACACTCAGCTCTCCGCTGATTCCACAGTGCGCGCCATTGTGCATCCCTGTCAGAAGATACCAACTACCAAATACCTCATTCTCAGCTCAACAAACGTTCAGCTCGTTTTTGATGATGTCGATTCTTGGTTTGTTGAAAAGTGTGCCATGTTAATGGCGGATACTGTCCAAGAAACTCGCCTTAGGGAGGCGCTCACAGCCAAGGAAGCTTTTCTACGTGGTATCACACATCAACTTAGAACACGTAAGTTCCCCTGGTTACTTTGACCTCCAGCACGACTGACATTCATCTTAGCCATCCACGGTGTTCTGGGCTCTTGCGAGCTACTGTTTGAGGAGCTTAGCAGCAGAGACATGCTCTCTGTCGGCTCTTCCGGCCTGAATCCTTCTTCGGTTCTGAGTGCTATCAGGGACTCTGGTCGAGAACTGATGTCTACTGTCAACAATATGCTCAAACTAAATCGTTGGTCTGAGGAGGCTGGGGGCTCCTTAGAGCCTGCCTCCCTACTAATCTTGAATCATATCGAAGCCGATATCATCTACGAGGTACACCAATCCATACCAGAGCACGAGCTTTCGGAGATCTCTGTCATGTTTGAAAACCGACTAGGAAGCGACGACAGCATGATTGTGATGGATCTTTCTCTCTTGAAAGAGTGTATTCAGGCACTTATTCAGAACGCCCTGTCATACACTGACCGCGGAGCCGTTATTGTTGTCATTAGTGCTTCGCCTGACTACACACGGTTAACGTTCGATATCAAGGATACTGGACGTGGTATTCCACTCGAAGATCAGGAACGAATTTTCGAGGCCTACGAGAAAGTGGATACGCATACAAGAGGCGCAGGTCTCGGACTCACGCTTTCAGCCAAAATTGCAAATGCAATGAACGGCAGTGTTAGCTTGATCTCCTCCAGACAGAACTCACCCGATCATGGCTCTTTGTTCCGCGCTGAATTTCTCAATCCAGGCTTTGCTTGCCCCATTCCACGTCCAATTCCTTTCGGAGCGGGACTGAAGGACATTCCTAGGAAATTCCACGTTGTGCCCCCCAAATCACAACGACCGGAGCTCGTACTTCATTTCGCATCCTACCTGGAGCATAGAGGATTCGAGGACGCCGAAACACCCGAGGATTCCCTCATCATCCTGACATATACGCCAGATGCAGATGAATTCCGTAATTTTACTGCCGCGCTCGACACTAGACATGTCGCGTTGTGCTTAACGCCTGCCGGTGCAACGACAGACAAGCTCCATGGTGCTCACGAGGTTCGATTTTTCTCTGGACCTTTCTTGACAACTCGTCTCGAAGAAATCACAACAGAAATAGACTCAATCTACAAGCGATTGAACTCAGATCCTGAAGCAGGCGAGACTGCAACAGGTCTAGCTAATCAGAATGATGCACACCGCACTTCGGGATCCGAGGACCATACCGACCCTGCCGCTGCGGAGCCAATGGCGCTGTTGGTCGACGACAATCTCGTCAACCTGCGAATTATGCGCATGTACTGCGAAAAGCGGAAAATCAAGTACAGCACCGCCATGGATGGTGCGGAAGCAGTGGCTGTTTTCGAAGAAGCTATCGACACACAACCCATCAACCTTATCCTCATGGATTTACAAATGCCCGTGTGCGATGGTATCGAGGCCACACAACGGATCCGGCAAATGGAAAAAGAAAAATCACTAGCGAGAGCAGCGTTGTTCATCGTGACGGGCCAGGACAGTGTAGCTGACAAAAAAGCTAGCTACGACGCTGGTGCTGATGAGTTTTTCGTCAAGCCATTGGGCTTGAAGACGCTGGACAAGGGAATCAAGGAATATTTCCCAGCCGCATTGAATGTGAAAAAGACTGCTTCCCAAGCAGCCAAGGAGAAGAGCGGAGCGGACAAGGCATCATGATGTGACTTGCTCCCTTCGCATGTCTAATTATGATCATAAAGCATGGGTGTACATATTACATGAGGAGTTTCTCGGCGTTAACAGGGCATTGGGCTTCGCCGCCCCCAGCCAAAGGGATGCATCATGATGCGGCTTGGGTTTTCTTCTGGGATGGCTGTATTCATGTGTCTTCATTGACGGGTTACTTGGCGATTTTACCATATCACGAGCGTTCTCGTTTTGGTTAGTTCTGTTACATCCAACTCATGCACCTGAGTTATTCATATGATCGAAAATGTATATACAATAATCCATTATTCTTTGATAATTTCAAGTCTGGTGCTGCAGTACAAAAGGTGTCAACACTATTGCAGAGCAATCGTTGCAGTCTGTTGCATCACCTCGCAACCCGGTTCTTATACGAGCTCGCGAGGTGGTGGAACTGTTTCGATTCGGGTGGTGCGATGTTGGTTGAGTGGCACAGGGTTTACTTGAACTTGGCAAGCGCTCTTCAACCAACCAGCGAGCTTCTTTGACCACTTGCCTGTTGAAGCTTTTGACAAAACACGTCAATTCGACCTCACCACCACGGGCGCCTCTCAGGGTCACCTAAACCACGACATGATATGCTAGAGTAAGTAGCCGCCAGCACTAAGCTTGCATTCTTTGCTCCTCCCGTATTCAGACGATGCAGACCACTGGAATTAGAGAGCGAGATCTTTCGACGCGACTCGACACATTAGGACCGGATTGAGAGGCGTTCAACGACGTTTGCCAGGTCAAGGCAATGCAGGTTTACCAAAGGATCTGATCCATTTATTCGAGTCATGTTAGGTTCTCTCAGCAAGCTAAGAATCTACTATACTAATCGACATGATTATGCCTATTAATAACCGCTTAACCCTTGGATACGAAGCCTGTATAGGGCTTAGTCTTACGTTAAAGACCTCCTAAGAATAACTCCGCATGAGGATTCATATAAGAAAAATCCTACCAAGTTCGTCGACGGCCTTTTATACGTGCTTCGGGGTGTTCGTAACGTTAGGTATACGGGTATTGATTAAGGTGATCAATTGTGATTGGCCTGGCAGACTACTAGCTTGCTAAGAGAACCTGACAGGACTCGGATATCTCTCGTGCGTCTTTCCACTTCCTTCAAAATATGCACGTATCCACAGTTCGCGTTGTACGATAGTTGCGAGCTTCGAGGAAGCGAACTTCACACACGATGTGTGTATAAAAGGAGTAGTCCCAGACTTCATTTCTGAAGTCCATATCTTTTCCTTCTCACAACAGGTCACTTCTTACCAACCATCGAAATCATGAAGCTTGCCCTGAGTCTCTCCGCTCTCGTGAGCGTCTTGCCCACCATTCTGGCGGCACAAGCATACATCCCTTATGCACGCTACGGCGGTGATCCATCTACCGACCGAGTCATCAACGCCGTCGACGGTCGCTTCTACGTCGGCAGACAAACAACCTTCATCCCTCCTCCATGGGGCCTCGACAACCCTGAAACGTACAACCACACCATCATCACCGGTCCCACCGGCGACAACCGCTGGTGGATGGGCGTCCTGCAGCAAGGCGGTCAAGCCATCTACCTCTCTTACGGCATGCCCGAATACGCCAAAGCGAGCACCAATGGCACTGAAGGTGGTATCATCAGTGCTAATGCCGATGTCTTTCAATTCAGGACTGAGGATTTGGGGGGTGGGAATGTTAAGCTTGTTAATGTTGAGGCTAAGGGGGAGGGCTCGGTGGCGCCTACGGTTGATTGGAGTGCTTGTCAGAGTGGTGATGATGATTATGCTGTGTATTCTGGTGGATTACTTCGATGCCATGCGTTTGAGATGGTGCTTAAGGTCACGGATGCTGCTGCTCCTCAGTACTATCATTATTGGGACGAGTAGATGGTTTGTGTCGGAGGAAAATGATTGTCGAAAAGGAAACTTGTACTAAATGGCCTACTTACTTGCATTGTTGCTTGTGCGGTATGCAGGAGACGTGGTACAAATTAGTCAAGTCATGGATAAGTGTAGATAGTTCAAAATTAATCATAACTGCAATGGCGGAAAGAACATCCTTTAGAATCAACATGACACATCTACATCAGACGGTTCAAACTGTCCATCGTATTCAATCAAAACACCAGCGCTGCAGTACAACAAAGTTCAACAAAAGAAGGAGCAACCAAAGCAGCAGCAAAAAACCGCTGCGGGAAACATCTTTTATACCAAAGTCTGTCGACGCGACCAACCAAGGCCTGAGTCGAACTCACAACCCCTGGATTCTATTTATGCTCGAGACTTTGGAGAGGTTTATTCAGAAGTTGATGAGGCCAGTCCAATTGGGCTAAACCCCCGATCTTCATGGAAGGATGTGAAGTTGGTGGAATTATGAGGGTTTGAAGTAAGTGAAGGAGTGATGGGGTTGGAGGTGGATCTTGGCTTGCTCACTTCTGTCTGTCAAAGATGTATTTGCTATCCCTGCGGTCTTCATGATAGTTCGAGGTCAGACCCAGAGTACTGACGCTGATGATGCTTGAATACACTATCACGCCCCGATGTATCTTAGACTTCTCGTTGCTGATTTCGTTCATCAGCCGACAACTCCCAATCTCCAATGTCATCTTATTCTGAGCATCTTCTGCTACTGTCAAATACATTTTCTTTGACGGAGGATGAAGTCTGCAATCAAACGACTATGCCTAGGGGGTACTAGTCATTAATCACGACATCCTATGATGATTCCAGATATTGGTATCGATTCCTACCACTCTGTGCCTCAAACCGTATACTCAACACCACATGCGCTTCGTTTGTTGGCTTTGCGATGCTCTTCGTCAACTTCATCTTGATCTGAGTGCTAAAGGCAGGTGCAACACAAGTGCACTTACCATGCTCGAGCAAATACTCGACGCTTGTTAGGGAAGCGGTGATCAACACCAACTCCTCCTGCCTCGAAAGCAAGAGCGTCACACTTTCGCCTTCCACTTCGACCAGGATTTGCATTGTTTACTCTTCCATCTTGGTTACAGCCATCCCTTCTTCCACCGCAAGCAGCATCTGATATCGTAATCCATCGTCAACGTTATCAGCACTCACAAGCATTATAACCCTATTGATACCCACAACATCACAATGTCTGGAAGACCCGATTCCAAGAGCCGTCCCAGCACTCCAGATGGCGGACGAAGTGCCACGCCATCGAGGTAAGAGACTTTGAATCAACTCAGCCATGATTACTAACAGATATCCATTCAGCCCCGACGAACAAGACGTTGAAGAACGACTTGACACCCTGGCGCTCCCATCGCCGGCCGTTCCGCTTTCAGAACCATCGCCCCATGCCAGAATTGTCCCTACCAGGGACAGAGATGATGCCGACATTCGAGAACCAGACCCCATACCTGCTCCAGACCAGAGGGTCAGACTCGATCAGAGGCCAGTACTCCGCCGAAGGGCAAGACACGACCCACTTAGGCTCTTCTCCAGGAGGGGTACCGGTGCACAGCCCCTACCAGCATACAATTCAGGCCCAGGCACACCAGTCGCAGGCCCATCCTCGTCGTCGCCATCTTCTACATCCTCCTCGAGTTCCACCTCCCAAGCGTCGTCGGCTGATTTTGCGAACGAATTGATTCAAGTTCGAACTGAGCCTATCCGAGTCCGGACACAGCCTAATGGCGCCGCTGGGCCTCAGATTCCAACTGAACCCGATGTAGCTGCTGCTCAGAGACTCGGCCTCCCCCCTGTCCGACGCATCTCATGGCCTCACGACGAGCCTAGGTCTGGGTTCCACAGGTGCAGGAGCTGGTGCGCAACAAGCTGCAAGCAGATGTTCAACGCTGCTAAGTTCTGGGAGTCAAAGAAGAAGGATTGATCACCGCCCCTGATTTGATCCCACCGTCAACAGTCTATTTTTGATACCTTCTTTTGAATAAACACATTCCTTTTGCGGTTTTCAGACTCATACGTCGTGATCAACAGCGACCATTGCAGTGCACAGTATGGTTGAGGCCTTTGGTTGAGTTTTCTGCACTCTCTGGCCTCATTCTTTACTTTCAAAACTCATTTTGTGATTCTGTGGGTGTTCCTGATGCGAGTGAGTAAAGAGCGGTTTTCGACCGAGGAGATTTGGGTCAAAGTAGCTCTTTTCGTACCATCGTTTCATTTTGAAGAATTTTTATGCATTTTACAGCCTCTGTTCTCAAAGGCGAACATGATCGGAAGAGGGCGGGTAATGGATGTAGAAGCGAGAAAATCGATTGATGTACAAAAAAAAGAAACGAATTCAATTGGGGAATATACAGAACAAAGAACAAAACAAACGACTGTACAGAAAGAACAAGAAACGAGAAACACAACAAAACAAATCTGGGGGACTCAGGAGATTACAATTACCGAATTCTTTCCTCCTCTTTTTGTCAAGGGAAAATCCTTTACTTGGCATGATAAGTACCAGCGACAACCCTCCTGACCTCATTAGTCCTCTTCCAACCCGCATCACTTCCACCGGCACTTTCATCGGCGAATGGATCGGCCTCTTTGTTTTCTTCCTTGACGGAAACGCTCAAGTGTGATCCAAGACCAGCACCGACGACTTCCCATTTGGCCTCTACGTGTCCAGCCTTTGCCTCGCCGTCAGGGGTTTGGAAGCGAGCGAGAAGTTTGCCGGGAGTGGAGGAAAGAGTGATGGAGCCCAATTGCCAGTAGATCAGATTCTTGGCCTTATCAAAGTTTCCGACAGGCTTGGAGAGGCAGGTCGAAGGTCTAGAACCAGAAGGATCGAGGTAGAGCATCCAGACTACGTTCTGCAGGGTGACGCTTGTTTGTCCAGCAGGCAGAGTGAAAGCTGGGTTGAGACTATAGCTGAGAATGGCGGAAGTCTGCGTGGGCTCAATCTTCCAAGCGGGTGTGAGGAGGAGAGGAGCAGCGCTGGTGCCAGGGGAAGAGACTTGGTACTTGAATGCCACAGCTGTCTTGGAGATTCCGGAGAGGTTGACTGAATACTCGCCTGGGTTTTGGCTAGCAGCGGTAAGGAAGGCAGGGTTGGGAGCAACCTTCTCCAAGCTCGAGAAGCCGTCGACGCGGATACTCTCGCTGCCGAAGGGAGAGTTGAAATTGGTAGGGTTGTAGGCAAGAGCAATTTCACCAATGGTGACACTGCGGGTAAGTTGGCCATGCTCGAACCAAGCACTTACAGTCTCGATGATGGAGCTGTTAAGACCAGGCTCGTGCAAGTCAGGATGCTTGTTACTCTGACTCTGCGAGCTGCTGAGAGAACGACCGGAACGAATAGAGCCAGCATCGTAATCACTTTCGCCAACACGAGAGGCCGGGCGTGCAAAAATACTAGCTGCAGTGGCTTGGGCAGAGCCATGGAAGGGCGAGAATGCGGATGAGCCCGAGGCAAACATCGGAGAGGAGGGGCTTTGGGCAGATGGCAGAGACGATGTTGAGATCTCGAGAGGTGCTCTTGTCGTCTCTTGGAAGACCTGTGGAGGCGGCGAAATGGTGCGAGCGGGCTCCTCTTCGGTAGTAACATCCGGGGTGGTGACCGGTGACTGGCCATATACACTAGCACGCATGTCACGACGGCCACGAACAGTACCTGCTCTACGCGAAGTGGGAGGAGGTGCTTGCATCTTAAGAGTGTTAGCGACACTGGTAAGAGCAGCATCACCGCCTTCCTCGGCGATGGGAGCGTTGCGAATGTCCAATTTGAACTGAGGCTGGTTGGCCTCGTTCGCCTCAGCAGCTTCTTGCTCGGCCTGCGAGATGAGATCGGCAGCGGGTGGCGGCTCAGAGAAGCCTTCGTTGTCGCGCACAGGCTATAGTCGTCAGCTGATGTATGCAATTGTTCAAGTTAGAGTTGACTTACCTGCGTAGGCTGCATTGGCTGCATGGGTCGCATGGGCTGCGAGAAATCGGAGACGGGTGGCTGGGGAGAAGACTGGAGGGGCAATGAAGCCTGCGATGGTTGCAAAGGCTCCTGCAGCTGTGACGCAGTGTTCTGCTGGTAAGGAGAGTAGGACGACTCGGGAGCGAGACCAGCAGCAGCCAGAGACTGAGCGGAACCATCAATAGGCGGCAGTTCCTTATCACCGTTTGTAGTGCCACGGTACGATGAATTGGTGTTGCTAGTCATGGTGCGGAGCGGAGAGCGAGGGCGGCTGGGAGACTCCTCACGCTCTTCAAGCGGAGTGGGCAAGTCGTTGCTACGTCCAAATCTACTGGACAAAGAGTTGAAGGCCGAGGGTCTGGATGGCTTGCGCTCAGGAGACTCCGAGTCTCTGCTGGGGATGATCTTGCTGTCGCGATTCTTTCGGCCAAGAACAGTGCCCAGTCTCTTCAAGCCCTTGAAAGACTGCTTTTTGGCAGGTTCTGAAGCATAGCTTGTCGAAGCTGCTGTTAGGTTAGTCGTTGTTCAAAATACATTCCAGCAGCGCGCTTACCAGTGCCAGAGCGCATACTTGCGCCATCGTCGTGGTGATCAGTAGAAGCCGGTGTAGGAGCCAGAGACGGGGCAACAAACATGGACTGGCGGCTTCTGGGCTTCTCCTTCGGCACCATGTCACCGCTAGCAACACGAAGAGCATATGTCTTGATCTCATCGGCCGTCTCGACGTTCAACAGGATGTTCAAAACGGACTCTGCAGACACTCTGGTCTTCTCGATGGCGTCGATCTCGTGCGTTTGGAATTGAGTGAGGACGTCTCGCAGATGGTTCAGTCTGCTCTCGTCGAGAGCTTGTAGAGATTCGAAGACGTAGGGCGCCTGTGCAGACCACTGCGATTGAGCGCCTTCGAGCTCAGTGTCCGCACGAGAGGCGGCGGTTGAACCCTTGCGATTCAAACGATCCGACTTGTTTTGAGCATTCTCGACATCGCGGGCCATGGAGGTGAGGTTGCCTTGGATGGTGGACATGGCCTGCATTTCCCGGTTGCTCGAGCCGAAATCGCGTAGTGGTCGCTCGACATCGACTTCAATTCTTTGGGCCAGAACCTGATGCGATTCGGCCAATGTGTCGAGAGCCGAGGTGAGGGTGGTCCATGGTACCGAGAAGATGCTGAATTGGCTCGTCGTCAGCGTGTGTTTACCTAGTCGATGGACGGGAAGGTGTTACCCAAGGTCTTGGGCCGAGTCACCAGGCGGAGATCGCCTTGCAAGCTTGCGCAAACCGGCAGAGTATTGTTCCTCGAGCCTCCTTCGTTCCTGCCTTGTATGAGCACTCGTCGAGTCTGTGTGGTGCGACGCGAAGTCGTCTTACTTGAAGCCAATCGGCGATGTCGGAATTGAGACGGCCAACTTGACGGACGCGATCGTTGAGGACACTGATAGCCTGGCCAGGCTCAAGTGTGGCCTGCAATTGCATGTGTTAGCCCTTGCGCATCTTCTCGGCGTGAACGACTCGGCTGCGTGCTGTTGTCGTTGCCGGCCACTGTGCCTCGGCGCGGCGCTGAGTGAACATACCACCATAGTCGGATACTCTTGCCTATCCATTGCGACTGATATGCGCGCGTCCAAAGACCAACACAAAGCAGATACAAATAACTTGACTGAAGGAGCGTGTTGTTTAGGTTCCTGCAAGAGGCAGGCACGAACCCTCCCAAACGATGGCTAAACCGCTGCCGGCACGCCCGACCATCACACGTCATTGTCATTGGCCCGACCACGCCCGCTCGCTTCCGCCAACCACCCACGAACCATCTCCACAGTCCACATCGAGTCCTCCTGCCTCTTTGAGTCTTTGACTCCTTGGAGACTTATAAACTGATTACAGGTTCTGATCGATATGCGATCACTTGCCCTCTGCTGTACACACCGTTTGCGATATGACAGTCGGACATAGACTTGCCATTCTGCCTATCAACTTCTGCTTCAAACTTCCAGGATACAGAAATCAAGAGGCTTGTGCAAAGCAAATAACAAAAATGGTAGAATGATCAATTCAGACTAAACAGCCAAATCAGAGAAAGAAGATAAGAGTACAGTAGAAGGTGATTGAACCGAATATAAAGAGAAGGACAGAGATAAAGAAAATAAGTCCAATGTATCGCTATGCAGGGCGAACAGGCAGGTAAAAAAAAAAAAGTAATCGAGAATGGCGACAACGCAACAAAGATTTTGGAAAGCGCGATGACCCCATTCCATGCTGTTTCGCCGCCCAAAAGAGATCAAAACACCCTCTTTCTACCCTCTGCTCCTCGCAAAAAGAACTATCATTTCAATGATAAGGCAGGAACAAAAAGACAGCCCGTTCCATAAAAAAACATTCCGTTAAACACATCCATCCAACGCCTTTGCGCCTGATGGGTTCGTCCTCCCCGTGTCATCTTCTTCCTTTTTGTACTTTCGGTGGTCCGCCAAAGATAATCTTGCTCTTCCTCCAGAAGACACGATGCTTACTTCTTCTGCTTCATGAACTCGATGGGTTGGCTAGGGTCCGCGGGATCCAGATACATCAACATGACGGTACTAAGTTCCTTGAAGTCGACAGGCTTGGTCACATAGCTGTTGAATCCTGCGTCTACGCACTTGGCGTATACATCTCCCATGACGTTGGCAGACAGTGCAACAATCGGCAAGTATGGCTGTTTGTTCTTCTTCTCCCACTTACGGATTTCTCGACACGTCTGATAACCGTCTTTGTTGGGCATGTGGAGATCGCACTATGCTGATGTTAGTCGAGTCGAATGGTATATCATTGCACTATGCTTACCAGAATGATGGAATAGTATCCATGGGGGTTAGCAAAGACTTTGTCGGTACATTGCACACCATCCAATACTGTGTCAACCTTCACGTTGACCTTGCTGAGGAACTTGAGAAGAACCTGCACAATTGTCAGCCATATCCAAAACGTATCCACAGCAGTTCCACTCACCATCTGGTTGACACGATTGTCCTCAACCAGCAGTACCCTCTTGTTCTTGTTGCCCAGACGGCGTATCATCTCTTCGTATACTTGCTTCTGGCTGACGGCCACCTGTTGCGCTGAATCCTGGTTGCGGTCGGTGCTCATCTCACGCTCTTTGCGCGGGTCAAAGATTGCGGCAAACTTGCTTGGCTTAAGTGGCTTGAAGATGAATTGCATCCTCCTTTGCTTTGACAGTGCATCATAGTCGTATTGCGGAGCTTGCTCCATAAGCTTTCGTCGTTGTTGCAAATCAGTAATAAGCACCAGCTGTGTTGAAGAGTGAGAAACCGAGGACAAGACCTGCTGCACAAATGCGATAATTTCCGGAACAGATTGCAGGACCAGAACGATATGCGAGAAGATCATTGGATCGTCACCGCCAATCATCTTCTGACACTCCAGCACATTTTCTCTGGCTGTGATCTTGTGAGGGATATTCTTGGGCAATGTCATATCCATATGCTGAACTGTTGCCTCGCGAGCGTGCAGGAGAGGGCAGACAACCAGGATCGAGTACATAGGAGGTAAGTGGCTACCACCAGGGGTGACCATTCTGATGGTAGATTGTGGAGCGACACCAGTGCCACTCGAGTCGCTGATTGCCGAGCTGGCTGATTCAGCGCGACCAGGCTTCCCTCCGGAAGGAATCTCCAATTCAATTGGTGGCGAGAGTGACATGAGAGATGGATCAGGCACGAATGATGACGCAGAGGACCTGACCGACTGAGCACTACCAACGGTACCGGCTCTGATTGATGGGTCCGAGCTTGCAGAAGAAGAGGTGACTGGAGATGCTCTGTCAAAGTCTGGTGATGGTGCATCCACGACATCTGACAGCGGCCGGGGTGAGCCACTGAAGGGGATGTTGAGCGTGTTGGATAACCTAGGATCTTGCATGATTGTCGGCATAGGCGAAGGTGACATGGGTGTAGCGGGCAGCAGCGCAGGGCCTGGGGTAGAAGGTGGTGGAGGCGGCTTATCGTCTCCAGCCGGTAGAGTCGTCTTGATGATGAAGGTGAAGGTGGCTCCCTTACCAGGAACACCTCTTGCACTCATGTCACCTCCGTGCAGCTGAGCAAGTTGACGTGAGATGACGAGACCGAGACCTGTTCCGCCATGCTGTCGAGTACTACTTCCGTCAATTTGGCTGAAGCGTTTGAAGAGATACTGCGCCTCCTTCTCGGTAAAGCCTTGACCAGTGTCCATAATGTCGAACTGAATATACATCGAGTCATCGGTTGGCAGGTTCTCTTCTTCTTGTGGGACGCTGCAGCGAATAAACACTTCACCGACCATTGTGAACTTGATTGCATTGCCAATGATGTTGAGCAGAATCTGGCGAATACGGAAGCGGTCGCCCTTGATTTGAGAGGGGACGTCGGGTTCGACGAGATAATTCAACTCAAGGCCTTTGTCGATAGCCATGGCAGAGGTAAGGTCGTTGACTTCTTCGATAAGAGAACGGACATGCATCCAGTCCATGTTAAGCTGGATCATGCCAGCCTCAGCCTTTGAAAGGTCGAGAATATCGTTGATCAGACCACGCAATCCTTCTGTGGAAGCTCGAATGATGTTCACATGCTCCATCTGCTCTGAAGTCAAACTGCTGTCAATCAAGAAGTTGACCATACCAGTGATGCCGTTGAGTGGCGTTCTGATCTCGTGGGACATGTTGCTCAAGAAGCGAGACTTCTCATCCATGGTCTCCTTCAAGTCACGCTCAAGAGCCTTGTGATCATTGATATCGGTGCAAGTCCCATACCATGTCTCCTCTTCGTCTTCTTGTAAGTCGCGCTCAGCAAGTAGGACTCTGACAAGGTGCCACCTGTATTCACCATCTTTTGATCGCAGTCTAACTTCGGTCGAGTATGAGGGCTTTCCATCAGCATCTCTCGAGACTTTGAGAATACCAGTAGAGGCCAACTGCGAAAGTCTTGCCTGAGGCAACTGTGTGGTTGGCGATGTGTTGACAGGACTAGTCGGTGCACGTTCAGTGTCAGATGATGCGCTTGATGACTGAGCAGAAGATGACTGTGTTCTACGCGGCTCTGGTGGCATGGTGGTTGGGACATTGGTCGCATTGGTCGAGTCGTTCTCGAAAGCAGGCAACCTGCACTTGACAATATCATCTGGATGCACGTGTTCCATAAAGCCGATGCCCAGAGCCTGCGTCTCGCTTTGACCAGAATAGTTAAGCCACTGTGAGTTGCAGAACGTGATACCCTTGGACTTGTTGACGGTGAATACGACCTGAGGGCTCGAGTTGGCCAGTGCTCGGTATTTGGCCTCTGAAGCAGCAGTCTCTTGTTGGCGGGCAAGGTTCAGCTCGGCCAGATGCTGTTCGTGGAAGTCCATGTTTGTACCAATCCAGTGAACAATGTTTTGTTTCTTGTCTTTCAGTGGAGCCGCTCGGACGTAGAACCAGCGATAGTTACCGTCAAATCGCTGAAGACGGATCTTTTGTTGCAATTGCTGGCCTGTTCGCAATGACCTGTTCCAGCTTTCCATATATTTGCTTCTGTCTTCGGCGTGAATAGCTTGCCAAGGTTCTTTCAAAACCTGCCTAGAATCATGCCCGCGGTAGACCAAGAACTTCGAGTTCACCCATGTAATGGCACCAGATCCAGGTGCAGCAGTGAAAATCTGTACAGGCAAGGAGTCAATGATTGTGCGCAACAAGCGCTCCGATGGTGGGGGCATCTCTTCGGAAATGGAGCTTGCTCTGACGTGACTGGTTAGCCCAGGAGTTTTCGGACCAGGCGTGGTTGCAGCAGGAAGTCCTTGGAATGACGAGCTGAAGTCGGCACCGTATGAGTGCAAAACTGAATGGCGCTTGTCTCCTTCGGCCACAATTGCGGGTGGGGGTGCATTGCTACGGAAACTGGGCTTCCTAGCAATGTCGACAGTCTGTGTAGGGCTTGGCTCGCGACCAGCAGGTTTGAGTGGAGACTTGTCCTCTTTGCCGGAACGAGATTGCCTGGGTCGTCTTTCGCTCTTTGGGCCTGGTTGGTCGTCATCGACTGCGGAGATTGAGACTCTTTGGCTCCTGTCCTTCGCAGGCGTGGTCAATGACGTCTGATTACTAGCAGCGCCTGTTGATCGATGCATCTTCTTGACATCAAAGTAGCTGTCGTTTATCTCGGTTCCACGAAGACCAGCTGGTGTACCAACCACAGATTTGCTGTTGGAGTTGAGGCCAAAGGCGGCGGGGTCCCAGCCTGGAGTGCCGACTATGGAACCAGAAGGACTATGTCTTGAACGTCCAGAATAGTCGGATGGACTAGTCATACTCCCAGAGATGGAACCAGCGACTTCATCCAGATCAGCGCGGATGAGATCATCCAAGTTTCCAGGAGCAATGTTTAATGGCGCGAAGCCAACGTTGTGTCCTGTGATACTCTTTCGGTGACGAACACCCATTGCTTGATTATGAGCGTTGGTGTACTGATGCGCCATGTAGTAAGAAGTCGCCAGATGGGGGCCAAGCAATTTGAGAGACTGGATGAGGTTCTGAGGATATGGCACGGCGGGACTGAGAAGGGACAGAATGGCAATGGGCGCTTTACGATCACCACTAGACACCTGTGACATGGACTGGGCGCGACTTTCGGGGCGAGATTCCGTGTTGGGCGACTCGGTACGGTAGTTGTGCATTATCGGTGACAATGTTGGGTGGATAAGAGGTATGTGCACAACAGTATGAGCTCGATCGACTCCGATTGCTTCGACTGGTTCCAAGTGTGAATAGTCATGGGCGGCATCGGTCGGGTTGAAAGAATCTTCGACGCTCTCCTCTGCCGTGAAGAAAGGATTATTGTCTGGATCGGCTTGGATAGCAGGCGAGGGTGCAGGTGACTGGGCCCAAGGTGAAGGTGGATATTGTTCATATTCCTCGAAGGCTGATCCGCGACGTTTGTTGTTATTGTTGTCCATTTGCGAGAAGAGGGTACGGAAGCCTTGGGGAGCTTTGCCGGCCGTTTGCACTGGTAGTTGAGATGGTGGCGGCGGTGGTGGTTGTTGCTGCTGCTGCTGCTGAGTCTTCGATTTGGCTGAAGCAGCGGCTTCCTCGTGTGAGCTATTAGAAGAGCTCTGGCTGTCATGACCGTTGGTCGAGTAGTCACGCGTTAGCGTGATCAGCTTGCCTCTCTCCAGCACTCTGTTGATACCACTCGAATCAATCAAGCCGTCCACTTCGAAGTCCAAGCCTTTGAGTACAGGATAAACGGCAAGTTGAGTTGGCTGGCTGTATCCACCAACACTACTGAACTCTGGTTCGCTGACAGATGTGCTACGGTAATTGCGAAGGCGGTAATCGAGACCTGGAGATGGCATTGGAACATTTGTTAAGCTGGGTGCATGGCTGACAGTGCGTGAAGGCATGTTTGGGCGTAATGCAGAGCCTGCACGTTGGGGTGCATCAGCAGTACCTTGTCCGGCGTACGAATGGCGAGATTCGAGACTTGGACGGACACGGCTCAAAGGGGATGGGTCCGGGACAGAACGTGGAGGCAAAGATAGCACAGGAGGCGCCTGCTGGGTTGACGGTTGCCCCTCGTACTGTTCATCCTCACGACCAGCAACATTGAAAGTCGTCTTCTGACCCCAAGGCACATTCTCAATGTCGTTTGAATCGGCAGGAAGAGCCAAACTCGCTCGATCTGCCTTGTACACGTCATTCATAATATTGGCAACTGATGACCACCAAGCTTCCAGGCCAGGCTCTGAGTTGAGTTGCAAGACAAGATCATAGACATTAGGAGTCGGGAAACGAGGATCCTGACTCGGCGCGAACTCGAAGCCGTGAGGAGCAAAAGCTGCACCAGTAGCGGCGGGGGTAGTTGCACCAGACATGGGCATGCCACCAGGGGTGCTGCTATCACCAGATTGGGCGGCCGATACAGTTGGCGATAAAGCGGTAAAAGGTTGGTGGAAGGATGACGACCATGTACGTGGGGTTCCAGGAACGTACGGGAAGGGGTACGACGGTGTACGCAACGGCATAGCAGCCGGAGTAGCAGTGGCGCTTCCACGAATAGTACGAGCTGATGACGAGGTCGAGTCTGTGGAGGCCGTTTGGGTGGTGGCCAGAGGACTGCTAAAGGCAGCGGTGAGAGGGGACATGGTAGGAGCATGTTCCTCCTTGATAGGTGATGGACGACGAGGCAATTGAGTAGAGCTGGTCGAACGGGTGACGGAAGGAGCCAGCGAGGAATCAGGCTGGGGTTGATACAAAGATTGTTGCTGGTGCTGTTGAGCGGCTAAGTTGGCCTTTGCCCGCTGCAAATTAGATGTCATCCTGGCAGTGACGGCGGCGCGCAGCCTCGCTATCTCTGCCTCGTCCGGACTGACCGAAGGAGCGCTGTCCTCAGATGAGGGAGGCTCGTTTATTGTCGGAGTGTTTTGACTGTGCGGCGGCGAGGGTCGCAGTGTCGGGCGCGATTGGACTTTGCTGGCGGCAGTGGTGGGTGCAGGAGCGGGAGTCGCGCTAGGGGTGGCGGCATCGTCGTCGTCGTCGGTATCGTCCCTGTACGGCGGCGGGGCCATGTTTGAACGCATGGCAGCGTCGTTGTTTGTGGTGGGAAGACCAGACATCCCCCTTCGGGCTCGTTCGGGCCTCAGCACCGTAGGGCCAAGTCTTGTTCAGCAAAGCAGCGCGCAGCAGATGGGCCCGTGGACAGAGGACGCATCCGCAGCTTCTCAGGAACAAGGGCGATTGCGGCGTGTGCAGAGCTGCTCGACCGGAGCTCGTCGTCGAGAGCGAATAGCGAGGTGGATCGAGAGGGCTAGTCCTGGTCGTGGTATGCCTCGTCCAAAGCGTGCAGCAGCCGCTTGAAACAGCCAGCCCGACGACTCTCCCAGGCTCGCAGCGAGTGCCCTGCTCAAAACCTCTTGGCTGCGACGTCATGCCTCACGGTCCAGCACGAGTCTCTTTGACGCCCCCAAACTCAATTTCGAATGGCAATGTGCGCCTTGCAGCGAGAGATGCACCTGGATTGATAATGTCTTCTGCATTCAAAGCCTACAAAATCCCTCGCGCTCTATGCTTTGTTGCGCTGTGATATCCTATCCAGACTGGTATTCGCTACCTGATCTGCGCCTGCCGGTTTGGCCCTGTGCATTCGCCCGTCCCTGTTCTTGCTCACACAACGTTTATGCATTTGCCTATGCTTTGCAACCTTTCTTCCTCGCTCCCTAACGATCTCTCAGTGTCGGAACAGGTTTTGATTTGTCGCGCCTTGATCTGTTTACTCCTTGACTCGTTATTCTCCTCCTATTCTCGTCTCTTCGTCTGGTCTGCAAGCCATCAATAATTCGCAATCGTCGATGTGTTGTCTAGACCATGTCGAACCGTTCCCGCACCATGTTTGGTGGCGCTTCCAGACAAACATATCTCTGCACGATCACTCGCAACCGACTTTTGGCTCTTGCCATGGTCCCTGATCTCCCTCCATACCTCTGATCTTCACAATGCATCGCTGTTTACGATGTTTGACCGTTAATCATGATCGAGGTTTCGTGCTTGGAGATCGTCGCAAGCACGACTCGATTTCGATAATTCTCCTGAACCACCCGAACGACCAACGCGCACTTTATGTCCCTGACAGTCCAGTGCATGGAAATGTTCATGTTCAGCTTAAAATCGTGCACGGTCAATCGCGTTCTCTTTCGCTCAGAAAATGCCATTTCTCAAATAACGAGTCTACGAGCCTAGACCGGGCTCCCTGTTCCTCGACGCCGCGCAGCTGCTCCTTCCTTAAGCAGGAGTGTCATTTCCGAGCATCCACAAATGGTCTACCTATATTCCGACTCTAGATCCTCTTTCACCAGGAAATCCTTGCGAGCTTGAAAGACTCAAGTTGTGCAGCTCCTTGCATAGTGTGGCGGACTAAAGTCCGAGCCGTCTCCAATACCATCGCCTGACAGCACCAGACAACACCCGACACAACGGCACGCGCGCTTATCATGGCTTCTTTCTATGATGAAGTATTTGTCGTAGCCTCGTAGGCTTGGAGACAAAACAGCCACCTTGTCATTTATCGGTGAGTAAGTATTCGATAATTAGGTGGAAAGTACTCCGAGTGGATGGGCTTTTGCTACTTTTCGAATTCGGTGTACCTTTTGCCGATCATCTGTCACGAGCCGCTAGTAGATCTCGGTTCCCCCACCACGTGGAATTGCTTGACGAGATCGGAAGCATTTTTTATTCCGAAGCTGTATAACAACTACAAAGCAGACTCCAGGCGAGGTCAAACTACTCGGCACCAGGTAATCGTCCTTGACTACTCGAGTCTTACCAAGGTAGGATTACACGATCGCAGAATTGTCCATGATTCCATCGAACTATGTTGGACCAGGGTCCAATAAAACTCCGCGGCCTGGTGAACTCCTCATAAGCTTGTTTCTTCTTGAAAGTCTTGACTTTCTAGTGGCTCAAGACTGGATGCCAAATTGCAGTTCATCCACAACGTTGTCTTCGATGTGAGCAAGAATCTTTCTAACAGTACCACTGACAGGGCTCATTCTGCTTTCATGGTCTGCGATTGGACTTTTTGAAGCATAGCCACATCTACTCGAGTAGAGACTCACAAAACTATCCACGACTCTGCACGATTCTGCTCACATCCTGCATGCACCAGCATCCCTCTTGCAAACCAAGTGGCAGCCCTGAATCCACTCACTCGAGTGCAAAAGAAGCTTCAAACATCTTTCTTGTGACGGACAGAAGAAGTGCAAAACGTACAGCAGCAGGGATTCCCACGTGGTCACCCACCGTAGTACTAATCTGCCGTTCAACTGCTTATGTATGGCAGAGCGGACGGGATGCCCAGTTTTCAGCTGACTGTGGCCGTACGTGCTTGTTACCCAAATTCCAAGGTACTAGTATTGACAAAACTTTGCAATCGCGAATACCAGTGCGGATTCTAGCATCCAAGCGCACGACTCCAGAAGTCGTTGTTGACATCTTCGGCGACGTTGGCCAGAACGGGTGGTGTCTCGCTTCTAACTCGCATCCGAGTATGCTAGGGCAAACACGAGCCTGCACGAAACGTCGCGTACCTCTATATGCCGTCTGTTAGGGGTATGGAATTCCTTTTTACCACTATCGCGAATAGCACTTACGGTTTTCGAAATGTGCCTACGTGTGCTCGACAGAGGGGGACGCTGTTTAACGCATTCGGAGCGAGAAGGCTATCTGGCCCGGTCCTTGTTGTCACGAAGCGACGTGTTCAATCTCGGAGGCTACAATGGCCGATGGACATATTTGATGAGAAGGTATGAGGATGAACTCTTCAGTCGTCGGAAAGGCTGCAGGCCTGATCCGAGATTCTTAGGAAGGCATCGAGATGTTGATCGTCTGTCTGTTTGGCACTTGTGGCACGTTGAGCATTGTTGGAGACCCCACATCGTTGCCTTCCAAGACTGACAGCCAAATGCCGGTCGCATGAAACTGAATCATGAAGTCGGTAAAGGTCTGTGCGCACCATTCTCTCAGGCCAACCTCAAACAGCCTGGAGTTCCACGTCTGTTTGATCCTTGCTCACGATTGTAATTATGTTCAAGAGATGAATCAAACATGCTCGAGGGAGGAACAGGCCGGGATTTTCTTGGATTTTTGGTACGCCGTCCAACACGTCTGCCATAATCTTCCATGTTCTTCCTGTATAGAACATTTGCATATCCTCCGGCGACATGAATGGGCATGGCCTTTCTCCCTATCTGTTCTTTTTCATGAACTTCGTAGCTCTGGCTCAATCACTGATTTCCAGAATCTGGGTCGTTGAAATACGAGAAGATTACACGATAGAGGACCATCTCACATTCGTGGGCAGAAAAGTGCCCATTCATGAACGTATACGACTACAACCACATCACGACGCATATACCATTCCATCCTCGAATGATGATAACAATCTCATCAGCGCTATTCGCAGCGATCCCGGCGTGGGGTTCGTTGTCAAGGTGCCTCGGAACTACTTGCGACCCATTGAAGAAGCCTTTCCATATGGCTTTGACGAAGACGATGAAGAAATTTATACTGCTCAAAGAAGCTGGTTTGGTCTCCAAGAAGCAGATCCCGAAGTTCAGGTTTCGGATTTAGGAGGACAGTAAGTCATCGGAGTACCTTTTTCTCCCTCTTCTGCACATTTGATTGATATCGATTCTTAGCAAAATGCCCTTTTCTTGGTATGTAACGCTCAGCACCGATTACAATATCGACGAGCATCTTGAAAACACCGGAGTGGGGTCAGGAATCATAAAACGAAAGATCTATCAACACGATGATCACCACTACAGCATCTCTCTATACGACAAAGTATCAGAAATCTGGTACTTGTCCCTGGCTCACGAAGATTACGGCGTCGAGATTATTCTGCCAACTCGCGGTTATGGAAACGGTGCTGTCATTCATGATGTGAGTCCAGGCTCCATGAATACTTTGGACGAGAGAAAACCTCAAAAGAACTGACGATATGTTACAGTAGGAGCTCCAGTGTGGCCATTCCCTCTGGCCGGACAACAGTCATGAGTACGACCTGGCCACAAATCACGTCCTCTGAAAAATTGGTATCAACATCGTCGGGGTTTTTCCACGAGTGTAGGCAGAACTCCATTTTAAGCTCGAATAAGCTGTGGTTAACATTGGATTAGGCAGAACCTCCGTCTGCTTCTTGTTTTCTCCTTGTCAGCGATTACACAGTCACATCGGTTGTTGCGGTCTCGTCTTTGGAGAGCTCCTCCAAGGTACTTGCTCAACTGGTGGCGCTGTTCATCCTGGATTGACAGAGATTCACTTCGCTCTCATCTTTTTCTCGCAAGATCACAAGTCAGTGTTGCAATGGCTGAATGGTCTGTCATTCTATCACTGTAGCTCGTAGTAGGGAGGGACTGTTGAGGACAAGAAGTACAGCTTGTCAACAAGTTCAGCCCATACGAGCCTCACGGGGGTTCGTTTTCGACACGCATACTAAGAGTTGAATTCTTCGACTGCTCAGCTCGATCTACCATTCCTTGTATTTCACAATACCATCATCACCCAACAGAAACTTCCACTTGTCTTGTAGCCGTCCACTCATCCGCCAACCTTTGGGCGCATCCCAGTATAATTTCCTACATTCTCTTTCCCTTCCCTCATCCTTCGCCCCCCTCACACCAGGAGCCAAGTACAAAAACCCAATCTTCTGTCTTTTCCGACCTGTCCTTCCACTGGGACGTACCTCGAGACTCACACGCATATTCCGAAGTGAAGGCATACGAGCAGCTGCGTGTGCGGCTGCCGTAAACAGAACCTCCAGTTCAGCAGTAGGTTTTGTGCGAAAGTAAGCAGATGGCTCCTCGCCATTGAGCCGGAGATCGCGTTTTTCATCGTCGTAGCCATAGGAATCCGGAGGCAGTTCATTCATGGCGAAGAATGAATCGCTCGAGTCATAGCCAGATGAGGAAGAGTTTTGACTGCTTGTGCGATCGTGGAAAATGTGGCCTGAATACTCGAATTCATCCTCTTCGCCTTCATCTTCTTCCTCCTCTTCGCCGTGTGAATCGCTGCCTCGATCGGGATCTAATTCGATATACCAGCCACCATCAGGTCTTACTAAGCTGAGCTCTACGGTAACAACCTTCAACTTTTGCCATTGTTGCTGTTTTTCTTCGTCTTCTTCATCTTCACCTGGACTTCGGAAAAGCTCTGGACCAACACAAATTGACCCGCTCAACTTGAAATTAGTCAGACTCGGAGCAGCTTGCCAGAATCGCTGTAATGCGGTTGAAACATCGTCGACATCGGGCGAGTGGAAATCACCGCGAACATTCGCATTGACAAAGCTTTCGTTCGCCGGTTGAACATGTCTCAGTTCGAAATCGAATTTCTGAAGACTCTGTGGTGTAGGCATAGAGGTCAACTGCTTGGCAAATTCGGACCGCAGCTGCGTTCTTCTATTCGGTCGTTTCCTCTCCATATCTGAGATCGAGAAATTCGTGGAGATGAGATTAGGGAGTCTCGACATGATGCCAGGAGCGATTGCCGGTGCTAGCTTACGTGCAGTATCGCCATTGATCGTCAATGAAGTCACGTTGTGTAAGATAGGCAAGCTTTCGGGCTGAAGTAGTTGGAGATATGAGTCTTGGTAGCGGAGCTCGAATAGATCATGTCTTTTTCCCAAGGATTTGGCCATTTCGTGTGCCCTCAGTGTCTCGGTATCTCGACGGTTGATGTCCATGGATGAATAGAAATAAAGAATGTTTAGGTCGATCGGCCTGGAATCATTGCCGGCGTCCATGACCTCTAGCAGGGTAAAGAGGCCTACGAGCGCTTTACCAAAAGCCTCATCGTTGATCTGTCTGTCTGCTTGTCGTTCGAATCGGCCACAGGCGTTATCATCGTAGTCCGGAAGATGAACGCCATAGTTGACGCGTCTGACCGATGTACGGCGGTGGACGTGCGACGACTGCACAACAGCATGATTGGACCTTTCCAGCTCGTCTGAGGAGAGAGACAGCTGAGAGAAAGTATGCTGTTCCACAGTGCACTGCCAAGCTCGAGATATCGTGGCATAAGGAGCCAATGTTTTTTGTCCGATCGCAAGGAAGGAGAAAATCCTGGTCAGAAGTTCCGGAGGCAACGTTTCCATCGTACACTGTTCTAGTGGAGGGTTGTCCAACTATATATATTGAGTGTAATGATGGAAGAGGTGGAAAGGGGGCTGGGCTCAAGGCCACCGTGTAAACCAGGCTTAATGTCGGCGTTTCCTGCATGTTGTTTTGTAGAAAAAAGCACTGTACGATATAACAGAGAGTGGACCATTTATCTGGACCTATGTTACAACAGATATGAAGGCGGCAATCTTTAAGAGCTACGCAATAAACGCATATATCTAAGAAGTGTGGAAGACTAAATGGGTTCGTTCAGAAGGTCGAGGGTGCTGTTTCCGGATCTCATGCGAAGCTGTCCGGATGGCAACGCGTGGTTGTTTGGCACGCGTGATCATGTGGGAGACCCCGCGTCGTTGCCATCAAGTATGTCCAGCATGTTCGCTTCATCGCGCTGCTCGACAACTTAACATCGACCAATCTCTCTTCTTTCCTGAGAATCATATAGCCCTAATCTTATCCTTCGATTGTACGTTCCCGTTATCCCAGTGATTCATGCAAAACTCCTTCCGACACAAAACTTGGAACGAGATGTCCTGACAACAAAACGTGCGATTTCAGTCAGCACATCAAAAAAGCTCAGTCTGAAATCGAAAATTCAAATTTCCTCTCGACACAAGGACACCAGTCACTTCAAACGAGTACTTCCAATACTAACAGCCTTAATGTACCTTTAAAGCAATACAAGACCTCCTAGAGCCACGTCGTTGTCCTGATATCAGCGAACTGAGCTTGACATCCGTGGTCGACGGTATCACCCTGTCTCGAAGGCATCATCCGAAATATTCCGATGGTATGACCAGCATGACGACATTTATTGAAGGAGGCTGGTGTACGAGTTTGCGTGTCGAAATCTGCCACACGCAGTACGGTTCTCAATACAAGCACGTCAATACATGCACAGTGAAGCCGCCGACGATCACAATCGGGCTTTTGTGTAAGTGGTATAGCTTGAAAAATTCGTGATTACATCTGGTACAAGAAAGACTAACTACTAGCCATGGGTATAGAAGCGACAGCTGTCATCATCATCGTGACTGGTAAAAACAAAAAAAGGGGTATCGATAAAACATCATAAACGCATCGTCCTTCGGCAGATCGGTATACTCTTATCAGACGGGACTCCACTGATCCATAGGTCCCCCATATCCTATTGATGGACCGGGTGACACGGCTGTGGTTTCTGTCTGGGTGCTGAGACGCAGTATTCTGGGTGATGGCGGATCATTCTACATGTTCTCGACTACGCGGCTGTTGATGGCGTTCTGGAAGCCCTCAGTGCCGGAACCGAAGTCGTTGTTGGTGTGTGCTTGTCCCTGTCCGATAGCCTGGTAAGAAGAAGGGCCTTCTCCAACGGAGTCTGCCATCTGCATTTGGTGCTGAACGGTCTGGTTAGGAGCAGGCAGGAAGATGACCTTGCTGTTTGCGGACTTGGCCATCTGCTGCATAGCGTCGAGGTATCTGATCTGCATGGCGGGTGCAGAAGAAAGGATGTCGGCGGCCTGGCGCATGAGCTTGGCGGATTCAACCTCTGCTCTGGCGGCGATGACCTTGGCTTCACCGGTACGCTTGCTCTGGGCGGCCATAGACAGCGACTCTTGCAGATCCTGGCTGAAGATGATGTCCTTGATCAACATAGACTCGACCTCGACACCCCAGCCCGAAGCGGTATCCTCAATAATCTCGCGGATGCTCTGGGCAATCTCCTCACGACGCTCAATCACATCTTGCAGAACGCGGGCACCAATGACATGGCGAAGAGTGGTCTGAGTACGCTCAATAAGCGCTTGGCGGATGTTAGAGATACCGAAGGCGGCCTTGTGAGGTGAGGTAACACGGTAGTAGAGGACGGAGGTGAGGTGCAAGTTGACGTTGTCCTTGGTCATACAAATTTGCTGAGGGACCTCTGTTCGTTTGTTAGCTGCTATTATTTGCGGTACAGTGGGCCTCTGCTACTTACCAACAATCTGAATCTTGACGTCGATCTGAATCAGCTGCTCAGAGAGAGGGTTGATCTTGACGAGACCAGGGTCGACAGCACGAGCAAAACGACCGAATTTGGTGACGAGACCGACGTTACCCTGCGAGACAGGTCTGTAGGGGTTGGGGCAGATGACACAGCAAGGAACAGCTCCAAGGTTACCAATGATGGAACCAAGGGCGTTGATCATGCCTCCGTACCATCCATGTTGGGAGTCGTCTTCGGTGTCGGGCTTGATAACAGAGGCGTAGGAAGGCTGCAAGTCCTCACGGCGAGGAGGCTGGACCTTGACGAGAGGGTCGTGGTCGCTGTTGCTACCGCGGACAGGCGACTTGCCCAAGTCCGAGTTCTGGTGGCGGATTTGTTCGTCGTTCATTGTGGAAAGTGGGTATGAGATGTTTTGTTGGTTGGTTGTAATCTAAATGCTGATCAGGTGAAATAATAGCTTGAATTATTTACTACCCTGATGGAATGCTGTCGTTGACTGAGTAACAAGCTTGAAGCTGTGTAAAGAAGAATAGGCTGATCTGAGAAGCTGGAGATAGTGGAAGGTGTGACCAAAGCTCCTCTTATATGTCGCATCTTCTCTATTCTCAGGCAGGCACACCAGCAACAATCAATGATGGCCGCTTCGATCCACGCCACCTTCTGTCCCTTGGGATCATCCTAGACAACATGTGAACCAAACAACTGCCTCGAAGGAACAGCTCCCCGCAAAGTCTTTACGGTTTACGGGCTAGTGCGCTGCCTTTTACGGACTAGTTTCGGGCAGTGCTACGTAGGCCGAGATTGCCGAGCTCCGAGTAACAAAGGTCGTTTGCATCTTGAGAAATGTTGTTCATCTCTCTTCCAATGGGTTTTAAGAGCGCAAAGGTTTGATAGCGGGAAAGTCGGCGCAGTCATCTTGAGCTATTTTTCCGTGTCCTCTAATCCTTGCGCGATGGTAAGTTAGGTATGCTACAGATGTGTACTCAATGTCATCTTTCTTCGTACGAGAAGCTGTCGACAAGAAATCCCGGCAAAATCGGGCCATCTCGGCGTGTAACCAAGACCGCTTGACTCGATAGTGAGTGCTGTTAGGAAGAACATCCTACTTCATCGCGATCCGAGCTTCTGAATCCTTCAGCGAAACCATGTCGTTCTGCCTTGATCACTTGACCCAAGGATTAGAAGTGTATGCACTGCCCTCACTTATCATGTCATATGCTTCTTCCATCTACGTTCTATGCAGAGAATCCTTGGCACGTGTGCGATCAAAGGATCTTCGTTTTGTGCCGACTTACCCTAGCGACTTGGGTACTTGCTACTCGAGCATCATAGACCCTTGATACAGCCGCTCAAAGCTGCCACATCTCTGTGATGTTCATGTTCTATGTTTGGACACAACACCTATTGGCTGTGTGCGGAGAAGCTTGAATCCTGTAAGGATCAGGCGTCCATCCTGACTCAAACTCAATTCACCTCAATCAATTATTCCCGTACTTCTTCCACCAACAAGCACATCTAAGCCTCCCATACCGTTTGTTCAATGGTCAATGCGTGCCTTCTTCTTTGGACCTTCTCCCGTCTGAGCCCCTTCCGCCCTTGCTGCTCGTGACTCCAAGCCTCGGATGCGATTGACAGCTGCGCCTAATTCAAAGCGACGGACTGCCACTAAGTCTCCTCCAGGGAGCTTCTCCGGCATAGCTTTCTCCAAGGCAACCTCAGCCTCGATGCCTGACAATGCTGTTTTCAGATGTACACTGCCTCCACATTAGCTGACTCTGGCTTCCAGGATCTACACAGAAGTACTCACCCTTCAGCATCCTTCACATGGGCAAGCGATCGGATTGAATGTGCGATTGTTCGTGTCTGACCACATTCCACCAATTGCTCCACACCTGAAATGTCGATTCCAGCTTCATTTTGTGATGGGTCTTGCAAAGCTCGGTCGGCAAAGACGGTGATGAAGTCCTTTCTTCTGGCGACCGGAGGCTTGTCGTGAAGAATAGCTGCCGGGAAGCCGACATTTCTATCGGGTAATGTGCCGTAATTCTTGTCTTGGACCACCTTTCTCGGGAACTTTTTACTTAGTGCCTTTGCTTCGGCGGTGAGCATGCGAGGAGCGTAGGAATCCATTCCTATCACGTTGTCTGCAACATCTAGCCAGTCGCCCAGCCCACCGACTACGATGATGGTGCTGACGCCGTGCTGATCGTAGAGAGCACGCACTTTCGAGACGAGGGGAGTGATTGGCTCATTCTTGATCAGACTCTGCATGCGTTCATCTCTGACAAGCAGATTGGTAGCAGATGTGTCTTCGTCGACCATGATGACTTCTGCTCCTAATTCGAGAGCTTCTTGGATGTTGGCGGCCATGGATGTCGAACCGCTGGCGTCATCCGTAGTGAATGCATCTGTGTTTCTCTTTGCGGGTAAATTCTTGATGAATGCACTGATATCTGTACCCGTCACACTGCGACCGTCTTCTGCACGAACTTTCGCAGCATTGGGATTGGTCACCACGAGCTCACGACCGTCGCCAGGAATATAGTTGTAGATACCAAGCTGGAGGGCTTCCAGAAGAGTAGACTTGCCGTGATAGCCGCCACCTGTAAGAAGAGTGATTCCCTTGGGGATACCCATTCCACGAACTTCAGAATCATGCTTGCGTTTAAGAACGACCTCAAGCTCAGGTGGTGATTTGAAAGGAACGACGTGCTTTCCAGTCATACTCCGAGCGGATGCTCCACTAGCTCTTGGGAGGATCGAGCCATTTCCGACAAAAGCAACGAGGCCCTTAGCCTCAAGTTGAGATCGCATGTATGCTTGGTCCTCGACACAGTGGATGTGGGTGTTGAGCTCTTTGGCAAGATGTGAACTGTACAGCATGGTTCTCTCGACCAATTCTGGAAGATTGTTACACAGGATTGATTTGGCTTCCCCACCCAAGACTGTACGTCCACGAGCAGGTAAGGAGACCGTGAAGCGCATCTCAAGACTCTTGTCTCCATCAGGCAGAACGAGTGCACTAGTACGAGGCAACACCTCTTGTGCTGGAGCATTGATGCTGAAGACTCCGCCTTTAGGGCCTGACCAGCCAGAGTTTCCAGAACCTACTGAGCGATCCATGTGTTTACTGCGGATGCATACAGCGGCAGCTCTGGACAGGTAGTCGGCCAGAGCGATTTGTCGTATATCTGATGCCGCATATTCGGTCGGGAAACAAGTGGTTTTCTGGAATGTGATTAGTTGGCTTCATATTGAGCGCATGCTGCTACTCCAAGCACCCAACGCTCTCATGAGTTTAGCTATCAAAATGCACAATGTAATTAAAGAGGGCAAATATTTCGAGCTCTCAGTGGAGGCTCTCCAGATTCTAAAAAACATTGTGTATTGCATCAAGGAAAACAAGGGGCTTACCCAGTCCATGCGAACACTGATTTTCGAAGGTGGCGCATATGCATCCGTCTGAACATGATTTATCGATAGCGTAAAGTCTGGTGATTTGTGTTCGAAGCGTCTGTTTTGCAGACGCTTGTACGAGCCTGAACAAAGATAAGAGAATCAGCGCGGAGATGCCAACTTTTTGGATAATAATCTACCGTATTGCTGGCCATCAATTGAGTCTAGGGCTTGCGATAGTTGCGCCCACGTGGATGTAGATGAAGAGCTGGACTCTGCAATTGACAATTGTTGCTGATTTTCAGTGCCGGCATTACCACCGCCACGTCCACCTCTCCCAGCATAGCGAGCCTTGAAGTAGGCACCTCTTCCTCTTCCTGAAACAAATACATGTCAGTGATTTGCTGTTGGAGCAAGACTGACTTGTGGTGGAATCATGCTTGAACCCGAGCTGTTGAGAGCCTGGACCATCGTCGGAACCTTGCAACGGAATCTAAAAGATACGGTATTGCGCAAGGCTCGCGCGATCGTGCATGAAGAGGGGATGTACTTCACCGGACATGATGCAGCGAATCAGACAGTGTGACAGTCGGAAGGTGACTTGCTGTCACAAAGCACGATTGCAAGGTGTGACGGCGAATTGGTGAGGAGAGAAAGCAAAAAAGCAAGCCAAGCAGCTGTCGCCCCACAAATGTCTTTGGTTTGGGGAGACTTTCTGGATTCGAATTTGTAGCGGCTCGTGGCTGTCAGCTATAGATTGTTGTTCGTTGACGTCTGCTAGCGGATCATAATTATCATTTATTGTAGATTGCCGAATACCGAGGGTTATCATGTCGATATCGGCCATGAATACAGCCAACTTCGGCCAGTCCTTCTCTCCTTATACCAACAACCAATCTCTACCTCTACAACATCCAGGTTTCCCCAACCCGGGCCAGCAGGCGCCTAATTTCGCCCAGAATGCGTCGCAGCAGCAGCAGCAATACCAGCAAATGCCTGGCGGTAAGTCCAAGTCGCCGCATGACAGTGTGGTTGTGCATGTGCTAATGTGCTTTGCCTCGTCTAGGCTTCGCTCCAGGCGTACCGCCCTACTCTCAATCCATGTCGCCGTCGGCCGTAATGTCCATGACAGCGTCCCCTTCACATCGTGTCTCACCCTATGCTGCCTCTGCAGTCGCACAAGGCTCGCCTCAGCAATCGCCCATGGCAGCCCCGCAATCCCGACCAGTCCACTCCCCGTCTGCTGCTGCATCTCCCGCAAACCTGTCGCAAGAGAAAGAGAGAATAGCACTGCTACTCGACATCAATGTAGAATTGCTGCAGGAAATGCACAGATTACAGGCGCAGGGCAAGGGCGGCGCAACCAGTCAGTCCGCGGCTGCCCACTTGAAGAGTCAAGGCCTGCCGGATGCCCTTGCGTCAGATGAGTATACCCAGTAAGCCCAGCCGCATTCCCTGCTCAGCCATCATATCTAACATGCTTGCAGGGTCTACCTTCGACTTCATGCAAACTTGGGCTATGTCTGTGGCCAGACTGACAACCAGTCAAAACCTGGATCATCCCCGCATCCTCCTTCATATGTTACCGCACCTCCGAACATGCCTCAGATAGAGCAAAAGTATGCCAAACTGAGGGCTTTGTTTCCCGGATGGACTGGAAAGGATGGCCAAAGACGGTCAATGTCGAATGGTGCAACAAATGCACCGACACCCTTCCAAGGCTTTGGCAATTGATGATCCCCGACGACTTGTATAATTCTTCACTTCGACCGAGAAGACCACCATCAGAATGTTGACAGAGCAGTGGCAGTGGCAGTGTCGATATGTTGTATACCCTCTTGACCGTTTTGTTTGCAGGGCTCTTGTGGCGTCCGGATGTTGTTTTTATGGTTATGGCAGTTTCGAGACATTCACCTATAATGGCATTTTACACCTTCCACTCAGCTCCAGCGGAATCACTAGCTATGTGCCGCAGTGCTAATGATGAAGATCAGCGATAATCATCGGATAATATCAAGGGTGAAAGATATATGGGGCGACGTTTGATGACTTTACTTTTTGCCCAACGGTGGACACAATAGTTGCCATGTTCTACACACAAGATAGACGACAGTTTCACCAATGTTGCTGGGGGAAATTCAAAGAAGCGAAAGGGGTGGGCAATTGGAACAGCTAGATGATGGGCCTTGCAGGTGAAGGCCGACATGGCTTAACGTGCAATGCACTCTAGGCAGTCTGTTCATTCCAATCAACTCTCAAGCCCATGAGACCGTTGCAGGACAAATCCCGCGAGCCAGATTGCAGGGTCAGACCACAACGCAGGGCAGGCAGGTCGACGAGACATGGCGATATGCAGGCAAGCGAGAAGAGCTGCACTGCAATCCTCCGGTCGCAGGCAAACAACGAGTGCTGCTGGCGGGCCGGGCGCGTCGAGGGAAGCGGTCGTCTTGTAGGTGTGGGTGGTGGTGATGTGCAGCGAGTGGAGGTGGCCTTGGTGCACGGGTACGACGGGAATTCCTTTTCGAGCCGAGCCTTTTGGCTGGAACTTGGATCGCCCCGCCCTTAGCGACGCCAAAAGCGATGGAGCAGTTGCGCCAGCATCAGCCTTCGTTGTTAGTAGCCGTCGATACATCGCATCGTCGACCATGTCCGCGCAGCAGGCGGCCTCCGTTAATCCTTCTCTCCCCTAGTTCCACCCGTGCTTCCCTCGACTCTTTGCCTGAAGACCAGACGACCTGGCCATGTCCCCCGTGACGCAATTGACTAAGAGAGCGAGCGTGTGAAGTGTGTTTCGAGCTGCCCAGCACCCACTGAAAGCGCGACCAGTCCGACCGGACATCATCACCGCATCATCCCATCACCACCACCGAGACGTCCCGAGCCTCCGACCTCTTGGCCATCGACGACCATCCTGGATATCTTTTTGCGCCCGATCGACTGGAGGATCCAAAGGACAAGATAGCGAAGGGAAAGAAAGAGAGAAAGAGTAGCTATTGGCCGAGTCCAAGGTCGAGGACAGGACTGGACGAGAAGCTTAGTTGGCTTCTGATGGCATGCAAGCTCGAAGTTGGCAGATATCTCTCGTAATACCGAATCGCCCTTCGAGTCCCGGCCTGCTATAAGTAGAGGTCAAGTGAGAGCTACAATGGCCGACACGACGCCCAAAAAGTCCAAGCCCGAGCGGCTGGCTCGGTATGTCGACTTCCGCTATGCCTGTTTGCCGCAGTCATTGCTCTTGCTGTATGGAAATGAGCTGACGCTTCGTTTGATAGCGAGCCCGATGTAGAAGTGTCGCCTAGCACTGTCGTAAATCCCACATATAACCGTGGAGCGGCACTGGCCTGGGACACGCCTGACTTCGGCGACTATCGCAAAGACTTGTCGTGTCTCGAGTCCAGTGGCACTGTACCGTCCATCTCACGCCAGCAGGCTCCTGAGTACACGCCTCCGCCGTATGGTCGTAACAATCGCCCTTCGCATCTAGCCTCGAATCTCTTCAACAACAACTCTTTCTACAACTCATCCAGCGATGATCTTCCACAGATGTCGCCGGGCTTCATCCCGCAAAATGGCAACAACCTCTCGCTCGAGTGGAACGGCGATGATCGAAGGCCATCCGTGGCTAGTACGACGACCATGTCCTCGACAGGTTCCTCCAAACGCAGCATTACAGGAAAGTTCCACAAGAAGCTTCAAGGCTTCTTTGGCGAAGACTTTGACCCGAATGCGCCGCCGCCCAAGGATCCACCAGAGCAGCAAAACCAGAGAGGTCGCAACCCGTCCAATGCCACACAAGTCACGCAGACGACTCGTCCTGGTAGTCCATCGGCATCGCGTCCTCGTACTCCGAATACCAGTAGTGAGGTGACACCATGGGACTTCGAGCCCGCCCCTGCGAATGTGAGTTTGTTTTGTCGTATAAAGATGCCTGGTCGTGTTGGGCTGACATTAAATGTGTTAGTTCCATACGCAGTCGACGCAACCGCCGAGCGCTCCTTCCCAACAGCAACAGCAGCAGACACGTGCCCAGAAAGGTTCCGTGTCAGGTCATCACCATCGTCTCCGACTTCCCGGCCATAAACACAAGACCAGTCTGGAAGACATTGATGACGGCGCTTCCGTCATGAGTGGCCGCCCTGGCACCATCCGCAAGGATTCGACTCTGCCTACGAATTCCAATGGAGCACGCCCACGCGCCACAAGTCCCTCGCCTAGCATGAAGAGTATGATGAGTGCACAACAAAGCCAGAGCGAAGCCCATCTCGGCCAACGCTCCCCCGGCCACCCCTCACAAAGCGCCAAACGCTCGTTGTTTGATCGCGTTACTGGCCGCAAGAAGCACGACAAGACTGCCGAGTCTAGCTTGAAAAATATGCCCTCCTCGACCGGCTCACTCTCAATTACGCAGACACCAACAGCTCCAGCTGGAAAGAAAAAGGGTCCTGTAGGCCCGGACGGCAAGCCAATGGCCTTGGGTCTCACAAAGAAAGAGCATACAAGGATTCCTTTCAAAGGACCCAGACGCGCTGAACCAAGCGCCGAATTCAACAAAAAGGATCCAAATGCCCCGCGACCCGACGCTGTTCGCAATGCGTCTGCTTTGTGGCACCTTGACACTGATATGAGCCAGATGGAAGGTATCGTCAACCGCAGCCAACCAATGACACCACCCGTTACGAGCGAGATCTTTACTGGTTTCCCTGGCATAGAACCCAGTAAACCTGCTGAAGAAGAAACTGGAACATGGGAGGTTCCTGACAGTTGGGCTGTCAAACGGGTCCCCGATTCAAATGTCGCTGCTCTACGAGAGGTTGATGAGGAAGGCCATGTTCCCAGGGATGAAGACCCAGGCCCCATGTACTTTATGCGCATTTTCCGAGCGGACAGCACTTTTGCCGTCATTTCGGCCGGTTTGAACACCACTGCTAGCGAGCTGATTCAGATGATGGCCAAAAAGACTTTCCTGCAGGACGAACTAGACACATACCAGATCGTCATGCGAAAGACTGGCTCGAGCCGGATACTTGCGGCAGGCGAACGCCCGCTGGCAATACAAAAGCACATGTTGGAAATGGCCGGCTATAACGACAAGGACAAGCCGGAAGATTTGGGCCGCGAGGACCACGGATACTTGGTACGCTTCACATTCTTGCCTGGAAAGCTTAGCGGCTACTCGAGCTTGGATCGCGACCCTGGCTTCAACAAGATGCAGAAGTTCAATCACATCGACCTTGCAGGCCGCGATCTGGTTACTATTCCAATCGCCTTGTACCAGAAAGCCACAGAGATCATCACCTTGAATTTGTCCAAAAACTTGTCTCTCGACATTCCCAAGGATTTCATTCAAAGCTGTAGCAACCTTCGAGAGATCAAGTACACCAGTAACGAAGCCTGGAAGTTGCCCGCGAGCATCTGCCTGGCATCAAGACTGACCATGCTTGATGTCTCGAACAACAGACTCGAACAGATGCAACATGCGGATTTGCACAAGCTCCACAACCTTGTTAGTCTCAAGCTGTCCAACAACAAGCTCACGAGTCTGCCCGCCTACTTTGGCTGCTACCAAGCTCTTCGAAGCTTGAATTTGGCCTCTAACAATCTGGACACGTTCCCCGATTTCCTTTGCGAGCTCAGAACTGTCGTCGACTTGGACATCAGTTTCAACGGTATCTCGGCGCTACCAAAGATTGGTAAACTTGTCAACCTTGAACGGTTGTTCGCTACCAACAACAAGCTGTCTGGTTCGTTCCCCGAGACGTTCAAGCACCTCGTCAAACTTACTCAGATTGACATTCGCTTCAATGCCCTGGACAACATCGATATTATGGCACAACTACCACAATTAGAGCATCTCTTGGTCGGCCACAACTCTATCGCCGCATACGAAGCCTCATTCTACCGCATCAAGGTTCTCTCTCTTGACCACAACCCCGTCACCCGTTTTGGCTTGACTTCTCCTGTTCCTACTCTCTCGGTATTGAACCTTGCATCTGCTAAGCTCACCCAGCTTCCTGATGATTTGTTTGCAAAAATCTCAAACATCTCGAAGCTTGTTCTAGACAAGAACCATTTCACGGCACTTCCCTCTCTGATCGGTAAACTTACCAAGCTAGAGCATCTCAGTTTGGCCAAGAACATGTTGAACAATCTGCCCTCAGACATAGGCAGACTTCAAGATCTGAAATACCTTGACATCCGAGAGAACAACCTTAGCAGACTGCCACAAGAAATCTGGTATGCTCGGAAGCTAGAATCACTCAACATCGCCTCCAACGTGTTGAACGAGTTCCCTAAACCGGGTGCACCTCCTCCATCTTTGCCACCATCTCTGCCGTCAGAGGCGGCTACCCCTGTAGTGACTCCTGGCGGTACGAACACTCCAGACTTCGATGAGCTTGGCAAGCTTGAGGCTTTCCAGCTTAGAAGGCCCAGCCAGGTCGGCCATGGTATGTTACCGGGTGGTTCACCAGCTGGTCGTAAAGCCTCAATTGCGTCCACTTATGGTGCACAATCAAGACACCCTTCTCTGGCTCCAAGATCGTCGACGGAGTCTGGACTTAGCAGTGCTGCTGCTACACCAGGGCCACGCAAGGACTCTACCATGTCTAACAGGCTTGCTTCTACCTTTTCTCATACCCTGCGTCATTTGATTCTGGCCGACAACCGCCTGTCCGACGATGTGTTCGACGAGCTTGTCCTCCTCCCCGAGCTTCGCGTCCTCAATCTCTCATACAATGAGCTCTACGACATTCCACCACGGACCATCAGAAGGTGGCCACACCTGACAGAGCTTTACCTATCCGGTAACGACTTGTCTGCGCTTCCAGCAGAAGACTTTGAGGAAGGCTCCGGATTGAGAGTGCTGCACTTGAACAGCAACAGATTCAATGTTCTGCCCGCAGAACTTGGCAAGATCCAGAAGCTCCAGACTCTTGACGTTGGCAGCAACGCGCTCAAATACAACGTATCAAATTGGCCTTATGATTGGAACTGGAACTGGAACCACCAGTTGAGATACCTCAACATGTCTGGCAACAAGCGACTCGAGATCAAGCCCAACGTTAACGTCGTACCGGGACGCGAGACTCGAGACTTGACGGATTTCTCCACATTGCAGCATCTGAGAATCCTTGGTCTCATGGATGTGACCTTGACAATCCCATCTGTGCCTGACCAAGGCCCCGATAGACGTGTGCGTACTGCTGGATCCATAATCGGTACACACATCCCATACGGTATGGCCGACACCCTTGGACGTCATGAGCATTTGTCAACGTTGGACATGGTCATTCCCAGCTTTGGTGGTGTCGAAGATCGACTTTTGTTTGGTATGTTTGACGGTCACAATCTGAACACTGGAGGTAGCAAAGTCGCCAAATTCCTTTACGAAAAGTTTAGACATCACTTTGCAGACGAGCTCGCAAAACTTCAAGAGGGCGACGACTCACCCCTGGACGCACTGAGAAGGGCATACCTTTCGCTGAATAAGGATCTTGCTACAGCAGCCACACAGGCGCTAGAAGCTCGTGCGCACCCAAGTGCTGCACTCCTTCACAGAGGAAGCATCACCGGTTTGGAGCTAGGCGAAGACGACATGACTTCTGGAGCTGTGGCTACTATCATGTACCTGCAAGGAATGGAATTGTACGTGTCAAACGTCGGAGACGCCCAAGCTCTGTTGATCGATTCTGAAGGCGGCCATCGAATCATCACTCGCAAGCATGCACCTGCCGAAGCAGATGAGCGCATTCGCATCAGAGAAGCTGGTGGTTATGTCTCGCGTCAAGGAAAGCTTAACGACGCCCTTGAGGTTTCGAGAGCGTTCGGTTTCGTTCAGCATCTGCCTGGTGTAATTGCCTGCCCCCACACGGCCCGCATTTCGCTCAAAGAGTCAGATGAGATCATTGTCATTGCTTCTCGTGAGCTCTGGGACTACCTGACGATGGACTTTGCCGTGGATGTTGCTCGCTCAGAACGCGGTGACCTAATGCGTGCTGCGCAGAAGCTGCGTGATTTGGCTATCGCCTTCGGTGCCACTGGTAAAATCATGGTTATGATGATTGGCGTGAGCGACTTGCGCAAGAGAGAACGCGCTCGTTTCAGAACTCACAGCATGAGCATGGGTCCTAGTGGTGCACCAGATGAACTCTTGACCATCTCGAGACGCCCCAAGCGTGGAAGAGACAATGTCGGAGACTCCAAGCTCGCTCGTCTGGACCAAGAAATTGACCCCCCTCAGGGAGAAGTCACTCTGGTGTTTACTGATATCAAGAACAGCACCATGCTTTGGGAATCATACCCCATCGCCATGAGAAGTGCGATAAAATTGCACAACGAACTCATGAGAAGACATTTGCGTATCATTGGTGGTTACGAGGTCAAAACTGAAGGTGATGCTTTCATGGTTGCCTTCCAGACTGTTACTAGTGCACTTTTGTGGACCTTCACCATCCAAAGTCAACTTCTAGAGGTTCCCTGGCCGCAGGAGATTCTCAACAGCATTCATGGACAAGAGGTGCTCGACACTGATGGCAACCGCATTTTCCGTGGTCTGTCAGTCCGTATGGGTATTCATTTCGGTCGTCCTGTGTGCGAGCAAGATCCCGTCACTGGCCGTATGGACTACTTCGGACCTATGGTCAACAGATCTGCGCGTATCCAGTCCGTGGCCGATGGTGGTCAGATTACTGTTTCATCAGACTTCATTGCCGAGATTCAGCGCCTGCTCGAGACACACATCGAGACTGATAGAAGTGGCTCTACAGGGTCTGACGATGCAATGGGCGATGAAATGATCGGCAATTCCATCCGCCGCGAACTGAGATCACTCAGCAGTCAAGGTTTCGAAGTCAAGGATCTCGGTCAACGCAACCTGAAGGGGTTGGAAAACCCGGAATACATCTACCTCATGTACCCTCACTCGCTGTCGGCCCGTTTGGTGGTCCAACAGCAGCAGCAAGCACAAGCAGAACAGGTCAAGGCCGCCGCCGCTGCCGCGCCAAACCGCAACGTCGGTATAGAATCTGCAGAGGGCGACGCTGCAAAGAAGAGCGCCGACAGCCAGCTCAGCATCGACACCGACCATGTATGGGATCTTTGGAACGTGTCGTTGCGTCTGGAGATGTTGTGCAGCAGTTTGGAAACCACAGGACTGACAGCCCTAAAGGCGCCCGAGACGGCACTGCTGGAGCGCATGAAGCAGCGCGGCGGTGAAATAACCGATCGATTCGTCATCAACTTTGTCGAGCATCAGATCAGTAGAATCGAGGTAAGCATCAATTCTTCAAAGTGCTTGAGTAACATCAATACTGACTTTATCCACAGACTTGCGTTACGACTCTGGCGCTCAGACATATGATCCAGCCGTTCAGACCTGGTATCCTGTCTACCTCGAAGCCTATGCATGAGATTTTAGGCGAGGTCACCGCCGCCATGCAAGAACTCAAACGACTCAAGGGAGATGTCGACATGAATGACGCTTAAAAGCAAAGAGCGTAAGAAATGGTCGTAAAAAAGAAGGAGGACCGTATCATCATCAAGGAGACACGCCTGGGGGGCATATTTTCTTCATCCTTTTTACTGCTTTCAGGGAGGAGCATCTTTTTCACGTGTACTTCAATTTTGGGAACCAGGCTCACGTCAAAAGGTCATTCGGGCTTTTGTTTATCGTGGGATCAAAGGAGTGGTGGTGTGTATGGTTTGTTATTGCTGCTGCTGCTTTTATGGGATTTCGCTTTCGCTCTCGCTTCTTGTCCTTTTCTTATCCTTGTTATTGTTGTATCACAATTTTTCACCTGCCTTTCTTCCCCTGACTTCCTTCCTCTCGCCGTCTTTGCTTTTGAGTGCTTTAGTGATTGCTTGGGGAAGAGTTGAAGCCTTTTTCGACACCGTGCTGCTCTTATCTTTTGCTTCGCACCTTCTCTGCCATGTACTTTTTTCCCGATCGTCCTTTTGTGAACCGGTCTCTTCGCCCCAGGTCGAGCTCTCTTTCCGCTGTTTCAAGTCCCTTTTAAGCTCTTCGAATTTTCAGCTCAAGGCAAACAAAAGAGCCTGCAGCATAGTGCGTTAAAACTTTCAAGGTAATGATATTTCTACATGTCCCACACTATCGACAAGAAAAAACGCCTGTATACACATCCCCTTCCAAGAATACAACTCCCATCCACAAAAAAATGCCAAAACCTGTTTTTTTGAACACCACTCTAATGCCAAAACATCCGAAAGAATAACAGGACATGTAATCTTACTCGTCAAGACCGATCCAACCATCCTCGCCATCTTCATCATCGTCATCTGCCATCTCAATCTCTTGAACGGCACCACTATCAACACTGGTCAAAAGCTTCATACCATCTTGAGCCTTCCTCTCCGGTTGCGCGAGAAGATATTCAACCATGAATTCATTGCTTTCCGCCACGGAGAAGATTTCCTTTTGGATTCTGGCGACGGCTCTCTGAACAAGTCTGGTGACTTCTGCGTATTCGCCTTGGTTTTTCTTGAGTGTGGAACCGTGGGATTTGAGCAGTGCTTGTAGCCAGAGGAGGTTGAGTTCTAGTAGGGGAGAGGCGTCTGATTGGACGGCGATGTGGCGGAGGAGGCGGGGGAGGTAGACTACGGGGAGGTCGGTGACGACGAGGGGGATATCGGCGGCGGGGACGGAGCGTTGGACGCGGATGACGAGTTTGGGGTTGTTGAGGCGGAAAGCCATGACCAGGGCCTTGAGGTATTGCTTCTTGGCCAGTGTCTTGAGAGTTGATTGAGGGGTGATGTCGATATCGAGGTCGAAGGGGTCGAAAGCGATGGTGGTGTCGAGGGAGTACACCAGTAGGCCTTCTGTACTTGCTGCGCAGAAGGAACGACCAGTGGGTGCGAAGTTGACGCCTGGAACACGCACCTCAGGGCCGATACGGCGGGATGCGGCGTCGCCTCTCTTAGCACCGGGGAGGGAAGTGTCCATACGGTCTTCGAGATCAGAAGCATCGCCTGTGGTATCGATCATACCGTTTGGCCCAGCCTCGCCCAAGTTCTTGGAGTTGAGGAACTCCTGCGTACCCTCGAGGGACAGATTTACACTGACGGTGTACTTGTGAAGGAGGACGCCGGACATGACGTCGTAGAGACAGATGTATTTGCTGTTTCCGGATGCGACGACAACGCTGCCATCAGCGGAATAGCTTATGCTGTTGAAAGATTTTGTGCCAGAAGCATTGGCGGCAGTTTGGCGATCGGTGAGTTTGCGACCGCCTGAGACGTCGCGACGGCCGTCGAAGCCAGCTTCTTGTGTGCCTTCTGAAAGTGACCAGAAAGTCAGTTGGCCATCTAGTGTGCTGACGGCGATTTGTTTTGAATCTGGTCGTACGGTCACGCAGAGGACGTCTGCTTGTAGTTGGAGGGGCTCGCTAGTCTGGGTGCGAGCGAAGATTGACCAGATGCGGACGGTGTGGTCCCAAGAGCCTGATACCAGAGCACCGCCATTAGGGGCGAATGCCAGTGTCGAAACAGGACCTTCGTGACCAGAGAGCTTATCGAGCAATTGACCAGTCTGGACAGACCAAATGTGAATGTCGAAGCTGTCGAGAGAACCAGCAGCTACGACTTCGCCTGACGGGTCGACTGCGATCGAAGAGAAAGAGAGACGTTCAGGAGCGGTAAAGGTTCGGAAATTTCGGTATCTTATCAGATCCCAGGCTCGTATCGAACCATCCAGAGAAGCTGTAAATAGGACATTTCCTCGTTTTGCAAACTCGCACGCTGTGACTCCTGATGTGTGTTCGGTGAATGTGACGATACAGAATCCAGAAGCAACGTCCCAGACCTTGATCTTTCCGTCGTCGGCGCATGTGATGATGCGATCTCCGGAGGGCGAATACGTTAGGTTGTTTAATGAGTCGAAATGTCCTTGTTGCTTCAAGATGTACGATTCTGACTGCCACTCCCAAACCAAAAGTTGTCCAAGCTGAGAAGCACCGAAAGCGAGCCATTCACCAGTTTTATTGATGGTGACAAAGTCGACGTCGTTCTGCGAGATGCTGAGGTTGTGAATTTGGTTGAAGTCAGGAAGCTCGTAAAGACCAAAGGTACCGTTCGAGAAACCAGCAACCAGAAGATTTGATTCCGGGTGGAAAGAAGCGCATGTCAAATGGGCGCCATTTTGCATGAAGTAGTGTCTCTCGGCGATTCTCCATCTGAAGTTCTCTTCAATGTCCATCTCATCCTCGGGAGCGTTACGGGGCGGTAGGTATTGCCACTGGAAGAGGGCACCATCCTTTGACACGGTCCAAATCGTCTCTTGATCGGCCGAGAACCATGCGCCGTGAACACCTTGTCTGTGACCTCCAAGAGTGGTGGGCTCAAAGCCAGCTTCAGGGTCCAGACTCCAGATGCGTGCCGTCAAGTCCTTGGAGGCAGTAAGGAAGAAGCGCGAGTCGCTAGACCACTCGATGCTCTGTACTGTGTCGTAATGACCGGCATATTCTCTGTGCTTCACGAAGGGTGCGAACTCGAGGGAGCCATCCTGGGTATCGGCAGGTGTGGAAGGCGTTCTCCAAGTTTCAATCTTGCGACCAAGAGCGACGGCGAAATGTTGACCGGAAGGCGAGAAGACAAGCGACGAGACGGGACCTTTGAAGGAGAAGTGGTAGAGAGATACGCGACGGTGGAGGTGTGTAAGAATAGCCTGGCCGTCTTCGTCGACTGTGAGGAGGAGATTGCCCTTGGGGTTCAAGGCAAGGCGGGAGATGTTACGGCGATGAGCGAAGGGGAGGGTATGCGACTTGTTGCTACAACAGAGGGTCAGTATGACTGTATGCGACTGCAATTAGAAGAAGAAGGCGCACTTGACGAGGTCAAAGACAGTGACGCGATTGCCGACGGGCGACAGCAGGCATGTGCCATCCGGGCTGAAGCAGAGGTTTCCTCTCCTGTAGACCGTGCCGAGCAGGTTGGAGAACTGGAATGTTGTATCAGCTTGGGAGTCTCTCCAGATAACCAGAGAAGAGTCTAGCAAAGAAAACACACCTTGAAATCAGTCTTCATCTTGACAATGTCTCGATCGCAAGGTCCAACATTTTTTCTGGCTTTGGCTTGCAAAAGTCGGCGAGTCGGAGGCTTCTCTGCTTCCCCGCAAAAGGGTTCGGGCGGGAGTGCACGGGCCCGCGGACGGTGGCTTCCTCAGGACAGGGAAAGGAGACCTAACCGGACACTCAGAGGCACATCTTGTTCCTGCCTGCATTGTACTTGCTATCGCACTTGCTTGATTCACCGTCGTTTCCTCAAGCCGCGCTTCTATATTGCGCCGCTTTTCCATCGACATCCACTCGTTTCGCCTAATCTAACTCATCCCACACACAATACCGCCCACCATGGCCGACTCTGCATCGCCCATTGGCATTGCCAACGTATGTGATGCGCTGCTTGCTTGACAAACCCCCGAGGCTGACCCTGATGTAGCTCCCCAACCAACGGTACATACTCGCCCTCGATCATCCATCGCCCATCGACTAATGCCCTGTCTAGCCACAAGATTGTCGCCAAGCGCGGCGCCGCCTTCACAATCATGGTCAGCTCATCGTTGTATCGGCAATCGCATCGAGGAAATACTCACAATCATCCAGGTTGCTGGCGAGTCGGGTCTCGGCAAGACCACCTTCATCAACACTCTCTTCTCCACCACCATCAAGAACTACGCAGATCACCGCCGTCGTCACCAGAAGCAGATTGACAAGACTGTCGAGATTGAAATCACAAAGGCCGAGCTCGAGGAGAAGTTCTTCAAGGGTCCGTTTCATACCACATGTTGCATCATATACCAACACCCATCTGACAAGCCTTTCAGTTCGCCTCACCGTCATTGACACTCCCGGCTTTGGCGACTATGTCAACAACAGAGACTCATGGCAACCCATCATCGAGTTCCTTGACGACCAGCACGAGTCATACATGCTTCAGGAGCAACAGCCCCGTCGTGGTGAGCGCATCGACCTGCGTGTTCACGCCTGCCTCTACTTCATCCGTCCTACTGGTCACGGCTTGAAGCCCCTCGACATAGAAGTCATGAAGCGCCTGTCCAGCCGCGTTAACCTCATCCCCGTTATCGCAAAGGCCGACACTCTCAGCCCTAACGACTTGTTGAAGTTCAAATCAAGAGTAGGTTCTCAATCTTTCCCTGCATTTCCCCACATTCTGACCCCCACAGATCCGCAACATCATTCAAGCCCAGGGCATCAAGATCTACTCTCCTCCTCTCGAAGAAGACGACGAATCCGCCCTCAGACACGCTCAATCCCTCATCACTTCCATGCCTTTTGCCGTTATTGGTTCCGAGAAGGATGTCACCACTCCCGACGGTCGCAGTGTCAAGGGTAGACAATACGCCTGGGGTGTTGCCGAGGTTGAGAACGAGGAGCACTGCGACTTTAAGAAGCTGCGCGCCGTTTTGATCCGTGCCCACATGCTCGACTTGATTCACACCACAGAGGAGAACCACTACGAGGCCTACCGCGCACAGCAAATGGAGACTCGCAAGTTCGGAGAAGCCAGGCCACGCAAGCTTGATAACCCCAAGTTCAAGGAGGAGGAAGAGGCTCTGCGCAAGCGTTTCACCGAGCAAGTCAAGGTTGAGGAGCAGCGCTTCCGCGCCTGGGAGCAGAAGCTCATCGCTGAGCGTGACCGTCTCAACAAGGACCTCGAAACCAGCCACGCGCTTATCAAGCAACTGGAGACTGAGATCGAAGGCATGCAAGGCAGCGTCAGAGGCACTGGACGTCGCTAAGCTTTGCTGCCTCTTGGAAAAAGTCCAACAACTATTCGGTGCGCGAGTTCTCCAAAGATACCTTTTGTCTTTTATTTAGTTTTGTTTAACCTCAAGCCGGGCATGTACTTCTACAGGGTTGTAAGGACGGGTTTCATAGTGTGACCTCTGACTGGTAGTATGCCTTTTTATTCCACTGTATCAGAAGAAAAAGTTTAGAACAAGCACTTGACCATTTTCTGTTCAAGAACTGACAAACACAGGGTTTCACTTGGTTCAATAGCACCCACAACAGACAAATGACAGCACTGCCAAGTGACTCAAATCGCTCGATGACTCGAATGATCTGTATTTCCCTTCTTCTAACTCGACTTCATTGACGCCTCGTCACAAGAAAAACTCCAAAACGCACGTCGCCAGACCATCATAGTCTACAACTTGCAATACTACCCCATATCAGCAGTGTCGAGGAAGATGCCCGCCGAAAGGAACAAGAGTACTTGGTCCGAAGGTGTGATTTCGTACGTCCATTACATAGTTGCTCAATGCTCTCAACCACTAACATTCTTACAGGGAAATATTGAGGAGCTCTACCGAGAGCATTGAACTGCAAAGCGACCCCAGCAAGAACAAAGAAGTGTTCCGCTCGACCGTGAACAAAGAATTACTCTGCTTCTTCTCGCCCTACTATGTCGCTGCTATCAAAGGTCATTTCTCCGAAGCAAAGCAAAAGCTGTTCACCCTGGACCTGAACCATGCTCAAACCAGAGCATTTACGCACTGGCTTTGCACTGGTCGCCTTACCCATACCAATACTTCTGCATGGGCTGTGGACAAGAAGTGCCTTTTCGGACTCTATATCTTCGCAGATATGACAGATAATCTCGCCCTTCGCAGAGCTGTTATGTCTCATCTAGCCAGCGAGTTCATAGGTACTACTGATCGACCACACCCCAGTGAATATGGAAAGCTCTTGCCCCACCTTCCTAAAGGCTCGCCCCTCGTACCGTTCTGCTTGGATGCAACTGTGGTGGACCTGGAGCTCAACGAGTATCTCGGGATCCAGACCATGAAAGCTTCTCGTGGAGTGGAGTTGCTCAGATGGCTCCCAGAGGATCGCGTGCGCTACATAATGGAAGGCGTGAACGAGAGAAGAAAAAGAATCGATCGCGAAGACAAATGGCATTTTCTATGGGAGGCCAATGCGTGCGACTACCATGAGCATGACAGCGAGGAAGAATGGTCACTGAGTAAGTTGGAAAAGTCTCCCTCGTCTCGAATGAAGAGTGCTTACGACTACAGCTTGCGGAAATGTCACGCCCAACTCGAAGGAACCTCGACCTGAGTGCTACAAGCATGCGGGCGCCCAGCTTCTTGAGTACCTGAACAAACCGCGCGAACGACCGGTGCCACGCTACATACAAAGGGCTCGCCGCCGTCAATTGCATAATCACGATGAAGAATGAGCAGATGGAACCGGAACGATATGTGAAGGAAACCCAAATTTCTCACTTAGGCGCAGACCTGTCAGCGTATCTGTCGCCTACTGGGACAGTAAAAGCTCACACCGCTAGGCCGGGTGTCATTCAATCAACAGACAACGACAATCTACTTCCTTCAAATTCTTACATCCCCAACTCTGAACAGCTTCTAGGTTCTCACTTCTTATCACTTATAGAACCAAGACCCCCACCACCGACTACGATGACCTCTGACGAATTCGACGATGCGCGCATCTGGCGCTGGTGGACTTTGCCGTGTGTTTCAATCGCTACAGTGAATATGACCCGCGCTGACCTGTGCAGGGACATCGTTGGCAGATCATCCGAGATGATTCAGATCCAGAGTCAGGGCAACGATGGTGATAAGCTCTACCGCGCGACCGTCCACAAGGAACTCCTTTGCTTCTACTCAACATACTATACCGCCGCTATCAAGGGCCGATTTGCCGAGGCTGAGCAAGACAAATTTGTCCTCGAGCTCAATTGTGAGCAGACACGATTTTTCGTGGCATGGCTGTACTCTGGCCGCCTTGAGCACCATCCAGATAACGGACTGGACTCAGAGGACGCCTATGCGCTATACATATTCGCAGACCAGACAGATATCATCGCCTTGCGTAGAACCATCATGAGTTTCCTGATTGACAGCACCCTTAGATGGCTTCGCGAGCAACACTTTCCTGGCGATTTGGAAAAAGTCATTCCTCGACTTCCCGATCAGTCACAACTTAGACGTTTCCTGCTGGAGGAAGCCACAACCATATGGATAGACGACTCTCGCCTCTACAGCCAAGAGATAGAGGACTTTATCGTGCATGACCAGGTCCCCGATGGATATCCCAGAGACTTCTTCGTTCAACTCTTCGAAGGATATCGTTTGGGGATGGAGAAGAAGAAGAAAGACGGTGGAAAGAGGACTGCGGATTACACTTGTTATGATTTCCCGTGCGAATACCATGAACATTCCAACAAGAGGGAATGGCAGACTTGTAAGCAAGATGACCGGTTCTTCTAACATGATTAGTGCTGACACATCAAGCTTGCCACTACAGGCAGTCCTCGGCCGAAGTCAGGGAACCTCGGTCTCAGTACTTCTTGGACACAGCTGTCTGACCCCCTTACGCTTTTCGAGGATTACTACTAGCGACAAAGTCATAGTTTACACGAAGAAGTCGACTGCTGAGATGGATGCGCAGGAATAATGCAGTGGAGACAACAAGAATATCGAAGAGGAAGATGGAAGTTCCACCAACGGGGTTATTTTACACACCGATAGTTGTCGAACTTCTATAGACAGACCAATGAGATGACCGAGAAGTCCCATGGGCATGATGGGCTCGAATGTTGACAGTCGAGAATACACTTGTTTCCATGGGCAAAGCTCGAGCAATGATTGAGTACCTTGTAGCCATACTTGATCTTGCTGAGTACGCGGTGCTGCAACTATGGTTGCTGAATCAAGAGACATCACCCTTGTGCGGTCCATTTTGTTACATCAGCTCTTCAGCCAAAGCGATGCGCAGAAACGTACCCATTAGAATGCACAACATAATCGAATACGAGCACTTTGCCCATAGAGAAATTCCAGAAGTCATCGTGCAGTTTCACAAGCGGACCAGTGCCAGACTCCGGCGCGGGAGAGGAGGATTGAACTGCATCTTTTGGAAGCTGCGAGTCTGCAACTGCCTTCCTCATTGACGGGCGTCACGCGCTTCTTCGATATTGTTTCCAGCGCCGCCTCAAAGCCTGTCATCTCGCCAATCCACCTTCCTAACCCAACATCACAACACCGTCATCGTCAACAGTTTCATCATGCCTCTGGATATACCTGGAGGCGCGGAACCAGAGAAAAAATGGGAGAGAAACACTTGGAGTGCTAAAAATGTCTCGTGAGTCTCGTCCATAAGTTTACCTGTCGCTGATGATTGACACTTCACAGCAAAATCATAGCCAGCTCATCCGACATGATGAAGATCAACAGCCAAAACAGGTCCTTCAGCGCCTCGGTACACAGAGAGCTGCTTTGCTACTACTCGCCCTACTACGCGGCAGCACTTAAGGGAGGGTTTGCTGAAGCGCAGACGAACACCATCACCATCGACCTCAGTGACGAGGAGACGGCTGATCTTGTCTCTTGGCTGTACTCCGGACAAATCATCAGCTCCTACTATTCTCAACTGTTCGACGTTTATGTGTTCGCCGATGAGAAAAAAATGCTCGCTCTGCGCAGATCGCTCATGTCGAAGATCGTACTTTGCTGCGATGCACGCAACGAGGATTCAGAAGCCAACGAAATCAATTACTTTGGACTCGATGACATGTTGCCATACATCTACCGTCTACCGCCAAGCTGCGGTCTGTTCCGCTATCTTGCCGATTTCTATGTTCATCACTGGATTCTCATGCCCTGCGATGTCAGGTTTGACAAAGAAGACCCAGACAAGCGCATCCCCCGAGAGTTTTACTGGTATGTTATCAAGGCTCTTGCAGCCGACCGTAACAGAATGATCACTCCGAAAGCTTCGAATCTGTTGTGTCGATGCTGCCAACACTCGTCTTGCAACTACCACGAGCACGTGAGCGGAGATGAATGGGGTCAGAGTATGTTGTCTACATCCTCTCATATCTTTATCATTGTGCTAACTACTATCTGAAGCCTGCGAAGAAGTCTACGAGAACACTCCTACCGATATCAATGTACCAGGAGAATCATACTACGACTGATCATGGTGCCATCAAGGGCTGAGACACGAACACCAAGACATGACGACAAGTTGCTGCAAGACAACGGACGCGAGACATGCTTTGTAATTATTTTTGCTTGGTTCAACCAGCGTGCGGAGAAAGAAATGGGGGCTAGCGTTATTATACATGATTGACGTATGATAGAAAGATTGAGGGTCAATGGAAAAGCCAGGTGCTTCTTCATATTTCTACAAGACACTTTCACCCTCTGCGTTATCGTCAGCTATGCTTGACTTACATACTTAAGGCCACTACCACTTCAGCTCATCATTCTCTCAACATCCAGCAGCCAGATATTACTTGGATCAAGAAGTAAACATGGCAGCCAATTCCAATCCCAAAGGTCACATCTGGAGCTCCGATGCCTTTTGCGGCATTATCACTACAAAAACCAAGATGCTCGACTGTCGCGCTAGAGGAGACTTCCATGCCGTCATTCACAGAGACCTACTCTGCCACTTTTCGACCTATTACACCGCGCTCCTCAAAGGCGGATTCGCCGAAGCTGGCACGGACAACGTCACATTCGAGCTGGATAGACCGCAAGCAAGGATGCTTATCACTTGGCTGTACTCCGGAAGCATTACTGAAGACGCCCGTTACCATGATATTTTCGACTTATATCTCTTTGCCGACATGACAGACATAAGAGCTCTTCGGAAGTCTATTATGGACCATCTTCACAAGCACAGCCACGAAAAGGGCAACCCAAGGCTCAAACACGTAGCGAAAGTTCTTGCTGTTCTGTCCAAAAGCTCCGGCCTTGTCCGATGGATGGTTGATCGATATGCACGCCACTGGCGCGTTCGGATATCCGATGAGCCGAAACGCAAAAGAGCCATGGAGAAGTACAAAGACTTCTTCATTCAAGTGCGTGCAGCACAGGGCAAGGCAAAGGTTTACACCTGTCGTAGCTCACAATGTTGTGTGATCGAAGATCCATGCTGTGATGTTGTTGACGACACTCGGGGGTGCGGGTGCTCTCATCATACAAATACTCCGAGTCAAGCTTGCAACTACCACGAACACGCCAATTTTGATGAATGGAGAAGTGAGTAACCTTTGTGTAAAAGAAATTGCTCGAGAACTAATTTGCTGTACAGACTGTGCTGGAAAGAAATGGTGTTACTCTCACATAGCAGATGCCGCCTATCTCAGGGGCACCACTGCCGACGACCCATTGCCAAAAGACAGACTTGCTACTTATGAATACGACAGTAGCGACGACGAAGGTGGTTTCGGGTCAAGTCCCCGCAAGATATGGAAGTTCAGGAACTACCTCTCCGAGGATGATGAGAAATTAGTAATGATGAGCCTTAGGTAGTGAATGAGACTGGAAGCTGAAAGCTTTTCGAGACTTGTCTATCATAACTGACATTTGTGGACGCGTGATATCCAGGTGGAAGCGTGGTTAAAATACATCAATTAGACTAGAGAAATACATGTTTGGTGGAAGCTAAACAAGAGTCAAGATCTTGTTGCACAACGTATCGATGGTGAGACAATGAACTGCTCGTGTCAAAAGTCGTATCAACCTCAAAAGTTTCGCCATCGTTGAGAAATGAAGCAGAAAGAGCAAAAAGGACTTTCGAATCGCCACCTCCAAGGATCGAACCCACTACCTCCATCCCCCACGCCGTAAACAAAAAGACAGGGACGGACGTCCCACCTTTTCCCGGCTTCGTATGATATACGGTGGTCAGGGGATCTCCCCCTAGGCCAAACTACCGCTTGGTTGTTCCTAGGTGGATGGAAGAAAGGCGCACTGGTGAGTATATAAGGGTTGTGATTCATTGTTTGTGTATTTTGTGTGATTGAGATACTACATAGTGCGTGTTATACCATCTCGATCGTTAACTGCTGACCTTTCGCCGACCATGATCCTGGTGTCACTATCACCGCTTCTCCTTTTATTAGTCTTTGCCCTCTGATCTCTTCGACCTTTACAGTTTTGCAGGCATGACCGACATCGTTGCTCTACGCAAAGTTGGCACGAAGTAACTTCACAAACATGGTGAAGGAGATGCACCCAAGATCCAGGACGCTACAAAGGCCTTTGATATAGTACCACCTTCTTCCGGCCTTGCACGCTGGATCATCGACCAGTACTACATCATTGGGTGGTCCCTGGCGAATGGATCATCCAAGGCACATGAATGACGACCCCTCTCCAATACTGTGAGAGAAGTACACAAAGGTCTTTACAAGGAATGTAGTGCAATAGTAAGTATGTTGTCGTGTACATACTACGAGCATGATCGTCACCTATGGTGATTGCCTTCAGAAGGATGCTGAAGAATGAATCAGGGAGGTCGCCGTTTCTTCTTTTGACAGATTTCAGGCAGCAGAGCCTTTCGAACAATCGAGATCTGGCGTTTGCTCTCGTTTGTATTAATCTTGGAGCAGCTTGACATTTTTCTGCATTGAAGCACTCTTTATCTTCTCTTCTCTTTGTTCTGGAATGCAATGTTGCTGAGATTGCCATATATCTTCGACCTCTCCCTCCTTGAAGACCTGGAGCACAAGTCGCGGAAACTGACGCACAGTCAGCGCGCTGTCCATCTATCGTGACTCCACCAAAATGCTCGGCCTTGTTGACAGAAGTAAACCGCACTTGCGTTCTGAATGGGACGAAGATCGTCTTGGGTAACTATATTTCCCTGTCACAGAGCGAAGATCAATGCTGAACGTGCGCCTGTAGCTTTCTCATCAACGGAAACACCGAGATGATCGAACTCAAATGCACCGGCACATCATATCTCAAAGATGGCGAGAGAGTCGAGAGCGAAGGCACACCACCGTTTCGCGTCGACGTCCACAAGGATCTGCTTTGCTGGTTCTCATCCTACTACGATGCCGCCCTGTATGGTCAGTTTGCTGAAGCCAACACAACCTCTTTCACGCTGGACCTAGACGGCGAGGCTGCTCGTCTATTTGTTGTGTGGCTCTACTCTGGCCGAATCATCACTTTGGAGGAAGATACAACCTTCCCGTTGTACATCTTTGCCGACAAACACGATTTACTCGCACTTCGACGTTCCATCATCACGCATCTCGCGCGTCATGGGAAAGGTCTGGAAAGCGACACAGCTGTTGATTACTGCTTGGTACAGGCAACACTCAAGAAGCTTCCCAACAGCTCGGCACTTCGTCGCTATCTGATTGACTTGTACATCCACCACTGGAGTCCTGATGTGGAGGAAGGCTGGGGAAGTATCGAAACGCATGACTACAAGACGATGAGTAAATCATTCCTCTACGAGGTGATGTGTGGCCTTAGCCGTAAGAGCACGGAAAAAGTTCGTCGTTTCTGTCCTTGCCATAATAATCCCTGCAACTACCACGAGCATACAAGTTTCCAAGAATGGTTATCCAGTCAGTATATCTTCCATCCTTGTATGCTAATGTCTAAGTATTGACGCTTTATAGCTTGCGGCAATCGTGACACGGATTTCGGACCACGCCCGTTCAAGCCACAAGAGTCTTACTACAAGCAAATTGACGATGAGAAGACGTCGGAAGACGAGGAGATGTCAGAGGATAAGGAAGAGGAAGAGGATGAGGAGGACGAGGACGAGGAGTAAGGGCTTGGTAATCATGGCTATCTCTGTCGATGGTTTGGAAGAAGTTGCAACTATTGCCCTTGTTCGTTCCGCTCCAGGGTTGCATAAGGTCAAGGGATTCAATTAGTGACGAGCTACGTAAGGAAATTCACAACTCACATGAACGTCTAGCATCAGCACCGCAGGACCCACAATGTGACAAATGACGCAATGTCAGAGCCGCTATAGTCAGATTGACTCCGCTCCATACGTGTATATCAGCGTTAGCTACCAGTCGTGGAAAGATGAAAAGATTCCGAGCGAGAAAAATAGGTCGTCAGCCACTTACAAAACTGTGAAGAGTAACTGCCTGTCTGAGCGTGCCAAAGACAGCCATGTTCTTATTCCTTGTCGCTCAGAAGTGCAAAATAATCTCACGCCCAGCGCCTGGTTTGGGAAGCCGGCTCCTGCCTTTGTCTCCGACTTGTGCCCACTTCCAGCCATCTCCTCCAGAATGCCCCTGAAATCTATTCGGCCTGTAGCTATGCACACAATCTTACTGAGCTCGGTACAGCCGTCTGAGAGGCAATGACTGCTATGCTGTCAGTGGAGACACCCGATAAGTTAGCAAGACTCGGGCACATTTGAAGAGACTCAGCATGCCGGCGGATTGTACAATATGGCGTTGCTATCTTCTATGTGTGCCAAGCGTCCACAAATAGTAGCAACAAAACATACCTATCTAACGTTCTCAAATTTTCTCTTCCGTATGTTGTTGCCTATCGCCATGAGTCAACGTAAACCGCCAACTATTTCTCCATGATGACTTGGTCAAACTCATGACTTACGGTATTGATCTTTCCATAACAAAGTTTCTGCTTACACAAAAGAACATTCAAACCAGCATCATGACGCTTACCACCAACGAGTCAGCATCCATGCAGACGATCCCGACCGAACTTCTGCTGGAGATTTCTGATCATCTTCCCATGCACAGCTTTGTAGCTCTATGTCTAACATGCAAGGATCTGTACCACAACGAAACTCTACGCAGGCTCTGGACCAGGGTCTTGCCACAGTGCCAACAAGAATGTATCGAGAATCATGATGCGCTATACTGGGGAGGTCGGATATTGAACCATCAAGTCTATCATCTATTACACCTGTTAGAAAAAGATCTACCGGACCGGTCGTTCTGCAGAATCTGCCAAAAGCTACATCGACTATGTGATCCGCCAAAGTTCATGACTCGAGAGGAGTGCAAGTTATGGGAGCCTTGTCCTTTGAAGCCATCTCAGACGACTTGGTTACACCACGACAGCTGGGGCTTGCACTTGAACTTGGAAACATTCGAAAGTGCATACCATCGAGAGAAGCGAACAGGGGGTGACTTTGCGAAGCTACTTCGCATTATCTCCTTTGCCTCTTCTTGCTGGAGATTGTTCTACTATTATGATGAGACATTCCAAACGAAGCTGGAGCTGAGGCCAGTATTGGTCGGAGAAACCCTGATTATACATACTTGTCAGCGCGTCAAGTTTTACTCGCAATATTATGGATATCAGACTAAAGCCGACAAGATTCCGTCTTTCCTCCGTCCATGTCAATGTTTCAACGATCAGTTTCAATTTTGGCCAGTCTGGGAGCTATTGAGGCCAAATAGGAAGAATACCAAAGCTCTAAAGAAAATTTCTGGCATGTGGCGTTGTCGCGATTGTCGCGTTGACTGCTCGATCAGCATTTACGAAAGTCAAGAACGCAAGCTTGAGCTCAGGATTGAAACGTGGCAGAACATGGGCTCAGTCCATCGCTTCTCCTATCAATGCACCCAAGAACCGTTACGATTCCAACCTCCATCTCCTCTATGCAGAGAATGCGACGACAGCAAGAACACAATGCGGCACTGGAAATCTCAAGCGGCAACACAGTCAACACCTAGACATTATCTCACGTTGATCCGCATGGAGGATGTTGTGGATGGTGACTTGAGCCGCTTAGTACCAGCGAGCTTTGATGAAAGTGGGAACTTCCTCAGGCCATCATCTCCTCTTTATGTTGCATCGTCAGCACCGAGTTATTCCGGTATGGTCGCAACAGCTCTGGGAAGGGCAGGCACTTACGTATCATCCCTGCTCAATTGGTTACCACAAGCTAGATCTTCCAAGGCCCAAACATGTAATTGATCATCAAAAGCATTCTGCCTTTCTACAGCTGGGCTAGAAGCCTTAGAAAGGTAACGGAGTCTGGAGCCGGGTTCATCTCTGTAGCTGCGTCAAGAGGACCTTGTAGACAATGAGAAAACCAGGAGGATACTGTAGCAACAATTGAAGTAACGAGATTGAGTCGAACAGAGGAGACAAAGTTGCGGACTTCCAAGTGAAAAAGTATCATCCCTCAATCTTCACACGAAGCAGTGAAGATTATACCTCAATCTTCATCATCTTTTTGCAGGTGATGACCAACGTTTGCTCTGCACATGGACAATGAAGCTGCTTTGAAGCTCACTCGTGCCTACCTATGCATGTCTCATAAGCTTTGATATCTTTGATCCAGAGCTTTGCTGTTTGCCTACAGCTACAGTTCTTTGTTTGATAGCTAGTTATATAGCCGTAGCTATTCCCATAGATCACAGAAGATCAAGCACTCTTGTTACTCTTCCACTTATTCAAGTTTGTAACGACCAGAAGTAGCTATATACCATGGATTCTCACCGGCCACATATGGATTGTTTTGTAATATAAGTCTTCATAGCGCGTCCTAAACTGGGAATTCCGCAAACTCGGCTTGGAATCTGTGTTCATTTGATGACGTTGGTTCTTTGCTGGTCTGAAATTTCTGTGAAGAAAGCCGCGACTCTTCGTCACTTCCGTTGTTGTGTTGCGGAAGTGAGCAAGCTTTGTTGACAAACAGAACCTAGCTTCCTTCCCCAACTACATTCGAGAGCCTTTCCATAGCATATTACTCTGATCAACTGCGCGCAAAATGGCGCCCACTCTCAACGTAGAGGGTCATCGATGGAACATTACGCACACAAGGTACCTCTTCGACCCAGAGAACTCATAATCACTGAGTCTGCTGATGCAGAATAGCTATATCATCAGCACTTCGACCGACATGATTGAGCTGCGAGCCACGAACGTGGATTCCCACTCCGAGTTTGGAGTCAATGGACCGAATACTGCGCCGTTCAAAGCCTTGGTGCACAAAGATCTCCTTTGCTTCTACTCACCCTACTACCGAGCTGCTCTTAAGGGAGAGTTTGCTGAGGCCAAGCAAGATTTCCTAACTCTAGATCTTCCAGCTACTCAGGCTAGAAGATTCGTTAGCTGGCTTTACATTGGCTTCTTCCTCCCCAAAGAGTTCACTGCGCTATATGCCTTGTACGTTTTTGGCGACCAAACCGAGAACATGGCGCTCTGTCGTTTTGTCATGAGCAGACTCGTCCAAATTCCGAGGGGCAAGAATGCCAACGATCATCGTCTTTCTCTTACAACCATTGAAGCAAGCATGAAGACTCTCAATATGCTTCCCACCACATCGCCACTCTTCCGCTACATCGTGGACAACTTGGTCAACCACTGGGACGCCAACCAACCTTTCGACAAGAAGATGTGCGGAAGTTATGACATACCGAAAGAAGCGCTCTTCCAGATCATGTCAGGACTTGCGTCAAAGCCAGTTCCTCTGGTCAATGTCTCATCGGGGCCTCTCTTCGTCGCCCTATCAAAGTGTCCATGCTGTCGGCACCAATGCAATTACCACGACCATGAGAGTATGGAAGAATGGGAAGCTAGTCAGTACACCAACAGCTCGACCGAACTATTGACTGACCTGAACTCTAGCATGCGGTTCAATCCCCAACGTCACTCGGCCAGACCCAACCTTCGTACAAAACACCAAGCACCAGACTGCCGAAGAACAGGCGCACCCCTAGACGACAATTGCTGTATACTCAACAGCTCTATAATATCAGAACGTTTCAGCTTTCCGGCTTTGGAGGCCATCCACCACAGAGCATCAAGTCGAGTGCAAGGAAGAATCGAAGCAGTCTCACACAAGATCAGGAGAAACGAACAAGAAAGGATACGAAATGCTTACCACACTCACATCCACCTATGTACCCATAGAAGAAGACACCAAGAACCAATCAAAGCCCCCAACACAAACAATCCCAATCCCAGAACCAATTCTGCGACATCGATATTCAGAAATCGCGAGCCCCTGAATTCTTGTCAAGAGTCCAACCCTGACACCGCCGTCAAATTCACCTCCCACCACTTTACATTATTCACTCCAGTCATGCATATCTTACCACCCATCTCGCCATTTCCTTCTTCTCCATTATCGGCGAAGAGCACATCGACAAAAGGATGGTGTAACTTGATCTTGTATCAGCTCTTACATCCTCCCCGTGTGCTAAATTCTGTCACTTCTAGCCATCTCCCACGGCCATGCCTAGGGTTATTCAGTCTGTAGAAATGCACAATGTTTTCAAGATCTCTCTAGTCGTCCGCAGAAAGGCGCTGAATATCACACGTCCCAGTGGAGGGCTGCACTGATCTTAAAAACAATGTGCATTTCTACAGGATGCGCGTGACAGAGTTTAGCACACGGGGAGGATGTATGCAGAACAACTTGAGTCGTGGAATATCGACGATATTCTGCAGCACGATTGTTGAGCGCAATCTTCAGTCTCTCAGCTACACTGTACTTCTTTGTTTTTGATCGCGGGGTTTGATCGAATACACGAATGATTGGGCAAGAATGAGCCTGACTTGGAGGTCGAAAGCATCGGAGTCGGTCGGTAGCTTTGTGCTATTGTTGGCTCTCGCGTTGAGGTCTGAGATGACTGATGATGTTGTAATGAAGAATAGCCCCGACGAGCAGTTTCTCGCTCCCAGACCACTGCCCATCTCGAAGGTGCTGCCGACATCTGCACTGAGAAAAGCGAAGTTGCCAGACGTGGCCTCAAGCGAAGAACAACGACGACAGCAAGAAGCACTTGAGTATGAAGTATGATAGCGGCATGGTTTGAAAAAAGATGAAAGTATGCATTATTAATGTCCAACGCTATACCGACAACATGCATCTAGACCACCTCTACAACTCCGTATGCAGTATCCAACTAAAATCTCGCCTCACATATGCCTCTTCCGTCTCGAAACCAGTTGTTGCAATGCACAATGATATTCGAACCAGAGCTACTTCCAGTGAGAGCGCGTTTAATCTCTGAATTCAGCATCAACGGCCTCGAAGCCGTCAAGGAAACCTTGGAACATCTGCACACCAAGACCGGGGTCTGATGTGCCAGTTGTGGCGCGGATGCTGTGCATGCTCAATTGAGGAATACCAGCGTCAATGGCACGCATACCAGTAGCGCAACTGAGCATAGGGCCGACGGTACCGCCTGATCTGGAGTCGTTTCTGATCTGGAAGACTTGAAGGGTAGCGTTGACCTTCTCAGCGCAGCGAGTGAAGATGGCAGTGGATACACCGTCAGTGGTCATGTGACCGTTGCTGTCTGCTGATACAACGACACCAACGTTCAGTTCAGGAGCATGGTTACCGAGGTATACGCTTTCGAAGTTGGGGTTGACAGCGTGAGTGACATCTGAAGACACGAGGAAAGAGTTTGCATATGTGCGGCCCATGAGATCAGAAGCAGGGTGTTGACCTGCGAGGCTACCGACTGCGCGCTCCATGACGATGGGCAGGAAGTTGCCGCGAGCACCTTGTCTCAAGCCACTGCCGATTTCCTCGTCGTCGAAGAGACCGACAATCTTGATGATGCCAGAGCCGGAAGTGCCGTTGCGGGCGCTCTGCTTCAATGCCTCGAGGGCGGCCCAACTGCAAAGCTTGTCATCGATACGGCCAGCGGTGATGAACTCCTTGTCGAGACCAGCGAGGGTGGCGGGTTGAATGTCGTACAGCTCGAGCTCCCAGTTGACGATGTTTGAGGCGTCACTGACACCAAGCTCTTTGGCGATAGCGCGAACAAGACGAGGAGGCTGAGTGGCGGCGAACGAGCCAGCCTTTGCTTGAGGCTCGATCTGGTTCTTTGCTGACGACTCGAGACCGATGATAGGAACGACCTGTGTCTCGAGGTTGAAGGGGCCGTTGGCAGGGGCACCAAAGTGAGGAGCCAGAGTAGGGATCTTAGCAATGGGCCAGCCGAGCTTGACGAGCTTTGTGACAATCTTGCTTCCTTCCTTGACCAGAACACGACCACCAATTGACAAGTCACGGTCCCACCAGGTAGGACCAAGACCACCGGCGTAGGGAGCAACACCGAGCTCGACGTAGCCAGCCTTGTTGGGGATCTTGCTAACAGGCTTCAGCTTGGCAGTCAGGGCGTCGACGTGTCCGGCGAGGACAGCAGCACCGTTGCCAGCCTTGTAGTCATCACCAACGACAAAGGCGATCAGACTGCTGCCGTTACGCTCGACGAAGTATTTGCCACCGGGCTCAATACGCCATGAATCTCTTTCGCTCAGCTTGGTAAAGCCATCGTGCTTGAGGTCTTGAGCCATACTGTCGACAGCGTGGAAGACGGTAGGGTTGTCGGTAAGGAAGTTGCAGAACGGCTTAGCGTAATCCTCGACGTTCTCGGACGTGGCCATGATGGGAGCGGCGGGAGTAGGCTGGAAGGATGATTGAGCGTGTTGAGTAGCAGACTGAAGCATGCTGTCCAGCTTCTGTTGTTCGATGCGTAGACATTGCTTGCTCTGCTCGTGCACCAACTCGAGTTGACGGAGGTATTCGGCGTATTCGGCTCTTTGGCGCTCGCGTTCCACGTTCTCCTTGAGATGCAGGGGGAAATCGAATGTCGGCGGCGGTGAGTTGATGTGGTTGTGGAAGGATTGTGTTGACGTCTTGCGGGAGAGTCCCTGCATGTTCTTGACCATGATGGCTGCTGCTTTGGTGTTGTTTCGAGGAGGTATTGTACGAAATGAAGATACGGGAATGTGGTGAATGAGAGAACAAGTGTACACTGGGTAGATATACAGCAGACGGCTCGGGTTATCAGCAGGTGATGAGATGAGTGTATGACTGTTCCAGTTGCCCCAGGCACCGCCCTCATGTCATTAGCCGGAGCTCGAGCTCGGACTTAACAACAACCAATCACCGCTCCATCGCATCCCGCCTGAAACGGCAGGTCCAAATGTGGAGAAGGTGCAAGCTCCGCTCCTTCGATCCTCCAGAACTTCGCAAGCATCATTTCGTCACCGTCAAGAATCAGAGTTTCGCAACTTCTCCCGTCTGACCATGACAGGGAACCAGGGACAGGAACAGGTTCTTGACCTGCAAACAAGGATGCTGGTCTGTCTCATCCTCCCAACATCTTTCTACATAGAAAAAGCGTCGTGTATCCAACATCATCTCTTTCCACCTTTCATCTTTCATACGTGACTGCCGACTTTTATTGCATCTTTATCCAGCTGCTTGATTGGGAAACTTCAATCCTATCTTGACCAGATAACCCCGACTAGTTATCGCAACCACACCGCCAAAGCAGATCCTCCACATACAACCAGATCACACACAATGTCTTCCTCCACCACCCCCGTCAAACAAGCCAAACCAGCCGCCCCTGCCGGTAGCGAAAAGGATCCAGTCCGCATGATCGAGAAACTAGAGACCAAAACCAAAGCCGTGTACGTCTAACCAAAACCCCACCATCTGTCAAAACCGTTTTACGGCTACTGCTGCTTTCATCAAAGACTTTGATTGAACATGCTCAGCTGACCGTGTGATGATAAACAGCAACGCAAACAACATCGCCAGAGTAGCAAACAGCCAACTAACCAACGCCGACGAAAAACTGCACCCACTGCTCAGTCTCAAGAATGGAAGAACACTAGAGAAATTCCCCGATACATCAAAGGCGTTGGCGAAATTGAGTGGTGAGTTGATTTCTTACCCTCCATATCTGATTTCGATTTTCAGGTTGCTGATTGTGTTGGTGTTTGACAGTCACTGTGGTTGATGCTATGCTGAGTGCGCTGGAAGCTGATCGTACGGGCAATGAGATGGAAAAGAGGGAGAAGTTGCGATTGCAGATTGGGTTGAAGCCTAATCCTGCTTAAGATATGATCGTTCATGGCCTTTTGCGATGTGTTGATGATCGATAATTAGACATGTGGTATGAAAGCTCATAGTACAGAATAAGCAAATTCCGCAAAGAGACATGTCACCAACCGTGCAGAAGATCAAGAAACGAATGCGAGAAAACGAACGAAAGTATAGGAAAAACGAGATATGTTCTGATTGCAAAAAGTCCATCAATCTGTACCACCATCGCCTTTGTTTTCCCAAAGTTGTTCATGCAACGCATCCCAGATGTATAAACGCCGCTATGCAAAAGGAAATACGAAATAGAAGAGAGAGACCCGTGTTTCTTGATCGCGTCAATTGTTTAAGTGAGATAGAATGGATTACTCGTCGTCGAGTTCCTCAGCACCATGTCTGTGTCAATGTTAGCTGGTCTGTACAGGAATCTGGAGATCATGAAACTCACCCAAGCAAGTTCTTAATGTTGTGCATCTCGTAGTGCTTCTTCCTCATGTTCTCAAACTTCTCATGCTTCTCCCTTTCTTCCTGGGGAATGTTCTCGGGAGTCTCGCCATGTCTTGCGCCGTCGATGTCCATTTGATCGGGGTCAACCATGACTCTCTTCTCAGAATCACTGGGTCTGCGCTCGAGCGTATCCTGCTCAGGCTCTCCAAGGTCGAGATCGGGAATGTCGACCTCACGGGGCTTCTTCTTGCTAGGTCCATCTCCTTCAAGCACCTTTGCTTTGTCAAGCTCATCGACCATGAGGTCGTCAGGGTTGATGGCTGAACTCTCCTCGTCCTCGTCGGGGTCATAGCGGCCGACGTAGGGAGTCTTGGGCTCGTCAATCTTCATCTTGCCGCCCATCTGACTCTCGTTCAGGAAAAGGTTGCCCTCGTCCCATTTCAGTCTCGGTGACATGTGATCTCCTTGTTGGCTTCCATCGACAGCTGATTGGCGACGCGAAATGCTGCCACGAGGATTCGAAGAGTTGCGACGACCGCCGGCATTGATCTCTGTGTTCATTTGGACAACCTCTTTCTCGGACATTTCGCGGTTCATGGCGGGGCGGTCAGGGTGGCTGGGAGTGTTGCTCTGAATGGTGGCATGTGTGTTTGTGGGCGACGGGGGATCGTGAGAAGGGTGCTCGCCCATGTACGAGCTGTTGTTTTTCAGAATGCCTGCGACGCGACTTAGTTTACTGTACAGTAAGCATAGGAAAGATAGCAGCATACCCTTGGGCCTCTTAGGAGCCTCGGGTGAAGAGCCAGTGGTGTTCATGGTTGCGGTCGATCTGTTATGCAGGTGCAGGTGCAGAAGGTAGCTTCAATGCGGGATGGCGGTGGCACGAAGTCTTGATATAATCGGCGGAAGTTTTGCAAGCTTGGGAGGCAGCAATCAAAGGCGTTTTGTTTATCGAATGGGAAAGACGACAAGTCGAAAGTCAGAATGTGTGACGCAGATGGGGAATACGGTTATCTGAGTGCTCCGCTAGATCATGAGGCGCACCACCAAAGAAACCAAAGTGCAGGTGGGGGGTTGGCCAACGTCATGCCGATCAGAAAGCTCGGCTTCGGCCCACGCCAGCGCCCGTCACGCTGTAAACAAATGCACCAAGCACCTTCGCCATGTCTCGAATCACATGCTGACAAGTCAGGTAGCTACAGCATATACTCCTCACGCGCCGTCCGTCCTCCCGTCTGCTTTAGCCAGCTATACAGCATCAGCTTATCTGCACCCGGCCGTATTCGGTCCAGCTCGCTTGCAAAGCCGTTGCCCGCCTGAAATCCTGATTCCTCGCAAACATGCAACCTTTACAAATGATCAAGTACAGACCGAGGTTTCAGTATATAGAATGCACACATCGTAGATTGATGCCCAAGCATTCTTCAAGAAGATCATGGAGCCAAGCGTTTGACGCTGATGCGAGCTTGTTCTTCTTATGAACAACGACCGTTGATATCTGGCGTGCCCCCATTCAGCGCATCACCTAGAAAGGACGAAAGCTATCACGGAATGATTCCTCTCAGCTTGCTGCCTGTCCCTCTACAGTCGCGCGCTCGATTCGAAGAAGAACAAGTTTCTTCCTTGTTGCCCATCTGCTCGCACATAACCGCTCTTGCCGATGGGCTCCTCAGTCCTGCTCGCTAGCCGCTTCAACGTCGCCGCATCTCCATGATTAGCAACAAACCTGTGATTGGAGCTCTTCAGTCTGCCTACAACATGGCCGAGCACAGGCTCGTTCTTGCGGTCAAAATCGACTGTGTACGTCTGGAGATAATCAGCGTGTGAAATCGTCAAAATGGCAGTGAGGGTAATTACCTCGATGATGGCTTCACCCTCTGCAGACTCCTCTGTTTCGGGAACCAAGTCGTTGCTGAGCATCGATGGGAGAGGGTTGCGTGCAGGATAAGGTCGATTTTCTGCACGTAGTCGAGAAGACAGGCAGATGACATGCTGATATGTCAAGACGCCGCCGTTGGCAAGCACGAGGCCATTCGTTCCATTTCCCGCACGCAGCTTTCTCGCCATGATTGTGATTGCCTGAAAGACGGTGTCAGCTATTTTGAGGACCGTTGAGACCACGGCCGGCACTCACATGCATAGAGTAGTTGTTGCCTGCTCCGCCGAAGCTTGTCAGACCGCCTAGCAGAGTAATAGGCTTCTCAGGCTTTAAGATGTCCAATCCAAGATGCAGACAGGCGAGCTTGGGCACAATGGGGAAGCAGCTGTAGAAGTCATAGATGTCAATGTCAGCTTTGCTGAGCCCACAAGCCTCCAGGCCAGCGTCCAAGGTACGACTGATTGCAGGACTAGAGTGGAAGTTCGGTCGTTCCCAGAAGTTGTCACTGTCTTGTGTACCTGCTCCTCCAAGCACATAGACCCATCTCTCTTGAGCAATGCCTAGCTCGCGAGCATATCTGACTGATGTCAGAATCACCGCTCCTGCTAGGTTGATCGTATTGAACGCATTCATCAGCAGAGGGTCTGCTGAATGTCAGCTATGCAAAGGCTAGCACATAAGTGATCATACAAGGAAAGCAAATCATGCGATTTCGACTAGAAACACGTCCAATGGTCTCTTCTGTTTCGGCGGTGCGAGGGAAGCTCCATGCAAGTGGTGTCCTGTTGGCAACTTGGGCAAATTCGGCGTACAGTTTTGCACTTTCGGCGTTGTTGTCTTCCAAGGACTGTCCTCTTAGAGCACGTAGACCGTTCTCGAAAAGTGGATATACTTGGATAGGAGCGCCAATCTTGTGTTTCGCTCCTACCCCTCTGGCCATCTCGTCCATCGAAGGCGCAAACACTTGAGTGACGGGTGTGTCGACAGGAGTCCAGTTCGGTGGAGGCATAACTCCTGCTTTTGCACAAGCGGCCAGAGATGCCAAAGCTTCGCCTCCAGTCACTGCTGCCAGCTTGGTCTCACCACTTGCAACTCTGCGGGCGGCTTCATCCACCAGTTTAGCAGGTTGATTACCGGCATGGGGTGAACAGTAGCTATGCTTGGGGGTTGAGCCCAGTCTTTCAGCAAGCAGACCAGGTAGATCTGGGTACGGCCACGTCCAGGTACGAACAACATCTATGCTATCGATCTGTGTCTTCAACTTGGTGATGACATCCGAAGTTAGACCAGTGTCCTGTAGAGCAATTGTGATGGCATCGAGCATCAGTTCAGCAGGCTCTGCGGCGTGATGGACTCCTAGATTGCGGTTGATGATGTCGCCAACGCCGACAAGGATCGGTGTCTCAGCCATGTTTGGTAGCTTGCGTATTACCTGAAGAAGGGTGTCTAGTTGTTAAGGCGCTCTTGGGCAGAACTTGAGTGATGTCGTGCTAGGTGGGTTGACTACGAATCGAGTGGCAGTACCGGTAACATGAAGCGATTAATAGCAGAAAGAAGCATCAGAATATCGAAAAAGATGCTATGAAGAATAATACAGAGAAGACATTCAGATTGTTCGTCGAAAGAGCGGAGAAGGTGAGATGCCGAGGTCTGAAGCTTGGAGGATGATCAAGATGAGAGGCAGAGTGCCTCAGCAGTCCGGACGGATATACAGCATAGAAATCCGAGAACCCGAGCAGGATGTACTATTTTTCAACTCCTCAATACTTCAAGCAGTCGTGCTGGCTCTGCTTGGGAATACGGCGGTAGTACGCCTGCTGCTTAGATCGCAAGGCCAGGACACACGCTTCTTGGAGTCTGAAAGACGACCCTTTTATGCTATCGCAGGCTGTTTTTGACAAGTACTGTCTGTTGAACCGATATTGAGTAGAACAAGACGTAAGTCGAGAGAAGATAACTTGGCCAGTATCGGAATATGGAGAGTCGTCGAAGCTCTCGGGGGTGAGTTGCGGAACGGAAGCCTCGACAATGAACGGCAAATTCCGAGGTGGGCGGCATCGCGGTCATGGATAGTGTTAGGAAAAAAGTGGTGGAACAATTGGACATTAATCGCACCAACAGATTCCACGATGATGATGCCGAGTAGAGGACTGGCGGGCGCTGTCCGTCAAGGCGCCCGTCTCAATCGCAGATTTGTACGTCGCACACGTCCAAGATGGTATGGAAGATGTGGACTTACACGAGTTAGATGTCAACTCCCGCAAGACCTCTGGCTGCACTCAACGCCCGCTCGACAGGCCGTATCTTCCAGGGATCCGTCATTTCACTCGCCGCACATGCTCGTCTTGCCTCGACATCAGCACCTGCTGCCACTCCCGCCGTGTCTGCCGCCACGAACGCTCCTCCTCCCACATCTGCCACCGATGCGCTCGCGACCGACAGCAACCCCTTCGACATTAGTGGAGCTACCGACTTCGCCAACATACCCGAGAGGCTCGGATTCTTGAAGGAACTCGGTTTGGACTACGGCTGGGGACCTACATCCATCATCGAATGGTCATTGGAACACGTCCATGTCTTGTCTGGTATGCCTTGGTGGGGCTCTATCGCCGCGACCGCATTCCTCTACCGTCTGGCTCTGGTTCCCATGTTTATGAAGGCAAGCGAGAACGGCGCAAAGATGCGCGCTATGCAGCCTATCACGAAGCCTATGAACGACAAGATGATGGATGCCATGAGAAACGGCGACAGAATGACTGCCATGCAAATGCGCCAGGAGATGATGCAGATCAACAAGGCTTCCGGTGTCAGCACTTTCGGCATGCTGGTGCCCAGTATCGTTCAGGGTGTCTTTGGTTTCTGCGCTTTCCGTCTGTTGCGTGCCATGGCCAACCTTCCCGTGCCCGGTCTCGAGACTGGCGGTTTCCTCTGGATCGCCGATTTGACCCAGACCGACCCATACTTCCTCCTCCCTGCTGTCATGGGTGGTACTTTGCATATGGTTCTCCGCATGGGTGGTGAGACTGGTGCCCCCATGTCCGATGCCATGAAGCCCTTCCTGCTCTACATCTTCCCCGGTATCGTTTTCATTACCACCGCCTGGCTTCCTGCTGCCCTCAACGTCTGGCTCTGCACTACTGGTATCATGGGTGTGACTCAAGTCCACCTTTTCAAACATGCTGAGGTGCGTCGCTTCTTCGGTTTGACCCCAATGGTCACTCCGGAGCAGGCGAAGCGTGATGCGATCGCCGCCGGACTCGTCAAAGAAGAGGTCAAGACCATTGATGTCAAGGCAAAGTCATACCCCGCAGACCAGAGACCTGTTTACCAAGCACCAAATGTCAAGTTCGCTGCTCCCTCTACACCTTCCAATCAGAACGCTACTTCTACTTCTGCTGGTGCTGCTGTTCAGGCTTCTCAAAGCCCGTTCGATAGCGTCAAGGGTAAAGGCTTTGGATTGTTCAACAAGGCTGGCGAACAGTGGGACACCATGAAGAAGGGTGCCCAGGATGCAGTAATGAAGGCTCGTGGGTCAGCATCTGGTCCCAAGAGCAAGACGCGCTCCGCCGAGTTCATGAAGGCCGCCGAAGACTACGAGCGCAAATGGCAAAAGTTCAACAAGAAGTAAGTCGTTCAACTGTACATATATGGCGAAACTCTCAGCACTTTTATGGCGCAATATTGGACATGGGAAAGGGTATGATGGTGTTTTTATACTGTAAAATTGTAAAATAGGACTTCGATTCAAATATTCACTTGGCTGCGTGCTGAATGTAAAAGTTGTGCATTCGCATAATATCTGCATAAACTCCACATACCTATGGTTTGCATGTGATACTGCATTGCGTCACCGACGTGTACATGCGCAAACGCGTTCTCGTACCTGTCATTGTCCTCACTCTCACTTGATTACTTCTGACTTGCTAGACCTGGAATGCTACTCTCTCGTCGTGCTGGCAGATTGTAACACGCACGAAAAAGCGCGTTCATCATGTCGTTCAGCATCGCAAATACCACAACGGTGGTGTCCTCGACCATCTTGCGCATGGCCGCTTATGTCTTCCTACGCTGGGTTCGCTTACCGTAATGCTTGGTCCTCTTGGATGTTCGCTAATCAATTTCCAGATTCCTGGCCATGTTGGTAGCACTGCATCTCACTCAATTGCAATCACTAATCAGTCCCTCAGCACGCTCCTCCAGTTGTTCTGACAGCCTTCGCCATCTACGCTACATCGTTCTTCTACCAATTCACTCACACAAGCCCATACAGAGTCGTGTCTGATGAGCTTGACATCATTACCAGAGATACCATCGATCGCGATGACAGCGATGATGAATTGCTCGTCGATTCCGAGACAGACGAGCCGCTTCAGGAAATTGATGTCCAGGAGACAATCGTCCTTGAGGAGAAGGATCCCAAAATCCTGCAAAGCCTCGTGACAGGTCTTCCCAGCCCCAGCTCTCTGTTCTGGTCTATCGTGACTTTTCTTACCAATGCTGCTCTTCTGGCCATGGTGGCCGACATGGTCTACCGTGCCCCGCTCTTCCATCCTTCGCACAACCTCTCGTTCGTCCGCGTTGGCCACGTCTCTGAACACGGTGCAAAGCTTCTGGTCAGAGAACCTCGTACTTCTGAACACCCTCTACGTTTGAGTTACAGATATGCGGGCGAGTCACCCGATGATGGCACCCGTGATCATGATGCTAGCTGGAAACACCCTCAAAATGCCATCAACGTTGACGAGAGCACCGATTACACTGGAATCTTTCAACTGACAGGACTCCGACCTGATACTACTTACCAGTACACTGCCTCAAACAACCATACCGGTTTCTTCGTCACAGCACCCCGAGTTGGACGCACCGCTCCTCGTAACAACGATGTCTTCACCTTCTTGCACTCTTCCTGCATCAAGCCCAGGTTCCCATACAGCCCTTTCTACCACCCACTGGATATCCCAGGCTTCAAGCACCTGGCCAGCCTCTTGCCATCGCTGAAGGCTCAGTTTATGATCTTCATGGGCGACTTCATTTACGCCGACGTGCCCAAGCGTTTCGGTACTGATGCTGAATCATACCGCAGAGAATACCGTCAGGTCTACTCTTCGCCCCAATGGGAGTCTGTAAGCTCAGAGGCCAAGCTGCCCTGGATTCACGTCTTGGACGACCACGAGATTGCCAACGACTGGGACAAAAACACAACTGGTGTCTACGAAGCTGCCGTCGATCCATGGCACCACTACCAAGCCGCCGTCAATCCCGACCCAGTTCGTGCCGGCGCTACATACTTCAGGTTCGACCAAGGACCTGCATCGTTCTTCATGATCGACACCCGTCGTTATCGCCAGCCATTCGACGGTACGGATGGCTCCTACAACAGCACCCAAGCTGAGACCGGTTACAAGAAGAGTATGCTTGGAGATCAGCAGCTTAGAGATCTGCTTGATTGGCTTGCGGCTCCTGTGCCCAGCGGTGTCAGATGGAAGGTCGTGATCACAAGCATTCCTTTCACCAAGAACTGGCGCTTTGGAAGCGAAGACACCTGGGGCGGATACCTGGGTGAGAGACAGATCATTTTGGAAGCCATGTGGGATGTTGGTCTTCGTGGTGGCGTTGGTGTTGTTGTCCTCAGTGGTGACAGACACGAGTTCGCTGCCACTTCGTTCCCTCCACCTACTGAAGGCAAGGTCACTGGACTTGATACTATGAGTGGCAAGTTGAGCACCAAGAACTGGCCTGTCAGTGCGACAGTTCATGAGTTCAGTGTCAGTCCTCTGAGCATGTTCTATCTCCCTGTTCGCACCTACAAGCAGACCGACAATGACGACGTGTGTGTTAAGTGAGTATTACAGCGAGCAGCTTCATTAGTTCTCCTTTACTGATTCATTCTAGGTACATGCCCGACGGAAACTCGAAGTTCGGCGCTCTGAGTATCAGCACCCCACCTACCTCCGACCAGTCCGAATTGAAGTACCGCCTCTTCATTGACGGCAAAGAGGCATGGAGCCACAAGATCCTGACTCCACCCATGACTCACGGCAGTGGCCGCGGTAAGGACGCGCTATGGGGCTGATTGAAAGAATGCGACATATGATGATGAGAATGAAATACTGTGCCTTTGCTGTTCTCAAACGCGGCTTATGAATGAATGGTTTCCGCGTTGCAATTTTTGTTTCGATCGTTATAAGTTCTATCGATAATACGCAACGACAACAAAATCGAGCTTTTGCAAAGCTTCTTACGTGTGTACATAAGAATCTCGTGTGTGCGTTCATTGAGATTGTTCAATCATCGTCCTGACGTGAAAGAGGACAGGGTGACTTTCGCTTGGAGTTGCCCTGTTGAAGTTCCGGCCAAAAGCCTCGGCTTTTGCTCGACCGAACTTCCCAACCTCCTCTCCTTCCCAGCTTTGCACTTCTCCAGACCAAGATGTCGCAGCCAATTGATATCACTTTGACCAGAGCGCTGCCAAAGGTAGAGCTGCATGCACATCTGACTGGTAGTATCAGTAGAGAATGTCTACACCAAATATGGCTGCAGAAGAAAACGAAAGACCCTGCCTTTGAGATGGACGATCCTATGACCGCTATACCGAAAGCTGCAGATGGTAGTATCGATGTTTTTAGGTAAGTTAATGAAGGAGTACGGTATGCTTTAGGTACGAAGACCGCCAGAATCAACAATATCACAGCTTTTTCCCAATTTTCGACAAGTATATTTACGCTCTGGTCTCGGATGAAAAGAGTATACGATTTGCGACTACTGCTGTACTGCAAGACTTTCAGGACGATGGAGTACGGTATCTGGAACTCCGGACCACACCTCGAGCGATTCCGGCTGTTGGTATCAATGAAGAGGATTATGTCGCTATCGTCTTACAAGCCATGAGCGATTACGCTTTGTCAAACGAAAGACTGCATGCAAAACTCATACTTTCAATCGACCGCAAGAATACGCTTGGGGAGGCCTTCAAGGTCGTACATCTGGCGCTCAAATATCGCCACCTCGGTATCGTAGGCATCGACCTCTGTGGCAATCCGGCTCGCAGGCCCATCTCGCATCTGCAAGCTGCTTTCGCCGAAGCTCATGCCCAGGGTCTACCTATCACATTGCACTTTGCAGAGATCGCACAAACCGACTCCCACGAGCTGGAAGAAATGCTATCATGGAACCCTCAACGTCTCGGTCATGTCATTCACGTACCTGAGGAACTACGAGCCACCATCAGAGAGAAAAAGCTCGGCCTCGAATTATGCCTCAGCTGCAATGTCCTTACCGGCTTGAGTGAAGGTGGCTTCGCGGCTCATCATTTTGGCGAGTGGTGGCGTGCTGGTGTACCTGTTGCGCTGTCTACAGACGATGTCGGTATCTTTGAGGCGTCTTTGAGTGGTGAGTATTTGCTTGCTGCTCGCCACTTTGGTCTTGGTAGAGAGCAGCTTTTGGAGCTGAGCAAGGGTGCGGTGGATACGATTTTTGGAGGGCAGGAGGAAAAAGAAAGGATGTTGGGGTTGATTGAAGAGTTCTGGCCCCGAGCGTGACTCGAGCGAGTTGTGTGCGTGTTACATACATATGTGGGACAAACTCTACCCACGAAGAGGTCGGAAGTGAAGGCAATATCCTTGACCATTATTTCGGTAGCAATCGCTGAGTGTTCACAAAGTGATCGACTACTCGTTTCAATGGTTCACTCGACGCCTGGAGCTTTCGTTGGCTTTTGGGACAATCACTACTTAGAATCTATGTCACTCAACAACCAACTTTCACAATACCGTCTCCAACACGTTGATCTCTACTGGCTCATTTTAATAGTCCCTCATCAACCCACCTGCTAGTTTCTTTCTCCCCAGCATAAAAAAGTCTTGGACCGCGACAGTTGACCATTGAACTGCATCTCCACCGCGAGCGACTCATTTGTTCCTCAACCATCAATCATCCTCACGGAAACCATGGCGGACTACGACAAGAACATCTGGAAGGCCTCCAGAGTTGTGTAAGACCTAGTCTACTGTCACTCTGTATTTCACCAAGCTAATGTATCGCAGCCAAATCACTGTCGACAACCATGAGATCGCCACCTTGAGATCCACACGCAAGAGCGAGCCTCAATCGTTTCTCTTCAATCTCGCTCTACTCTGCTACTACTCGACGTACTTCAAGACATTGATGACTGGACCTTTCAAGGAGAGCCAGGACCGCAAGACAGAGTTCCTGGTCGACGCTTCGCAATAGTCTCTTCGCCTGTTCTATGGCTGGCTCGCCACTGGACGCATATTCATGGAATTCCACGCCGAAGTCATTTGCGAATTGTTCGTCTTCGCCGACTTCATTGGCTGCCTTGCTCTGCAGCGCGCCATTCTTACCTGCTTGCCACAAATATCGAAAGGCCTTCATGGAGGCATCTACATCATCGACTATCAAACCCTCTCGGACTGCAAAATCGTGGACGAGCACCGAACTTCTGCTTTCTACAGATACATCCTGGACACCTATGTCTTTCACTGGGACCACGAGATGGACGACGACCTCGAGGATCCTACCCTGCTTCATTCAGCGTTCTTGCACGACAGATTGAAGTCAATGTCAAAGCATCGCCAGATGATCGGCAGGGGTGTCGGAGTTGGAGATTGTCCCTGCTGCAGCAATGTCTGCAAATACCATTCGCATCCGAACGACGAAGAGCGCTTGGCTACATGCGGGTCGAAGGCAGAAGATCTAGCTCTCAAGTTCTGGGAAAAGGACGCCGATGATGTCTGTGATCAGGACGAGCAAATCAACGGCGCCCAGGACATCGCCCATGAGGAACAAGCCTTGGATGTTGAGATGGAGGGAGGCATTACTGGAGCTAGCAACCAAGACACTGAGAGCAAAGAGGTTGAGATCCAGGGCGGCGAGGAGAAGAGCGACAGCAACCTTGACCAAGAGATGGATCTCGCTGGCAGCAAGCGCAAGGCCCTCGATGAGGACGAGGATGGCTCGGCAAAGAAGTTGAAGCAGGAAAGCGGAATTTGAGTCGTGGGAAGACATTCACTGTGCTCACATTTGGGTTGCTTTCCGAACTCACCCCGTTCCAAGAGAGACGATATCTCACGACAGCACACTTTGTACCACGTTGGAAGTTACGAAGCTCGGTCTGCGGCTCCATTACAGAGCACAAGGCCTGATACCTCGACGATTGCCAAAGAAGATTGCTCATCAGCAAGAGACACTTGGAAGTTGGAATTGGAGCATGCATTGAGAAAGGAGCATTCGAGAGATGGGGGAATCCACAAGCACACAGAAACAGCGTGCTTCTTCCTTCAAGCTTTAATTTTGACACGGCATCACTGCTTCAACGAACATAACCACAACTCAGTCCTTGACCGTGACACAGTGAACTACCACATCGTAATCCAAACCAAGGCAACGATCCTCACAGATCAGAATAACCCCTTAACCATCCAGCAAACACGCCAATAGTCCCTCTCACTTCTCCAATCAAGCTATATATACACTCCTGAAACGGCAATCTTCAAGCCGCAATGCGGTCCATTCGTTCGATTGTATCCGGGGCCCAGCTCAGCTGTGGCGCATCCTTAGTCCGATGGTTGGGCGACCCCCCCCCCCCCCCCACGTACCCCTCGGCCACCACCCCACGGAGCCACCTACTCTGCCCCCGCGCTACACACACCACCTCCGGACCCACGGGACCTCCCCCCCCAATTTTTTCTTTGGGTGAGGTTGATGTTTGAGGTTGTGGGTTCGATTCTGTTCGTGATCGGGTTTTTTTTCTTTTTGCACTTTTGGGTTGGGTGGGTTTGTTGTGGGTGTTTGTATGAGGGGACGATGCGGGTCTTTCGTCTTGAAGTGTTGAACGTTTCTGTTGTTCTGGTGCATCACATTTTCTCAAATTCAACAGAGAGACTATCTGATGCAAGCGTTCTTGATCCACCACTAGGCAATCTACCTTATACAAGGTCTAGCCAGTGTCTTCGTACTAATGTAGTCATCACGAGTTTGAGGAGGAGCGGATAGCTGGTGAGTGACTTCGGCATGAGAGCTCGAATAAAGCTGATAAATGTGGATACCTTGTGGTATTATTGGTGGTGACTTTGACGAAGAAGAGTTGACGGCTGATGCAGAGCGGTAGTAAAGTCAGCAAGAGGTGGCCCAGAAAGGAAATCACGATAGACCTGTATGTTGGCGGCAAAGCCTTATCAAAACGGAAGAGGAACGACCCATCATCTGATGGCTGGACGAGTTGAAATGGAGTGAAGCTCGATGAAAAGCCGCTGCTCGACTTGAACTGTCTTGGTGTCCTAGAAGATAGCCATCTGTTGCTGCAATGACCATCTAAGAGGCTCGTTTCCATCACGTGCCACAACAAAGACTGAAGAAGGCAGCTGAGAGTCGGTGCCTTCCCGAGAGTAAAGTTGTTACCGCAGCTTTACTTTGTGATCGATCTGCGCTTTGCTTTTTAGAACTTCACTCGAGCCAGTGAAAAATCAGCGAGGACTTCGACATTAGCTGCGCACACTAATTACAGATTCTTTCCCGCGACTCCTTCGGTCAACTCTCTTCCCATCATCAACACTTACGCATCACAACTCCCATGCGCCAAAATCGTCTGACCACCATGGGCGACCAATCGCTTGTAGCTGCAGCTACTTTGACAAACAACAACGACAAGAATTCCACAAAGCTCAAGGAAGAATGGAAGCGCAACGTTTGGAGAAGCAAGACCGCCAGGTACGTTATGATAGACCACCCAAGCCCGAGAGTTCGACTAACAAAGCCAGTCGTCTCATTGCTAGCGACAACCGCATGGTCATGCTCAAATCAAAGGAGAAGGTCAATCCAAGTACCTTCAACGTTCACCAAGCCTTGCTCAGTTTCTACTCGCCATACCACGACACACTTCTTAACGGGCCTTTTCTTGAGGGTATGAATCCTCCGACCGAGCCCTTCCTGGTCGAAGCTGGATCGGGTGTTCTGAAGCTATTTGTGACCTGGCTGTACAACGGCAGGGTCAACATGAGACATCCAGAATGCCTTTCTGATGTCGAGGTTGCCCACTGGTATCTTGGAGTGACGAAGTTATACATACTTGCCGACTCATTCAACTGTGTTGCGCTGGCTCGTCTGGTTGTGTCAAACTTCTTGAATCACGAGGATGAGCTCTACACCTTCCCCACCTGGAGCTGCATTGGACTGTTATCAGGCAGCTCCCTCGAGTCTTCTTCCTTGTATCGCTACTATCTAGCTGTCCTGGACGCACACTGGTGTGGTAGCCTGCGAGATGATGAGCATGAGGGACAGTATCAAGGAGATCCAAACGGCGAAGATCCCTTGCCATCAAACTTGGCCTACAGACTGTTGTTGAGGAAGCTCCAGAGAACACAGGATGGCCAGGAGGGAGATTGCCGCTGTTGTCACGACCGCTGCGAGTTCCATCGTCATGAAAGCGAGGAGGAGCGTGAAGCCAGTAAGTTTGCGTACAAGTTATCCCTACATCTGCTGACCATAATTTATAGCCTGTGGATCCCTGGATGATGAGACTGAAGACGACGGAGATGCGATATCGAACTTCGATAGCGAGGTAGACTCGGAATCTGAATCAGATTCGGACACTGATACCGCTTCGGAGGCCTTTTCTGCTTCGGAGGCCGATACTGCCTTGAAGCCCTTGACTGCTTCGGAGGCTAACGCCTCGATGATGAGAACTGGCGTGTCTTGCATTGGCGGTACTCGTTTCGAGTCCGATGGGAAGGGAGGGTTGAAGTTTGTGAACGGAGATCCTCTGTTCGAGAACTCCGACGACTCCGACTCAGACTCAGACTCGTCGACGGGGCCGTTGTCGGATGCTGACACAAGCGCCGAACCAACCACAAAGAAGCGAGTTCGCGAGAAGGGGGACAAAGCAGGAGCGAAGACAAAGCGCATCAAGGCAGTATGAGACACTACATAGTTGTTGGAAGGGTTGGAGAGTCAAGCGAATACTTCTTGACAGCGGTGTGAGAAGGGGCTGTCTCGCCTGCCTCCGAGAATTCTTAGTGATAGCTCAGCGGAAGAACTACAACACCGTCACTTCACTTACTTTCTCGCGTTCACTCGCCCAACCCGAGCCACTAGTACTTCATGACTACATAAATACAAGCTTGATTCTCACTTTGGATACCTTGTCGTCAGCTTTCTCTCCTTCCAGCTTTCTTCCACACTTGTCAACAGTACTTTCAACGCGAGTTCAGCACGTCGTTGCCTCTTTGACACGATGTCGGCTCAATCACCTTCCTCAGATGACAAGAAGTCTTCCAAGATCCATAAATTTGGGACGCATCTCGCATGGAAACAGAAGACAGCCACGTAAGTACACACTCATGAATGTGGTTGACACGAAACAAACTGACCAAAACAGCCGACTCATCGCCAGTGGCTCAACGATGATCGACCTCGCGTCCAAAGAGAAGAAATCAACTCGCGTCTTCCACGTCCACAAGGCTCTGCTGTGCTTCTACTCTCCATACCACGACAAATTGCTCAACGGATACTTTGTCGAAGGCACTATCCCATGTCAACAACCGATCGTTCAAGAAGTCAGAGCAGAAATCCTGAGGCTCTTCTTCACCTGGCTCTACTCAGGAAATGTGGACCTGACTCTGCCCAAATTGGATGGCTCCAACACCAGTTACTATTGGATGATTGTCACCAAATTCTACATCTTTGCGGACTCTATCAATTGCGTCGCATTGCAGCGCTCCATCATGACGTCCCAGCCAATGCATATCTCCAAAGAATGCAAGACTTTGCCTCCTCCTTCCGCCATCGAACTCCTTTCGGCAACTGCACTGGAGTCATCTCATCTGTACCAATACATGGTTGACTGTTACCAAAGCCACTGGGACGGCGTCTGGCAGGATGATGATCAGGCTGAAGATGAGATCGATGAGAAGGTAAAAATCGTCGTCTGGCAGGATGATGAACAGGCTGAACAAAAGATCGATGAGAAGGCAAAAAACGGCGATCCCTTACCTCCCAACTTCGCCTACCGCATCCTGGTCAGGGGACTTGCTGTGAAGAAAGAGCAGAAGCACGATGGCTGCCGCTGCTGTTACGACAGATGCTTCTACCATGGTCACAGCATCTGGGATTCTGAAGAGCGCGGAGCCAGTAAGTCGATCTCGAAGATGTAATATTATTGCATAGGTACTGACAGCTTGCCAGGATGCAACTCTCGCGAGGATGCACTCGAAGAAGATCAAGAAGAAGACCCAAGCGTCGATACAGATACCGAATTTGACACTGATACCGAGTACGATACTGAAACTGATTCTGTCACCGATGATGCTGAATCTAAATCTGTCACTGATTTTGATATCGACATGACTCATGACTTCGGCAGCGACTCGGAGAACGACGCTGATTTCGATGGCGATCCTGATCTCTCAGGCGATTCAGAGACCGTGATTGAGGAGAACGAGAAGAGGGTGAAGAAGAAGGAGAAGAAGAAGAGGGGGAAGAAGAACAAGGGAGCGACCGCTAACACCAAGCGCGTCAAGATCACTTGATAAAGAAGGCCAAAGGACAACATCCTGATGCCAAGGGTGATCACATTTGTACGAGCGCATCTCTCAATGAGTTGGCTCAATTTGAATTCTGAGCAAAGGTTGGTAAATTCAGTACAATCGCCTTGTTGGATCCTATATCCGGCTAAATGATAAACATGCCTCTGTCCTTAACCCTGAAGAAGTCCTGATCTGCAATGATTGTACCAAAAAGTTCTTCGCTCTCGCCCTGGGCCTTGAGCCTCGGCGTGTGTCGTGGTTTTTTGATCCCACGTGGTTGCCATACTTGTAACTTGAATCTGACTCATCTCATCAGAGCACTCTTGCAGGCGTCATTTGCGTCTGCTTCGACGAGCTTTCGTCACATACTGCAATTTTAACACCTTCCCAAAATTTCATATTGTCTTCTCCAGGGGATCAAAATATGTCTACGGTACTTCTCAGCTCGAAATCTGCTTCTGGTGATCAGCCACAGCCACAGCCGAAGGAAGAGTGGAAGCGACGAGTGTGGAATATCACAAAGATGGCGTAAGCACCATAGTCATCTAATAATCCTTGCCGTCGTTGTCCCTCTACTGACAAGTCGACAGAAATCTCGTCAGCGGTAGTACTGCAATGGTCATCCTGTTGGACGAAGATGAGCAGAATCCCTTCTCGGTGCACAAAGACCTTCTTTGCTTCTACTCGCCGTACCACGATAGACTTCTTAACGGTCCTTTCAAGGAAGCGGGTTCAACACGGATCAAGCTCCCTGTCACCAGCTTGGTTCTCAAGTTGTTCTCTACCTGGCTGTATACTGGTCAAATCATTACGCCTTCCACGCAGGATGCTTGCAGCGTCAACAACCCTGAGAGAAGGATTCAATACGACCGGCATCACACAAAACTCGTCGATCTGTACATCTTTGCAGACTCCCTGAACTGCATTGCTCTGGAGCGCGCTGCCTTTGTGCAACTCTACAAGCTGGTCAGATTGGCCAAGGGGCCAATGCAGATCTTCAAGCTTGTGGACAATGGCCTGGAGCACTCTGGCCTGTACAAATACTGGGTCGACTACTGGGCCGCACACTACGACTCCATGATTCACCGGATTCTTGTTGATCCGTTGCCGTCGACCTTTGCACACCACCTGTTGTTGAGAAAGTGTGAGCTCGACCTCAATCCTAAGACAAAAGGTAACGAGTGTCGGTGCTGCGAAAATCCATGCAACTACCATATGCATGAAAGTATAGAGGAACGCAAGGCTAGTGAGTAAATCCAGCCTCGAATCAGTCGCGATGAAAAGTGTATCAGAGTAACGCGGTTATTAGCTTGCGGAACCTGGCGGTTGAACGCTGACCATGTTTTCGGCAACACATGTACAGATCGTAATCATAACCGTCAACATGAAGAGGAAAGCGAATGACAGGACCAAAACGACGCACGAGACATGCTCTTGCCGCTTTATGTCTAGAGTATGATCTGGCAAACGTTACTCAGAAGCAGATATCAACCCACTCACGGGCGCGGGAAAGCAAGCAAGTGAGTACAAGGGGGGTGACCTCAAAACCGAGAGAGAGGCTGGAAGATATGTGGTGCTTCTTCCATCAATGATAGTTTCTAGCAGTTCTCTTCTTATTGCTCTAGAAACCTTAATACAATTGAGCATTCAGCGCCGTCTGAGAGACGCACGCTGTTCCCTGAGCCAAAGCACCAGTCCAGCGTGACACATTCTCTTCTTCACCAGATCTACAACGCTCCTTGTACAAATCAGATTTGTCACTCCCTGTCAATCAAGGGGCTTTGGTCTACTTGGTTGGCGCCGACACTCGACAAACGACCGGACCACAGTTCAACTCTTCGCATTGGCGAATACTTAGTTGGACTGGAATAAGAGAATGCGGGTGTGGCCGTGTTTCTTCCCACTATGGAGGTGGTTTCTTTTGCTTTTTGGGGATTGACAATGTCTTTCAAGCTCTTGCAGATTCTCTCGTCAATGTTTTTGGTTGATGGCATGTCTTGTAAGTTGTGGAGGTATGTCATCCTCTCTACACCTCTCAGGATTTTTGTTCTATCTCGCTCCCTCGGCTTTTTGATTGTCGCTTCATCTTATGTTCGCACAAATAGAAACGCGTTTTTGGAACTTGCCCATTTCAGGAAGCAGCACAGGCTGTAGCAACAATCAGTAGACTTATATAACTCACTGGCTTTACGCTCCTCTTCACTCTCGTGTAAGTGATAGTAACAGGCATCGTAGCAACAACGACATTCCTCCGCATCTCGCTGCTTCTCCGTTTCAATTCCACACTTCCTGACCAGAACGTGCATGGCGAAGTCACCTGGTGGATGCATCTCTGCATATGACTCTTCGGGAGACCAGTGATAGGCCCAACCGTCCGCGACCAACTTGTAGAGCCCAGTCCGATCTAGAGATGCATCTACGAGCCTCTCAATATCCTTCCCACTGGCCGTTTCGCTACAATGCAATAGGCTATCTCGAGCAAAGGTGATAGTGTTACGTTCTAAAGCGACATTGTTTGAGAAATTGGCGAAGATATAGAGATCCACTATTTCTTGGAGATCTATGAATGTGATGGCAGTCCCGTCCCAGTCGTTGCCGTCGTAGATCATAGCTTTGCTGTTGTACACCGTATCTCAAAGCACGATGCAGTAAAGTTGACATCGACGAGATGATGTATCGAGACAGATAGTCGAGCGCGGCTGTTCACGGTTGTTGGCTCAAAGCACGCTCGTTTGTCCCGGCGAGTTGCGTGTCGAAAGCGGTGTGTCGTGTTGTCTCGACTTCGGCAGCCAAAAGCTGAAACACAACTCCGTTTGCGCACCCCCGCTTCATCAACATATTTTCTGCGCAACCACTTTCAAAGTTGTTGTTTGCGCCTTCTTTGATCAACATCATCTTACGCGCCTTCTTTACTCGATTTCGTTGTTTGTACCTTCCCTACATCACCTGTCATGTCTGCGCCGCGTGGCTGGGACAGCCACATATGGACTGACCAGACTACCATGTTAGTACTCGATTCCATGAACTTTTTTACACATGGCTGACACAGATACAGGCGCCTGATGCGCGCTAACCAGCAACAAATCGAGATCAGATCGAACGAGCGCATGCCCTTGTCGCTAGGAGTCCCGCATGCAGTTCTTCACTTCTACTGCCCGCAGACTCCTGCTCTCATTGGCCAACCTGTCATTCTCGAAACCAGTCGTGCAGTCCTGCAGCTATTTTTTTACTGGCTGTACAGAGGAACGGTCGACACGACTAACTGGCATGATGTGACCGAGCTTTACTTCTTGGGACATGCGCTCAAGTCGATTGCGTTGATGCGCTCTGCCATCACCGAGATGCAAAAGATCTGCAGAGATGACGCGAATGATGACACTGAACTCTTCCACTATGGCCACATCAGTGTCATCGACGACATGGTCAGCACCTCCTCAGGCTTATTCCATTACATTGAAGACACCTACTTCAACCATTGGCGCCCTTCAGACGACGAAGATGTAAATGACAACCCTCGCGAGCATCAGAAGACCAATCTCTTCTTCAAGAAGCTATTCGAGCGCTCATTCAAGGAACAGAGGGAAGGTGCCAATTGCTCTTGTTGCCACGACTATTGCAAGTACCATGACCACGAAAGTGAAGCTGAACGTCTAGCAAGTAAGTACCCTCTACTCCAGGCTCCATGAAAGGGCACGATGTTTTCCCAAGGCTGTGTGTGTCCAGAGAGAGCCATGTATCACTGTGCTCTCTGTGGAACGACTCTCGGCTCGATCAACTTCGTGCCTTTTGATGATGTGCTACAGTCAAGCACTTGGCTTCCGGGATCACAAGTGCTGACCCATTGATTTTCAGCATGCGGTCGTGACACTGCTCTTGCATCGACAAGCAAGCACCAAGAGAGCACCACGCCTATCTCGAAGCCGGCCCAAGCACAGCGCAGAGCTCGCAAGAGCAGATCCAGCGGCCATGGATTGATTGCGAACCAAGACTTCAGCTCGATGGACGAGGACGACCTTCCGCTGCGTGTAGTGAGAGCTTCAGCTCCGCGTGCTGGCACGCCGAAGAGGAACAAGCCCTCAGCTGAAACATGGCTCAAGGTCAGAAGCCACGCACCAGTCGATTATCCAGCCGACTATCACGCTAAATTGACCTCGCTACCTCTTGTCAACGCCATCAAAGTCCGAAACTGGCTGGAGACTGGTCTGGAAGCGGAAGGTGTTCAGCAACTTCAAGAGCCGGATCGAGTCATTGCGGCTGCCATGAGCTGGACTGCTGAGGAGTACGCCCAGACCAAGTGTATCTTCTTCGAACAATATGCGACCGCGATGCAGCCCGGCATGCAGAGACACACCATGGAGCACTGGCGCAATACTTTGAAGTTCGGAGGAAATAAGCCGAAAGAAAGAGCAGAAAGGCTGTTGGCCATGTGGGAGTCCTTGGGCTGGTTGAGAGAGCAACACTACAACAGCACCGATGCTAGCCAAGACCCGCGCACTCCGATGAACGCCACTCACCATGACGAAGACTTGCTCATGACAGACTTGTCGCACAACGCAGGCTCGTTCATAAACACTTGGTCGGAAGAGGAGATAGAAGCCATGATCGAAATCATGGAAGGCATTAGCGCAGACTCGTCTCTCGCGAAGCTTGACTTCCGTCATCAAACTGCGATAGCCAGCGAGCGACTGAAGGCTCAGCATGAGTATGAACGAACCCCAAAAGCTATAAATCACCAATGGCACAGACAACAGTCGAGACGTGGAGCGGCTAGGAAAGCCCGCTCTTGGACAGAACGCGAGGACAAAGCTTTGATCGACATCCTGGGCGGTCTTGAGCATACTGAAGTTGCGAAGACGAAAAAGCGCTTCGATGTGTGCAGTCAACGACTTCTCGCTGACCATAACATCGTCCGTACCACAGCAGCATGCATGGCGCGTTCTCAGAGGCTAGCTCATCCGTCGCAAGTCACAGCGAATAGCGACGTGGGCGAAGACCCTACCAGTGACAAGCCGCACGACGATCGCATCCCCGCCAACAATGACAACCACGACCATAGTGCCGGCAATAAAGCTCCGCCGTTGTGGACTCCTGAAGAGGATCGTTTCATGCTGGCATCGATGAAGGAATTCGATGCCGATCCTGCTCTGGTTCCGTGGAGTACCGAGAAGAAGGTCGCGGCGTGCATTCAGCGCTTGAAAGATGAATTTGGGACCGACCGCACCAGCAACGCCGTCAAGGTTCGATACTACCGCAAGCTTCGTCGCGAGAAGGAGGAAAGAGCCAAGGTGCAGGAGCAGGCTGAGGTTGAAGCTGAGTCGGAGTCAAAGCAAGACCCTACCGCTACTGGTTCCTTTGCTAGCCCTCCCCAGCCATCAATCGCCGGCAAATCGCTGGACGCTGTGATCAACAGAAAGAGAGAGTCGGATGCCGATGAGGACGGTGAGGAGCTCCAAGTTTCCAAGCCTTTGAGTCGTGCAAAGCGCACCCGAGTGACCAAGACGGCTAGGTCGAGACTCATCGAAGAGTTGTTCGGAGACGAAGAATAAGGAGAACCGTTCGTGTCCAGAAGGAGGTATGTTGATTTCATTGAGAAATTCACGAGAGGTGTCGCCATTGTACCATAGCAGGGGTGTGTTTCACTGGATTCGAGTAGCTAGCTTTGATACAATTGCATTGTAATTTTACTCCAGACATGTGGAAACCGCGACTCGGTCTTTCATGCTCTCAGTGGGCATTGTTGTCAAGCTTGAAAGCACTGTGCCTTCCGACAAGCAATTAGCAAGCTTTGTTGAGCGATCAAAATTTTGGCCGTGACGACAGGGACGTGGTGGCCGACTCAGACCTCCGGTGAGCAAACTGTTTGCAAGCAAGGGCCCCGATAATCAACCTTTCCCTATTTCTTTGAGCTGCTTCATCAACAAACGTCCATGGACAGTTGAAGCTTGGATGAGAGGACAGCAAGTAGAAAGGCATGAGGCAGGCAGCGCGCTCGGGCCAGTCATAATTACATCACAGCACAAGCGGGGGATGAAGAAAAATGCAAAGAAAACAAAGAATTCTTTTTTTTCTCCCTTTTATCTCCCTGTTCTTTCACTGTGCACGATAAATTATCACAAACACTTTTTTCCGCAAACAATCAAGCGCATTCTCTTTTCTAATATAATCTTATACAACTGCTTGTCCGACGTTGCGAATCAACAGCACTCACATACAAAATGAGCGACAACGAAAAGATGGAAAGCTCGTCCTCCCCAATCAGCGCGGCACCGCAGAGCCCCTCTATCGGAGAACCCTCCACCATCAGCAACAATAATATCAATCACAACACATCAGCACAATCACCCTCTCTGTCCCAATCGGCCAAGAAAGGCAGAGGTCGCCCACGTAAATACCACACTGATGCCGAGCGTGAAGAAGCCAAACGCCGGTATCGCGAAAACCACAAGACCAAAGCTGCAAGTGGAGGCGGGGTCTCGAATTCTGGAAATGCTTCCGCGAGTGCAAATTTCGTTGTAGCAGCACAGCCGAAGCAGCAGGATATTGATGATCTGTGGGAAGCTATGAGGGGTTTGCAGGAGGAGGTCGCGGGATTGAAGATGCAGTTGGCACAGAGGGATGCAGCAGCAGCAGCTGCTGCGGCCGCTTTGCCGGGTCAGAAACGCAGGAAGGTGTGATGGGATATGGTGTTGTGAGACGTTTCACGAGTTTCGAGGCATTGACAGAGAGGTGAGATATTCCGATCTTTTTGTGTGGGGTGAGAGCTGACAACAGACAGGCCCACTTGTATGCATGCGAGAAGCGAACGACCAAACGACCGAGCATTATCACAAAGCTACGCTCGAATAGCTGTCTGGACCGGACTAACATCAACTTCTATTTGCTCCCACCAGTGGTCCATCTTTTATGGCGCTCATACACAACAACTGCTGTTTCTATGCCACCCCTATTTGCTGGGTAGTGTTTCAGTATTTCGTGTCGATTTCCTTTGTTGTCTTCTTCTATAAGTTCGACGCTGGGTGCATGGGTTCATGGGTTCAGGGGGTTCGTGGTCTGGAGTTGTGGTTGGGAAGGAGCATGGGAAGGTTTCTTGTGAAGCCTTATGACGGACACTGGGTTTTTGCTGTACAATCGAACCAGAAGTATGGCTTTGCTGGCCCGCACTCCATTTCAGTCCTCAGTATAATGATCCGCAAGTTGATAGTGTTGTGTTCTGAGGAAGAAGTTGGTTGGAGATGGAGCTGACAAAGTCTCGGATGCATTTTGAGTCCGATCTGGTCCGTGCTCGTCTAGATAAGAAACGTCATAATCGCAAGCAATTCCACCAAAGAGCTCAACCTGCTCGCGCGACACCTTCCATTGGAACTTCTACACACGTCGACATTACTGTAAATTCTGACACTAATCTTGCTACGCAACCAACATCAGAAATTCACTCAAACGACAGCAGACAACAATCACCAACTTCCGCACTGCTCAAACGACACCACCGCGACCAATGGCGGCATCTATTCCATCCACCATGAGGGCTTCTCAATGGACTTCCATCACCGGCACCATCGAGAAGAGTCTTAAAGTGAACAACAATGCAGCGCTTCCCAAATCGGCCAACTCACTCGGCAAAGACCAAACTCTTGTCAAGGTTCACTATGCTGCCCTCAATCCCGTCGACTACAAGCTTCCTGAGGCTCCTTTTGTCGGACAATTTGCCATCTCTACGCCTGCATCACCGTGTATGGACTTTGCTGGTGTAGTCGTCAAGACTTCGAGATCCGACTTGAAGCCTGGTCAGGCCGTTTTCGGCAAAACCGAACCTCCTCTTTTTGGAGCCATGGCCGAATACCTGGTCGCTGGACGCGATGGCACAATCGCTCTTCCTGACGGAGTCAAGCCCGAAGAGGCTGCTTGTGTCGGTGTTGCTGGCTTGACTGCCTATCAATGTATCGCTCCCAATGTCAAGGCTGGCGACAAGGTCTTGATCAATGGCGGATCGGGAGGAACTGGCTCGTTCGGTATTCAAATTGCCAAAGCCCTTGAATGTGAAGTCACTACCACTTGCTCTGGACCAAATGTGGAGTTGTGCAAGAGTCTTGGAGCAGACGAGGTCATTGACTACAAGACCCAGGACGTACACGAGGTTCTCATTCGCAGCGGCAAGCGCTTCGATCACATCGTCGACTTCGTTGGTTCTCCGGAGTTGTATTGGGCGGCCCACTACTTCTCGAAGGACACGGCAAAGATGGTCAACGTGGGAGCTACCATGACCCTCGACTTCTTCAAGCGCCTTTTGCCCATCTTCTTACTGCCTAGATTCTTGGGAGGTGGTAGGATGAAATATGAGTTCCTCACCTGTCATGCCAAAGAGGATGACTTCAAGCAGATTGGCAGCTGGATGGCGGAAGGAAAGGTTAAGCCTGTCATTGGCGAGATGTTCACACTGGAAGATGTGCCTAAGGCGTTCGAGAAGCTCAAGACCGGTCGCGTCCGCGGCAAGTTGGTCGTCAAGGTCTCAGACGAGTAAAGACCGTTCGGGAATTGGTGATGGATGATTACAGGCACGACATTGATGCTTTCTATTAGCCAGCAGTCATATGTTATTTTAGCCATCAATTATACTTTCAATATTGATCAATTGTCCTTGAAGACATGTCAGCCAAGCTTTGTATGCTATACGGAGATTGTTATTGACAATAACCCACGGCACAAATTCGATCGAGTCATCTATGCCAGTCTTGGAAAATAGTGACACTGCCTTCCAGAAAAAAATGACCGGGTGTTCTGATTGGGCAGGCACCTTGCTCGCGTCAGAAAGCGGGGAAACACAAGATCGACCCGCGACACAGGGCTGCCAGTTCATTCGCGCACGGTCGTGAAAAAGGCCGCCTGGCCTTGCAGAAAGTGTTCATTAACCAAGGAACAAGCGTCCAGCCTTTTCCCGGAGTCTGGCTTCGAGTGTCTGCTTGGTCCGTCCTGCCGCTCTCATGCACACCAGGTCACGCTGCGTTGGCATGCGAAGTTTTCTGGACTGGTCATGCACCTTGCTGTTTCTGATGCTTCTGTCATGTCACAACGAGCCTCTCAGATGCGTTACCGGAAATCTTGCAACAGGAATGCTTGATTTGGGAGTGCCTTGATAGGCTACACAACTGATGCATGCCACGCCACTTGTCCGGGGCATGAGGGCTCGTGATGCAGGCTCTCGCCCTGACACCCACACTCAACCTCTGAAGCTGACGATTCGAGTTCCTCGCTGATGTTCCCACCCTTCTTTCTTTCGTATCGCGGTGGTCAGCACATTGACAGCGCTGGTGTTACGAGTCGTGTCTGCAAGCTCTGACTATATTGTCGCTTTACGGGATCTTGTTGATCGAGAAGGCATTTGATCCTTCGAGCTCTTCTGCTTTTTCCTTCGTACGTATGAAGTATGTTCGGACTTCTTCTTCCCTTTCGCAACCAATCGGTAGCTTGCATCATTTGGTACTAATCACAAGCTACTGTTCAATGAGCTGGCATCCGTCAAAGTCACAGTAGCGGCTAACCATTTTACATTATAGCGGTGTCGCGGTCTTCAACAATTGCGATACTATTCATCCCCGAATTTTCTGCTGTGCGAGATTGCGAAATGTTACAATGTTCGAGTAGATTTTTCACAATCATCAACATTTGACATCAGGCCGGTGTCGTAAAACAGCAGGTCCGACATGGCGCAACGAGACAATCCAAAACTTGTTGCTCTGGCCGAATTAGCTTACCTCAGGCGCCTGCAAAAATATCAAAGACGGAAGAGCGAGCACATTGAGCACCAACTCCACTGGCTGAAGATATCTTGCGAGGCTCGGAGCCGGATTCTGCATAGCGCAAAGGACGTACAGCATGAACTCACCGAGTCAATTCAGTCTGGGAACAGGACCAGATTCTCTTTGCTCTACCATACTTTTCGTACGCTCCAGCAGGCATGTGACGAGTGGGATACGCAATCCTCTGCGTCGGAGGCCGCAAATAATGTCTCTCCCAGTGGATCATTTCTTGACAGGGTATCGGCGGATGCCAGGACCTCTCTCTTGGCTTTTCTTTCACGCCTTTCCTTTGACCCCATATTTTTGCTCGACCGTTTGCTAGGACTCTCAGATTCTGATTTTGCAATTCTATCCAGGCCATATTCTCAATCCCCCGGCGGACAGTCGATTTTTGGAAGTCCAACAAGGAGGACACCGGATGATATAGAGCATGCCAGTGTCAGAAATTTCCTGGACTTTTCCCGGTCCGATCTCCTGAGCTTGCTGCTTCGCCTCATTCCTGAGGATGGAGATGTCCAGGGTGGCCCGTTTTCTAGTGCTTGGGGCTTCATCTGCGCTGGTCTACTGTCTCATCAAAAGCCTGGTAGCGACAGATTCGTGATCATGGTTATGAATGCACACCTGGGACGATTAGAGAAGACAGCGCACCACTGTATGGAGAACTGGCTCTTGGAGACGCTCAAGGACGGTGACTTCCTCCTGTACCAAAGCGAGAGACGCCCCATTCGGACGAAAGTCCAACCAACCTCAGGCCATCCTGGCGATGACCCTAGCGCAGTAGAAGAGTTCTTTTCTAGAGCCATTTCAAAACTGCTCAAACTCCTAAAGGACAACAAGCTAACATCGATCGTTCCATCCAGCATTTCAAATCTAGGAAAGTCAATTGTAGCTCGACTAGAACAATCTTCTCAACAGCAGCAAGCAGCGCCATACTTCCTTTGCACGCGTTGGCTCTTTGCATCATACTTAGCTACTTTAATCACGAGTCCGGAGGTGAGTAGGTCAATCTTGATGTTTTGACTGATCATTTACACTCGAACAGAGCTATGGTCTCCTTCTCTCGCATCACATCTCTTCAACTGCACGGCAGCGAATACTACAAGAATTAGCACATCGTGCCCGTCAAATCATGGAAGGTGTTGCCTATACATGGTACGTGATCCCTAGTCATATTGCACGTCGATCTTACGTGATACAGGAAACAAACTTCTCCCATTCGGCCCAACATTGTGGCAGACATCGAAAGTGTCGTAGATCTGTTTCGCATTTGCCCACCGGAAACTGGCCTGAACATTAATTTGAACAAATCGGGAATCGATAAAACGCGGAGTAAGAGTACCAAGCGGAAGCAAATCACTCTCTGCGCCTCGGAGGTTATCCATGCAATCCGTGCGCTCTATCCCGAGAATGGATGCGATGTATCTCAAGATTTCCATTGCACTGGCGGCTCGCCTCTCAAATCCTCCGCGTCCTCGGTCTCTGGTCTATCCTTATTTCGGACGATGTCTCCTTCAGAATTTCTGTCCCCGAGAAGTGGCCATTGTGATTCTGTATCGGAGGTAGGTACTTCTATGAAGTTGCCTTTTGTGACTTCTGCTCCTATGGCAGCCTTTCCAAATCCTGAATACGAGACCAAAGGAACAGACACTTGTCTCCATGGGCTCCGAGAAGCATTTGTTGAACTGTCAAATTCCATCGGATGCGTCCCGGGCTGTGGAAGCCTGGATCTGTTCTCCGAGCAATGGACAAGTCTCGAGTCATTTGTTGACAATGACACAATTTCCTGGATTGATGGTGCGAGCTCCCACAGTGACTGGACTAACGCCCAGGCTAATGTTGGTGGTCACATTCGTCCGGAACTCTCCTTGGATCCTGTGACCTTCAACTTTGTCAGCACAGGCATACATAGTCTGCTCGATGGACAACTTCCAACGACGATTCCACATCATGCTATCACCTCTCCCGAGATTGGCTCGTCACACATTACTCTAGTGGGCCGCTTCGAAGATGCAAGAGCAAGTTGTTACCACCAAGGAGATTTTGCGAAAGCACATCTGTTCTTCCGATTGGCAAAAACCACCACATCTCTATCTCCCGAAACAATAGAACGTATCATGCAAGCCGTCGCTCATGACTTTCAGCGATCCATTGACAGGTATCGAACCATTGTCCAGGAGGCCGGAAACCAAATCGAGAAACACAGCGAGGATATTGACTTCCAGCGAGCCAGCATCAAATCCGTCTCAGATACTAACGATCGTCTACGGGAGAAGATGTGGTACGTTTCTGATATTCAACGAGCAAGTCATTACGAAGACCTGCGTAAGATCGTAGCAGCTCTGCGTGTCATGGCGACATCATCTCGGCCAAAGCTTGAGAAGAGACAACCTCTCCTCAGGCATCGAAGCGCCTCCAAATCCTTGAACCACAACATGCAGCTCAAAGCCGAAGCAGCGACTCTCGAGCTTCTGTCGGTACCGGTAGCAAAAGGCGGCACAAACAAACTCAGTGACATTCAGGTGGACATGACGTTACGCTGGATGCAGTCGCATGGAGTAGAAAGGGTGTGCAGAGCAGAAGAACGGATACACCGGTTCTGTTCTGAGCTCACCAGGTGTTTAGACCAGTTCGTCGGCCAAAGTGTTATTGAGAATCCAATACTGTGGTCCAGCGAGCTTTTCCAGGACCAAAAGCCATTGTCTGGACAAATCAACGGTAGAGCGGATACACCAGGCTCTGATCGCTGCGCTTTGGAACAACTTCGACTCATGTATCGAAGGACTGCGCCAAGTATTTACGAAGCCCGTTCATCACATCAATGGGGTCGAGTCAATACTCCATCTCGGACAGCCATGTATCCTGATTTTGTTACAAGAAGCATGAGTCCAAAGTCTGTCACGCATGACTATTTTGGCTGCAGAAGTCCAACTCTCACCCACAAGTCTTCCGGCACGTTGTGGTCCACCTTCAGCGCAGGTCCCCAGTCTCCTTCCAGTGCTACGAGCTTTCCTTCGAGAGCCTTGTCTCCGATATCGACTGGACGGCCACTTTCTCGACACTCGCACTTGCAGCAAAGTCAAGCTTCATTCTTGGAAGAGCTCAAGCAGAACTTGACCAGCTTACTGCTGAGCGACTTTCACGACCTCTTTCGATCAGGCAGTGAGACAGACAAGGCTATGCGTAAAACAATGAAGCTCAGGATGCCGTTACAAATCGTTGTACCAGATGCCATGGACTACGAAACCAGCGCCGCACAACCCTCCTTTGACTTTGATCAGGCTTTCCGGATGCTATTGAGACGCTTTGAGCTGCAGGCAAGCCCATATGCTAAACTCGATGCTCTTCTTGAACTTCAAGACATGCTCAAAGCACATCGCACAGACCTTGGACTTGAAGGCGAACATGAGCCTCTTGGTCCAAGTGGCACCCTGTTCTCCCAACGTAGGCTCAGTCTCAGAATCGACACTTTCGCCACACCACGAACGATGGCAGGTCACGACAATACGATACTCAGTTTCCGTGAACTATTCCAAAATCAACAACTACGACCAAAGACGCTCTTCCGCGATTTACAATATATCGCTTCACTTGTCCCTCTCAACGTACTTGACAACACACCTCGCGGTCGTGCATTTTGGAACGCCACCATCGCCGCTTTGGATCTGAAGGAAGGAATCTGTCAAGGCATGATCGAGACTGCTGATCAAATAATCCACCATCATACTTTCAACCGCGGTCACTCACATGTGACTTCCGCAGCACAGGCCGAACGCGATGCTGCTGCCTTCTCACCCTCTACACCTCAACATAGCGATCCTTCAATCGCAGATCTCAGTATGAGCGATGCAGCAACGCTGCTCCAACTCACGGCTAAAGAAGGGATTCCCGCAGCTCAGCGCGAGCTCGCTACACTCTACCTCACACATCCTGAGTTGTTGGGTATCTGCCTCTCACCTTTCTCGAAATTGAGAGATGTTTTTAAGGATGTTGAAAAAGACCGGGAGCAGTTAAGTGAGAGATATGATCCTGTTGCTATGGCCGTGGCGCGACATTGGATGGAGCTGAGTGCGAAGGGTGGAGATGGGCCTGCTGCGAGATACTTGAGGGCCAAGGATGAGTTTGACAGAATACCTTGAGTATTCGGGTGTTATATGACGGTGGTTTGAAGTTGCGTATAGCGTTGTGTTGCCGGTCGACCTCGCTACTAATTGATCTCTCCATTCTCATCATGTAAGCTGATATTTTCAAATCATTTGGAAACAGGAGGCGATAGCTGACGCAAACACAGATCGGATCTTGTGGTATCAGAATTACGAAGTCTTTTTGCATCGCTTCTTCCTTGACTACTGACTCACGAGCTTGCTCCTTCCCTGCCACTTTTGTTTTTCTCAATCTCTAGATGACGTTTCAAAATTGTTGATTTCCGGATTTGCATATCTGTAATATATACACCACAGTCGTCACTTCCCTTGCAAAGAACAAGCCATTGTCTACGCACTCTGCTGCTCAAACTGCATGATAGATTCGGTCGTTCGACCCTTCCCCTTTCGTCAAAAATAGCACTTGTACTTCCTCACAGGGATTGTCAGACCATCGCTTGCCGCTTCTCGTGTGATTTAAAGTTCTGAGGGCAATCCCTCCAATAGCACATTTTATGACGGATGTTGGATAGTTTCTGGCCTATCTTACATGATGTTGATACCTCCCCGTGTGCTCAACTTTGTCACCGCGTGTAGCTGTAGAATAGCCCAATTTTTTGGCACCTAATCTTGGAATTGTCCTCCCCGTACGCAGAACTTGGTCACGCGCATGCTGTAGAAATGCACAATGTATTTAAGATCAGTGCAGCCCGCGTAATAGTTAGCGGCTCTCTACGGACGACTAGAGCGATTCTGAGAATATTTTGCATTTTTACAGACCAAACAATATTAGACATGGACGTGGGGGATGGCTAGAAGTGACGGAAATTGGCACACAGGGGCAATGTAAAAGGAATTAATCAGGGGTATATCTGAAGTCTAAGAGTCTAGTAGTCTAATTTGATCATTACATCTATCACCTCAAATGCCAGCGACAGAGTTCTTGGTATTGACACGGTCAATATCATAAGGACTAGCCTCGTACACAGCAGCAGGATCTCTGACCGTATCGTTCGTCTTTGCTCTTGTCAACTCCGCAGGATCCTTGACATCAGCCTTCTCGATGTCAATGTCATCTTCACTGCCCATACTGCCTTCTCTTGTTGTCACTGTTGTGGTGGCAGCTTTTGCCATCAACATCATGACGGCCTTTTCCGCTGCAGAGGCATACGTGCATCTAGCTCTTATTCTGGCGCCGAATTTGTAGAAGAAGAAGGGGAGGGGTACGCAGAGGAGGGCGAGGAAGGCAGGGATGGACGAGGCCCAATGAATGCCAAGTGCGTTATACAGATATCGGGTGAATAAAGGGAAGGCAGCACCGAAGAGAGAGCGGAGCACTGTGTTTGCGGCGAGGACGGAGGCGGCGTAAATTACGTATGCGTCGATGAGGTAGGACGTAACGGAGAGGAAGACCAGAGTGAGTCCAAAGCCGAAGGGAGCGCCGGCCATAACAGGCGAGATCCAATGAACGGAAGGGCCGTTGCTCCAAGCAAACCAGAACATGCCGATGGGAAGCGCGACTGAGCCAACCATTCCAATGATGAGACGAGCCTCAGGTGGCGCGAGACCGCCGTTCTTAGCAGCGGCTGCCATATACCACTTGTGGCTGTAGAGTGAGAAGCCGATGGCAGAAAACATGCCTACAGCAACACCGAGGAAGGCCAAACCACCGATACCTTCGCTCCAGCCACGGTGAAGCTGGAAAACGATAGGGAAGGCAGCGAACAGGAGATACAGTGTACCGTAGATGATGGCGATATCTGGAATGGATTAGCACGATTTCTTAGAGCTATGATTTAGACCTGTTTTTCGTCTGCATTCACTTACAGATGGATAGCAAGAGAACGATGGGCTCAGTAAAGAGCAGAATCCAAGGACGGACCAGAACGGTGGACACCATCTGCTTGGCAGAGATGGGTCCTCTTTCGACATCGAACTTGGTCATGTAGACCATACCAGTTCTCTTCGACAGCTCTTCCGCGCGGCGTCTCAGTAGAACGGGGGCATAGGTCTCCGGAACGATGAGGGAGCCAGCAATCCATAGAACGCCCGCGAAGATGGCCAACAAGCCCTGTACCCAGCGCCATCCCTCGTTTTCACCAAGGAAACCGCCAACGAGAGGACCGACGGCGGGACCGAGGCAAGGAGCAAGAGAGAAGATTGTGATTGCCAGACCACGCTCTTGAGCCGAGAAGATATCGGAGATGACACCTCCAGCATTGGTGAACGGCGATGATCCGAATGAGCCAGCAAAGAATCTCAAAACCAGGAGACCACCGATAGTGTTCACTCCAGCGCAACCAGCAAGGAAGGCAGTAAATGCTGCAAAAGTCGAGAAGAAGACGTATTGACGGCCAACGCTTTCAGAAAGTGGTGCCCAGACTAGAGGGCCGAGAGCAAATCCGAGGACAAAAAGGGATACACCAGCTGTGATGAGTTCGGTCGAAGCGTGAAAGCCGTATACGAGTTCGCGAAGGGTTCCTGTTGTTCGTCAGTATTGATTTTGGCACATGATAAGCAAGAAAACAACGTACCGCTGAAAGCACTAGAAGCAAAGGCAGTAGCGAAACATGTCATTGCGACCGTCATGGTTACAGTCCACTTGAATCCTTTGGACCAGTTGAGTGGATTACCTGCATCATCAGGTATCCAGATGACCAGGTATGGATCATCCGCCGTGCCAGATCCCTCATAGCGATGAGCGAGAACTTCCGGGCTCACACGAGCTTGGTCACGGACAAGACGAAAGAGGGAAAACTTGTGTGGGATGGTAGATTGCACCTTCTCGGAGTCGGTGGAGTCCATTCTGGGGAGATGGGGTCGTTACAATCAGGGATGGGAAAGGGAAAGAGCCTACATGTTGTGGTGCTACGAGATGATCTTATACAAAATGACACAGGCCATCAACGGACAGGGATGGCAAACTTAGCCGTTGACATCGAACATGACTTTTCAAAATACCGAGGCGTCCTCGGTAGCTTGATATGTCGGTTCTTGCATGTTAGAAAATAGGGCTGTTGAAACACGTAAAGTTATAGAAGGGCCGGAGAAGAAACAGAAGATTAGGAAGCATCAGGCGAGTAGCGAGATGAATAACCTCGGCTAAAACGTGTTTCCGCCAAGCATGTCATCCGAAAAGGGAAAGCTTGCGAGATCAAACGCTTCTATAAGGGAAGAGCTTGCGGGTGACAGATTTCGCGATCTCAATGAGATGCTGTCTCGCGTGAACGGCATGTGATAATATGGAGATAGAATGTACAAAGATAGTATCGATGGCTGGTAGTTGTGGACATATGAGAAACAACCACGCAAAAATGGAGGAGGCTCTGGAGTGCGGAAACAAACAAATCAAACTGCAAGCGCATACTCCGTACTCGAATGAGGACAGGGTCATGCTCCATACCACTGCTGACAAGACCCAAAGGCGAGTAACACTTGCAACAATGGTCCTAGTATCATGCGATTACCTTTGCCGAGACTCGAGTATATATCTCAATGGCTTCGTGCTTTACTCAGGTCGTAGGGTCGTTGGTGATCGTGCAATCGAAATTTGGCTATCGTGACTGCCTTCCACCGCGGATCGAGGAGGGGTAGCATTGGAACCGAGAAGCATTCTGAAGTTCGTTTCACGCATGGATCATCACACCTTCCATACAGAAACAAGAATGGCTAAATCCCTGCCTTGAGAGAACATGGAGAAATGGTTTGTGATACACAGAACCACTTCCGATATGTATGCCTTTCTTGGTGAAGGCAACCATCGCCATCGTTTCCGACATGCCATACAGTACTCAACGGATCTCCCTTGACAGACGTTCCCAACGAAGCGCACCTTTTTGACACGCGTCGCGCCAACATCCCCTCAGAGTGAACGCTCTGCGAGATCGCCATACGAGTGTGAATAATTGCAGCCGTGTTCGAGCGAACTCACAGTTGCAAAATGTCGTTCTCACAGCACACTTGAGACAATCTGTAGTTCGCTGACTGCGAAGTCGTCGCCGACAATGTCGCCCAAAATTCGATTGATCGTGAGGCTGGCGCTATATCATTACCTCATAAGGGCCAGCCGCTTCGACTCATGACCTCCAACGCCCAGATGACCATTTGCAATGGACGGCCCTGCCAGCTGGGTTCACGACCTCCGACATAGCCATATCACAATCTCTCAAGGCCAGCTCCGCGAGTCGCGAATGAGAGTCCGACGGAAATGCTGAAGGCAGACTGAAGACATGCAGTTCTTGATGAATTGCTACTGGAGTTGAAACGGTTGGACTCAGCTTCTCGGCCAAACCGGCAACCCCATAAACCCTACCGTTGGACGCCCACATTTGAGTCAGGCAATAGTCTCCGTTCTTGTACCTGACTCCCACTGCATCTCGACCAAATTTAGTTCTTGTACGGCTATCCATTGCATGTCCTTTCCACCAATGGCTTTCCTCAGCGTTCACCGGGCGGGACAGTCAACGCACGACTTGCCGACAACGACTGCACTTGGCTAGATGCCCGTGAGACAAATTCTCAAAACGGCCGCGTATCATCACACAGTTGTGCGTTTCTACAGTTGTAGTGTGACAGGGTTTAGCACATGGGGAGGATCAACGATACTTTCTCTGTTGGAATAGGCGTACCAGAGCCGCCAGAATAAACGGCCACATCAATGACGGCACGCATAGTGTTGTAGGCTGAGGAACGCCTGCTGCTGAAACGTCTCAAAAGCAAGATTTGCGATACATATCATTGTGGCTCCTGCTCGATCGTCAGATCTGCTTCGCTCGTGGCCTCTCAACGTTCTGTGACCTAGGCCCTAGACACCATGATCTCTCCTCCGACCGAAGTGCCTGCACCGGCCAGAGTGGTCACGATGATCCTCACTATGTTCACTATTGCCATTCTAGCTGTGTTCTTCAGTGAGCTCTCTCGAATGGACATATTGATCATATTTCTAACACCTCTAGCACGACGTCTTCACCAGGTCAAAAGTTGGACAACATTACCTGTTCTCAACTGGCGTAAGTCGCGTGACTATTTCACCACCTCCCATACTAGCTTATTATAAACTTACATGATTTAGTGGTCCTCGCCATCTACGTTGATTCATTCTTCTTCGTGTTTTTCACTGGCATCCTCTCCAAAGCGTTCAGCGTGAATGCTTCGGCCGGCTTTTGCGATGCCGCCATCCTTTTGTGTTTGTTCTATCTATTGTCCCTCGTCTGAATTTCACTGACCTATGTTTTGATGAAGGCCGTAAGACAAATTTAAGGGCTTGAAACTGGCTTCATGGCAACGCCGCTAATGCTCGACTTAGTCATATCCTATATGTCCACTAAGATTGTATGTATCGCTGAGACTTTGTTACAATCACCATCTAATTCTGAGTAGTTGTTGTACTACTTTCTGGTCGAGAAGTGTTATCTTATTCGCAGCGCCGGTGAACCTCGGAGGCAGAGTAAACTATGGTTGTTCAACTTCTTTGGAGTCATATGTATGTTTTGAGACTAGAACTGAGCGCCAAGGGCCCAAAGGCTAATCAATGCTTAGGCCCCTACATTGTGTTAGTCGTCTTGATGATCGTCTAGTGAGTATATATATATCTCTCTCTCTCTCTCCTTAAGCATCTTTGAGCAAAGTTGACCTCTATCGCAGTCGTATTTCCTATATGAATAAGGAAGGAGTTTGTATAATAGGGTGAGTATCCGGTGACGCCGGACTGACAACCTTGAATAGCACGCTAACAATCTCTTCACAGCATGCAACGAAACGCGTTGGTTCCGACCATCGTTTTTGACGTCTTTCTGAACGTCTGGCTTACCACCCTCTTCCTTCAGCCTCTACGTGGTACTTCGAAAAAGGAATCTCTCAGGCCCAGTTCGAGTGACTAACTGTGATCGCAGATTGCTATTCGTACAAGCAGCAGTCGAGCAGTAGGCTACGTAACGTGGTCGTGCGCACCTTTGTAGGCAGTTGTGCCACGCTCGCGCTCAGCATTACAAACCTCACCGTGATCGCAATCCTGGACGGAGAGCCCGGATACATTTGTCTCTGCTTATGCAATCTTGACAGTAGGAAACCCTCATTTCATGTCCTTGAAAAGTCTCCAGCACTAACGGTGACCAACAGTCTTGTGCACAACTCTCATACTACACTGGGTGTCCTCCGTCGATGCGCCAGAGGACAATGACGTTTCCTCCAACGCGAGAAGAATTCAGAACATCGTGACGATAAGAGCCGCATCCAATAGTAGCACCAAGCCGGACCTCTTAGAAGGAGCCGAAAAAGGAGTGACCCTTCAAGTCGACATTGAGTTCCAAAGCGGAAGTGATGATGCTTCAGCAAACGCCCTCAGCACGAATAGCATGCAAGATACGGAAGTTTTGAATTACAACCCAAGCGCCAAGAGTGCCAGAGAGAGCCGGGAGTTTGATCAAACCTGGCGTTTGATAAACTCCGTAGTCATCAAACACATCTACGAGTATCTTCTGATCAATTTTGGTGCTACAACCCTGATGACACGTTCTTTGTGTACCTTAAGATTTGGGAAACAAGCACGTACGGCCACAGTCAGCTGAAAACTGGGCATCCCGTCCGCTCTGCCATACATAAGCAGTTGAACGGCAGATTAGTACTACGGTGGGTGACCACGTGGGAATCCCTGCTGCTGTACGTTTTGTCTTGTAGCTTTTCTTTTTGCACATGTTTCTCGCTTTTTCCTTCGTGTTCCTAAGATGATGAGACCGGTCTTTTGGCCAGATCGGAGTGCCCGGCATAAGGGACTAGGATTGTTTTGCATATGAACAGCCTTGCGAACTACAGCTGCCAGCATCGACCACGGTTGAAGTCAGCGGAAGTTTTATGAGCCGCTGGGTCTCTGTATGAGAGGCCTGAGATAGTCCAACACACAGCTTCGAACACCGTCGGCAGAATGACCCACTCCATCTACGATATCGAGATGAGCGTGGATACCATTGGTCTTCCAGAGCTCCTGAATATGCTGCAATGTGCCCAGTCTTCCTTTTCCATCAGAGCTTTCGATATTGCCAGTAAGCGCGGCTTCTCCGTCGGGAGCAACGTTCCCACTCTTGCTCTTCTTTCCTGCTTGCCATTCTTTGAAGTCGTTGCCACCATGGGCTGTTGTATCTTTGCTTCCAACAACCATGTGAATGTTCACAGCTTTGATCGTGTCCAAATCAACTGGCCGACTGAACACATCCTGAACATCCTTGACTCCTTTCGGCCATGTCTGTTGGCCATCCAGTAGTGTCACCTTCCCCGGAGCCCCGATACTAACAGCTGCAAGTCGTTCTGGGTAGATATAAAGAAAGCGCTGGGCAAATTGACCACCGCCAGAAAATCCCATAAGGAATATCTTTGTCGTTTCAATATGTGGCCAGCGGGTTGCAACTTCGTCTAGCATAGACAGCAAAGCGAGGTCTGAGCGCAAAGTCTTGGACTTGAGCTTCTTGTACGAGTCCAAGTCATTCGGTCCCTCGATGCCGGCTGGAAACAGAGGCTGCAGGATAGCGCACGGTGTCGAGTCCGCAAAGGTCTTCAGATCGCCATAGATGGCAGATAAATTCCTTCGAGTGCCGTGGATGTTGACTAGAATTGGCAGTTCTGTGGTGTTGTCCTCTTCATTTGCCGCAAGCGACTTGTAAGGGCCAGGTGGAACGTAGAGGGAGTAAGAAACGCGTGGGTCGGACTGCAATGCCATTTGAGGAACATGGCCGACCATGAACGCGGCCTCGAGGAATTGAGGAGGTACATCTCTTGTTGTGAGAGCTTTTTTGGATTTGGACATTTTCACGTGTGTTGACATGTTTTTGCAGACGTTCGTTGGAAGTGGAAGGATCGCTGCAGCCTAACGGCAGGAACGCGTCAGCATTAAGCAAGCTGTTCAATCCGCGTCGGTAACAGTGGCTTTCTGATTAATTCTCGCCATCGTAGTTTCCAATATTTGTAATACTCAGTGCTGTTGTCCAGAGGAAAGAGCAGGCCTTCTCGTGACATGCGCTGAACCCTGTTGCTTCCACACGACTCGTTGACAGAAGTCGTGGCAGAGTTTCGAAACAGCGGTTGAACATCGTGGGGAAACCGTCACCCTTCTCCTTGAACAATCGGTAAGCAAGAATTATCGGCCATGCTTCTTCCACAAATAACGTGATTTTGTAATTCTACTACCCAAATCTGAAGAGCTGTATTGCGCTCCTTAATTCGTGTGTTGTTTCTTGATGAGACAGATCTGGTTAATTCAAGCTGACATGGCTTCTCTAAGCAGAGGGGCGACCTGCTTCCTGCTACACGAGAGATTGCCTTGCTTCCAGACATGGAACCAGTGTTCACCATTCTCCTCGGCATCAGACCCATCTAGTTGGAGTTTCTCGCTAGAAGAATCCGAGAACTTTTTGCATGCGGCAAATCCTCTGTCATCCACAGCTAAGACAGCTAGTTCTCTGGCAAAGCCGCCGTTTTCTGCTTCATATGCTGTCATGATAGAGAACACACACAACTCTCTCTCCTTGGCGAACTTCTTCGAAGCTTCCAGCAAAGCCTTGTAGTCGTTGGAGTCAGAGTCCTTGTTGATCTTGCTCTTGAGGAAACTGATAGGTTGTACGACAGCGCTTGTTCCCAAGTTCAGACCATTCTCGGTCCATTGTTTGTAGTCTTTTCTCAAGATCTCTTCGAATGTAAGAGGGCTGAGATCCTTCTTAGCATCATTGATCTTGTTGAAGAATGTGGTTCTATCGAATCGACCACCAATCTTAGCGCATTGGTTGATCTTTGCTTCAAGATATGTGACTGCACGCTCGTCGTGTTCTGTGGTCTTGTGCTCGTCTTGCAGATTCAGGGTATCGATGACTACAGATGCGAGGGCAAGCTGCGCTACTTGTGCATCCCAAAGGGAGGTCACTGCTTCGTCTTCCATCAAGGTGTCACCTTGTGCTTGTGCCGCTCCAGTGGAAGAGGTACCACATGACAGTCTATCCCAAGCTTCACGGCAATGATTGATGACTAGACTTGTGCAGCTTCCACTGGTTGTAATCAGACGAGGCTCAGAGCCGGTATCCTTTGGCACTTTGCCCTCGTCTGTATGGTGGTCAACAACGCCGACAACGCGGTCAGCATAGATGGCGCCAAGTTTTCCTTGCAACGCATTGTGGTCAACCAAGACCCATCTAGTGGACTCCGGTAACAGAAGTTGTTTCATGTCATCGAGATCGGGCAGGTCGTCTAGAGTGATGAGTTGGTCTTGTTCAATGTTGGCGTGTGGCAGCAGAGCAAGCAATTCTGGTCTCAAGTTGATGTCGGCTTTGGGTATGTTCAAAAGCGGGACATGCAAAGTAGCGGGAGACTGTGCAGAAGATGTGATGGATCTTAGATATGCATAGACAATTGAGCTGGTGATCGAATCGAGGTCTGTCATGACTACAACGTCAGCGTGGGTACAGATCCTGAGATTTGACCGGACAACCTGCGGATTCATTTCCTATGACCAAAGTGACCTTTTCATTCTTACTGATGGCTCTTTGTAAGTTGACTTTCGCCTGCCCAAGGAAAGCTCGAAGAGAGTTTCTTGGAACTGCCATTGTTGATGAGGGTGATGTGTCAAAGTAGATGTTTCGATAAGAGCAGAATTGCGGGACAGGGTGCCACCACTTGCATATCAACATGAATGTCGTCAACGATGATGCTCGTGCTTGTGGGGCAGTCCTCGCGCGAGACTCATGTAATTGTGCTTCTCATGTTCACTACACAATATGTTTTCAAGAAGAATTATACCGTCTGGAAAGCTTGCAACTCGCGGTTTCGCTACGACGACAAGGATGACAGCAGAGAAACTTCGCATCGGCTATATTCCTGGTATGATTCCTCCATGGTCTCCACACGATGATACAGTCTAACATGGAGAACAAGAACATTTCTCGACACCCCTACACTTCGCAATCAAACACTTTGGCCTCAAGGCGGATATCAAGCCGTTCCCCACGGGTACCGGTGCTCTCACGGCATCACTCAAAGACGACAGCATTGATGTCGCGATTGGATTGACCGAAGGATTTGTGGCCGACTTGGGCAAGACAAATGCAAAGCAAGAGACGCCGGCGTATAAGCTGGTAGGAACATACGTGGAGAGTCCGCTATGCTGGGCTATCAGTGTTGGCAACAAGAGCTCGATCAACAGTGAAGATGACTTGAATGCTAAGAGAGTTGGCGTCTCGAGAATTGGCAGCGGGTCATATGTCATGTCATATGTTCTTGCCGACCAGAAGGGATGGCTGGAAAAGTCAAAGTCTCCCTTTGAAGTAGTGCCTCTCGGAGACTTCAAAGCTCTTCGAGACGGTGTCAATGCTAGAGACAAAGCCGACTTCTTCATGTGGGAGCACGTAAGTCATGATTGAAGCCAAGAGAGGCATCGGCCACGCTGACCTTGTTCGCAGTTCACAACGAAAAAGTACTATGACAACGGCGAGCTGAAGCGCGTAGGCGAAATCTACACACCCTGGCCTAGCTGGATGATCGCAGCAAGAGACGCTACAGATAAGAAGCTGGAAGTCATGGCAGAGAAGCTGAACCAAGGAGTTGCATGGTTCCGCGAGCATCAAGAAGAGTCGGTCGAGCACATCACTGGTACCATGGAGTACTCGCAGGAGGATGCCAATGCATGGCTAAAGACGGTCAAGTTTGCCGACAACGTCAGAGGTGTAGATTCTGGCGTGGTCGAGCACACGATCAGCATCCTGCAAAAGGGCGGCGTTTTGGATGACAAGAACGGCGGCGTCAAGGGCATGGTGGCCATCAGTCGCTCTGAGAGAGGTCACTGAACAGAATGCGAAAGGCCTCGACAAAGTGTGTACATAGAAGCGTAAGAGATGGGTGATAATGAACCAAAATATGCAATATGAGCGGGTATCGTAAACAGGGTCTAAGCCTCTACAGCAGCGGCCTTCTTTCCTCCAGTAGCAATGAGGTCGAGGAAACCCTTCTTTGACATCTCACTGACTCTCTCCTCTCTTTGTGAGATACCGACCACACCCTCCTTCTTTGCTTCGCTTCGGGCCTGCTCTCCTTGTACTTGAGCAGCTCTGACAGCGTTGAACAATTTGACAACACCACGCTGGGCAGTCTTCTGTAACCTCTTTTCAGTCTCTTGGATCTGGGCAGTGCTGACCTCGGGGGTGTTCAAGCCCAAGACGTCCTTGACACGGCCCTTGTCCAGAGCCTCCCTTTTCTCGGCATGCATCTTTCTCTTTGCCTTGAGCTCGAGCTTCTGGTCGGCCAGTTCCTTGGAGGCGGCGGTCGCAGCAGCACTTCTCGACAAAACGGGATCTTGTCGTTTTGAGGTGGTAAGCTTGGTGCCCAGAATCTTGGACATGGATGTGGCGAAGGCCGCAGGGTCGTTGCGCTTGCGTGTCTTCTTTTGTCTTCCTTCTCCGTCCTCATTGTCGCTGAGATCCATCTCGTCATCGTCTTCCAGGTCAGAGTCGTCGAGGTCCTCGTCGTCCAGCGCATCAAGGCCCTCTAGATCGTCGTCCTCCTCTTCCTCGTCCTCATCATCATCCTCGGCCTCGTCGTCTTCACTCTCTGATGGCGGGTCGACCTTCTTTGTCATCTTCAAGGCCGACTTGAGTTTCGGTTGTACGGCAGCGGGCTTTGATTCTGATTTGGCGGGAGCGACAGGCTTGGGAGCGGTCTTCTTCTCGGCGACGGGTTCGGGCGCAGGGACAGGAACGACAGGAGCAGCAGGGGTATCCTCGACTTCCTCATCCTCCGAGTCGTCCATATTGACAGGGTTGAAGTCCGAGTTGGTGTTGGTGTTGGTGTTTGTGGATTGAACCTCATCGTCTTCGCTGTCGCTGTGGTAGGCCTTTTGCTTCTTGAATTTCTTGACGAGCTTCTTGGGCTTGCGGTAGCCCATACCCTCTGGTCTCTTTCTCTTTGCGCTTGGGTTGCCCATGGTGAATGAAGTGTTGTGATGTGGTGCAAATAAAATGGTAGAAGTGCTGCTGGGATTTTTTGTCGCAAGTTTACGAATCTTTGTTGGCAGCGTCTGGGGAAGTTGCGGCTCGAGATCGGCGGCTTTTCTGGCCGACCCGCCCCGCGCTCTTGCCCTCCACGAATCCACGAAGGCACCTGCATCTCTCTCACAAAGACATCGACTCGAATACGTACGACTGTTCGGCCTCTCGCTCCCCCTCCACCCTCCACCCTCTCTACTGCAACCATAGCAACTAGACTCGATCTCATCGCAGTTATCTAGCCAGGATGGTTTTGCAAGATCTCGGACGCCGCATCAATGCCGCCGTCAACGACCTGACCAGGTCTGCCACTCTGGACGAAAAGGCCTTTGATGGCATGATCAAGGAGATCTGCAACGCCCTTGTCGAAGCCGACGTCAACATCAAGCTGGTCGCCGGTCTCAGAAACTCCATCAAGAAGTCGGTCAACTTCAAAGAACTCGCCCCTGGTGTGAACAAGAAGCGCATCATCCAAAAGGTCGCCTTTCCCTCCCCAACATTCCGACGCAATACTGACCACCCTACAGGCCGTCTTTGATGAACTCGTCAAGCTTGTCGATCCCCACAACACGCCTTATCAACCCAAGAAGGGCAAATCCAATGTCATCATGTTCGTCGGTCTCCAGGGTGCTGGTAAAACAACTACCTGTACCAAGCTCGCCCGCTGGTACCAGGCAAGAGGCTTTAAGACTGCCCTGGTTTGCGCCGATACCTTCCGTGCTGGTGCCTTCGACCAGCTGAAGCAGAATGCCACCAAAGCAAAGATCCCCTACTATGGTAGTCTGACCCAGACCGATCCCGTCATTGTCGCTAGCGAAGGTGTCGAAAAGTTCAAGAAGGAGAAGTTCGAGATCATCATCGTCGATACCTCGGGTCGTCACAGACAGGAGCAGGACCTTTTTGATGAGATGGTCCAGATTCAAAAGGCCGTCTCGCCTCACCAGACCATCATGGTCCTCGATTCTTCCATCGGTCAGGCCGCCGAGGCTCAGTCGAGAGCCTTCAAGGAGACCGCCGACTACGGTGCCATCATCATCACAAAGACTGATGGTGCTGCCGCCGGTGGTGGTGCTATCTCTGCTGTCGCCGCTACCCATACACCCATCGTCTTTATCGGTACTGGTGAACACTTGCTGGATCTTGAGAGATTCAACCCCGAATCCTTCGTCTCGAAGCTTTTGGGCATGGGAGATATGGCTGGTCTGGTCGAGCACGTCCAGAGCTTGAAACTTGACCAAAAGGATACCATGAAGCACATTGCCGAGGGTCAGTTCACCATCCGCGATCTGCGCGACCAGTTTAACAACATCATGAAGATGGGTCCGCTTTCGAAGATGGCTGGAATGATTCCTGGACTTAGTGGTCTCATGGGACAGATGGATGATGACGAAGGTAGCATGAAGCTGAAGCGCATGATCTACATTTGCGACTCCATGACTGCAAAGGAACTTGATTCTGACGGCAAAATCTTCGTTGACCAGCCGTCCCGCATGACCCGTGTCGCAAAGGGCAGTGGTACCAGTGTTCGTGAGGTCGAGGAACTTCTGTCCCAGCAGAAGGTCATGGGCGGCATGGCCAAGAAGTTCAAGGGCGGCATGCAAAACATGCAGAAAGCTCAGGGTGCCATGGGTGGCGGCAAGAACAACCAGCAACAGATGAACGCCATGCAGAAACGTCTTCAATCCATGGGAGGTGGCAGAGGCGGCGGTGGTGCTGGTGCAGGTGCAGGAGGCATGCCTGACCTAGGTGCTATGATGCGCAATATGGGCATGGGAGGCGGTGGTGCTGGTGGTATGCCTGATCTTGGAGCAATGATGCGTGGTATGGGTATGGGAGGTGGTGCCCCTGGTGGCGGTGGCGGTATGCCCGACATGAGTGCAATGATGAAGATGATGGGAGGCATGGGTGGTATGGGAGGAGCTGGCGGTGCCGGCGGTGCTGGTCGCGGCGGCAGAAGGTAGATGATTATCTCCATCTGCCCTGGTTACTTCCTTCTTTTCCGTTGCATAGCGTCGGCGTTAGGACCTGCCTCAATTTCAAGAATCAAGATACCTGCAAATAATACGAACCATAGCTATAATGCCTTGAGGACCGAACAAGAGACATAGCCCACAATCCAACGACATTCACTTCGCTTATGACATGGGTCTCAATGTTCAATTCTGATGTGCTTCTGATTTTGGCGTACCGCGTTTCTCCTAACCGCAACTTCTTGCCCAAAAAGCTACCCCAAGGTCTCGAGACTTCTGAAACAGATCCAGCTGTCGCCCATGTGAGACCTCAGAACTTCCTCCCCATCAAATCTCTCCGCGGTATCCTCCCTCTTCCATTCCAAAAGCCTGCTCGGTCTCTCCAAGGCTCAGCTATCGAAGAACCAGCCGCAATATATCTGTTCTCCAAGAGAGAACACGAAAGCAAATTTCCAATGAACCTGCCCTCCCGATGTTTCCTGTGACCAGCACAGTAAAAATCTCGGTCCCCCTTTCTTCAAAGCCAAAGTATGGGTAATTTCTTTTCTACTCGAAACCATATGCGCCCTTTTCGTGAGCAACTCTGAAGGCTTCGATGGCCATTCTGACAGCCTTGTCATGGCTGTGCTCGCAGTTATTCTTGTCGCATTCGTGGTTGTAGAATATGCTGCGGCAGGTGTAGGGGACTTTGTGGGAATTGTGGCATCTGTCGCCATGGTGGCAGAAGTTGTGCCAGCGGAGAGTGGAGAATTTCTGTATGTGTGGTCGAATGTGTCAGTAAAGCGAAGGTTGGTGAGAGTAAAAGGAGAGGTGGAGGGGTTAATGGAAAGGGAACCTTACGCGGCAAGGTTGGATCAGGGCGCATCTGTCGAAGAGCACACAATCCTTGTTCATCAGAGTGGTAGGGCAGAACTTGGCCATCTCGTTGAAGCGTGCCTTTTCCTCTTCGGTGAGGTGGTCGGGGGCGGAAATGCCGACTTCGATGTCATTGATGCCGATGCCTTGGATCGAGGTGGCGTCGTCCTTTTCTTCCTCGTCGATGGTGAGTCTCAAGTCTATCAAGAGGTTTTGGCCGCCGGAGCGAGAGCCGTAATCGACGTTTGAGACTGGCTTTTTGCGGTCTGGAGTCGGGTCTGGAGCTTCGGAGACGGCAGTGACGGGGGTGAAGCTGTATTGAGGAGGAGTCGACACAGTGTGGCTGCGCTCGACACGGACTCTGGAGCGTGCTGGGTGAACAATGTTGCCGAGGAGCTGAGGTCTGCTCAGGGCGGGTGATCTCTCCGAGCTTGTGACGCAGTGTGGGAGTCCTTCGCTCTTGCCGTGTATGGCAGCTGAGGTTGTAGACATACTGACGAGGTGAAATGATCGTGTGCGTGTTTTACGAACAGTTATAAGGGCGACGAAGATCGATTGGTGGATGAGTGAAGGAGTCAGGGTGTCGATACTCAATGATAGAGAGAGGGAAGTGTAAATGGAAGAGGAATTCCACAGTGACTGGAGCAGAATCGTGTAAAGAGAGTCGACTTCGTCGTAGATTAAAGTCCAGATAGCAGTCGACTGTAAGCGAAATTTCACTACAGCCAAAGCAAGTAGAGGAGTGATGTAACAATGGTTCAAAAGCGGTGTCGAGCAAAGCAACCAAATGGGAGAGTCAAATTGAAGGGAAATGGATGACGGATCCCGGTACGATGTTTCAATGGATAATGTAGTAAGGCAGTGAACGAGAGGATTAGGAAAGGATAGCGATGATGAGGGTAAGAAAGAAACATGCATTTGTACTATCGCATGCCTGTTCGAGATGTCTTCTGAGTATTCCACATCGCAGTCTACCTCAATGTCCTACATTCTATGGTTCGGAGACTTATCTGCTAGTCCGCTGTCTTTCCATGATCCCCGAGTAGACGGAATTATCCTTCCCATGGCCCGCGACCTTTTCTTACTGGTTTTGTTTGTTTGCATCGCGGTAACGTCAACGCAGGGCCATAGAGGCTGCACCGGAACAGAGCTCCCAGCCTTCCGAGGGGGCGCCCTAAATAATCATCAAAAGGCACGCGGATTTTCATGTTGACGTGGTTATCCAAAGAGAGAGTGAACACCTTGGAAGAAGGGAGGTCACAGAAGAAGCACGAGCGAGAGAGCGAGGTCGCCGTGCCCCACTCGGACCGCACTTCTCCCCACAAAGACCCCTCCATCCACAAACTCACACGCCGAACCTCGGACATCCAATCCACCTCTCTTCCTGCATCTCATCACAAATCCATGTTTGCTCTTCGACAAGCTTCTCACCTGTTGACACGTCGCACCTTCTCCACCACAACACGCATCATGTCTCAAAAGCACGAATGGATGGTCATCCTCCCCGACAACACCGGTGCATTGGAAAAGCGCATGGCAGTTAGACAGTGCGTTCTGATCAGAATCCTGACAGATAGATGATGGACATCTGACTCGAGTGTTACAGACAACATCTGAGCAACATCAAGCCCGACGCCGAGACTGGTTTCTGGGTTCTCGGAGGTGCAATGCTCGAGGACGTTCCCAAGGAAGGTTCTCCTCTCAAGATCACCGGCTCAGTCATGATGGCTGTGGCAAGCACCAAGGAAGAGGTCCTCGAGAAGATCAAGAAGGATATCTACCATGATGAGGGTGTCTGGGACATGGACAAGGTGAGTGACCTGTGTCACGTGGAACGATTTACTTTTGCTAATGGTAGTGGACAGGTCCAAATATTCCCCTTCAAGTCAGCCATCAGATCTGCTTTGTAGAAAGTCGTCTTCTAAAAAGTGAACAACTTCGCAAAATCAAATGCTCGACTCCAGCCTCGTGCCTTGTGAAGCTTCATTATCCGACTACCCAATGCATTGTGCGTTTCGCTATCAAAACCATGACCTGTGAGAGTATGTGATGTTCCTTGACTGCCGACGCATAGCCTTGATCTCGGAAGCCTTCAGACAGAGGAGTTATGAAAGGGTGTTGGTGTTATTGCTGACAAGCTCTAAACCTTGCAAAGTATGATTAGCACATGCTGGTTGAAACCGCAGAGATCTGATATCATCGCGCCATTGGAACAACATATGTGTTTGCACGAGTGTGCGTGCCGAAACTTGAACTTTTGCATGATTGTCATTTCCCTGGCATCTGATTATAGTACCTTTATATAGCCGATTATTATGATAGAATCCTGTACATTATATCTACTTCATGGTGACCAGCTCCTCAGCAGAGGTAGGATGAATGGCAACACAGCTATCAAAGTCGGCCTTGGTAGCACCCATCTTGATAGCAACACCGAAGCCTTGGAGGATCTCGTCACTGCCTTGGCCAAGGATGTGCAGACCAACAACTCTCTCGTTAGGGCCTTCGCAGATGAGCTTGTAGGCGGTGGGACCCTTGTCTTCGGGCTCCATCATGGCGTAGTACATGGCAGTGAAGCTTGAGGTGTAGATCTTGACGGTGTCGCCGAACTTCTCGCGAGCCTCGGGCTCGGTAAGACCGATGCTACCGACAGTAGGGTGAGAGAAGACAACCGAGGGGACATTGGTGTAATCGAGATGAGCATCCTTCTTGCCGCCGAAGAGACGGTCACCAAGACGACGGCCAGCGGCGATGGCAACAGGGGTCAGCTCCATGCCGGCGTTGCAAACATCGCCCAGAGCGTAAATGCCGTCAACGTTGGTGTTCTGGTACTTGTCGACCTTGATGTGGTTCTTGTCGTCAACCTCGATACCAGCATTCTCAATCTTGAGCTTCTCGATCTCGGGAGTGCGGCCAATGGCCCAGAGGACACAGTCAACGTCCATGGTGCTCTCGCCTTGGTCGTCCTTGTAGTGCAGCTTCTTCATGCCATTGCCCAGATCCTCGAGCTTGCTCTGAGAGCTGTTGGTGTGAATGTGGAGACCCTGGCGCTTGTACTCGTCCATAATCTTGTCCTGAATCATGGGATCGAAGGTACGGAGGAACTTGTCATGGCGAATGAACAAGTGAGTCTCTGTGCCGAGGTGGTGGAACATGCCAGCCATCTCAACGGCAATGTAACCGGCGCCGACGACGGCGACCTTCTTGGGCTGCTTCTCGAGGTCGAAGAAGCCATCACTGTTGATACCGAGCTCTTCACCCTCAACACCGATCTTGCTGGGACGACCGCCAACGGCAACGAGGATCTTCTTTGCGCGCACCTGCTGCTCCTGACCGTCCTGGCCCACGATCTTGACGACGTCCTTGGAGACGAAAGAGGCAGTTCCATTGAGGTACTCGACCTTGTCGTTCTTGAGGTTCTTCTCGTAGATGCCATTCAAACGCTTGACGTAGGCGTCACGCTTGTGCTTGAAGGTGGTCCAGTCGAAGGGAGCAGTCTCCTGGATAGAGAAGCCATAGGCCTTGGCTTCGTGGATGGTCTCTTGGATGGCGGCGGCGTTCCAGGTAACCTTCTTGGGCACACATCTGTATGGCCTATGTCAGAGCGCGAAGACGATGTAACAGACGATGCAACATACCCGACGTTGACACAAGTACCTCCGAGTCTGGAGTTCTCGACAGCGATGGTCTTCATGCCATATTGGCCGCTAGCTCTTCTAGCAGCAGCGAGACCACCACTGCCGATACCAATGACGAGGAAGTCGCATTCCTTGGGAGTAGGAGCCATGATGGGATGTGTTGTAGAAAAATGGCGTGTTACGTTTGAGAGTCTCGAAGTTGCCGTCGGAATGCTATGAAGAATCCGCGGGGAGGTGCTGAAGATACGCATATAATATAGCAAGGCGAATGGGTGACGACGGGGCAACGGTGAAGAAGGTTGATCTGAAATACAAAAGAACAAAGGCGGGATTCGCTTACGTCAATCACTTCAGAACGCCACCAATGAACGATGGCCGGCAACAGTAGGATGTGAGATGCGCAGAAGGTTTCGAAGTGGTGCAGAAGAACAACGATGACAAAGCTTCTTGATTTCCAATTGCAGCTTGACTTGTAGCGTCTCGAGCTCGCTGCCACAGAGGGCACGGAGGGCACGGAGGGCTGCCGGGCTGCCCCTCGGTTTGACGCGATCGCTCTCTAAACCTAAAACCCTTTGACGCACGGACGACGAAGCAGCAGGATGATGATGAAGCCGTGCCTTGCTGTCACACCACTGTGAGAACGGAGCTTTGTGTCTCTTTCCCTGTGAGAAACAAGACTATTCTGTAAGCAATAACCACTTTCACCATGGGCGGCAGATTGTCTGTGCCAAAAGGGCCTGCGGGCACCACCGAGATCAGTCACCCAAAGGCCTCACCGTTCCCCCGTCGCAAGATGCCCTTCAATTCGCGAACCGTCATTGCGCCCGCCGCTGCCTTCACAATGGCCTGCATCCTATTCGTCTATACCAGAACCTCGATACGCGCCGCCAAAGCCAATGCTCAGAGACATCGCGACGCCGACAGTAACGGAGAGGGTCTTGATCTGCTGGCTGAAAGTAGAAGAAGACATGGTCGTGGTGAGAAGTTGGACCAAGGTGGTGGCACTCTGTCCGAGCTGGCTCACGGCGCCAGAGAACAGTTCTTGGGTTCCTCAAAATCAAAGCCTTCACCCGAGAAGCTGAAGGGCAGATCACCCATCTCCGAGAATGAAGAGAAGCTTAGAGCTGCCATGGGCAGGAAGTCCGATGAATCTGGAACATGAGACCAACACATCTTATCTGTTCCATCTCGACACCAAAACACCATGCCTCTCGCGCCCATGTCCTGCTCCACGGCTGCGTATGTCTGCGCCTCCGAGTTGGACCCGGCGCTGTCTCACAGCTCCAGCATACCAAAAGGGCCGTTGTCCTGGTAGGCTTTCGAAGCTACGGCCCCCATTGCTGAAGGTCAGATACCTTTAACATCATGAGTAATGCAAAGCATATTGGCTTCATGCCTTTTCCTTAGACCAGTCCAGTAATCGCGTGAGAATGTGTCTATGCTTGTGAAGCAACATGATCTCGAACCCTGGTACGGTTCTGCTCCCAGAGAGCGAATGTCACAGCCTGAACAAGACAGTCTGCTAGATCGTCCAGTTTGCCAGATAGAGCAGAAGTATCAGCACCATCGACTTCTTCGTACTCGTCATCTTTGTTCTTTCGCCGGCTTGCTCGTGACTTTGGTGAACAGAATGAGGCAACCATTGGAGCTAGATTCGCATCCACAGTCAGATCATCTGTAGTCATCGAAAGCGAAAGCCAGTGCCGAGCCAATGCAATCTTGTCCTTCTTCTCAAATGATCTCTTCTTCAGCTCTGATTCAGTCGTCTGTACCACCTCCTTGGGACTCGTGAGCGATGTAGCAACGTCTGCCGGCGTAGGGAAGAAATCCTCGCGAGCAAGCCAGAACATGCCAACACGCCGGGGACTCATTTCTAGAAGGTCTGGGAACTTCTGCCCTTGGGCTATCACACCCTGGCTGTAGCCATGTCGCATGGTCTCAAGTGATGCCCACAACATGCTCTCTAACATGTTTACTCGAACAGTCCACTCTTGAATAGCAGGAGCTCCTCCAGACCGGAATCTCTGACGCTCTATCAGAATATAGTCTGGTTTGTACTGCAGGAACTCAGAGGCCAGACCAAAGGCGATTTTTGAAAGCGAAGAAGGCGCATATAGGTTGATCTGATCTCCGGAAGAGGACACGTCCTTGGTCTCGCTGGCCAGATCTTCAATTACTGGCGATGGGTTTGCTGGAACAGAACCATGTTTGGCTACCAGCCTCTCCGAGACGTCTAGACGCTTCCAGTCTGATAGATGAAGAGATAATTGGCTATCGGTTTTTTGTGCATATGTCTCCTCCAAATCTGGCGGCACCTCGTGCAGATCCAGTAGGCAAAAGGCAAGGTTTTTGACACCCATGTCTACGCTGAGAATCCTACATCGAGGGCTCGCGAGAGGTGGTCTAACCATACTGTCCGTCAGCGCTCTACATAGCTGCGCTTTGGTTCCGGTGGAGTTCAGCCCAGTGAGGAATGCCAGTTGTTTGAGTTGCCATGCTTCCAATGTTGACAGGTAGCCAAGCGGACTGGCTTTGCCCATGTCTGGGACAACACCGGCGCGTCGAAAAATGATGGAAAACCAGGATCTGGAAGCAAAACGAAAAGACCAGGATGGATTCACCTCAAAACAAATCACAGCACTTGAGCAAAAAGGCCTCAGCCCGAGATCGAATCGGGGACCTCCTGCAATTTAGATAGACCCAAAGCAGGAATCATACCACTAGACCACTAAGGCATTTATTGAGTCATGCAAAATTTTGTCTTACATATGTTGTCAATCATGTGCGTTCGCTGCCTACCATGTTGAATTCATCGACGTCGGACGTTCATGACCTCTCCTCAATATTAGTGCTCACGATTCATGAGAAAAAAACATAGGAGTGAGAAAGCGCGTGCCGAGCTGGGTGTTGGTCAGCGGTGTCCCCACGTCTGACAGGTAGTACCAACGGGTATCACGGCGACTGTTACCTTGGCTGACCTCTGCCAATTCATCCTTTGCCAAGCTCAGAATAACGAAATGGTTATGCAATATAAGCGCTTCCTAGGACTGATAGGTCTACAGCATGCCACCCTTTACCTCTAGCAAACAGTGCCGATATGACAGATTCGAAAAATGACGCTACCGACCACAAGGTGCCCGATAGCAAGGAGCCTAGAGCCGGACTACCACAACGAAACAGTTCGGATACTACCTGCACTTCACGCACTACGCTGCCGACCTACGAATCTTTGGTCCTAGATACGCCGCCTTCATACCAGTCTAGTCAACAACCAAAGAAGGTCACACCTCGAGAATCTACAGCAGGAGCCTCCGCAGCCACCCTGCGTGCTATACTGGGTGATCCTATCCCTGAAGAACCAAAACGAGGCTTACGAGATCGTTTACTCGGTCGGAGACCGAATTACAATCGCCGCCCTCCTTCTTCGGAGCGAGAGCGAGGCAGTTCAGCAACTTGGAATGTGTGGGGTTCGCCAGTAACCGACCCTAAGTGATTATCGGGATCTATGACGAACACCAAACATACATGGTCTCGTGGCTAAAATACTTCGGGAGAGGCTCCATCGAGCTTTGATAGGAACTCAGCTTTAGATCACTAGAAAAACTCTTCGAAGTGAAGAGGCTGTGTATACCCACGGATCGGAGGTAAACGGATGGTAAATCTGGTTACGTTGAGGGCAGATGGAGAGATGTTGGATGATCTGGATTGTTCCGCCGGGTCGTAGACATTCTGCAAATGCGTTTACGCTCGATCATCAAACGCGCACTTGAAGACTGTTGTCGTCACACGGAGCATGGCTATATGTATGCCTTTCACTCAGGAAACATGACAAGGCTGAATAAAATACTCCCACTAACGACGTTGAGCGTTATTGATGTGCTGAAGAAGGGGTGATGTTGCATGGAGCATACATCTATGTACGCCTTCAGCACAAATCAGTCCAAAGGCTTGATCAAATGCTCCCACTAACGACGTCGAGTGTTACTGATGTGCTGAGGAAACCGTGATGTTGCATGGAGCATACATCCGTGAATGTCTCCAGCACAAACCAATTCAAAGGCTTGATCGAATAGTCCCACTAACGACGTCGAGCGTTACTGATGTGCTGAAGAAGCGGTGATGTTGCATGAAGCATACATCTATGTACGCCTCTCACCTGAACAGCTTCTCCCCAAGCATCAAGTCGACCGTCTCTACTAACGACATTGAGTTTTGATGAGGTGCTGGCAAACCAGCAATGTTGCATGGAGCATACATCCATGTAAGCCTCTGGCTTGGACAGCTATTCCTCAAGCACCAAGTCGACCACCTCTACTAACTGCATTGCTTAATTCAAGTGAAGTCTTCAGGCGTTTGATCGCTCCTTCCTTCTTCCTTCCTTCCTTCCTTCCTTCCTTCCTTCTTCTTTCTCTGACCTACACCTCTCTTCCTTTCTTCTTTCCTTTTATTCGTGCCGTCAACATGGATAAGATAGAGAAGAATAGACGGAGGGCGAAGATACTTCGCGAACGCCGCGCCGCTCTCCTTCTAGCCTCAGCGCAAGCGTACGTTATCCCAATCGACCTTTCACTCGTCTAACTAACAAGCGCAGCCCACCGTCTGACCTCGCCATTCAAACTGCTAGGGCAGCCCTCAATTTACCTGCTCTTCCCGCCGGCAATGCTGCAACCACCGCCACCCCTTCTGCTCAGAGCGCCCAATCGTCTGCTCTTTCCGCCGGCAATGCTGCAACAACCGCCACCCCTTCTGCTCAGAGCGCCCAACCCTCTGCTCTCTCCGCCGGCGATACTGTAACAACCGCCACGCCTTCTGCTCAGAGCGCCCAACCCCCTGCTCTCTCCGCCGACAATACTGTAACAACCGCCACGCCTTCTGCTCAGAGCGCCCAACCCTCTGCTCTCTCCGTCGGCAACCCTGCACCAACCGCCACGCCTTCTACTCAGAGCGCTCGGCCCTTTGCGTTTACCGCCATCGCTGCTGTATCCACAGCTGCCATTTCTGCCCAGAGTGCTCAACTATCTGCTTCTACGTTGGATTCATTACCTCCCAGCGACGTCGTCACTATCCCTCGTGCCTTGTTTGAAGCTCGCGCGGCTGAGCTAGCTCGCCTCGGTATTTACGAGGGCATGACAAAGTGACAAGTTTGGATCCTCAAGGTACCCAGTAAGCAAGATTGAGTTTCCAAATGTGCAAGGCCTGCCGGATCCCCTACGCCCCCGATACGCGACGAATCAATACCCAAAAGGCAATCCGGCCAACTTCGTTCACAAGCAGGCACCTGGCACCAAGCTTTTACTACAGACAAATATGGGTGGATGGTTTGCCTTTTCGAAGACAGTGAAGCATTACGTCGCTCACATGCACGGCAGAAAGGAACATTTACTCACTCCTCGATCGGCACCTTACAAAAGTGGCGCGATGGCAAGAGCGTTTGCTGTCACTTGCACGCGATCTGATAGGCACACGATAGCCGCCGCTCCGTCCACTCGAGGTCCGAAGGTCTTCAGTCGTCTCAAAAAGGCTAAGATTGTTGGGAGACTCTCAGAGACGCTTAAGAGAGTAAGACTAGAGACACTCACAAGGTTTTTGATTGCTTCTATGGACACGGAAGTTAAAGCATCAGCATAAAAGATATATATTTGTCCGTAGCGCATCTGTGGTCAACAATTCCACAGAGAAATAACCAAACAAATGGTCATCAATCACCTCATGTATGGAATCCATACGAGCTTCTCTTTCCACAGAGGAGATAACATCTGTCCTTTCTCATGCGAGAAGGGTTTCCACGACGTCGACTTGCTTAAAGCACACATACAAGAACGCAAATGCTTGCTAGCGAAAGAATTTGATAACATCCAAGAAGCATCCGGATACCAAGCTGAGATGGAACCACACCTTCAACGAGCGCATAGTTTAGACTTCACTTGTATTCCCTGTAAGAAGAGCTATGCAACATTGCAAGAGCTCTTCTTTCACGTTCACGGTGCTGGGTGCAGATACATGGATTACAAGGACATTTACACAAATGTGCCTGTTATAGACAAGGACCCAAGAATCATCCTCCTCGAGCCACGACTTCTGCAGAGACCTTCTAGAAAGAAGAGAGCCTTGATCTTCTTCCGACACAGCGCAAATTCTGGCCACGATAACACTGGTAATACCGATCCGCATGCAGAGGGGTCAGTCGAGATAGCAGAAGACCTCTTAGCAAAAAATCTGATTAATGAGGAAACCAAGCTTATTAATGTTTGTGGTCATCACGCAAAAAGCCACAGACTTCCAACCATATACGAAGATGTTGAGCTCGAACAGTACTTCGCTCAACACGACTGGGTGTTCAAGCAGGATTGAATTGACAACGACGCTACAAGTGAATTGCGTCGTGACTTCACGTCGACCGAAAGGTACTCGTTTACCTGCAACAACGAGATCAGGGACGACGTAGATAACAGTCATGAGCCGAATACATAAAGAGAGACTGTACGTACTCTCAGTGGACCCCCTCTCGATCTGGAAAAACATCTTGCATTTTGACGTGTAATTTGATAGTGTACCGTGCAAGCGGGATCATCGGCCAGAAGAAGAAAAGGAGCACAGGGGCTGCACAAAGATCACTATCCCCCAGACCCAGCAGCCCCTGAAAGTGCCTGTAAAAATGCACAATGATATTGAGTTTGATCAATTTGTCCAGTGAGAGCAGTCGCCCGGCACACTCTCACTGGACCAACTCGCAATCCTGAATGACTTCTTGCATTTTGATGGGTGTATTTCGTGGAGGTCGCTGTTCAGGGAGTAAGGACTCTGGCTCCAGCGAGCTGCTTGGTGGTGTCGTTATGGTGTGCGGAAGTAGTGGCGAGATAATCCCATATCTCTTGGTGCAAACCCATCTGGGCGATAGTAAAGTTTCGCAAGATGGAATCATGGGCAATGTTTCCGCGCTTCTCGAAGTCCTCTGGGAATTTTCCTGCCAATCAGGACTTCTTTGGTATGTTAAGGCCGTTGCGGGGAGCCTCGTATATGGCCTTTCTGATCGCAAGTACCTTCAAGGGGAGGAACCGATTGTTGTTGCGAAATTGATCAGCGCCCTCAACCTGGCCGTCTTTGTCAATGGGGACCTTAACGACGACACCTTCTCCGAGGTCGACCTCAGTAGTTTCTCCAGATCCATTGAAGGTGACGTTTTTGGGTTTGGCGACTCTGGAGAGATCCAGCTCTCCATCAGGATCGAGCAGACCATCGTCCACTGCAGTGGCCTTATCTGCTTGCTGTTTGAGCTCGGCGTTGCGCTTGGCCCAGTGAGTTACGGCCTCGGCATGAAGTTTCTCCCATCTGCGAATCCAGAACTGAGTGTAATGCGTAGTGAGGTCCCAAGATTCGAAGATGCTCTGCAGGATTCCCTGCTCGCTTCCCTCATAGCCATCAGGTCTCATGGATGCTGCATCGAGCCGGGCAGTCGCGTAGAAATCGGCCGAGTGCAGATTTTCGACGAAGGCGATGTACTGCGACCTATTCTTCTTTAAACACTCGGGGAGATCCTCCACTGCCTCTGCAGGCATCTTCATCTTGAGCTTTACTGTGTTGTGTTTGCGTCCTTTATCACGAAGCACGTCTGCCAGAGCAAGATAAGACTCGACCTCGACGTGCGATGCAAAAGGTGGCATGATTAAGGGTGTGTCGATATTCAAGACTAGCTATGGTGATCTAAGAAGCATCATATCATCCTCGTTCTCGAAGAAGTCCTCATCCGCATCGTCATCTTCATGATCCCCGTCTCCTCCGTTCTCTGAGTATGCCTCGGGAGGCTCTTCCTCATCTTTTGGTGGCACAAATCCGGCAAGTCTCTGTTTTCTGTGTTGATCCTCCCATACCTTGGTCTCTGTCCAATCGAGGATGGAACGCTGAGTGAAGCAACTTGCCGTGTTCCAGTTTTGCCACATGAAATAGAACTACTCATGTCCGTCTTTTTTAATCGTCGCTGTCTTGAGCCAACGCTTCACAACTTCGCATTGCGATATGGTAAAGTCCCGAGCGGCGAAGTAGGTCACTCAACCCTTCATAGTCGGGTATTGGTGTCTGGGCCCATGCCGGCAGTATCGATACTGGTAGTGGCTGGTCTGCTGGCAGCCCGTCTTGGACTGCGCTGGGCGGGTTGTTCATCTTCGGGAAGTTTTCGTTCGAGAGTATCCAGGCTCTCTCGTTCCGTTGTTGTGATGCGGTAAGATCGCGGTCACCGAGCTGTGTCGGAATGATAGACGCTGTGGCAGGATTGTCGGTGAAGAAAGTTGGCTTGCTGGTTGCTTGAGGTGCTTCTCCTTGTAGTGACTGTTGTTGAGTCAAGTTAATCTGAGGTTTGTTAGTCGGCAGGATACGCAATAGAATTTAGTGTACTCACTGGGGTGTCTTGTGAAGATCTAATCCTCCTCGCTGGTGCACACGCTTAACCGTCAGTGAGGCGCGAGCAGGTGGCTATCAGATAGCCGTAGCGGTTCTTGTCGTTGTAGTTGTTGCTACGGTGCGCAAGACGGAATAGATGATTAGATGATTAGAAGAGTAGAAGAGTAGAAGAGTAGAAGAGTAGAAGAGTAGAAGAGTAGAAGAGTAGAAGAGTAGAAGAGTAGAAGAGTAGAAGAGTAGAAGANTAGATGATTGCTCTATCTTTGCAATTCTCATGCTCATTTCGATATTTGGACACTCGGTATTTCAGGACTGTCTGTTATCATGGATCCATATCTGTATGCCTCTTTCCTTTAGTTTGTCCAACGCTCTTCTGACTTCAAATAATGCGGCAGAGTTTCGAGAAAGTCTGGCGGTTGTTGGTCTTTCCAGAAAGCGCTGATCCTCCTCTGTCTTGGTCTCGTCCCTGTCCACTGGAGCACGGAACGCTGAGTGAAGCGCTTCGCGGGGTTCCATATCTATCACGCGCAGCAGCCTGAATCTTGCCTGTCTTGTAAGCAAGTTTTGTCTGCTTCGTCCATTTCCCACAACTTTGTGGTGTAAACATGGTAGACCCTTCCAACGCGCATCATGACCTGAGATCAATTGAACCTCGGCCTCAGATCCTGCGCTGACGCTTATCAAATCATCCCCGGAAGTAGCGACCAGATATGATAGTTGCCATTCCTGCCTGTTCGCGATTGATTGGAAGCTCGAGGTCATGATTGTTGGGAGTAACCCTGTCCAGATCACCGATGACACATGAGGCGCACAGCTCACAACGTGGCCGCCACCCGTTTATTCCCGGCTCTCGGCAAAATTCGATCTTATCATCGATTCGCGCCCGACACGCGACACAACTTTTTTCCTCAACCAGTGTCCGTTTCCCTTCTTGTCCCTCCGTCGCACCTAATGGTCTCTTCTCTGTTGCAATGATGCTCGCAGCATTCGGATACGTTAAGGGCATTCAATAACACCCTTCAAACTGGACAATCTATATTCTCAATCATCGGTGATTACTTTTGGACAATTCTTTTTTCCCTGCCGTGAGCTGCCGCCAATTGGAGTCAGCAAATCATCGATCAGCGATAACAAGTTGTGAAATTGCCACAACCAGGGACTTGCAGACTGACAAATCTGCGAACAAGCGCGGTATAACCGCGTGAGACTTGATCGAAACCTTTGGGAGCGGCATCCTCGGGACTTCATCACTTAATTGACATTACCACCTGGAAGATGACCCACTTCAATTCCACGCACGAGGAGCTTGCAGGCACCATCCGCCTCTTTGCGGATTCGGATTCCACCACGTCTGATAAGATTTTGCTGCTTCCTCGGCCCACGGAGTCACCCAATGATCCTCTAAACTGGAGTTATTGGCGAAGAATGTGGTCTGCTGCACTGGTCTTGTACATCACTGCTTTGACAGCCGCTACTTCCAACAGTGCTGGTGCTGCAGGTACAGCATTGGTCGAAGAATATGGCATTGGGTGGGGAGTGCAAAACACCGCTGCTGGTGTCTTGTTCTTGGGTATCGGCTATGCAGCATTGGCACTGTCTTCAGCGAACTGGCTCTACGGCAGACGTATCTCATACATCATTTGTTTGATTTCCTCCATCATCGGCAGTGTTTGGTTCGCTCGCTCCGACGGCAAGGCAGATACGATCCTCTGCCAGCTGTTCTTGGGAATCTCTGAATCTGTCGCTGAGGCCACCGCGCAACTGTCGTTGACAGATGTCACTTTCCAGCACCAGCGTGGTTCCGTTCTAGGAGTATACGTGCTCGCGACCTCCGTTGGTACTTTCCTTGGACCTATGATCTCTGGCTTTATCGCGGATAGCCCTCTTGGCTGGCGATGGATGGGTTGGCTTGCCCTGATCATTTCTTTCTGCACCCTTGTCGTCTTCTACTTTGGTTTGGAAGAGACTGCGTTCGATCGCGATAGCATCCTGGACGGTCTGGCCACTGGACGTAGCTCGGCCGAGACCGATATCTCTGGCGAGAAGAAGACGACCGCTGATCCGACTTCTGTGATCGTAAGCGACGAAATCAACAGCGACCATCGCCCCAGAAAGGGCAATCTTATTCCCAATGGCTCTGATTTGGTTCCTAAATCTTACTGGCAGCGCATTGCCCTTATTACACCATCACCCACACTGATCGGAACTGGATTCAAGCAATACATGCGCCGTACATTCCACACCCTACGCATATTCTACTTCCCAGCTGTCATTTACTCCGGCATGCAGTGGGGTATGCAAGACGCCTTCCTTTCCTTCTACATGACAGTTGAGGACGATAATTGGACATCGGAGCCTTACAACTACGGCGATCGTGCCGATGCGATCATGTGTATCCCCACATTGATTGGCGCTGTCATTGGTTGTGTCTACGGTGGTTGGTTCTCCGATGTGTTTGTGCGTTGGATGGCCAAGCGCCGTAACAACATCTCCGAGGCTGAGGATCGTCTATGGCTCATGTACCTGCCTGCTATCCTCTCGCCTATTGGTCTCATTCTGTTCGGTATGGGTACCCAGCGCGTGTGGCCATGGCCCGTCCCTTACGTCGCTCTGGGTTTCATCGGTTTCGGCTTCGGCTGTGGAGGTGATTTGACTATGGCCTACCTCATGGATTGTTACCCAGAGGCAGTTCTGGAGGGCATGGTCGGTGTTGCCGTCATCAACAACTCATTGGCTTGCATCTTTACCTTCGTCTGCTCGATCTGGCTTGATGCACACAGTCTGACACAAGTCTTCGTCACTCTTGGATGCGTTAGCTTCGGTGTCATGTTCATTGGCACTATCGTCATGATGTGGTTCGGCAAGGCCACACGTAGGCTGACTGCTGGCAAGTACAAGGAATTCCTGTACATCCGTGGCAGCGTCTAGAAGGCGAAAAGTTGATTTGTTTTTCTTCCCTGTCCTTCTTATATAATTCTCTCGCTGTTTCTTCTTCTTCTTCGATGTGGATATCCTGGACATTGCTTTAACTGTAATTACGTTTCATGACAATAGACTCATCACAATTCTTTTCTTCAATTGCTTCTCAAATCATTCGTTCATGTGTCCTGGCTGTGAGTAAAGGTTGATCATACAAGTCTTGGCTATCTGCTTCTATCTTAATCACTTTTGCTTCATCGCCCTCTTCAGCATACCGCAGAAGCTCTCGAATAAAATGCTGTCTTTGCCCTGTCGCCAACGAACTTCCATGTCACCTTCTTTGACTTCGATATCAAACTCCAATGCCACATCAGCAGACTCTTTCTTGGGAGCTTCGGGCTCAGGCTTCGACTCCTGCCCGTCTTCCTGTTCCATCTCCACTCTCTTACGCTTGCGTCTTGCTGAGCGAGACCATACGTTTTGACTGGCAGCGCCATGGCCTACCCATTCTTCGGCGTTCCAAGACCACTGAAGGTCGAGTTGTTTGAGCGTGTCGTTCAGTAAGTCTGCAGCTTCAGATCGTGTAAATCCGATGGTGTGGATGGTTTGAGCTGTTGGGTAGGGCAAGATGTGGGTGCCGACATCACTGCCTCTGGCGATTGCCTATGTCCGTTAGTATCATAAGACTGCCCAAGGTCAGTCACGACTCACGTTGCTTGGTCTCCTGTCTCCAAAACTCCAACCCACAGCCCATCGTCTGGTTTTGTTACCCGCTCGGAGTAGAGTGACAGCCCAATTGGTGACACCGATCTCCTTCAGACGATCGATGACTTGATGCACACTAGAGAGTTTCCCGAGCATGCTCGTGTACCACCTGACAGTGTTGCCCAGTTCTATACTCTCCTCGACCATGCGCAGTACGAAGCCAGCATCACCGCCCTCACAGATCATCTCCACGTCCGCACCCGTACACACGGCACTAGGTGCACCACTCTTGCCCGCACTACTCACCGCCATGTCCTCCGCACTCGAGTAAAAAGGAGGATTACACATGGTGAAGTCGAGTTTGTCCACTCCAAACGCCTTTGGGTTGATCAAGGCATCCTCGGCGACGTTTAGCTTAGTACTGATTCGAGATTCGAGATTATTTCTTTTTATGTTGTCGTTTGCATTGTTGAAGTTCGAGGGGTCGATATCTGTGCCTAGCATCTTCCAAGTTGGTCGTAAAGCGCAGGCTAGCAGGCTGTAGATGCATGATGCGCCGATACCACTATGATCACGTCAGTCCAGCTCGATTTATGATCTGGAAGAAACCAACATGTCCAAGCCAATTATATCTTTCTTCTCCAAATCTTCGGAATTATCGGTGGAGTCGAGTAGTTCCTGCAGCCATCGAACATAGTTGTACCTCACGGGAACAGGCGGGCATAATCTGTCATCGGGAAGCTCAAGCTCGATATTGAAGTCGCGTTTCAGCACACTCTTTGTAAGCTGTCTAAATTTCTTCAGCGACCCTTTTCTAGTGTCTCTACGCTTGCATATGATGTAATTGGGAGATGGACTCACTGCAATGCCTTTGGGTCTTGAAAATTGACATGACCGTTTGCGTCATCGTAGAATTTGGCAAAGTCGGGATCGGTCATCGCGAGCGCCTGAAAATCGACCTCTTCATCATAATTCGGAGTTGGCAATGGTTGGGAAGTCATGTTGTGTATGTGTGGAGGTTGCGAAGTTGTGAAGACAGAGCCGGGTAAAGCAGAAGATGGAGAGGTCAAGGTTCATGAAGCCAGCCAGCGTGTTCGGTGAACACGCTAACCTTTATTTTTTGAAAGTCATATAATACATTGAAGGGAAGATCTATTGCCATGTCATGTTTTGGTATTCCATACCCCTAAGCATACGCCATACACCAATTCGTACACGTATTTCTTCGTCGGCTCTAGATAGACCAGCCAAAAGAGCCATCGAATTCCCAGACATCGGGGTCTTCGCCTAGTCGAACCTGTTCCAGCGTAGGGACAACATCTGGCGCATAGCTCTCGAGTAAGGCCTCCATATCGCGCTCTTCCATTGTGCAGAAATCCTCAAGAGTCCATTTGTCGCAAACCTTGATCATCCTAGATGGTGTCAGCTGTGCATGTTGACCGAGTTCGATGTATGTCTGCGTACCACTTCATTCTCTTTGGACCCTCCTCGTTTCCAGGAGCGACGACTCTCAGTTTCTTTCTCAGGGCGCCAACCTTTTTGATGGCCTCGCCCATGTTTGGCGGTAAGGCGGCAGCAATCCTTCTGCGGACAATATTGGCCATTCTGGGACCATTTCCACTTGTGCTGACCATGATCTGCAGAGGACCGTCTCTGTACTGACTTCCAAAGTAGAAGTCACACTCTGGTGGTACATCGGCAATGTTGGCGACGATTCTCTTCTCTTTACACAACTTCCAGATCATAGTCGAGGCTTCGGGGTCGTCGATGGCGGTCATGACCATGGCAATGTTGGGATCATCCAGATCTGAGGGCTCGAAAGTGCGATCGTGGTATTCGACGAGGCCTTGCTCGACACGGTATGCGACTTCATCGTTGAGGCCATCGCGAGGGCTGATGAGACGGACCTTTGCGTCCGAGTTGAGGAGGTTCAGAATGCGACCAGCGGCTACCTTGACTTGTTGGTCAATGTCAACATGCAAAGGAGAAAGTGTTGCGGTTATGACTAACCTCGCCGCCGCCCACCATGAGCACCAGTTTGTTACGGATCTGCCATGCGAGCATGAGAGAGCCACCGCCCTCGATTTCAGGGAACTTGGCCATGACAATGAGTGGATATCAAGTACTGAGTCAAGAGAGACAGAGAGACAGAGGGGAACAAGGTAGAATAAATTATTTGGTAGATTGGCGATAAGAAAGGCAAACCCCGCGGGAAAGCAGATGGAAAGCAGATCGCATCATCGGGGCTGTCATCACCAACTCCTGGTCCATGCAACGGGCCGAGAGCACCGAGGGGCGGTGAAGTCAATACACTCTGTTGCAGTAAACACAAGCCAGTCTGCCTGTCGGCCTCGTGCCGCTTCGTGTAATATGGCATCGCGAAGGACATTAGGAGGCGGGCGCGTCTTGGGCAGCGGGCGCTCGCTATCGCCGGCCGTCATCCCGCAGCGCCCGCAACAACTCACGCCTTCCGAAAGCTCCCTGTCGCTGGCCTCGAGCTCGCATACTTCGACGACCGAAACAGATGATATCGCCAGCAGAGTCGCCCTCGAGTCCAACAATGGCCCTGTCGGTGGTACTGCTTCCGCCAGCTCGCGCCTGGTCTGTCCCATCTGCAACGAGGACATGGTCACACTCCTACAACTCAACCGACATCTCGACGACAACCACCAAAACCTGCAGGAAGTCGAGCAAGATGAGGTCAAGAACTGGTTCGAACAACAGATGAAGAAAGCAAAGCGTTTCCAACCTCTTGCCGTACTCAACCAGAAACTCAAAGGCCTTGACGTTTTCGAGTCCAACGCGACTGCCCCTCCCTCGCTCGTCTCGACTACACCACCTCGTTCCTCACACTCGACCCATTCCACTCCCTTGCCAGCCACCCTGCCCGAGACTCGCCTAGACCCCGACGATGTAGTCACAAAGGCTCATTGGCAGCGGACCTCGGTTCATGACACCTGCTCGGATCCTTTGTGCGGCAAGAGGCTCGGGAATACCAATGGCAGCATCAACTGCAGACATTGCGGAAAGCTCTTTTGTGAGGAACACACCATGTACCAGATGAAGCTGTCTCGCTCCGCTCAGCATGAACCCGTCCGTGGCCTGTGGTGTCGCGTGTGCGAAACATGCTACAAGAGTCGACCTGGCTACAACGATCACTCGGGACTCGAGCGTGACCATACTCAAGAGTTTGTTGCCATTCGGAGACGCACAGTAGACAAGGCATACCTCGAAGTGAGCAGGTTGGAAAAGCGCCTTTCGAGGCTGACACAGCTGTTGGCCAACCCTCCTCCCCCTGAGAACGACCAGAGCACTAGTAGCTTCCTGTGGTCCCTGGCCGGCTCTAAGAACCACATACGATCCCTGGAGCAGTCAGTCGTAACTTGGGAAGAGGATGCTCGCGTATTACACTGTCCATTCTGTCAGCAACAGTTTTCACAATACTCCTTCCGCCGCCATCATTGTCGAATATGTGGTCGAGTTGTGTGCGGCGACCCAGCCACGAATTGCTCGACTGCGATCGGTCTCAACGTAGATGCCCCCGTCGCAACCAACGGTCTTGAAAAATCACTCGGTCAAGTCGCTGTTGACGTGCGTATGTGCAAAGACTGCCAACATACAATATTCAGCAAGTCTGACTTTGCCCGTCAATTATCTACACGACCCCCGGACCAGCGCGCCTATGAGAATCTTGTTCAGTTTGAGCGCGGAATCCGTCTTCTTCTGCCCAAATTTCAAAAGCTGCTTCAGGCCTTACAAGATCCTGACAAACCTCCAACGCCAACTCAATTGACCGATGCCACGAAAGTACGTAGACGGCTCATGGATGCCTTCACACAATATGACGTCGCGGCCAGGCGCATCAGAGACTTACCGACGGAACGTCCGACGCAAGAACGTTTACAAAAGGCCATTTATGCACAGGCAACTACCTTCCTGCACTTACACATGCTTCCCCTCAAATCCTTACCCAAACTGCTTCAACACGCGACACCGCACGGCAAACCACAAGCCAAGCCCTCAGCCGATCCCTTGGCCGCCATCAGAAACGATCAGGCCAGGCCACAAGGCAGTCGAGCGAGCAGCTCGTCATCCGCTCAAGTCACCGCGCTAGAGGCCGAAGAGAAAGAACTCCGAGAACGCATGATTGTTCTCGAGGAACAAAAGTTCTTTGTCGAGGGTATGATTGCTGATGCGAATAAGCGGAGGAGATTCGATGAAGTGGCTAGTCTGGCTGGAAATGTCGAAGACTTGACTAGGGAGATTGATCAACTGCAAGGTCAGATAGCAGGCATGGATTTTGCGACTGCTTATGCCGCTGGGCAAGAGATTTGATCTGCACCTACAAGGATAATGGACAGCCGTCGTTCGCGTTATTGTGTTATTGGTCTTTGAAATTAGCGAGGCGTTTATGGTGGTGGTTTGTGTGCTATCTATCTCACCCTACAACGGGTCGATAACCCAGTATGATATGCTCTTCTTCTCGCACTTCTTTGATGACCTAAGAGTGGTCTGCCCTTCTTCCTTTTTGCTCGTCTGCCTGCACCCTTTCCACGCGTACCTGCGGGGTGATGAGACATGAGAAGGATCAGCTTGGCCATGTTTCTTCTGCATGTCATGTCATGTCATGTATCTTCGCCCACATCCTGCAGGCACGACCTTGAATCTCCAGCTTCTCCGCACCAGGCGCATCAGCTACATCTCATGATCACGCCCTACAGTAAGCTCTAATACTGCCTTGGCTGGAAACTAGCATCCCAAGCTCCTATAGTCTATACAGGTACACAACTTCTCCTCAACTGCTCGTATAAAGAGGCATTAGTCAGGCCCCGGCATATTGAACATCTGCAAGTTTCTGTCATAGTTTAAGTGATGTGTTTGCTTTTTTGTTGCCGTTGTTTTCATATCCTAAGCCACCTACCACCTTCGGATCCTGCGACCGACCCCGAAAATCCAGGGTTTCCTGGTTTCGGGGGTCTGGATGCGAGATTCTCCGCAGGGATCGTCATTGCAGGTGATGTTCGGGAGGTGCGGCCCGTGAAATTTGTTTGTTGTGCGAAGACTTGCTGCCCCTGAATATCACGGTGTTTGGAAATACCTAGAGGTGTGAAGGTTGGTATGGAGGGAGTTATTTCGTGATGGACCGAGTCGGAACGTAAGAGGAACAGAATTATGTCCTTGAATGACTTGAAATTGTTCTACAAAAACACCACACCTATCAACTGGAGGACTGGAACCTGATTTTACCATGGACAAGAAAATTCGTAACATTCATGAGACCTCAATAACACCTATGCAGACACATCATCCTTTGGTGACTTCACCCACTCTTGGTCCCAAGGTACCATTGCGTCTTTGCCAACGACCGCCTTGATAGCCCTCTCGCTGATATCCCAGAAACCTGGTCCCAAGGAGGGATCGGCGGCTAGATCTTTTTCTCGTCCTGAAACGCCCTGGGGAGAACTACGTCAGTGGGATGCATCCACGTTTGGAAGAGGAGAAGGAAGCTTACCACGTCTACTAGATATGCACCGTTCAGGTACTCGTTCTCGACGTCGGATGAGGTTGCTGCGTAGAGGACTATGCGCGAACTACTGCGTACTGTGAAATGATCGTCCTTGGATAAAGTGTCTAGAACGTGATCGCAGAGGTCCGAAGGTTGCCAATGGCTGTCTCTTCTAGGATGGCTGCTTGCGTCTGACGATGCTTTTGACGGTTGCACGGCAATGGCGTAGATGTTGTCGTGATGGCGTTTGGCAATGCGTTCGGCGAGGCCGTGTCGGACACCTAGGATCATGCTCGTCCTCGAGCGGCGGAAGATTTCCGAACAGACTTCTGCGTCGTAGGCGGTGCGGCGGATATCCTCTTCATCGCTGGATGAGTCGTCGGCGACGCTTTTCGAGCGCTGCTGTCCTGGCGCTTCGAAGATGACGCGAGGAGCGGGAGCTCCAGTTATCCGCGACGTTCTGCGGAGGAGAGGCCAGAGAAGGTTACTGGCGTAGAAGTGGCCCAACCACATCATGCCGAAGTAAGCATCGATGCAATGAAGATCGGTCGTGAAGTGAGCTTGATCGATCCCCGAGCCTAGTATGCACAAGTCGAGTCTCGGAAGCTCGTCGCATAGAGAAGAAAACACCTCTTGGACTTGGATGAGGTCCGTCATGTCGCAATATCGCCATTCGATGGCCGCGTCCTGGCCGACTTCCTTGCGGATCTGAGAGACAGCTTCCGTGCCTTGCTTCGCACGAGCATTCACCATTATGACTCGGCATTTGTGGATGGCAAGGGCGCGAGCAATTTCGCCGCTGATTGATTGTCAAAAAGATATTCCAAAAAAGGAGATAATGGATAGATGGACATACCCAATTCCGCATGCACCTCCCGTAACGATAGCGGTCCGGCCTTGTAAATTCGGCATGTCTTCTGGAGATTGGAAAACGGGAAAGTAGGAGTCTTGGGCTCGCATCTTGAGCTTTGTTGAGAAGATACTGGCGTATTTGTTGATGATGATGTCGAGGCGTGGTCGGAATAACAAGACCAGACAAAGCAATTGGTCAGGTCGGACATATATATATCCTTCTGACAAAGAATGGTGGCTTGGAAAGAACTTGATTGAGAATAGTGCTGTTCCTGGGAAAGGGTAGTACTGTATATATACGTAGTTCTTGCTTTCGTCTAATAGCCCGATGGGATCGAAAAGGTGGAAAGACCTACGTGCATGTAACGGGCCGGGCGCTGACTGTAGAAGGCTACCTCATAAGCACCTAATGATGGTGAAGGATCCACATCCCTGTCACTCTTTTTGCGGCTCTTTTCCCTAGGTTTCGTTTCCCCGGATGCAGAAAAGTAGTCGCATTCGGTAAAAGTTGCGTTGGAATGTTGGTGGAAATCGTGGTTCCCTGATTTTCTTGCGGCGTCTGATCATCACGAAACATCCAAGTTTTCTGGAAGCCCACGACGCAGTTGCGTCTCAAGGGCTTGGAAATCATGCTCTTTTCCCTACACGTGTGGTTAGAAACTTGGTCACAAGACTGCGCCGAATTCTTCCTTTGTTCGTCGTGTTGTTCGATTATTCGCAGGCCAAGCGAGGTCGTTGCACAGAAAAAGCAACCTGAAGCCGGCACTAGTTGCGTCAAAATGGTCAAAATAGCATCGCTGGCATGTCGCATTCCGCCGCCTACACGTAACGGCCGCGAGTTTACGGAAAACCATGCGCACAGCAGGAGGCAAGGTGAGTTGGAGGCGCGTCCGTAAAGATGACGCAGTACTCGAGTAATCCCGACTGGTTGGCACAAAAGCATCGCTCATCCCCGGACCCCAGGGTGCTGCGACATGAGGGCAAGATGAGCATTTTTTCCGTCATATGGTCGTAAATGTTTTTTGAGGTTGGGCGCTCAACCCGTAGTGTTGAACAAATTATCAGCAAGCTCATAGGTAGGTCAGGCATTGAAGATAGCGCTTGCTGTTTCGGAACGCAGCATGATCGGTTGATCCACTCCAAAAGTTCAGGAAAGCATCCTCAGTCGTCGATGGTGCATCCAAACCTCGATCTGCTGTTGTGGTGAATGGTGACAGAAGCCATGCTATCTCCTGCGTGCTCTCTGACCAATCGCCATGATGTAGGCAAGGTAAGGCAAGGCGGGCCGCCGCAGCGGTGCAACGAGGTAGGAGCTTGTGTCCGATGGTTCTGCAATCTTGTTGTCTTCGTTCGTCATCCAAGTGTTTTCACCTGAAGGTTGAGTGCAATCATTCATGTGGCGGTGGCAGTGGTAGTCGCAGTCGCAGTCGCTTGTATCACGGTGGTCTCATGCCGTTGATTTGACAGATCAAGAGGACAACCTCTGCCAAGTAGATTTGACACAGCTAAAAAAGACTTTCTAGAAGTTTAAGTTCATGTGCCGAAGCTTCAGAAGACAGCTGCAAGGAGGAGGCTCAAACTTCCTGGGGAACTTCGGGAAGGTGGCCGGGGCCGCAAGGGCGAAGGGGGTGGTTGGGGAAGACAACAGCAGGTGTAGACCATCGGCATCTCGAGCACAATTGACATTATCAAGTCAGCTTTCGAGATGCATAAATCGTTTTTGTCTTATTGAGTTCACATTGAGATGTTGTTCTCTGGCCTTCTCAATAGAGCCTCTCTGTAATCTGAATATCTTCGTGCATATTCACAGCGACACTGTCGAGGTCCTCATATCTGTAGTCGCACGCTTTTTGCTCATGTCTGTACACTCGGCAATGCCTCTCTCTTGCGGACGGCCTTGCGCTCTCATGCACACTCTAGTACGGGTAACCATTTCAACCGGTTCGTTGTCTTGTAAAGCTGTATAATATTGACGTGGATGGCTTCAGTCAGCTCTGCATAGAGCATCGACGATCAGAGCTCATCTTTTGCTGGTCGGTTACCCTTAGGCTTTCTAATCATGCGGTCAGTCGAGATCGAGCACCTGTGATATAGGCAACCTACAGCTTGAGATACTTTCTAAAGACTGCATTCAAGGTCTTCAAATGGATGAATGCGTTGGCATCCTCTCCTAATCCCCACGCGAAAACGCCTCCAAGCTTACGAGGCTGAACGATGGCTGGAAACTTCTTCGCCATGGAAGCAGGGGTATCCCACGACCAAAAGATCTTCTCTTCTGCGTCCCAGTAATAGTTGCCGTCATCGTCGTACAAAGCGTTGGGAACAGCCTTTTCGAAAGACTTCTTGAGCTCTGTTGGGATTTTGTCGTGCCATGAGAAAGCTCCACTTTGCCCTAGGTCCCTGCCTGTCTTCGGGTCTTCCATCTCGACTGTCTTACAGCCCAAGGCCTTCTGAGCGCACTCTTCTGTCGTCCGGAACCATTTGACGTAGAAAGCAAATCCCAAATTCGCTTTCTCAGCAGGAACGCCATTGTTTAAATACGTATCGATGGCAATCAGAGAATTGACAATGCCAGTGTGATGCGCGGTGACATTGTCACGCCTGTTCATCAAGTCATATGTCATGATGTTAACGTAGTCTAGATACTTCATGGCCTCCACGAGCGTATCTTTGGTGAAGGCAACTTGGATGTCGACAGGTTTGCCCCTTGGAACAGGATGTTAGCATATATTCTTGCTTTGGAGACTTGTGCCAAATCATGAGTCGATCTACTAGCTCCGTAACTCATCTGATAAAGCGATCATCATATCGTGGAAAACCCCACAACTTCCACAGACAACTCATGTATACCTGTGACAGGACGAGAGGTAGATATATGAGGGTATCTGTCCATTGAAAGCCCGTTGGTCATGTCTTTGATCTCGGTGTCAGGTTGAATTTGGTACTTTTCACCCATGTCCCACGAGTTTTCTGGACTGATGACCGAGTTGAGGCTAGCCGAGTCCGACTCATGGCGGTTGCACGTTCAGTTGACTTACGGGACTGCTGCTGAGATGATCTTGTCAGGTCCGATGGCAGCTCGGATCTCGGCGAGAAGTTTAGGATATACCCCAACCTCCCAGCTCTTTTCGGAATTGGTGATTTGCTTGTAATCTTCACCATTGCCGCCCGGGTATTCCCAGTCAAGGTCAACTCCGTCCGCACCGGTGGAGTCAAGCATTACCTTGATGTTTTCCGCAAACGCTTTCCTGCCCATCTGAGATGCAGCCGCGGCGGAGAAGCCTCTGGTATCACCCCATCCGCCAATGGCTATCAGAACTGCAAGATCTTTCTTAGGAAATTTCTTTCGCACTGTTTCAACATCGGTAAAGAGTGGCCATTTGGACGGGGGCTTTCCATTGAAGATAGAAGACTTCATGAAAGCCAGTGTGACGTGCGTCACATCCGCGATATGAACCGCTGGAGGGTACACCTCGTGCTGAGCGGTCAGGTACAAAACATAGCGTGACGCCTGGGACACATATGCTAATGCTGCGATTAGCACTAGCAGCGTCGCTCGCATTGTTGGCTTGGAGTTGCGAGAGGGAATTGATGTTTCGGTTGCAAGTTGTGATGGAAGGGTGTTTGGATTTCGAGACTTTCGATGTCGCCGATGACTCGAAGCGTGGCTAAAAGCATGGCCACATCATCATCATTAACGTGCCCAATACGGAAGTAAATGATGTTCCCCACCCCCACAGCCCTTACTTCCTTCCTTTTGATTTTTGTGCAAGACCATCTTCGTTTTCATGTCGCCAACTAACAGATGCGATGTTGCTCGAAACCTGCTCTACTCGACAGGCCTTCTGAAACACTCTCTAGTTTTACGGAGTTGATTGCACGCGCGCGGCAGTGCAATTATAGAGTCGCGTTTGCAATGGTCGAAGGATGGACGATTATCGACGAGTCTGTCAAGCAATTAGGGCAATAATGTTTTCATGTCGCATCGTTGCCCTGGATATCTACACAACGAGCATTGAATATGCTAGTCTTTGGCATGAAACACCATTCTGTGTTTGAGTGCCATCGCGCCTTCCATGGCCACGACGCTCGGTCAAAGCTTGACGGAGTGCGATTGCGTGGCTATTGCCCATCTACACAGATAAGTCCTACACAACTAGCTTCTGCTTGATCGATTTCCACTCAATCGAGTAAGCTGTATAGGGCATCAGTCGATGCCTGTAACACCCTTCCAGTGCACACGCATCGGATATTTCTCCTTAGGGGATGTTTCTGCTGATTAGTTTACTACACCAAGCCACCACGCCGCGAATCTTTGTTGAAGAACGACGAGTTTCCATGCAACTCAAGTAAACCAGTGGTAATAGACATACTGTGGACCAGTGAGGTGAAGACGATATCATCATGCGTCGTGACAATAAAGTTCCGCCAGACTTGAGACCACAAGACTTGCTAGGGATGAGAGGTAGATTGACATGCCCTAAATCGCACTCTCTCTCAGGCCCTATGCTTACGACAACCCTTGCTGAGCATACCAATGATCAGCTCTGACCTCTTATGGGACCTGACTCTTGGTGTGGGCGAGCATACATATCTTGGACCAAGACCACCTCAAAATCAACAGTATCACATTCTTTCGGTTTCCTCTGTTATTCACGATCGTTGCATCTACTTCTTTTTCTTATTCTACCACCATGAAAACCAGTTTAGCCGTCCTAGGCGCTGCAACCCTTTGTGCAGCCTCTGTCTCCAACACTACCAAAGACGGCCTTATCACCGATGGACTCGTCTCTCTTGGAGATTGGCAGAGTGCCTTCGACAAAGCTCAAAACTTTGTCTCACAGCTTACTACCGAAGAGAAAATCACCATCATCGGAGCTGGATCTCTGACCAACACCTCTGCAAATTGGACAGCTCTCGGGATTTCGGATGGTCCACAAGGAGCGCAGAACTTCTACTACGAGAGCGCCTTCTCGATGACATGTGCCTTGGCTATGACTTGGGACAAAGACGCTATCTACAAACAAGGCAAAGCTGTCGCTACCGAGTTTTACCAGAAGGGCTTGCAAATGTTGGCTGGGCCTGTATCAAACCCCATGGGCAGATCAGCTTGGGGTGGCCGTAATGGTGAATCGTTTGGACCAGACGCCTATTTTAACGGTATTCTCGGTGGCATCAGTGCAAAAGCCTACCAGGCAGGTGGTGTCATCGCAGGTGGAAAAGTGAGTATATCTTGTTCTGACTCCGTCCAAGTCACTAACCGCTTGTCAGCATTTCATCCTGTACGAGCAAGAGACTAATCGTACTTCTTCCATGAGCGGTGGTGGTGGTATGGGAGGCGGCATGGGCGGTGGCCCCACCAGTTCAGGCAACAGCACTATGGGCGCTTCAACATCTGGCTCTGCCCCGTCAGGCTCTGCTCCGTCAGGAATGACTCTCAGAGCAAGAGCAGACAATTCATCCACTACCCAATCTTCGACCGAGAGTGCCCCTTACTCATCCAATATAGACGACAAGACGTTTAGAGAGACATACCTCTGGCCTTGGTACGACATCATCAAGGGTATGTGATCGTCAAGCACAAGGAAAACTTCTTACTGACGTATATACAGCTGGCACTGGTGCAGTCATGTGCGCAATGACCGAAGTCAACAACACTGCAGCTTGTGAAGATAGCTCACTCCTTATGGGCATGCTCAAAACTGATCTTGGCTTCCCTGGGATGGTTTGGCCGGACCAGAACGGTCAAAAAACGGCTCTTGGGTCAGCCACAGGAGGCCTTGACTACGGTTCAAGCAGTACCTGGTCTACATCAACTATCGAAGCATTCTTGAGCAACGGCTCTCTTTCAGAAGCCCGTCTGAATGATATGGTTATCCGCAATGTTATTGGCTACTACAGAGCCAATCTGGACAACGGAGAACAGCCTTCCAAGGCAGACTACGATGACTACGTCGATACCATGTCCGACCACGCCAACATCATTCGTGAGAACGGAGCGAAGTCAATTGTTCTTCTTAAGAACGATGGCGCTCTTCCTCTGAACAAGCCTAGAAGAATGACACTCTTCGGTGCCAACGCCGGACCTGTCATGGGAGGGCCCAACCTGCAATTCACTGTTCAGGGCTCTGGGCCAACATACCAAGGCCATCTTGCTAGTGATTCTGGCTCCGCTCAATCTTCGCTACCCTATCTCATCACTCCTGAAGCAGCTCTGACGCTCAGAGCATCGAAGGAACATACCAATGTCAAGTGGATCTTAAACGACACATACAGTACGAGCAGCTCGGGCAACACTCTGGTTACTCTATCTTCCTCAGAGACTGCTGTCGATGCTTCTTATGCGGGATATGCGGCCGCCAGTGACGTATGCCTCGTCTTCATTAATGCTCTATCAGGCGAAGGTGCCGATCGAACTGAGTTGTACAACGAGGATCAGGACACCATGGTTAACACCGTGGCTGCCAACTGCAATAACACCATCGTCTTCATTACTTCCACTGGTATCCGCCTTGTTGACCAATGGATTGAGAACGAAAACGTTACTGCTGTGCTATACTCTGGTCCTCTTGGTCAAGAGAGTGGCAACTCAATCACCGACGTTCTCTACGGCGATGTTAATCCCTCAGGTAGACTTATCCACACTATCGCAAAGAACGAGTCGGACTACAATGTAGAGATTTGCTACACCTACAACTGCAACTACACCGAGGGCAACTACATCGACTACAAGTACTTTGAACACAGCAACACCACCGCTCGTTATGCTTTCGGTCACGGCTTGTCGTACACTTCCTTCGGCTACAGTGACATCAAGACGACCAAGCTCATGTCCAACCTGTCATACCACGCCAAGGGACGTCTTGAAGTTGGCGGCCGTGCAGACTTGTACGACGTCGTTGCAGAGGTAAGTCTTACTAATACAAGCCCTTGAAAAGTATACTGACAAGCATAGGTCGATGTCAATGTGCAGAACACCGGTTCGCGTGACGGAGCCGAAGTCCCACAGCTCTACATTGGCTACCCAGAGGGCTCTGGGGCTGATCAACCTCTCAAGGCTCTCCGCGGCTTCGAGCGTGTAGAGATCAAGAAAGACGAACACAGCCAGGTCAAGTTCCAGCTCAGACGCAGAGATCTCTCGTTCTGGGACGTCACTGCCCAAGAGTGGGCTTTGCCGACTGGTGATTTCAAGATCTATGTCGGCGCTTCTTCCACAGACATTCGACAGACGGGTACGCTGGCTATGTAGATCTCAGATCCTTGGATTCCTTGCTGAAGATTTGTAGAGGGTGGAGAAGGTGGTCTGTTGAGATTAAACCTCTGGCTGGGTAAGAAGCGAGAAACAACGCCGACGGAGTTTCTACCGAACGCAATGTCAAACTTAATTAGCGCACATTTGTATGTTCAAGTTCTTCCCCTCCATTCCCACTACCTGAAGGCAGTTCATATCCAGGAAAGCTCGCATCAATTTTTGGAGATATATCGACTCTCGATGAAGGTCGCACGTAGTCTTTTGAATCTCAATAACGGAAGACCTTTCGTGCAGACAAACAGCCTAGCAAGAATCTGCTTGGCGTACGTCGGATAGAAAAGCTCTGTCACTCTGTACCAAGTCTTAGGTCAATCTCAGAAGGCTGGAGATCCACAATTTGCGGCTCCGTCTTCCCGCCCATCCATGTCGCCAGCATCACGGAGACATCGCGCAACACAGAGCAACATCTTGTGGCCATCTATGACCAATGTTCTATGATGGGTGGTCTATACCAATTTCGACAGTCTTAGGCTCCATCTGGCCTGATTGCACTGCGCTCTGAACGGCCTGAGTGCGAACGCTGATACCAAATCTTTCGAGATCCACGTTTTCTGTAACACAAGCACGTCCCGGGATGCTGCAGCCGGAGCCGGCGTGCCTGTAGATCATGAATCTTTTCTCAACTTAGACGATCGTACTGCACCACTGCATGGGAAGTGGCGCGGCACAGGCACAGCAGAACACGAGGGCAAGTAAACATCAAAAGTAGGTCGCTCCTGCCAGATCTTGGACCTTCCTTCCTCTTATCTCTTTTCTCCCTTCTTTGTCGCTCTTTGTATTCCATCAATATGTTAAAGTCATTCTTTTTGGCGGCCGCCTCTTCTGGCCTTGCCGCTGCAATCACTTGCGATGACCTCGCTTCTTCTCTCACCTTCAAGGATGTCGATGTAATCTCGGCGTCCAGCTCTTACTACACCAAAGGCTCAACGATCAACATTGAGGGCGAGCAGTCAAATGCCTGTTTCAAGCAGACCTACCCGGAGATCGATATGTGCAGAGTCGTCTTGACTGTGGCCACCAGTCCTACTTGACACAATTACATGGAGGTGTGGCTTCCCAGCGGCAGCACACCCTGGAACGGCCGACTCTTGGGTACTCGCAACGGCGGTCTGGCCGGCTGCATCGAATATGAGGATATGGCATACTACTCTAGCTTAAACTTCGCCACAGTAGGAGACAATGGCGGTCACAACAGCTCCACTTCTGATGGTTCGAAGTTGCTGAACAACAATGAGGCCGTAATCGATCTTTCCTACCGTTCCAGGCATATTTCGGTCGTTGCCGCAAAACAAGTCATCAAGCAGTATTACAGCCAGCCTGCAAGCTACTCTTACTATGTTGGTTGCAGTACTGGTGGTCGTCAAGGTCTCAAGTCTGCTCAAGAGTTCCCTGACGATTTTGACGGAATTTTGGCCGGATCTTCTGCCTCTGACTTCAATCACCTTTCGGACTGGACTTCTAGATTCCTGTTGATCACTGGGTTCGGCAGTGATGCTAGAGCTCTATCTAGGGATCAGTGGGTCTATGTTCACGAAGAAGTCCTTGCTCAATGTGACGAGCCCCTGGATGGCGTTGCAGACGGCATTCTCGAGGATCCCACAATCTGCGAGTTCAACGCTGCTGCTCTTCAATGTGGCACCAGCTCCGACTCTCGCTGTCTCACCCAGACTCAGGTCCAAACTGTCAACGACGTCTACTCTGAACTCTACGACCAGAACGGAAACTTGCTCTACCCTTCTCTGTCTCTCGGAGCCGAATTGGTTGCTTCCCAGCAGGGTCTCTTCACCGGCTCAGTCATCGGCAATGCCGCAAACTTCATCTCCAATGCCGTATACAATGACAGCAACTGGGACCCCCGCAGCCTGAGTCAAGAGACCTTTACTAGAGCAGATGAGACCGATGTCTTGCACGGAAACATTTCGAGTTGGAACGGCGATCTCAGTGCCTTCCGCAGAGCTGGCGGCAAGTTGATGATGTAGTAAGTAAATACGAGTGATATCTTTTTCAAGCATCATGCTAACTTATACATCAGTCACGGTATGGCAGATCCTAACATCGCCGGCGAGAACTCTCAACGCTACTACCTTCACGTCGCCAAAACCATGGGTGCCAGCGACGAACAATTGGACGATTTCTTCCGTTTCTACCGTATCTCTGGTAACGGACACTGCTCTTCGGGTGGCGAGGGTGCTTGGGAATTCGGACAGATAGCAGCTGCACGAAACGGAAAATCCAGTGCCGTCCAGCAGCTGGTGGATTGGACCGAGAAGGGTATCGCCCCTGACACCATCACCGGAACCAAATTCCACAACGACGACCCCAGTCAGGGTGTCGCTTTCGAGCGCAGCCACTGCAGATTCCCTTACCGCACTACGTACAAGGGCAACGGCCTCGATCCCAACGTCACCACCAGCTGGACATGCGAGAAGATCAACAACTGGCAGGAGTGCGGCCCTGGTGCACTTCCCAGACTCTGTTAAGCATTTGATCAGATAAAACTGATCGCTAGCTTTGGACACACAGATTGCATCGACTGACGGCTCAAGCTCATTGATGACATGAAAAGTCCCCAAGCTCCACCTTTATATAATACATAATCTTTTCACCAATCGATAGACTTCACTTCTTCTCAGTCGCCTGTCCATTTCGTGCTTACATTTCAAAGATGTAAGCTCTCTCTCATGATCACATTCAATGATCATTTGGCTATAGAGATGCACAACGCCATCCCAGCTCACAATCACGTCTACCAAAAGTGCTGAAATCGGTCCATCTCTGCTACAAAAACATCATGCATGTTTACAGCCCTCAACGTGACAGCTCGCATACTCAAGAAGGACCATCACATCGTCCCCTCAGCTACACATCAGTTTATCAACCACATCGTCTTCCATTCGAATCATCACAACTCGCTAAACCCTGCCGCACGCAATCTGCGTATTCAAAACCCTGCATACGTACCAATAGCCTCCCAAGCCGAATCACAAACCATCCGTTTCGAACAAATTGATCGCCCAGATTCGCACATGTAAGATGCGAGTCAAGGAGAACTGCAGAAGAGCTAAAGATAGAGTACTGTATGCAAGAAAAGTAAGAGGAGAGAGCGAAGAAGTGAGATGCTCATGTGATTTGAAGATAGTGCTACCTAAGGACAGAATCAGAAAAGCGTTGGTCGAGAACCTATGAGAGGAAAGAACAAATGACAAGACGGGGTGAAGAACACGGTTCGACAAGCGAAGGAAGTCACGATTTGTGTTGATTGTTGCAGAGAGCCTGTAGTTGGCAGTTAATTGCGTCTCTCGGTCGACGACAGCTGCCGTTGCCGACAGTTGAGAGCCCAGCCCATAGCTCAACTTTCACCTCAACTTCCAGCAAATGTGCTCTTTTCGCGAAGAAGATTATGCATCGTTTCAGCGTCTAAGACTTGATCACAGCAACCAGAAAAGCATACACACAAAAGAGTAGAGAAATCAAAGCAAATGATACAATCCCTTGTGTATCTGTAATTGTGAACCTTTGCTCCTACACCGCGCCTAACTGAAACCCACGCTATGCACCCATATTCTGCGCCTGCCCATTTATACACCAGCGGCAACCTCGCTACCACCACCGACGCCTTCGACTTTGATCAAAAACTCCCTGACTCTACCCGCTTCTTCTCTGCCCAGTGCGCCCTTTTCGGACTCCACAGCAGCCAGAAGCGCACCCAGCTGATCTTCAACCTTCTCCTCTGCGACGCCTGTACATAAAGAGACGACTTTACGATACAGATGCTCAAGCTGCGTAGAGCGTGATTTGAGCTGTGTAGATTTTTGATGTAGACGGTCATTGTTCGTCTCGTAAACCTTCTTCAGAGTGCGTAGTTCAGCAATCGAAGGTGTGTTGCTGAGAATCTGTTGTTGAAGAGAAGGCGATAGCTGTTGAGCCACTTGTGCTGGGTCTGAAATGTTTGAGGGCAGTTCGTCGACAATGGCGAGCACCGAAGATACAGAAGCATCTGCGTCTCCTACTGCTGTGGTCGTCTTTGTCACTTTTCGGCCGTTACGATGGCGTTCTTCGAGTATGCGCTTCAGGTTTGCAATTTTAGATTGGCCTTCGCTGCGGGATTTGGCGCGGCGTTGGAGGGTTGCTAATTGATCGCTTTCCGTCTTTGCTACCGCGGACAACTCTTGGATTTGTGCGTTGAGCTTGTCGATCTGTGTCGTCTTTTCGACGAGTAGTTGTTTGTGTTGAGCGAGGTTTGCTGTGAGCATGCTGGTGAGTGAAGAGATGACATCCTGGTTCTGGTCTTCGATGATGTTTGTATTCGAGACAGGCGTCGCTTCTTTTTCGGTGGCGCCTTCCGTAGTTGTGTTCTGTGACGGCGGACGGTTTGGTGCTTGTGCTTGTGAGAAAATCGGGTCAATGTTTGACGGGTTGTTAAATCCTACGGCCTGCCCATTCTCGTCTTCAGCACCCACACCAAAGTCACGGGCTGTGACACCCTTATGGTTGGGGATTGTGGGGTCGGCCTTGACTTCAAGGAGCTGCTGAATGATGCCCCTGTTGCCAATCCTGGCGGCAAGATTCAGAGCGGTGTTGCCTGCCTTGTCTCGCGCATTGACTATATGTGTGAGGAAGCGCATCAAATTCATTCTTTCTTTTATTGCCTGTCCAGGGGTTGCTGAGCCATTCTCGACCGGGGCGGGCTTGGAAACACTACGGACCAAGAACTCTAGCAATGCTTCAAGATAGTACTTGCTGCTGGGTGCTCGGCCTTTTATACCGCACGACACAGCAATGTGATGGAGAATGGTACGGGCTTGTGCATCTCTCACTTCGATCAAAGGACTGAGCAGCTCCAGAACATCCGGGAAAGAAGAATGCTCACAGCAATTGTTCACTAGCACAGCCGAAATGAGAGCACTCTGTCCTGCAGCGTTTCCCCGGAAGATGTTAGCTCCCTTTTGGATCAGCAGTCGTAGTAGTGGCACTCTTGAAAGGGTTGCGGCCCAATGTAAAGCGGTATTCGCAGATGTGTCTAGAGGTATATCCAGGTCCTCTGGTGATAGTGAGAGCAGTGCTGGGTGTGAAGCGAAATCTTGCCTTGACGACTCGGCGAAAAGCTCAAGGAGCAACTGGCGCTTGTTATCATCCTCAATACCCGTTGGTGCCGGTAACGGTGGGAGGGTAACAGGCTCGTCTGAGCCATTGACATTTTCTTCGAGGTATTGCTGGGTGCTCTGTAGGAAAGATTCTCCAGGCTCTGTAGGGTCCAGGGACATGATCGAAGCGTCTACGGGAATGTCGTCGTTCGGTCTCATACGCTTCCGGGGAGGTTCCTGACCACCCGGAGCTTGTCTCCATGCAGGGTTCTGAGTGTTGTAGCCAGAGTCGGGGACTTGGTTGTTGTGGTAGCTCACATCGGCCATCATGCTGGTCTGTTGTTGCTGTGAAGAACGTCTCATGTGACTCGGGCGGGCTGGCGAGTTCAAACGGGCAGCCTTGTTCAATGCAGCGAGAGCAACGGATGACATGGGGGAAATGTTCTGGAAGAAGGTGTTCGATGCAGTCGGGCCATTCCTATCTTGCACACCAGCGGCGTAGAATCTCTTTCTGTTGGCAGCCATTGCTTGTTCCTTGGTTGGAGTCTCTGTAGTCTGACCGGTGCCGGAGCCATCAAGGTCGTGTTCTAGGAGGGGAAGCAGCAGATCTTCAACACCGTACTGACGGCAGAACTCGCGACCTCTGCGGTAGTTGATCCATGTGCCTTGATATTTGCCGTAGCCTCCTTGGACCTTTTCGTGCTCGCCAGGTAGAATTTCCTTTTCCAGAACTTTTGTGCGTTTACCCTTGTCGACACCGGCAACCTTGAGGATTTGAGTGGCGTTGAGCCAGCCGTCGGAGCGTCGTCGCATGCAAGCAATGTTGTTCACTTCCATTTCATATACTTGGACACCCGAGTATACAGCCTGCCTTCACTTTTAGCTTCTTGTGCACGATAAGCGGGGTTTGAGGTGCGTACGGTATATATGGTGGGCTTTTCGAATGTAGGACGCATGTTCTGCTGAGGAGCAGGCGCTGAAGCACCTTGGCCGTAGCCAGCATCTTGTAAGGCTTTGAATGTCTGGGCCATGCCTGGTGATTGAGCGACGGCATACTGGGCAGTCTGAGAGCCATAGGGCATCGAGTAATGGCCTTGGTCTTGCGGAGTTCGGTTCGTGTGGTGCGCCATTTTGGGTGTGAAATGCCTGTATAGGCTGTGACGGCGAGTAGAATGAGGCCGTTACTGGGCAGATTGAGGGTAAAATGCGAGTGTAGAGGATCAAACCAAAAAAGGCTCACCACTCATGTCGAAAGTGCAGCTCGGCCGGATGAGATACGCGAAAGACGTGTTCGTCGCGTCGAACCTGTGGGATTGATGGTCCAAGCGTTTCGAGTGGAGACCTTTTAGACCTGATGCTTGCTATTGGCTACGGATCCCTTGCCCGCTCATGCTTGAACACAACTATCAAAACTGTATCCCGTCTCTGGGGTGCACTTGTCTTTCGTATCGCTCGATCCGTTGCAGATTTTCAGGGGCATCACTAACTTCATGAGACAGCACGTTAGAGAACCCACTGCATTTGAGAAATATAGGCCAATTGCCTGTTCACATTGTGGGTTCTTTCCCATTCCGTTTACTATAGTACAAACATGTGCATATAACGCCGCCCCAATTGTTTTTGAACATGTACAAGCCGAAACACTCCACCACATGCAATTCGTTCAACGTCTGCGGAGGTACCAGTTGAATGCAAGAGCCATTGTCTCGTTGGCAAATGGTGTAGGCACCTCTGCCAATCCTGGTCTAGCAACCGGGTGGCGGAGGTAGACGGCGCTGCAGATCTTCTGGTTGACTTCCAGGTACCGCGGGATGAATGCAAATGCACTCATGAACTCACGCGGTCTCCACGGTGTAGCATATGGCTTTGATGCATCGATAGGGTTCTCGTTGGCACGCGCAAGGGCGGCATGCAGTAGCTCGGCATCCTTGCGGGCACGGAATGCGTCTTCTCTCTTGACGGGCTGTTTTTGATCGGGCAGAGCTGCCTCTACTGGGGCTCCTTCAGCAGGCACCTTGGCGGCAATGGCGTTCAACGTCTCCTCCAATGTGTCGATTGTCTCGGTACCAGTCTTAGCAATCCCAGAAGGTCGCAGGCGAGACATGGTCTGCTTGACCGACTTGGCGAATGCGCGTAGATCCTGCTTGCGCTTGCCAGACAAGCCCTCCTTGCTCTCTTTGGTGATGTCTTGTGCGCGGGCGAGTAATGACTTGAGAGCGGCCTTTGGGTCCTCGTCGGGAGAGGGAATTGTCTTTGTGGAGCTTGCAGATGCCTTCGAGGCTTCGTCGCCGTTCTTGGTCGCAGACTCGTCGAGAAGATCCTCAGCATCATCATCCACAATCTGTTCGATTTCATCGGCCTCCTCGCGGCCTTGCAATGAGTCTGGGGTGTTCTTGTTGTGCTTGCGTGCGCCAGTGGCATAAAGGACGCGCTCTGGTTCAACTGAGAACATGTCGCCGGGATTAAGAAGGTAGCCGGGGTGTTGCATCTACATATGTTAGCTTGCAGTATAGCTAAGGCTCAAACAGCACACGCACCTTCTTTCCGTTGACCTTGACAAAGCCGTGAACAACGAATTGTCTTGCTTGGCGAGCACTGCTGGCGAACAGAGCACGCCATACAGCAGTATCCAGTCTGCGCTCAGTCGGGAAATATGTCATGTGCATGTAGGGCGTCCTTTGAGGGTCCTTGTCTCGACCAGGTCCAGCTCGATCATCGTCCCTTTTTCTTCTGAGATCAAGACCAGAACCACGGCCTGCAGCCTGCTCGGAACCATCTGTACGGGCCAGAAGTTTGTAATCCATGGGGACAACGGCGGGAAGGCGACGGTCAAACATGCGAGTCCATTTGCCTTCACGGATTTGTTCACCGTGGTAGGCACGGGTCAGAGACTTTGCTAGCCATTTCTGCTGGAAGAAAGTCTTGTTGTTCGCGAAGGGAGTTGTGAGGCGCGAGATGTTATACAAGGTCCATTTTGACCAGTCGGCTCGGACTTTCTGCGCATTGTCAGTGGCGCAGCGAGGGTGGAATGCGAGAGGAACATACGGGCTTCTTTAGACCGTGAAACCTCTTACGCATGGCGAGGGTGGGCGCAAAGCTAGTATAAAGCAATTGGGCGACGGCGATGTCTGGCTCGAAATTCGTCCATCATGCAATGCACAAGTTTCGGCGAAGACTTCTGTCCACCGGGTCGAGGCTTTTGGCGACTTCCGCCCGCAGACTTGCACCAATATTCACCATGGCAGAAGAACAGAAGACATCCAATGCCGCCGCTCTTCACCCCTGCACAATGCAATGAAGCCAGACACCTGCTTCGCGCAATCCTGCGTGAGGCTACATACCTTCCCGATGAACAAGCCCGCGTCTACGTAGCCACTCACGCCGTCGCCCGCTTTCGAGACTACACGCCCGGACACAAACCTGACGACATCTTGCTGCAGAGGAGACACATACAGCTCGGCGATGCAAGGAAGGCTCTATCCGAGCTAAGCAGAGCTAATCATGGAGATTTTAAGCCCTTGATCAAGCTTCTTCATCTGACTTATGCCCGTATTGGCAAGAGACGACATGAGCTATTACGCGACCTGCAGTATAAACCTCTGGCTGGTACCGACATGAACCCCCACGAGCCACCTCAGCTCACTCCTCAACACGTTGCTTTGCTGCAGTCGCAAAAGCTGGCCACTCCTCCTAACGTTGTTCGTCCTCTGCTTCGTTCATGGTCCTTGGACATCCCGAAAAAGAACAGTTGGGAAAGGTCCTTGCCTAAGAAGCGCCTTGCAAAGATCTTTCGTGACTGGTATTCTGAGGTGCTCGAGCGTACTGTTGTACCATTGCCTCATGCTGAGTGGAATCGCCTGAGAAATCTTGCGCTAGGCAAAATCAAATTCCGCGGTGTGACTACTCGGCGCGTTATGGCTGCTTCAACAGCCAGTCTACCTTCGCCGCTTGAAGTTGCCCTCGGACTCGTTCCACACAACTCGCCTGAAGTTATCCTCAAGAACTCATCCAACCCCATCCAAGGTAGTCATAAGTTCACAGCTCGTTTCATGAAGAGGTGCTGGGCTTCTGTCTTTGCACAATGCCCATTAATGTCGTGGGATGCACAGGCTCAGAAATGGTTGGTTGAGTGGGGTTGCGACGTCTTGGATCAAGAAAAAGTCTTGCATGCCACTGACGAAACTATTCTGACCAAGAAGTGATTCGTCTTGTGCCTGCTATTCATCACACCAGAGATATGGTCAGCTCGCAGCATCACGAACTTCTGCTGCTTATCAAGCACGTCAGTCTCACAGCACTGTGCTCTTGTCGCCTTCACCGATATGATGTGCCATCACCACGGCTTGCTCGTTCACTAGCTCGAACGCCACGACGACGGTTGCCATGTTGTCGACGAGGAGGCCAAGTACCACTCTGTCCGCTGGGTTTGTGGCTCCGCAATCAAGGACGTCTGGCTCACTGAATCGACGACTCTGCTTCCGTCGTTGCCACTTCTTCCGACAACCGCGCCCGCCAATCGTAAGTTCTGATCTCTTTAATTCTTTCCTGGAAACGCCATTGCATGATGAACAGATCTTCGAATACTTATCTACATTGTCTGAACAACCTTGACGATTCATACATCTCTGACAACCTGATTCATTGGCTTTCCGACCACTTCTCCCAACTCAAACATCTTTGCTTGACTTCCTTGCAACAGTTGCTGACTAGTCATCTTAGAGGTGTGGTCCTCTACATGCAATATTTGCAGTTTTGCGGATTAAACAAACTCGATCGAGCTTGCATTTGATTCTTCTGCACATGAATGTAAGAGTGTGTGCCGATGCACGTTGCCAAAAAGCAAAATTCTGAGGTCTTGAATGACTTTGATTCATATCAGCTGCAGAGGAATGGAAGTCTGAGCTGGACTTTGAGCTGGAGGCCTCGATCGTCACTGCCAAGAAATCTGGGGAGTTGGTCAATATTTATATCTACATGTCATTGAAAGGGCGTCTTCTCGTGCTCCCAATACACACATCAATTGACCTGCATTGTTGCTCTGTATCTACCTGTTCACACGTATTCTGCACGATTGTCAGACTTCCGTTGTGGCATCCGAGACGCCCGTCACAAAGCCCTAATCATGTCTGGCCACCCAACCATTAGCCATGCAACCCGCGAAGGTACGTTAAAGGATACAAGCCATGTTCCGAGAGTGTATAGCATACACTCTGCATCTCGGTCGATATATCGGTTGAATGGCGATTTGCTAACATGCTCCAGATGTACCACACATCCTAAGCCTCATCCGCGAACTCGCCGACTACGAAAAGGCCCTCTCATCCTGCCATGCAACCGAAGAGTCTCTAGCCTCGACACTCTGCTTTGCCCCTGCTCAAGGCCAACCGCCATCCGGATCCGGATACGCCAAAGTCCTTTTGATCCGCACACCCAGCAATGAAGTCGCCGGTATGGGACTGTATTTCAACAACTATTCAACATGGTGGGCAGCACCCGGCATATACCTTGAAGATTTATTCATACGCCCTGAACACCGCAATAAAGGATATGGCAAGCTGCTTCTTGGAGCACTGGCGAAAGAGGTCAAGAGAATTGGAGGCAAGAGACTCGAGTGGTGCTGCTTGAAGTGGAACAAGCCTTCGTTGGAGTTCTACAAGAGACTAGGGGCCGAGCAGATGGAAGACTGGGTTACACTAAGAGCGGATGGCGAAGCCTTAGACAAGTTGGCTGGTTCTGCTGAGAAGGCAGCCAACGTCCAGGTTGATGGTAAATGAGAGATCGCGTCTTGGACGGTGTTCAATAGTCAGTACTAGAAGCTTAGAGTTGTATATAAGAATCCCTATCGACCTAGCAGGAGTTCAAAATTGGCCTGAACACAGTGTACATTGTTATATTTCATTATATGGAGCCTGCGTTGAAAATGTAGCAAAGGATGAACTGTGGTATGCAAGTGAGACACGGCAAGCTCTAGGACAATTGTGACCCGAACTCGGATTTTGGAAGAGAGGCTTTATAGTATCAAGACTCAGAAAGAAAATGCACCAACGCTCTGTTCAAACACACAAGTTGCTATATCCACGACATGCCTGCATAGTATCGTCGATTGATGATGTTGTCGATGGAGACGGTTTTGATCAGGGTCACATGGGCAACAAAGGACATGGTCAAGATCGACGTCACACCGATTGAACCGTGCGGAATGTTCTCGGAGGTTCCACTAGGCTTGGTTCACGTTGCTAAAAAATCGTGTTTTGGGTCCCAACGACGCAGCGCTACAGAGAGAGCCCCTCTATCCCACCTTGTCTCCAGACTTTTCAAGCGCCTTTTCTTTGATTGAGATACCCCCTGTCGCCGTATAGACGACTCTCGTTTCCATCTTCAAAAGTTTACGTTTTATCACACATCACTAAGACCACACATCATGTCGTGAGTTTAGACGCCCGCCACATATCTGCAGGGAAACAACTGACCTTTTGCGCCCAGTGTCGTCGGTCTCGACTTCGGTACTCAAAATGCCGTGATTGTAAGTCTACACTTCTCTCAAGTTACTCTGAAGCATTCACTGACCACTCGCGCAACAGGCTGTCGCCAGAAACCGCGGTGTCGATGTTATCACAAACGAAGTTTCCAACCGCGCAACACCCGCGCTGGTCGGTTTCGGTCCCAAGTCTCGCTACCTCGGTGAGACCGCAAAGACACAGGAAGTGTCCAACCTCAAGAACACCGTCGGATCCCTTACCCGTCTCGCTGGCCGATCGCTGAAGGACCCCGATGTCGCCATTGAGCAAGAACACGTCTCGTGCAAGCTGGTCGACGTTGATGGCCAGGTCGGTGCCGAGGTTTCATACCAGGGCAAGAAGGAGCAGTTCACTGCCACCCAGTTGACCGCCATGTTCCTCACAAGGGCCAAGCAGACCGCTTCCGCCGAGCTCAAGCTTCCCGTCAACGACATGGTTATCGCCGTCCCTGCCTGGTACACCGATGCTCAAAGAAGAGCCATCATCGATGCTGCCGAGATTTCTGGCCTCAAGATTCTGCGTTTGATCAACGAGACCACCGCCACTGCCCTCGGCTGGGGTATCACCAAGACCGACCTTCCCGGTCCTGAGGAGAAGCCCAAGAGAGTCGCCTTTGTCGACATTGGCCACAGCAACTACACCTGCTCCATTGTCGAGTTCCGCAAGGGAGAGCTTAAGGTCATCTCCACTGCCTACGACCGTCACTTCGGTGGCCGTAACTTCGACAAGGCCATTGTTGACCACTTCGCTGCTGAGTTCAAGGAGAAGTTCAAGGTTGATATCAACGAGAACCCCAAGGCCAAGCTCCGTGTTGTTGCCGCTTGCGAGAAGCTGAAGAAGGTTCTGTCCGCCAACGCCGGTGCCCCCATCAACATTGAGTCGTTGATGAACGATGTCGATGTCCGTGGCTTCCTCAAGAGAGAGGAGCTTGAGGAGATCATGAAGCCTCTTCTCGAGCGCTGCACTGCTCCTCTTGAGCAGGCTCTCGCTGAGGCCAAGTTGAAGACTGAGGACATTGACACCATCGAGCTTGTCGGTGGTTGCACCCGTGTCCCTGCCCTCAAGTCCGCCATCCAGGACTTCTTCGGCAAGCAGCTCTCATTCACCCTCAACGCCGACGAGGCCATCGCCCGTGGTTCCGCCTTTGCCTGCGCCATTCTCTCCCCCGTTTTCCGTGTCCGCGACTTCTCCATCCACGATATCTGCAACTACCCCATCGAATTCACCTGGGAGAAGAGCGCCGAGATCCCCGACGAGGACACCTCGCTCACCGTTTTCAACCGCGGCAACGTCATGCCCTCAACCAAGATCCTTACTTTCTACAGAAAGCAGGCCTTCGACCTTGAGGCCAAGTACGCTAAGCCCGAGACTCTCCCCGGCAAGATGAACCCCTGGATCGGCAGATTCAGCGTCAAGGGTGTCAAGGCCGACGAGAAGGATGACTTTATGATCTGCAAGCTCAAGGCTAGATTGAACCTGAACGGCATCCTGAACGTCGAGTCTGGATACTACGTCGAGGATATGGAGGTTGAGGAGCCCATCGAGGGCGAAGATGTGAGTTTTGAACAACAAGAGCCTTCGCAATCCGAACTCGATCACGAGAGAGAAAGCAAGCGACCCAAGATTACGGCCAGTGCTGACATAGAAACACAGGCCATGGACACTGACAAGGAGCCCAAGACCCGCAAGGTCAAGAAGCAGGTCAAGAAGGGTGACCTTCCCCTGTCCTCTGGCACCGCCTCTCTCGACGTGCAAGCCATTGCCAACCTTTCCGAGAAGGAGCACTCCATGATCATGGAGGACAAGCTTGTCGCCGACACCGAGGACAAGAAGAACGAGCTTGAGGCTTACATCTACGAAATGCGCGCAAAGATTGACGAGGAGTACGCCGACTTCTCAAGCGAGGAGGAGAAGACCAAGCTCAAGGAGAAGCTCGAGACCAGCGAGGTAAGCTACAATTCATTCCTCCTCGTAAATGCACCCAATACTGATTCCATTTCCCACAGGACTGGCTCTACGACGAGGGCGAGGACGCCACCAAGGCCGTCTACCAATCCAAGATCGACGAGATCCGCGCCATCGGCGGCCCCATCGCCCAACGCTACCTCGACAAGTTCGAAGAGGAGCGCCAAGCCGCCCTCAAGGCCCAAGAAGAAGCCGCCGAGAAGAAGCGCGCCGAGCAAGAAGCCATCAAGCAGGCCCAGCAAGAGCAGGCCGCCGCCGCCGCCGCAGCAGCCAAGATGGCCGCTCAGCGTGAGGAGCAGGAGAAGAAGGACGCCGAGATGCAAGATGCATAGAGTGCTGGTGTTGGACTAGCAAGCCGTTAACTCTCCGAGAAAAGAAGGGGAAGAAGACATGACAAAATCTTCCATCAGAAACACAAACACAAAACACAAAATCATTAGACCATTTTACTCTTTTACTTGTTGCATTTTTGATGAAGAATGAATGGGATGGTTTTCTTTATTAAGGCGTGCCTTGGTTTTTCTTGTTTTCTGTTTTCTCTTGTTCTTTTTTGGTAGTCTTGAAAGAATGATAGAAATAACAAAAGACAAAGTTTAATTCATGAACATATATGTCGCTGTTCTACAGTACGTGTTCCCCCGTACGGGAGAATCATTTAGCATATGAGAAGGCTTGATCATCGTCAAAGCGAACTCTAAAGTGCCTCCTCTTCGACCGCCCTCTTCTGGAAAGTGCAAGTCCAAAGATGCACCTGTCTGAGTGCACAATATCGTTCTCACGCCGATGTCCACATGTGAGAGCTCATACTCGGACTTACTAGCTTCCAAGAAGACCTCGTGTACAGCCACGAAGATACACAAATCAAGGGACGAAACCAATCTCCACGCCTTCGCTATCAACCATCACGAAAGCCTGGTCAGACATCTCATCCTCGGACAAGACGTTGTAGATAACGATGGCAATGCACGATGTGTTTTCTGATCCTCGAGTCGATGATGACAGGTATGTTATGAACAGATGACTGGCAGTGTTATATTATGTGAATTTGTGAAAAGCTATTTGTTATCTCGATGTCGTCTTTCAGCAATTGTAAGCTATATCTGGTATGCATGTATCTGTGCTCATCTCCGTCGAGCAACCTCTGCATTTCGTGTCATGCGTGAGGGCATGAATATATTGTGATTAGCGCTCCATGCCATCTCAGCCCGACCACCCTCACGCACGTTCACTTAAGCCTCGTAATCACTGTCGCTGTCGTCATCAGCGTAGTCGACTGCCTTGGTCTTGCGTCCAGATCTGGTCTTGGCAGGAGTGCCCTTCTTGATTGCCTTCTTCTTTGCTTCAGCCTCATTCAAGGCCAAGCCCAAAGTCTCTCGCATAGTCTTGTAGAACTCATCGTAGGCCTTCTTTGCCCTGTCGCATTCGTCCACCGAGCCGGGATGGAAGTAGCCGTGTGTCGAGCACGACCCTCTGATCGCACCCGTGATGGAGACAATACCGATCGCATCCTCACGGCTTCTGCCTGCGAGGCACAAAGCTTGAATGAAGGGCAGCATCCGAATATGCCAACTGGGCATGTGCGAGTAATAGTGTCCTCGGTAGTAGTTTTCTGCGAGCTCGAGCTTCGTCAGAGAGATCGCGGGGCCCAGCAGTTTGAATGCTTTCTTCGCGGTAGTTTGATACTGCGTGCCGACGCAGACCGAAACCAGTGACTTGACTCGCTCCGGTCCGATGTACTCCAGGAATCGGTACATCATCGTGGTGTCAGGAAACTCGAACTTGTGACGACTGAAAAGGTAGGGCGTCGACTCGACGTTGATCTGCTTGTTGACGCGCATCAAGCTGGTGCTGTAGGAGATCTCTGATCGTTGTAACCATTGTCCACCTTCCTTGCGCCAACGAGTGTCGATGATTCCAGTATGCTTGCCTTGGATATAGATAGAGCAGCCAGGTCGTTCGAGTACATAAGAGTAGATCATGTTGCGAATCTCGGCGGGAAGCTCGAGGAAAGGGAACTTCTCGTTATCTGCAGGCTCTGGTTGCAACACAAGAACGTAACGGCCTTTGTAGGGGCCTTCGTTCATCAGAACGGGCTCCAGTGAGAAAGGCTTCTTTGAAGTGAGCGCGACTGTCTGGTTGTAGGTTTTCTTCTTGTCGAGCTGTTGTGGTTGTCAGAAGAGTGGTCAATGTTGCATGTAAGTATACTTACGACTGCGACATTGCCGTTATCCATAGTACACTGAATCTTGCGGACCATACGGTCGTTCTTGGTCTTCAGTTCATAGATGATTGATTGATCCTGGTCATCTGAGTCGCCATCGTCAAAGTCGCCCAGCTCGGGTGAGGGCTCTTTCTTAGCCTTCTTGATGGCTTTCTTGTTTGCTGCTGGTTTGGCCGATCTTGACACAGTTTTGACCTTCTGCGCATTCTTAGTATGAAGTAATCGACAAGACAGACGCGACGACGTACTTTGGATGTAGCGGGGGGCGCTTTGCGAGTCGAACGACGGCCAGCCATGATCTCAGTGCTGTTGATGGGTTGTTTGATGATCTGTATCAAGCCGAGATAGTTTGTGATGTCGACGAGGTAGAGGTGGAGAGTGCAAGAAGTGTGGCCGACGTTCGTGCGCGTTGCGTAAAAGCGAGTGAGGCAGGTGTTGGAGCCTGGCTACCAACGCTCTTTCCTTCCTCTTGATATGCAAGTGAAGCTTTGATCTTTGAAATACCGAATTTGTCGGAGCGTGCTTGAGAGAAGTTGCACCTGCGTGTGGAACAATCTCAAACCTCTGACATGCGCGTGTTACTTACTGCATCGCTGTCTTCACTGAATTGGAATCGTACTTGGTCGAAAAATGACCTGAGATGCAAAGATTCTTGGTACACCACTCTACTTTTGGTTCTTCTAAGTGTTTGTCGATAATGCGGTATCTCGACAGAATGCCACCTTTCTACTCCATAACACCATTTTACATATCCTACAAGTCCCAACGCTTCTTAACCAAACCTTCACTTTAACGACTGCCTCTGCTCGAACGACGCCCGCTGAACATTGATGGCCTTGAGGGACTTGCGAGGCCTGACGCTCTACTATGAGCAAACGTCTTGACTCCAAACTTGATCTCGGTGACACGAGCCCATAGCCCCTGTACCGCTCGCTGAAGCTCAGGACCCATTTCGCGGTTCATCAGACCGACAGCAAGAGGCGCAAAAGTGGTGGCATGGCGTTCGAAGTCTTCAGTTTGGAAGCCGGTGTAGCCTTCAAGGACGTCAACCACAACAGGTCGCCATGTGATAATGTTGCGTTGTTGAGTGTCTTCATCAAGCTCAATGTATGAGTTGACAATGTCGGCGCAAAGAGGAATAAGTGCCTGTTCTGTCTCGGCCCGAGAGGCCTTGCGCTCCTCGCCTTCGTCCGAGAACATACGCAGAAGGATACTAACATAGACAGAGGCCGAGCCCGACTCCTGCTTGAGTAGGTTTGGTGGCTGACGCATAAAGCCTTCTCTGAACAACTTCGTGCGCAGGTCGCGGTCTTCGTTGAAACGCTTGGCGAAGTGGTAGGACTTCTTAAGCAGTGACATCAAACGCAACAGCAGATGTGATGGTATGGCGGCGTAGACCGAGTCGTTAGAGAACAACTCACTGACTGTGTCAATCATCAACAACTGCAAGACACACTTGGTGATGATCTGGTTGAAAAAGCGGCGACGAGCAGCGGTGACAACAACAGGCGCGTTAGGTGTTTGCGACGTGTTATTGAATGACTCAAGCTCGTTGTCATCCCCGATTTGCGCCTGCTTGGAAGGAGACAGGCTTCGAGTAGTAGCCGTGGTGTTGCCACGAGGTCGTCGAGGCGTGTCTTCGCCAGGTGAGGCCTCGTCTCCATTGAGGTTCAGCGGGCTCTCGGAAGGTACAGATGCTGGATCCGCTGACGAGGACTCAGTCATAGAGAGACCGTCCAATGAGGCTGGAATAGCCTTGGAGCCATTGGATGCACTTGAGTCTTTTCTGTAAGATGATGATGTCGCTGCAGAGAAGAGAGCTGTGGCTTCAGTCCGTGCAAATAAGTCGACAAAGGCCCCAACAATCTTCTCCCAATGTTCTGGTGTGAATTTGTGGACGTTCTGGAGAATCAGTTGTTGCAAGCAGTTGCTGCCAATCCTAGCCAAAGTGTCGTTTTCTTGACAAATGCAAAGTGCCAATAGGTCCAAGAACCTGTCGAGCATATACTCAAGAGAATCGAAGAAATGCGTAAAGAGACTGATCATGTTGCGGAGTGCTTGGATCATGGTCGTTGACAGCCATACCGAAAGCTCTTCGTGATTCAGAGCCTTCGACATTTCCGACTTGGACTTGAGAACCATGAAAATGGGGTAGAGTAGTTGGCGCCACAATGTGTCCCAGAACTCGCGAGGGAAGTCACCACCATAGCGCGTCAAGGTCTCGAAGAGATAGTTGAGTGCCCTAGATCGGACCTCAAGATCATCACCGGTCATCAACACATCGTGGAAGGCGAACAGAACAGGGAACCAGAACTGCTCCTCTTGAGTCTGTCTGGTAGGCTGCTTAGGCATGCCCTCGGCGGTGGGGGCATCTTTGACAGTACTGGCTTTGACGCTGAGCGGGCACTCTGGTGTGCGAAGCATCTTTCCGACTGAAGACTTCAGCATCTCGATGGCTTGAAGTGACTTCTTTTGGAACTTGTGGTTCTTGGAGAACTCGGTCAAGCAGACGATGAGGTCGGCAAAGGCACCTTGAGTGATGACCACGGCAAAACGATCATTGTAGACCTGTGTGACGTTGTCATAGGCAAGATTGACAATAGATTCTGGTGGACGTTAGACAATATTGATGATACCAAAAAAAAGTAGTAACTTACCATAAGGCTCACGAGCAGCGACGGTGAAGACGCCGAACATCGTTTTCCAACCAGAGCGGATATTGTCACCCCTGGCCTGTATCATTTGGATTAGACAGCGCAAGACCATATCCTTGACCGGGACTTGTGTAGCATTGCTAAGGATATGCTCGAAAGGCTTCAAAAAGTCCTTCTGGAATTTGAAACCTGGCAGTTCTTCAATTTCCATGAAGCGCATCGACAACTGTCTCAGCGAATTAAGAGCAAAGTAGACGACGTTGGTGTTGTTGTGGCAGCCGACTTGGATGAAGTGTTCACCCAATACTTGCCAGATGCTTGTCCATTCGAAACGTACACGAGTCATGTTGTAGCCACTGACCTCAACGAGCTTCTGCAGACTGTAGGTTCGGGGAGACTCGCTGTTACCAGATGACTGGATCTCTTGCCAACTGACTTGGGCGAGAGCCTTGACAAAATGAACGATAGCATCTCCCGAGAGGTTGGCGGTGTTGGTGAAGATACGGTCAACGCTACGAACCATATCTGCCGATCTGCTCTCTTCCGCAATGTCGGGCTGATAGACTATACCGCTAACAGAGTTTCTATTGCGATTACGGGGAGGGACGCCAAGGGACTTGCGATTAGGGTTGGTCGCGGAAGAGTGAGATCTCAGCATATCAGGCACGTCGCCTTCATTCACACCTGTAGAGATGAGCTGGAATCTGTCAAGTTGACTGATACACGTGAGGATGTCTCTCCACGAGTCCTTGAGCAGGTTGCCCTCGTTTTGTGCAACGTCTAGGACGGCCTTGAGCGCTTCAATGTTCTTGGCTTTCATCTCACTGAGGTTGTAGAGGTTTGTGAAACGAGCCAGGGAAGCGATAAAGGCCTGTCGAGGATCTGTGAGATCGAACAAACAGCAGATTCGGATGGCCAACTTCTGACCCTCCATGCAAAGCCTGACCCTTTCAATGTTGTTCGTCTCCTGTGTACCACCAGAAAGTGCTGTCAAGAAAGACATCCAGGTGACCTCGAACATGGGACCGACGTGTTTGAACGACGATGCAGGGATAAATTTGACCATGGGAGATCTGACAGCTCCGCGACGTTGAGATTTCATAAGGTTCTTGAACAGCTGCTCTGTCTTCGTAGCCATTTGATCCGAAGCTTGAGCGTAGGCCTCTCTTTGTAAATCACGCCCAAAGTTGGCAACAGCTTGGCCAATATTCGCGGCCAAGCTGCCAGTGCCCTGTGGCAACATACCTAGATTGGCAGCCTTTTCGCGCTCTGTGTCGAGGACGATCTCGTTTTGAGCAATCTCCTCGAAAATGCTCTTGAGGTAATCATCTGGCAGACTTTGGCCGTCGTTGATGCCACGGTTATTCTTGATGAAGTCCTCAGGAGTCATACGAACTTTGACTTGAGCACTGTGCTGATCGGTGTTGAGCATAACAACCGAGTAAGCCAGCACATAGGCAGTATCAGCGTTCGCGAACGCATTGGGGTTGCCTCCAGTATATCTTTCGGCAAACTTAAGCATAAGACGATCAATCTTTTGCGCCTCTCCAGGCAGACGGAAGCTTTGTAGGAAGGTTCGTAGAGCATCCACGAATCGCGTCTTGGTGAAATTCATGCTGTCCACGAAAGCATGCATGATGGCAATGTTTTCTGGTTCGCCTTCTCCGAGGTATTCGCCCAGAGCCTTTTTGTCTAGCCTTTCGTTGGTAATAAGGAATTGAGCGATATCTTGAGGCGAGTCCGAGGCAATGAAACCACCAGCGATCAAGACTTTGACTCCCTTCTTGGGCTTGAAGTTGAATTGCTTGATGGCATTGTTCAGTGCAGTCTTGTGTTGCTTCACTCGTTCGAGTTCGGCGGGATCATCGTCTGCTATCGGAGTGCCAGGAACAGCAATCTCCATACTCGGCACTACAGGGGACTGGGAGACGCCGTTCTCACGAGCATCTATCGAGTCTCTTAAATCTTCAACTGAATTGCGTGATTCAGGATTCGAGAGCGACGCAGCAACGTCGTTAAGACCCTGCTGAGACCAATTGACCATAGAACGCAAAGTTTCGACCAGACATTCGAGCGAGTGCTGTTTCATAATGTACTCGGCTGGTATGTCTTGATTAGCTTCCGGGGCACTGGCGATTGTGGAAGTGGACAGCGACGGCGGCAAAGTGCTTTGGGCTAGCCACTCTGACATAGCATTGCCATGTTTTGACTGCTGTTCGATGTAGAGCAGTTCCTGCTGCGCCGTGACCTGCACAGGCGAGCTGGCAATTCTGGAGAGATGCTCGATGATGCGTTGATAGAAGTTGTCAAGTGCTGCTCGATCACAGTCATAGTTAAGGTAGATCTCAACTAGTGCTCTGGGATCTGAAGCCAATCTAGTCAAGATTGTGATGATGCACTGCTTTTGGAATGCAGGCGCAGTCCTCTTGTCTAAAATCGCGAGGTAAACCTCCTTGAGGAAAACTTCAATCTCTCTTTTGAGTGTCACACGCAAATAGCGGATCATGAGCCAGAAGATCTCGCAACTAATCTCGAATACTTTGTTGACTGAACTTGCGCCGTTGCGACTCAAACTCAAACAGAGATATTGCTTGATAGCCTGCGTGAAGCTCGTGGGGTCATTGTTGGAGCTGCTGCGAATGGTTGCGAAAGGCGAACTGAAGACGGCATGGTGGTTGAAGATGATTGTTTGGATAATGTGAAGGGACAGCAGCTTGGAACGCATGCCTTGAGATCTGAGATCAACAGTTTCTTCGACACGGAGAGTTTTTGTGCTGAGCTTGCACATTGCGCGGAATACAAGGAAGGCGTCTTTGATGAAGATCTCGTCTTCCTCGTCCTCCTCGGTAATGTCGGAACCGTCAGGCTGGACAGTAATGGCAGGAACACCATCGTTTCCAGATGCTGTTCGAGGAGGCATTCTTGATTTCTTGAGACGAGTAACCATAGTGGGCGCATTGTCGCCTATCCGAGCATCGTCGAAACTCTTCTTGGTCTCGAATGTCTGCAAAGTCATCCTGGTTGTATCCACATCTTCATCCTCCTCTTCTTGCACATCAGTCGAAGTACGTGGTAGCTCGTTATCCGGAATGTCTGACAATGACTCCACATTGTCGCCATTTTCGTTAAGCATCGAGGACTTCGAAGAATCAGCCCTGGCAGCGCGTCCAGCGATCCTAGTCTTTACTCGTTCAAAGACAGTTCCGACCATTTGTGTCAATGTGCCTTGGGCAATCTGTTGGTTCGAGCTGTTTTTGGACAAAAGGAAGATGTTGTATGTCTGACGAACACTCTTGAGCAGACCAGCACCATGTACCACAATCTTGTCATTGAGGATAGCAGCCAACAATGACTTGATGATCTGCATTTGCACCTCGGCCGGGGTGGCTTCACCTTGGAAGCAGTCACATATCGTATCAATGGCGCGCTCAATCAGCGGTACAGGCTGCTGGTTTTCCTGGTTGGTGTCTGCAGGCACGGAGAAGTAGGAGTAGCTGATGAGCTTGCCAATACAGTCCAAGGCAGTGGTGACTATGGCGACCGTGTTTGCCTCGGTAGCCAATTGTAGTGGCGCAAAGAGGATCTCAGGATCGGTCTGAGTTGGGTCTCCCTGACTCTTGATTGTGGACAAAGCACGTTGAGCAGCATCTGCCAATGGCTTCCTCTTCCGAGCATCCTTGGATGCGGCGATTGTTTCTAGAGCGCTGACGACAAAGACCATAGACGAGCGAGTAGTGGATCGCGAGGTAGCGGTGGTGGACTGCGAGTCGGTGCGCTGGCGGCTAGGTTGGATGAGACGGGGATCGATGGCTTGTTGAGGAGGTTCTTCTGATTGTGGCGTAGAAGCCACCTCTGGTAGGGGGGAGGAGATGGTAGGAACAGCAGGTTGCTCTGGTTGCTCGAGAGGCTTTGGGAGTTGTGTTGGTGCCTGGGCTTCCGGATATGAGGTCTCGATGTCTGCCTCATCATGTTGCGGCGTGGGTTCTGAGGGTTCGTATGTAAGGGTAGGAGGGGTATCTTCCCGCGACTCGGGAGCGGTGTCTAGCGGTACATCCTGCATTTCCTGGCTCGATTCCATGTCGACTACTTGGCCGTCATTGAGAGCAGGAGCGGCATCAGGCTCCGTGTGTTGAGGAGCAGGAGCCTCAGTATCTGCCATGCCTGCTTTTTTCAATTAGATATGCAGCAACACGACATGTGATTGGCAAATCTAGCCAACACGAAAGGTCGTCGGGAAATTATTTGTCTTTCGACTTGGTAGAAGGGGACAGCTCTCAATGTAATACACCAACTATCTGGGGGGTCGACGCCAATGACTAGTCGGGCAATGAGACGGTGCCAAGCCCGACTATGAATAGGTCACTCGAAGCAGTAAGAGAGAATCATCTGCTCATGTATACTTTTAGAGACTCGTTATGACTCGTTATGGGGAGCGGGACCATCTATTCTGTAGTTTTACATCTTGTTGGAAGGTTGCTGGATTGTTGAGTTGCTGCAGATGCGTGTATGCGCCGCTCGGAGGTTCTGCTGATGGTGCCGGCTACATAGTCCGAAGGTACCATCTCATTTCCTTGCGCCTTCCCAAGTGAATTTCTGCTTCTAGGTGTTTCCATGAAGGTGGCTACAATTGTCCGCTACGATAGTGAGGTAGCTACGTAAAAAGTCCAGGAAAGGTGAATGCTGAAGATGGAAGATTGCACTCGAGTACAGTGTGAGTAGGCAAGAGTCGGCACGGACTGGTCCCTTTCTTCGGGCTCGGGGCGCCAAGAAGATCGGGATAAATCGATCCACCGAAAACTCCCATGCCGGAGACTTTGTTGAGAGCTTCAATCACCTCTACACAATCTCGACGCTCGTTGTGCTTGGTGGCAGAGTCTCTTGTTTCTCTGCATATCCCTCCTTCCTCTCCTTCCTCCAACACCCCCTCCACACATCAAACACAATGTCGGCCGCAGCTTTGCTTGCCCGCGCATCGGGCAGAGTGTGTCTGCAATCGCTCAGGGCGAGAGAGTCTGTCGCAACTCCCGCCATGTTCGGTGCTCTTAGCAGATACTATGCCTCCAAGTGTATGTGCCGTCTGTCACTTCTGCCCAGTCAATCGCTGACCTGTCTCCAATGTAGCCTTCCCCCCTCACACCGTCATCACCATGCCCGCTCTGTCGCCCACCATGACTGCTGGTAACATTGGAACCTGGCAGAAGAAGGCCGGTGATGCTCTGGCTCCCGGTGATGTTTTGGTCGAGATCGAGACCGACAAGGCTCAGATGGACTTCGAGTTCCAAGAGGAGGGTGTTTTGATCAAGGTTCTGAAGGACTCGGGCGCAAAGGACGTCGCTGTCGGAAACGTAAGCGGACAAGAGCTTTCTTAAAAGCTGCAGCAATCCTTTTACTGACACTGCTTTAGCCCATCGCTGTCATGGCTGAGGAGGGTACCGATGTTTCCGCCTTCGACGACTTCACCGTCGAGGATGCTGGTGGTGAGAGCAAGGCCAAGGAGGGCAGTGGACAGGAGGCCGCCAACGCTTCCGAGCCCCCATCAAACTCCTCCAAGACTGCTCCCGCTCCCGCCGAGTCAAGCCCTGCTCCCCAGGCCCAGGAGACCGAGTCCTCTGGCGAGCGCCTCCAGACCGCTCTCCAGCGCCAGCCCAAGCTCAGCCCCGCTGCCCAGAAGCTCGCTCTCGAGAAGGGTGTTGCCATTAGCCAGGTTAAGGGTACCGGCCGTGGCGGTGTTATCACCAAGGAGGACATTGAGAAGTTCAAGCCCGCTGGTCCCGCTGCTGCTGCCCCCGCTGGTCTCCCCACCTACGAGGATGTCCCCGCCTCTTCCATGCGCAAGACCATTGCCGCTCGTCTTACCCAGTCCATGAACGAGAACCCCCACTACTTCGTCGCCTCCTCTATCTCGGTCAGCAAGCTTATGAAGCTCCGCCAGGCCCTGAACTCGGCCGCCGACGCCAAGTACAAGCTCTCCGTCAACGACTTCCTCGTCAAGGCTCTGGCCGCTGCTGCCCGCAAGGTCCCCGCCGCCAACTCCAGCTGGCGTGAGGAGAACGGCAACGTCTTCGTCCGTCAACACAACACCGTTGACGTTTCAGTCGCTGTCGCTACCCCCGTCGGTCTCATGACCCCCATTGTCAAGAACGTCAACGGTACCGGTCTCGAGTCCATTTCTAGCCAGATCAAGGAGCTCGGTAAGCGTGCCCGTGACGGCAAGCTGAAGCCCGAGGAGTACCAGGGCGGCACCATCACCATCTCCAACATGGGCATGAACGCTGCCATTGACAGATTCACCGCCGTCATCAACCCTCCCCAGGCATGCATCATCGCTGTCGGTGCCGTCAAGAAGGTTGCCGTTCCCTCCGAGAACGAGGACGGTATTGAGTGGGACGAGCAGATCGTCATCACCGGTTCATTCGACCACAAGGTTGTCGACGGTGCCGTTGGTGGTGAGTTCATGAAGGAGCTCAAGGCTGCTATTGAGAACCCCCTCAGCCTGATGCTGTAAATGCATTCAATTGTGAAAAGTCTGCATTTTGTAATCTAGTCATTAAGGGGATGATACCAAGCTTTTTTTCATTTTCATAGGAAGAACACGGCGCAATTGTTGGCATATTTCCTTTAGCTTCTTGAACCATCTTCTTCATTTCCCCTCCCCAAAAGACCAATGATCATGACCAATCAATCCCTCGAACATTTGCTGCTGTTATATGCGATCTTGATATTATCTTCTCCCTTGGTACCGTTGTTGCAGTCTATCCATTGTTCTATTTACCTGCCACCCTCCTCGAGTCTACTACGGGCAGGTCATTTTGCAGCACTTTCTCTCCATCTCTCACTTCTTTTCTTCCTTCTCCTCCATTTTCCTCTTCTCCTCAGCCCTCCACTTGGGACCCCAAACCATAACCGCCCATAAACAAGGCGACAACACAACCCACAACCCCGCCACCGCCGTACTAGTCCACCCAATCCCTATCGCTCCCACAAGCGGCTGAGCAAAAGCCGTAAACACAGCACCCATCCCACATCTCGCCAGATTGTTGGCCGCGCTCGCCGTAGCAGGTTGATGCAAGTTTATATCCACAATCAATGTGCTAAACACATTGAACGCGCCAGTTGTGAAATTGCCGATCAGGAAGAGCATTATCAAAGGACCGGCTAGGGAAGTGTGAAAGTGCATCACCCAGCCGTAGATGATTATCGAGAGGGCTGAGGCGTAGGCGGCTGGGATACCGATTTGAAGGCGAGCTTTTTCGATGGGGAAGTTTTCTGGGTCTTGGGTGGTGTTTTGAGGGATGGAGGGATCGAGATTTTGGGCGAGGCGTTTGTAGTTGCGGTCGAGGAAGATGCCGACGCTGAAGCGTGAGGCCATGCAGCCTACACCGAAGGGGATGTAGCAGAGACCGATTTGGAGAGTGTTGAAGCCATAGCGATCGGCGAGTTGGTCGGTCAAGGTGATGAGGACGACGTAGAAGCCGGCATAGAGGAACGCTCCGTAGAGCAGGATCAGTCCATCTTCCTTCTTGAGGATGATGAGGATTGAAGAGAAAGGGTTCGGTCTCTTCTTCGCACGCTGTAGCGTCTCGGTCTGTTCGCCAACCTCTTTCTTCCTCAAAAAAGACCACAACGTTCGGTTCCATTTCTGCGGCGGAACAGAGCCATTGCCAACAACAGTCCTGCAAGTCTCAGGCAAATACGTCAACGTCACCATCAACATGACTCCAGCAAAGATAGCCAAGAACCAGAAGATGGCCGGCCAGCCCATATACGTATCCAAAAGCCCACCGACCAGAGGACCGATAGCAGGACCCAACATGATGCCCATACTAGCGTAAGCAACCCACTTGCCTCTTTCTGCTCGAGTTGAGACATCTGCAACAACAGCCTGACCTAAGGCTACGGTCGCTGCAGAGCCCGAACTCTGCACACAACGGAGGACGAGAAGGGCTGCGTAGTTTCGTTGGCAAGCTAGTGCTATGTTCGCGACGACAGAAATCGTGAGGCAGATAACATAGGCTAGTCTTCTGCCTTTGACATCTGCGAGGTTACCGAAGAAGGTTGGGCCTATCGCTTGGAAGATCTATAAAAGACAAATAGTGTTAGTGAATGATGGCTTGGTGCTGGGTAAGAATGATACTGACCAGATATGTTGTGACAGTCAAATTGATGTCTGAATTGGACACATCCAAGTCTTTTGCAATGGCAGTGATGGCTGGGAAGTATATGTTGGCAGACAGGGGAGAGAGTAGGCCGATGAAGGATATAGTCAAGACAATGAGTTTCTTCTTTGTGTCGCTGAATATTGAGAACGGAGGTTCGGTGTCTGGTTCAAATGACACTGCGCCGGATTGCTTTTCGACATCGATTTTCAGGTTGCTGTTGTCTTCTTTTTGAGCTTTGTCGTGTTCCTGAGTTCCTGGACCGGAAGAAGCCTGGGTCGTACTTGTTGATGCCATGGCTGTCGATGCTCGAGAAGTACAGGACTTTCAGTACAATGCGGCGAACGACGACCTAGTGTAATGTGATAGGAGATGAGTAGTACACAAGATCGCTAGTGACACAAAGCTGCACTTATATCAATGTTTTTCGTGTGGTGCATCCTTTGAGAAAACCGGCCCTGTACCGGCCCGGTCCAGGCTTCTGTCTCCGGCTGCTACTCGCATTTCTTCCAACCAGAAGCGATCGACCGATGATTGTATCCCACTAGTCATAGTCTAGCGGTATTAGAATAAGCAGTCGAAAATCGAAGATGCGACAGACATTTGAGGGGCAGAAATGTTGTGCCAGGTGAGAAGTTACAGTGGGTGGGATGTGCGACTGAGATCCGACGAAAGCAGCAGCAGCAACTGTACAAGCAAGAGCGATCGTCGCAATAATAGCTTCGAACGATCTCAAGCGTTGGGCAATAGCAAATCGACTGACTGATGCGCTACATAACGTCACTGAGCTGGCAGCTGCATTCTTACTTCGGCTTACCAGAGTCAGAAAATTTGATATTGAACAAAGTAAGGTATATATGTATTTGTCGATTGTGCTCCCGTTAGCTTCACCCCTCCCGAAGAAGAGGTTACTAGACCGACACACCACGGTGAGGTGGGAGCTTTGTGCCGGAGCCTGCCACCCGCCGAGCTGACGCGCACGCCACTACTCAACCACAATTGGCACGAAGGTGTTGAACCCTCGAATGCCGAATGCGGAACTGAGCACAACGCGCATGCTCCCAGCTGCGACTGAGTCCAAGCCCCCCATCCCCGTGCCACTTGCCAGCTTCGGCCCCCGTCTCCTGCGCCCAGCTCGTGAACTTGCACGTCTACTAGAGGGAGGCTGATGGGCGTGTGGACTGGGCTACGACTCAGACAGAGCCTGCAATACCAGTGACCGGGGCCAACTGATTATTGAGGTTGTCTGAGGAGCTCAGGCCACCGCGCATCGGCCTGCTACCTCTAATAGACGGGCAAGTCACGAGTGGGGGAGGAGAGGGAGTCCGAGTGGAAGTGGTCGAGATGAGGATTCGAAGGAAGAAAGAAGGGATGGCAGGGAGGAGGGGAGAGTTTATACTCCTTTTTTTTCTTGCTTACTAAGCTTTGATGACTCTTGAAAGTGATATGTTGCTCATCGCTTGCTCATCAAGTGGTTTCGTATATTAACGCATATATGCTCTTCTTCAGCGCCGCTACTGTGGATAATGTGTGCGGTCTGGGGTGTTAGGCGGGCACATAAATATCATAACCCGCAAGATCATTGGCCTGGTCCTGTGTGCTGCGCGATAGGTGTGGTTTTTGCGAGGCATCTTTCTGGGTCACGCGAGGCGGTTATCGAAGAGTACAACCCATCGCGTCCGCATCTGCTACAACTTGATTCTTACTAAGGTACTTGACGCAAAACTTGTGTGGTCTATCCAGGAAGTATGCCCAGACCTGTCTGCTTTGCTCAAAATAGCCTCGGGTTTCGAAGCCAATTCATCGCGTCGACACGTCAGTGGGCGATTTCGAGAACTTGCAAGAGCGAGGGATGAGTATGAGCTAAAACCCAGGCTGACATGATGAAGTTTTGGTCATCCTCCTTCGGCGGAGAGATGGATGTCTTGAGGGTATAATACAGCAGGACAATGTAACATATTCCTGAAGGGTGGCTTGCGATGTACGACGGGCGTCTTGATTGTTTTGTGGATAGCGGTGAAGAATACTTCGCGAGCGATCGATTGGCGTACTTGCATCTGAAGCGGCCGCTGCGAGCGTCGCAAACCTTTGATAATTCGTAGATCCAGTTCGATGTTTTTATGTATCAGTATGCAGTAAGCGCCCTAGCACGGTATGAGAGGTCTGAGGTCTTGCAGAGTGGATGTCATGGCTGCTTTTGATGGGCCTTGCAAATGATTTCCAACTTCGATTCTTGGTCAGGCTTGGGTACTGGAGTCCGAATCGAGCTCATAGGGAAAAGTTGGCCTTGTTGATTGCCTTTTGAGCGGCATCACCTGCCATATTTGAGGAGATGACACTAGAACCTGAATCGCTGAGGCATCTTGCTGAAAAGCCATCAGAGCGCATAATATCTTTGAAGCCAACGGCGACGGCGACATCCAAAGACAATCTACAGAGAAGGAAATGCTCCAACTGGCACAATAATTCCACTGCCAAATCTACGTCAGCCATCGCGAACATCTTCGCTCAATCTCGATTTCCAAAGCAAAAACTCTCAATGCAACAGTCATTCCTGCCGGACTCCGTATTCAGACGAACAGGTCCACATTGTTGACTTACGTATCGCGAATAGCATCGAAACTGGGCTACAGAAGTTTGGGAGGTGAGGTCTATCATAGATATTTTCGTGTGCAAAATTCGTGAGAATGATGCAGTTTTTTTCCACGTAGGGCGGGACACCCTGGTATGAGCGTGGATGCATCGGGAACCTGGTAATAGATACGATCGGTCGAATTAGGAGTCTGATGAGACAAGCTTGATGGTTCCATCTTGAAGCCTCGATTCACAAAGTGTGGTATCCCTCAAGGAACATGGGCTCTTCATGGTTCGATCTATCAGGCAGAGTAAAGGGCAGCAGCTAGCGAATTGAGGTGTTGCAAAGCGATCGGAGAGTGCAGAACAGTCGGATTAAACATTCAATGAAATGAAGTGTTCTTGGCTTGTATGGCCGGTTTCTAGCTTCGTAATAATGATACAACCCTACGTCTCATAATCCTCCCTCGAGCTTTGAGCCCTAAGCTGAGCGAATGCTTCATTTTTGATTCACGCCTCAAACGCCTTGCTGCTCCCAATAAACCATTCTCTTCAATTCAGGCCCTCCATCCAGTTTCCGACCGTAACTTGAGGCTCAGGTGTCTTCTAGTCCTGGAGGTCTCTCATCGTGGCTGGGAAAAAGAACCTAAAGTCAGCCTTTGCTCTATTGTGATACAGACACTTCGCGGCGTGGAATACCGGGAGGCAAGGTTTCGACCAAGTTCCTGGATGCACGCCAGCATTGAATCAAGTTATCCTCCGCCACCGAACACATCATCCACGGGTCGTTCTTGTTCCAGCTGAAGTCCGAGACGCGACTGGTGTGTCCACCGTGCATGAAGAGCCTGTAAAATGCATCAGCTTTGAAAAGACCAGACAGAGAAATCACAAATACATACATCTCTGGTGGGCCATCCTCAGCATCATCAGGAGTTTGTTCGCTTCCTGCGCGGCTGATATCCCAGAAGATGACACGACGATCGTCGCCGCTGCTGGCAAGAATGCAGGGATCGTGAGGATGCCACTCAATCTTAGTAACGACATCTTGGTGACCCTCCATGCTGTGAATCTTGCCATGCTCAGGGAATCTCATGTCGAAAATTCCCACAGTACGATCAGCCGAACCAGTGGCAAAGAGAACGTCGTGCTTCTGATGGAAAGCCAAAGTGTTGATAGCATCCGTGTGGCCGGTTATTCTTATAGCTGGTGTCGAGTTGGAAGCAGTACGTAGGTCCATGAGGCAGAAAGTTTTGTCATCTGCGACGGTTCCCAGCAGGTTCTTGCCGTGCATAGGATGCCATTGGACGTCGTTGACGGTAGAGCTGTGATGTGTGAAGATGCGTGCATGGGTCAGAGTCTTGTCTGCCTTTGAGAAATTGTTGATGTCCCTAAGCAGTGGTTAGTCAAATGGGACGATAGACTTTCGGCAGATGGAGTCTTACCAGACGCGAACAGTCTGGTCTTCGCTACCGGTGGCCAGTTGACCCTCGAAGTGAGGATTCCAGTCGAGGCCAAAGCCTTCCTTCTCATGACCCTTTAGTTCGATCTGGGCGTCGACCTGGTTTGTCTTGGGAATGTTTGTGTGTTTTGTGCGGTCAAAGACCAGGGCGTCTCCCTGAATGGTCATGGTAGCGATGAGGTCTGGATTTTGCGGCATGTAACGAGCCTTGTTGATCTCTCCAGGGTGGTTGATCTTCTGGATGACATTGAAGGAGATGGGCTGTTTCGCAGCGCCGTGGCCACCAATCTCCTCCTTCTCTGCATCATAGTCGGCGGGATTGACAGCAGGCTTGTTGGGGAGGTCGACAGTTGCGATCTGAAGGTAGTCCTGAGTGGCACCACTAGTGTGTGTTCCGATCAAAAGGCGATGAGTGGAAAAGTTCTTGTCGGGCATGGACTGCACATCGGGCAGCCACTGGGTTGTGAGGGTGGGCCATTCCAAAGCTCTACTGTAGATGACGTCGTACAGGAAGACGGCATTCTTCTTCCAGACCTTGTACTCTTCGTTGATGATCTTGTTCTCGACGGCGGGGTCGCTGACTCCATTGGGCTGGGCGGAGAGGTCTGCCATAGTGTGGTTAGCTGGGAGGTGTGGACAAAGTTGTCGGAGGTGAAGCTGTTGAAGACGAGAAGGTGAAGAATCAGTGGTTAGAGGAGAAAGATACCTTGATCCATGATGGTTGCTAGTCGTAATGAGTATTGATGATTGGTAGCGGAGTAATTAAGCGGACAAAGTTGGAAATGCGATTGACGCGCTCAGAACAGCTTGACGCGTTTGAGCGGGAATTGGCCGCCAAGCATGTGAAAGCTGGGGTCGGAGCTTGAGCCTCCAAGTGCTTGAGGCGGCGGCCGTGCGCAGCGAGTTGGCAGTTGCGTCTACATCATCAAGTCGCCTCTCTCACTCTCTCCTTCTTCCTTCGAGGACTCCGTGTCGAAATATCCCGCCATACGCGCTCTCACCACCCCTTTTCCCCTTCTACCTACCTTCTCTCTCATTTCTAGACCCCAGTCGTTGATCTTGGAATACAGATCATCATGGGTAAGTCGACACTGCTTCCCGGGCAAGCATAACAGTCATAGCTAACCTCACTGCGCCTGATCAGGTGTCCCCAAATTCTTCCGATGGATGAGCGAACGCTATCCAGCTATTTCTCAGCTCATTGCTGAGAACCGCATTCCCGAGTTTGACGCTCTTTACGTATGTCGTCCCTCACCGCTTGCGCCTGCGCCAATTCCGATGACCTCCCTCTGACTCTGAAACACAGCTTGATATGAACGGTATCATTCACAACTGCACCCACAAAGACGGCGACCATGTTACCAAGCGTATGACCGAGGATGAGATGTTCATCGCCATCTTCAACTACATCGAGCACTTGTTTGGCAAGATCAAGCCCAAGCAGCTCTTCTTCATGGCCATTGACGGTGTTGCTCCCAGAGCGAAGATGAACCAGCAGCGTGCCAGACGTTTCCGTACTGCTCTCGATGCTGAAAATGCTCGCGAGAAGGCCATTGCTGCTGGCACCGAAATGCCCAAGGAAGCTCCCTTTGACAGCAACTGCATTACTCCCGGAACTGAGTTCATGGCTCGTCTTACACAACATTTGAAATACTTCATAGCAAAGAAGGTTTCCGAAGACATCGATTGGCAAGGCCCTGAGATCGTGCTCTCTGGACATGAAGTCCCTGGAGAAGGAGAGCACAAGATTATGGAATACATCCGCAAGGCCAAGTCACAACCCGATTACGACCCCAACGTCCGCCACTGTCTTTACGGTCTCGACGCTGATCTTATCATGCTGGGTCTTCTCAGCCACGACCCCCACTTCTGCCTCCTGCGCGAGGAGGTCACCTTTGGCCGTCAGAGCAAGGCCAAGTCGAAGGAGCTGGAACACCAGAATTTCTACTTGATGCATCTATGCATAGTTCGCGAGTACCTTGAATTGGAGTTCCAGGAACTGAAAGAGCCTGGAGTTCTTGGTTTCCCATTCGACATGGAGCGTGTCATTGACGATTTCATTCTCATGGCCTTCTTCGTGGGTAACGATTTCTTGCCCAACCTTCCTCATCTGCACATCAACGAGGGCGCTTTGGCTCTGATGTTTGGTGTCTACAAGAAGATTCTTCCTCTGGCCAAGGGATACATTAACGAGGGCGGTGTTATTAACCTCGACCGACTTTCTATCCTCCTTGACGAACTATCACATGTCGAGTTCCGCCACTTTGAATCCGAAAACGCCGATGCCAGCTGGTTTAAGGGAAAGCAGGTTGGTCGCGAGGATGTCATGGTGAGAACCAAGAACAAGGGCAAGGTCGTCATGACCTCGTCGCAAAAGGACGTCTATGCACGTGTCAGACAATACGTCAACAGCCGCCCAGCCGACTCCGAGCCTGCACCTCTCGATCTGCCCGCCTCTCTTCCTGCAAGCGACAGGAAGTTCGTTGAAGATCTCGCCGACAGCCTTCATCTGCAGTGGAAGAGCGTCGTTGACAACCAAGGTGAACGCCACATTCAGCTCTCGTTCTTCCCTCGCCCACCTACCGACGACTCGGACGATGAGGAAGACGAGGAAGCCCAAACAGCACTCCTCAGAGTAGTCAAGAGATATGACAATGCTGAGATCGTCGATACCAGTGCCGAAGAAGCTCAAGAACAAATGTCGAAGAAGTACGACGAGAAGTTTGGTCAGTGGAAGGACACCTACTACAAGTCCAAGTTCGAATGGGGTACCGAGAACGAGGAAGAGCTGCGCAAGTTGACCGAGAACTACGTGCAGGGCTTACAATGGGTCCTGTACTACTATTACCAAGGTGTCGTCTCGTGGCCTTGGTACTACGGTTACCATTACTCCCCTATGATCTCCGATGTCAAGAGAGGTCTGAAGGCCAACATGGACTTCAAGCTTGGTCAGCCTTTCCGCCCTTACCAACAGCTTATGGGTGTCCTACCCGACAGAAGTAAGACGATCGTCCCTGACGTCTACCACCCTCTGATGACCAGCCCTGACTCGCCCATCATTGATTTTTATCCTCGCGACTTTGATCTCGACATGAACGGCAAGAAGATGGAATGGGAAGCTGTTGTCAAGATCCCATTCATTGACGAACAGCGTCTGCTCAGTGCCATGTCTACCAGAGACCATCTGCTCTCAGACGCACAGCGTGCTCGTAACGAGTTTGGTGTTAGTCTGAAGTTCAGCTACGCCGCTGAGATGAACTACACCTACCCATCCTCTCTGCCCGGAGTTTTCCCAGACATTCCTAACTGTAAGTGTGTGGAAAACATTTTCGAGCTTCCCACTATGGATGGCCTGGACGTCTACATTGGTCTTGTTGAGGGCGTCAAGCTTGGCGAAGACGCTTTGGCTGGCTTCCCTAGCTTGCGCACTCTTCCCACCACTGGAACCCTCGGCTTCCACGGTGTCAATGTCTTCCAGCAAGAAAGCAGAAACGAGTCTATGGTCGTTACTCTCATGAATGCAGAGGAAACCAGTAGCATCGAGCACGCCAAGCTGAAGCTTGGAAAGGCTGTTCACGTTGGCTACCCATTCTTGGCCGAGGCAAAGGTTATCCGGGTATCAGATGAGCTGTTCGATTATGTCCTCTCCAACCCCGATGCCGAAGCTACACCTAACAACATCGAGGCTATTCCTCACGGACCGCCTGAAATCTCAAACTGGAAGAAGAAGGCTAGCCGCATCGAAAGCGTCTACAGCAAGAGACTCGGTGTCATCATCAGTGATGTTGAGGCTATGGTCCACGTTGAGATGCTTGTTGGCCTCCGAAAGACTGACGAGGGAGCGACCGTCAAGGAGTACGCAGCTGTCGAAGGTCTGGAGGCTGACTACGCCACTCAGGCCATTGTCGATGAGGTTGTCTCTCCCGACCAGCGTTTCCTCGAGAAGGCTGCCCTTCCGCTCGAAGAGGAATTCCCCCTCAACTCTCGCGCTTTCTTCCTCGGCGACTTCAACTACGGTAGACCCGCCATTGTCGACGGTCACGAGGGTGGCAAGACCAATGTCAGAGTCAACACCGTCAAGGTCAGAGAGCCCGACTTCGGACATGACATCGCCTACCAAGCCGAGCGCCAGTTCCCATACAAGCCTGCATTCGCTGTTGCAAGAGAGCTTAACCTGCATCCTCTTGTGCTATCCAAGCTGACTGCATCTTTCCGTGTTAGCTCCTCGGGTTTGCAGCTCAACCTTGGTCTCAACCTCAAGTTTGAGGCCCGTAAGATGAAGGTCTTGGGCTACAGTCGCAAGTCTGAGCGTGGTTGGGAATACAGCAACAAGGCCGTCGATCTCATCGCCACCTACATGACCAAGTTCCCCGAGTTCGTTGCTCGCATTCAGGCCAACCCATCTGGCGACGTTTTCAACGACACTGATTTCTACCCTGCCGAAATTGCCAAGGAGAAGATGAAGGAAATCGGTGCTTGGCTCAAGAGCGTCGAGACCAAGTCCCTCGAGCGTGTTCCTCTTGACGCCGAGCAGATGAACTCCGACACTGTCATGGCTCTGGAGCGTGCTGCTGAGCACTACGTCTCTCTTTCGGCCAGCCAGATCGAAGACAAGCCTATGCGTGGCGTTCCTCGTCATGCTCTTCTCAAGCCTAGTGACGCCGAGCAGCGCCTTGGCGGCCAGCGCTTCGCTCTTGGTGACCGCATCGTCTACGTCCAGGACTCTGGTCGTGTTCCTATCGCTTCTAGAGGTACTGTTATCGGTATTACCAAGACACCCAGAATGACCATGCTTGATGTCTTGTTCGACTACTCATTTATGTCTGGTACCAGTCTCGGTGACCGCTGCAGTCCTTTCAGAGGAAGCACTGTCCCTGTGACCAGTGTCTTGAATTTGACTGACAGACAATGCATCGCCGAGAGCCGTGCTGCAGCCTCGAAGCGCCAGCCTCAAAGACAGACTCCTTTGACTGTCAGCAATGGCTATGGACCTCCTGAGCGTCAATACCGCGAAGCAAGTGCTCCCCCTCCGCTCAGAGGCTCCTTCAGCGGTGCCGCCAACGGTCGTGGTCGCGGCGGACACGACAATCTTGCCATTCGTGGTGGCAACCCCAACCGTGGTCGTGGTCGTGGAGGCAGAGGCGGATACACCGTCGTCGACAACTCCGACCCCATGGAGAATGTTGTCCGCAACAACTTGTCCTTCCGTCCTCAGAACATGAGCGCTGTCCCTCCTCCTGCCATTCTCAACAATGACTTCCGTGGTAGAGGTAGAGGGCGTGGTCGTGGAGAGGCTAGAGGACGTGGTGCAGGTCGCGGCGGCTTTGCTCCCAGAGGTAGAGGAGGTGCCGTCAATGGCGATGCTTAGATCGGACATGATTTATCACGACTCACGCATTGAATCATGATGGAAACGGACGGAGTCACCGGGAAAAGATGATGGAATTGGTTGATGATCTTGCAGCGACGATTGTCTATTTTAGATAAAAGTTCTTTTCATGACACTCAAATGATGACATGCTCTTTCCAATCTCAATAATTGATTGTCTTCTTTTTCCTGATCGAACCATGTGTTTCACGTGCTCCTTGATACGTTCTTAGGCACTCACTTACCCTTCCGCTCTCATCCCATCTCAGCCAGGATTATGCGAAAACTTTTGGCGGAATGGATATGGCATTCCTCTATCTAACGCAGAAGACAGGCACATGGTTGTTGGTCGTTATTAACCAGCAAGGTTACTTTCATACAATAGATGCGTCTCTACGAGAAGATGCGA